CCCGTGGTTCTGTGATACCCTGTTCCCTTCTCTTAATTTTGGCGTCCTTTGAGCCCTTTTGTGCGTAGGCGTAGTCAGCATAACCTCTATAGGTTAGTGACTTAAAACGAGAGAAATCAATCAATCAGTCTACTTGCTTTGAATTCATTTAAGTGTGCAGTTAGTAGTCCTAGCGTTTCTTTGCTTTTTATTAGTGCAGGTAGCAAGTATTAAGATATACGTTAATTAATTAAAAATATAGGAAATATAGCTATATTACTCTAGGTTACGTAAAGTAGTATCTATATTCAGCATCACTTTTATACAGGTAAATGCATTCTAAGTTCTCTATAAAATTACACATTTTTCTTTTTTTCAACATGAATCGTCCACCGGATATGAAGGTCCGGAACTTTCTGAAGACGGATGATGTGAAGACAAAATTCTGTGAAGAGCTCACCTCTGCTCCCTCTAACTGTGTTCCACCCCTAAAAGGCCGCGGTAACTGGACGCATACGCTGAATCGAACACTTCGGCGTTCAACACAGGGGTAGGTAGTCCTTCGCCCTAGCGATGGGACGCTCATAGGGACTAGGCACAGATATGTACACCAGAAAATGCTATAATAAAAGCATGCTTTTATGAACGCTGCTGTTTTCTGACAGTGTTAGGCCTATGTTCCTCATGGTGAACTTCGAACTTGACGTGCCCGAGGAGCCGCTTCCGTCTTACCTAGACAAAAAAAGGGATCAGGGGGCAGGAATACACAGGGAGTAGTGAAATCCGAGCTACAATCTTAAGCTAGGTAAAACTGAGACTCATAAGGCAAGACACCGGTGAAAGCTTATGTGTTTTCCGACGAATTCCAGCAAATTGAACGGCTTCACCTGCTCTGGCGGAAGGTCAGTCTGAGTGACAGCGCATTCGAGATGCTTCCGCACTTCTTCCGAGTTCCATATTCGCCGCACCCCCTGATTTACCAATGGGTTTCTCTTGCTATTTTCCCAGCGTGCGACGATTATACCATTGAGGTCGGCGACGCAGACAGAGACTCGTGGTGTTGCATGGAGTAGATACCGGGCCCATACCTCGACTTCTGAAAGTAGTACCATCCGATTATCGCTAGCGCCGTGATAGGCAACGCGATGGCACACAAAAGCCAGGCCTTTTGGGAGACAGCAAATTGTTCGGATTTAGACTCGTTTCCCGGTGAAAAACTGAAGAACGGCGCCCCAAAGATAGACTAGTATGATTGATCAGCGCCTAGTAACTGGAGTGAAATTGTATGAACAATGCTTACGCAGACTAGTGTAGCAGGAAGACAGGCCAAAGTAAGGAAAGCAATTGTTCTCAGGGCCGTACTATCGATCAACTGTGACCTCCCTATCTCGAGAGATATACGGGTGTCATACTGGTTCACGCTGTTAAAGGACTAGGCAATGTTATCACCGTGCTGTGGTTAGCGGGAGAGAACTCTACTCACAAGCGTGATCTCGTTATTCATTCTGTCTTTGTATGCAATCGCGCGTATCTGCAAGTTCGACAGGATTTGTAGCTGATATTCCAGGGTGTATAGCGTTCCTCTTTTCATGTCTGAAAGGTTTCGATCGGGCGATTGAATGTTCTGGCTGATGTTTATATAATGATCTTTCATGCTCTTGACAGCGTCCACTGCCACTTGCAGATTTTCAGCGTGATGGAGCGCGTACCGCATTATCTCGTGGAGTTTTGGGAAATCGACTTCCGGAGCTTCTTCTTTCAGGGACGATACTTGCTTTGCAATCTGCAGAGGAGCAGCTTCCACCTCCTTGACTAAAGGCTGGAGATCCCAGACCGATGCGTCCCAGATTTCGATGACCGTGTGTAGCACGATGGGATGGCTCCAGTAAGGATTCCAGTGATTGTGTGGTACATCGCGGGCCATCAAAGCTTCTCGTATTCTCTTCTGAACCTGGTCTTCGATGGGTGCAAACAGCATTATGGACTGGCCAGATGAACACTAGTCAGTGAAGCACATGATCCGGCACCATACGAATTGTTTCGGATCCAGTGCCTTGATGAGGCCGCATTGCTTCAGCTGCTTGATCATATATCGATACCACGTTCCTTGGTAGTCTTCAGAATGTGCATAACCAATGAGAACACAAGGCGAACATACGGTGGTGTATCAGATGATCTGAGGAGTCGAAACGCGCGTCACAGCCAAAAAACCCTTGTATCCTAGATGAGACCTGACTCCAGAATGTGTCCGGAACTCCATATAGCGTTGAGAGTGCGCCACGCATGTCCGCGCTGGCGATCTCGTCCTCAGTGTTGTCATCATCGATCTTAGTTGATAGAAATCTAAACACGCAGTCAGCCACCACCTAATCTCTGTGGAAACAATGCCTACATGATAGTCGTCTTGGCTGCTGCCCTTTCTATCTTCCGCTCGTTGATCTTGTGCATTTTGTTAACATCAGGCAATGAGTGGAAGGAAGTACTCATCTGCTTAATGTCGGATGCATTGAGGGTTCGGGTTATCCATTCTTCCGCGCCCACTTTAGAGACCTGTCAGCAGACGGTCATCAAAGTAAAATTCTCGGAGAGGTAAGAATCACCTCTCTCTACTACTAGCACAGTATCCTCCGTCTGGACTGCAGTGACATCCTTCTCACTTTCGCTCATGATTGCGCATGATCTTTTCACTTAGGAATTAGCTACCTAGGTAGTTTCGCAGCTCTTTGCATATATGTCCGATGCTGATCAGCAAACCCACCCATGATTCATTCTCGGCAACATTCGATGATCATGCAACTAGGGTGGCCTACTCTTGATTGGCAGCCCAACTGCCAACTGGCCAATCTCTCACTTCGGTGATCGGTTCGCCGGCCAATTGTTGCGTTGAGTACATTCAGCTCTCAGCCTCTTGTCTTGGCTGCATAACCATAACCTGATGGGCTCACCATAACGAAATAAATGACCTTTATGCTCTGTCTAGGAAAGGCAATTGTAAACGAGCTCTTCCGACGCGGCTCCATGGACGAAGACTGCTCCGGTCCATGTGCGGCAAGTTTATCCGCCCAGCTTCTGATTCAAATGAGAAAGAAGCGGCCTGGTATTGATATCGCTGCGCTAGGCAGTCCCACCGAGGGTACAAGCTTTCGAGATGTCCGTAGCAACATGAAAAGAATCCGGCGCCTGCTCGACATGCTTGCGGACCGCGATAGCGTGTTCCTAGTATTGGATTCCCTGGTGCATTTGGCCGGCTCCGACGAGCAGACCTCCGAGGTCGTCAGATTCGTTTTCGGACTTATTGACGATTCTAGGCTTGTGGTTAAGATTCTAGCAACTGGTATCTTCTTGGGCCTGGTATTGGAGGCGATCAATCACACAACCTTGTTCCTTCCAGATTTTGTGGATGGAGGAAGCCAGGATATCAACCCGGCATTCTTCGAGGGCGATACTCTGCAGTCGATTGAAGAGTTTGAAGCGCAGAAGGAAGACGAACAGGATAGTACTGATGCTGCCGATGAAGAGAGCGAGACTGAATCGGAAGGGTGGGATTACTAACGGATGCCGAGTGTGTTTGTGGCGGAGTGCGATGAGGAATTGGACACTTGATGAGCAAACTTTGATCGTGCCAGTGAACATACAGGCGGCTAAGAGTGATGAGGTCGATGTTGCGGACGCGTCGTGCCGGTTTCATTTCGGATAGGTTGAGACGACGCCAAGACATGGTGACTAATATCTACCTAACCATAATTGCCTAACTAGCGATCGCTTACCAATGGCCTCACCGCCCCTTCAGCCTCAGGCACAAATTGACCATGACTACTAGCTCATCATCCAAAGCACCTGCGAACGACGAGCCATGGAAGCACACCGGATACCGCGACTTCACGAACTTTGTAGTGTCAGATAACGACTTCTTCGTTTTGCGGCGGTTCAGCAACCTTACAGCACGCGTCCTGTTGGCGCTTCAAGACGAGCTATCGCAGCAGGAAAATCAGCTACACACGCTTGAGGATCGGATTTGTGATTCGCTTGCTCCGGAAGTCCATAATGGTTCGTTTAGGTACGACACGTCGGAAGAGAGATCGGAGTTGATCAGGGAGATTGGACGGAAACTGCGAGCATATAGTGAGCTTCTCGAGAAGACTGCACATCAATTGCGTACACTGATAGCTTCAAGATGAACTAATTCTTCAACATTCTGACCTTCGCTCTCGCCCCAGGGTCCCCAGGCGAGATGTAAAAAGAGTCTCCAACTGGTTCCGTAACCACGAAGGCGCGATCCAAACCGAAGAAATGCAGTACATAACCCACGAATCCGACCTCTTCGCCGTAGCACTAAAAGCAAAGGCGCCACTACGGCGACTTCTTGAACGATCGTCGCGTTTCCGGCAATCAAGCTTGTGGAAGAAGGCGTCGAAAATACAAAATGAAAGTGTCGCGTACACTTCCGATTACAGGATTGATTTCTTCGTCAGCTTGATAAACACATTGCTGGGTATGACGATGCTGATTGCGCCGCTCTGGATTCTCGCATTCGTGGAGGATATTGTGAAGAGACTGGCGGTTATTACGAGCTTTTTGGTGTGCTTCCTTTGTTTGGTTACGTTTACGACGGCGGCGAGGCCATTCGAGAGCCTTGGGGCTACTGCTGCGTAAGTAGCCAAGAACACGGCGGGCCACCCCCTTGCTGATTGTGAATGTAGATACGCAGCTGTCTTGGTTGTCTTCTTGCAGGTAGCTCCTTGACCATCTCATGGGTGGTGGACGCTAGTATCTACTCGTCCGTCTGCTTGACGCGAAGCTCCAGACGTGCTGCCCACTAAATGCTAGGTTCGGCATAGTCTTGATTTGATGAAGGGCCGCGAGCGTCGTCTTGTCTGGATCTTTTAGTTGGCGGGCAACCTAATCATCAATTGTTAGATAGCCGCCGTTGCCATTGGAAGCGCAACTTACCCTCAGAGTCCTCTTCGTGGGAATACTGCATGATCTGTGGCGTCGGCGTCAATGACTTACGCTTGCTCGCCATGCTGGAACTTTGGAATCCAGCCACCGCCTTTGAGAATGTTGATGAGATGTCGAGCAAGGTGATATGCTTTGCGCCAAAGGACTCTTCGCTGCTAACGAGGGGGCTGAGATGTTTCGCTAGGTTTTTAGCATCCTCGGTCTTTACTCTCCGATAGAAGTTGAACCGGAGATCGATGTACTCGTGTCGCGGATCCCGCTTCACGCTCTGAACCGCCGCTTCCGGTTTGGGACCCACCACATTTAGAGGTGAAATCCAGACAAGACCATCTGCGAACTCATTTCTGCGCAGCAGCTCTGGGCTCTGAGTCTCAAGAAGGAGGGGATACTTTTTGATCTTCTCCACCAGAGTGATTGCTGAGAACGGGTAATCCTCTCGTAGTTCCTTCAGAGCCCACATCAGACCACTAGTGAAAGAACGCTCCCCAGGGCGCGGAGTTCGTTCTTTCTTTCCGCATGCCGCGATAAACTCGAAGCTGGGCCTAGAATGGCGGACCTTGAGTCCGCCTAGTCCTCCCGCCTCGCAGCAGTCAAAGATGACGAGGACATCCGCTTCAGTGGGAGTGATATTGTCCTCGGCGCCGGACCAGGCAATGTGATTTCTCGCTTTCTCGGCGTCCGTTTGCTGGCTTGTCGACCTAGAAATCGTCAGCGCAAAGAGCAGTTGCTGCGAGAATCTGGCTACCGTACGCATGCAAGTGTACACTATTGTCGCGATAACTACCATGACCAGCATAGTATATTATTAGAAGGGTGTACTCGTTGTCATGCTGATACATGAATTCGGATAAGAAGCAGTTCAGCTGGTGTTTGGGTCTTTTGTTGTCCAGCTTCTTCCAAGTGACGTCGAAGCCGTACTCGTCAGTAAACACCCGCTGCAGTTCGAATACCTAGAGACTCTTAGTAAAAGTACTCGCCTAACTCAGAAATCCAGTACATAGCGTACCTCGTCCTTTACTTGGAGGTCGTCGAGCTCGTCCTCCCATGACAGGAGAAGCACGTATCCATGGTCGTGATGGATTGGCTTATTCTTCATGTTGTCATCGAACGCTTTGCGGAACTCCTGGCAATCTGCTTGCAATCTTAGAACTTCGAGTGGCTCCAGGGGCGAAGCAGGGCTTTCATCTCGTTTCATTAGGTTCCTTCCTGTGTCGCTCCACGGAATTGCGGACGAGTCGATCTGCAGTTCATCCGTGGGCATAATTGTGGGCCGCGAAGATTTGTGAAAAGGGCTTTTGATGAAGTCAAGCAGTAACTTGGGATTTGTGTTCCTACGCATGCTAAGCCCGATGAATTTGCGGAAGCGGATAGGTCGACTATAAGATCCATGTCTCTCATGAGGCTGAAGGCTGAACGCATCCAAGCTGAATCGCATACGAGTCTCCTGCACCTTGGTATCCGCACCACCTCACCCGACCAAGCCCCAAAGGTGAGCAGACATCGAATGTACCTCGTGAACACCGGTTCGTCCCTTGCGGTTCGAATAGGCGAAGCGGAAGCTATTGCGTACGCCCGAGGCGTTGAGACGGGCCAATGGCCTTTCGCAAGCGCGTTTGGTCGGGTTAGAATTATTTGCTTTTCTCAGCCTTGTGGCTGTATCTATGGCTTTCGTCACTTGATGTTGAACGCCGATGACAAAATTTATCGAAAGCTTCAAAGGTGATCTTACCACTCCGAGTGTGGTTGGAGGTGGGTGAGAGCAGTTCCTCCCGTATTTATAGCCATTGTTTAGCTCATTGATTCGGGGTAGTTGCGAGGAATCCTTCCTACATCTCGAAGCGTCGTCACTATTCCCCAACATGGCAGAAACGCAGTCGAAGACAGCGGGAAACTCCACGGCCGCAGATCAGCAGCCATCTAAGAATACCCATGATCGCGAATCGGTGAGCGAGGATGATTTGCCGTCGGTCTGTAGAGGGTCTAACAATTCTAGCTCAGTGAACCACCAGAATGGCGGGCGAACGTCAATAATGACCCAGGTGCTATAAATGTGAGCCAAGTCCAAAAGAAAATAAATACCAATGCTGAAATAAGCCCAGCGGTCATGGCCTCAGAGATATCATAAAGGGGATACAGTATGGGTGAGGGGGGACAACACAGGCTGGATACAGGCCGAGGTCGTAAGCGTGCATCAGTCTGGACGCAGCTGGGGTTATCATCTAAAAGATGGAAACAAAAAAGACCTCTGGCAGGATTGCCCTACCCTCTTCCTGCAGAAAGAGTTATGGCCTAATTGAGGGCCACTGAGAAGTGCGGCAACGGACCGGATTTAAAGGTGGTGTGAAAGGCTGCAACCAAGGCTGATCTGTCGCTGGCTCACTATACGAACGGTGGCAAAACTTTATTCGTGTATAAGGGTAGTCTAGGTGTCGAGAACAGTTTCAATAAAATGTTTGTTATCTGCCGCTAAGGTCGATGACGGGTGAGCTTCAAAACGTCGAGAGAGCGCAAGAGGAAGGTGAGGCGGGACTCCAGGAAGGGCACGAGCCTCGTTCTAACCCCGCCTTTCCGCCCCTTCACACTAGCCTCACAGGGAGCACGGTAGCGCACTCACCGGAGAGTACGTATGCGCTTTGCAACACATCCAGATATCCCCTTAATTCGTCTCAGACAGCAAACCCCTCTCGAAATGGAGCTCGTTGGTGGAGCACATTCAGCATATACTACCTCGGAAAAAATACCACACACCCATTGTGACCGCCAGGTGTACGCTCTACATATTCCTGCGCATTCTTGAGCATGGCTTACTTAGTCCGCAGTGAACGACTTTCCGAAAGGATACCCGAACGTTGCTGCGTTCCTCGATAGTGACGACGGATTCACCATTTACAGACGCTTCGGGTATCTCCAAGCGCGTTTGCTCATGCAAAAACAGGAAGAGCTACGGCTGCTGGAAGAAGAACTCTATGATCTTGAGTGCCGAATGATCAACGAAGACGAGAACCGCCTATGCTGGCGGGACGTCCGAGGACAAGACGCTGAGAGACACCGAGATTTGATGAAAAAGATCGAATTGACGTTTTGCTCGTACGGTACTCGAACCCATCAGTAGTGTTTCGCAACTGGTTGGACTAATCCAGACAGCAAAAATCCTAACTGCGGCTCAGAAGATGAAGGCATTTATCAAGCCCTCGGATGACGAATGTGAGAGCGTCGGCAGATACTTAAACAATCGCACGGCCATCGACGAAGAAGAGGCGTCTTGGATCCACCACAGGGAGGACCTGGTCACTATACGAGCGGGCCGAGAGCATGCCTGGCTTGATAGCATCGTCGAGGGATTTCTCAAGACATGCCATTGCGGCCCGATCGACCTCCTGTTTCGTTCGAAGGTGCCACCCCATTTTCGTACTTCAATAATGGAGTTACGGCGCACTCTAACAACACTCCCTAGGAGACGCGTAAGAAGACCAAAATTGACCAAGGTAAAATCATGCCGGCAAGACCGCCGAACAACATCGACCAGTACGAGATATACTACACGCCGTCTCGCATCGCCATTCTCACCAATGGCATACTCACGATTTCGATACTCACGCTCCTGGTCCTCCCGATTTATCTGTTGTACCGCATGGTTCACGACTCTGGCGTCGAAAAGTCATACATGCAATGCATGGGCACACTCATCGTTTTCACGCTGGCGTTCTCATGCATACTTTCCTTATTCACGAAAGCACGCCGACATGAGATTCTTGCGGCGGCAGCAGGCTATTGTGCAGTTCTGGTGGTTTTCTTCGGAAACATTGACAGCTAAGCGACGTAAAATGATCATGGAAGATGACGATTGAGAAACTGGGTCAGAATGCAGACTGTGTCAACGAGAAGAACGATTGAAAATGCTTCACGGCTGTGACCAGATGAGGGTAATGCGACATAGGGCATTCTGATCTTCGTAGAAGTAGGCACACGCTGAACCTTAAAAGTAAGAAAATGTTCATTTTCTTACTTTTATGGTTTAGCGTGTACTGTGCAATCCACTTCTTCGCTCCGCATCAATATCCTCCTCGCCTCAACTGAAGCAAAGCCGTATACTTCGCTTGCAGCTCATTCCGAACCGCATGTGCATCGCGCCGTTTCCAAGACTTGATAGTTCGTGCTCGGCCTGGAACGGGAGCATTTCGAACGGGAATGCCATGCTCAACATCTTTACATATATACCATGTCAATGGATACCCATCATGCATGAGAATGCACATACCCTCTCTGCGATCAAGTGACCGTAACCGCCTTCGAAGGCGCGGCCACAGAAGACTAACTATGAAGCAGATCACAGTGGCGCAGACACCGAGGAGACTGAAGATTGCTTCTTTGGACCAATTCGAGAATGCGGCTGCTTTAGCATGTTCGATATGATAACCGCTGATAGTGAGGTTGTCTAGTAACTTTTGAGTATGTAGGGTGCGAGGCTGGGGACTTTGCAAGGCTTACGAGGATACGGCATCGGCATTGGTTAGGTGGAGCTTGGGAGTCTGGAGTCTGCGCATAGACGGGTGGGAAAGTTAGCTAGCGTAGCGTAATGCGCTGAGGAGGTTCGGGGAAGTCGCATTTGTATGTGGGCAACGAGGAGTGGCATTTTAAACTGAGCCACTCCAAAATCTTGACGAGATGGGGGGTCATGACATGGGACATCATGAGATGGGATGTCATGAAATGGGATGAAATGGGATAAAATGGGAAGGAAGGGAAGGAAGGGAAGGGAGGGAAGGGAGGGAAGGGAAGGGAGGGAAGGGAAGGGAGGGAAGGGAAGGAAGGGAAGGGAAGGTGGGGAAGGAAAGGGAATGAATGGGATGTAATGGCACACCGCTGTCAAGCCACAAAGCTGCATGGGTAGTGTATGCAGCAACACGTCAGGCGTCTCTTTACTTTGATTGGACCGAACAGCAGCGCTTGGCGGGCATGGGCAGAGGTCAGCCAATGACTGAGGCGCGCATCGGTGATTAAGCTTTTGATCTTACATCCGATGGCAGCTGGGTCTTGACTGGTTATTACTGTATATCTAGCCTACGAGGAGCTCGTGCATTTGTGGTACTGATTTCATTGGTTAGTGCCCCGTTCAGGCAGAAAATACGAACTCTAATGCGGGGTGTATAGATATTCAACCCGCATCTGCTTTTTCATCTTACACGCGATAGCAGGTGGCAAGGTGAGAGACTGCTGTTGATCGTTGGACCTTGGCCGGGGATGTTGAGCAAAGGAAGCGCACGCAGCTCCTTCACGACCTCGAACGCAGGTAGCTCTCCTTCGGGTAATGCCTAAGGCATCCGATTTCTAGCGTGGTGTAACTGATACGATGGTCTGCTATCGAAGCTGCATGTTTAGTAAGACTTGGCCCTAGGAGTGTTGTTATAAAGGCGTGCAACTTAAAGGCATCTGTAGAACATCTGTAAAGGCACCTGTGCCTACGTGAGGGTAAGTACGTGCCAAGCACAGCCTCTAACGTGTTGTGTTGTTCGTACCCTGAGCCCTGAGAGCTATCATTCGTCTGACGCCCTTCTCGGATATTTTTGCGAAAGGTTGGGCTAAGCTACCCCCTTTGGTAACTGTTCAGATCAGCAAAACCCACGCGACAGAGTCGTACCGTCTAGTCGAGTTGCGAACGGCCGCCGAAGAGAGAGGAATATCGTGCCTTGCCAGAGCCAGATTTCAATGAGTCTGTTGTGTTCGATTGCCCTCCGGAGGGAACGATGGCCGGCCTGTTGGTATGATGCTTGTCAACCCAATAACGTGGTGGCGCAAGATGGGTTTACCGCAGCGACTTGTGCAGATTCCTTTATACTTCCAGCAGGTGCTATTCTATCATTCTGACGGCGTATATTTCCCTAGCGTTTCCAGACCGTGAGAAGAGAGCATCGAAACCTAGACTGAAAGACCGGAAATAATTGGAGATAAAACTGCAGACTGTCCGAATTGCAAGACAGTTCAATGGAACCTTGGAATAGAAAAAATGATAATCGTACGCGCATGGAAGCTGTGCGCTTACATAAGCGCAGGATGGAAGGGGCACATAGCCGACATCCACAACTTACAAAGCCGCCGTAGTAGAGCACCATAAGCCAAGGACTGCTGGAAATGCATCCTGTTTTTTGTAATCAATGGCCTCGCTTTTAGAGGCGGACTGAGAAATCCACGCCGTCACGTGACTTGAGGCTAGGGGAGCCTCGGCGCTGAGATCTCAAGCAGCAATGTGACTCGATGCCGAAATTTTCCAATCCTATCGAAAAGCTCGAGGGGGATATTAGGGCGTGAGGAAAGAAAAACAGGATCCTTGGCAGTGGCCAGATTGCATTGGGCGAGCTCGAGTGGCTCGCGGCTCCCTCGTGGTGCAGAGCCGCATATGCATCTTTCTAGTAGTCGAATACAGCCACCGACGCCAGCTGCGACAAAAAGAAAACAGACATTCAAAGTCTATGACCCTCCCGACTTTTTGAGGCCCTGCCGTTATGCATCATGACGAAAAGAGAAATCAGCCGCCCGACGAGATGGGGTATGTCTTGCGTGAGTTTGGGGCCCTCGCCGCCGCAACCCCCAAACTCTTCATCTACCGATGCATGGTGCACCGGTCCAATGCATCCAGCAACTCTGGTCTATCCGCCAACGCCTGCTTTGCTTGCGAGTATGTAAACCACTGTCTCGACCGCTTGTGCATCTCGGGCCACTGGGTCTCCTGCTTCTCCACAGTGCCTTCGAAGAAATGGTACGACGCCTTCGGGGCCTGCGCGGTGAGCTGGCCGGCATTCCGCCGCTCGGGGATGAGGCCGAGGTCGTAGTTGATCTTGCATATAATGCCGGCCTCCTCCCAGGCCTCGCGCTTGGCCGCGTCTTGGGCCGTCGCCTCGTCCGTCTCCCATCCGCCTTTTGGGAGCACCCAGCCGCCGCGGCGCGTGGACTGGATGAGGAGCACGTAGTACTTGTCGGAAGAGAGCGGGACAATGCCTGCGACCAGGCGCTCGCCTTGGGAGCCGTACCCTACAAAGGGGTTAGCGTGTGAATAGCACTAGGATGAAAATTTAGGGTAGATATGGGCTTCCTGCTGCTGTGCGGACTGCAAGTCTGCTTCTTCAGGGCACTTACGCTGGTTGGTGCGGCCGGTGCGGGATTGCATGGGCAGCTGCTGGGAGGCGGCCATGGTCGATGCGGAGGTACCTTCAAAGAGCGGCTTGGGCAGGGAGGGCGCCACCAGCGCGCGGTGCGGCGTGCTCAACGCGACAATCGGGGAGTTCAAGGAGAGGCAGGGCCGGCGAGCAGAAAGGGGCGTGAGCAGAGGAGATGAAGCCGAGCAGACAGCGGCGACGGCGGCTTGGGGGGACTGCTCGGGCGTGAAGGGGACAAGGGGAGCTTGCGGGCGGAGGGGCTGCGCTCAGTCCCGCGGGGGACGGGGCTGAGGATGCTGGAGGGACCTGCGCAGTGGGAGGAGAGAAAACATCGTGGATCGTGTAGGTGTTTTAGGTGATTCGATCAGGGTCCCGTAGCAAAAAATGTGGGAGAGACTAAGGCCGCGGCGGGCTCACCACGGGCAGCGTCACTCGAGGCGCGACCCGACTGGCGCGCCAAGGCGAGCGCAGAGCAGCAGCGGCCGGGGTGCCTGCTATATACGCGGCGCATCCAGCAGTCGCGGCGACGCTTCGAGGGCGGATAGGCGCTGCTGCCAGCGTCGGGCTGCGGTCCTCGCGCAAAAGACGCCTGCCGGGCCTTTGCGCCGCCGTGCAGCGTGCCAGGCGCGCACTCTCGCCATGACGTGGGTGCGGCAGCCCGCCATGGGTATTTGAGCGCCCGAATCGCCCAGTAGCAGGCGCACCCTCGCCCTCGTGAAGACGCAGATCCGATATCTGGACCGCTGCCTGCTGCGCGGTGCTACCGCCGCCGCACAACGCCCTCAGCTCTCGGCCGGCCCCCTTCCTCCGCCGAGCAGCGCGCCCTCTCCGCCGCACGCCAGACTGTCATTCTGCGCTGTCAGAGCAGCCTTCACTACTACACGGCACTCCCTCTCAACGGCTCCCTCGTCCCTCCGCCGCTCCGTCCGCCAGACCCTCGCGACACCACTCGCGCTGCTCCGCCGGGGCTGCCCCCACCGCCTCCGCCCGCTCCCACGCTTATGCTGCCTTCATGCAGTCCCTTGTGACGCCCTTCGGTATGTCTTGCTCCAACCATCTCGCTCGCTTGGGGCTCGTGCCCGCCTGGCTGGATAGCGACCTCTCCGGCTACTTGCTCACGACGGACCACGCTCTCCCGATGCTGGAGTGTCTGACACGGCGCTAATGGTCTCTATCATACCCAGGCTACAGCGCTGAGAGCTGCGGGTACTGCAAAGACGCCTCGACCGGCCGCCGCACGCCGAATTCTCGTAAGTGAAATGCTCGCCTTCATCTCCGCCGTCAGCACCGCATGCATGGCTTTGGAAGGCCCGGCACGAATAGCACGACAGCAATTGGCGTCAATTGATTGCCTTGATTGGGTAAACCCGACCTCCGCATTTCTCTTGATGTTCTGTTAAGGTTGGCCGCGTTCACGTGCGACATCCGCATGAGGACATACAGGCCTATCAATAGCGACTGTCCCTGCACCGAAGCACACGGCGCCAAGCCCCGTGCGGAGATCTCAACGTCAATTTGTGTCGGTCACCGCCTCCATGAGACGGTCGCGAGACAGCGCATCACCTCGTGTTTGGGCCGACATGTCGGTTGATTTTCGCTGCGCTGCCCCCGTCGTCTTGCGTCCGGCGGAAGAACTCGGAAGGCGGTCAACTCCGTTACTGACCATCGTTACATAATCAGGAGCGAGCTACTACTTTTCGTCCAAGAGCCTGACTGTCGAAGTGTATCAGGGTCTGGTAGATCGAGGCTGGAGACGGTAATCTCGGCCCGCCGCTGCACGACATTCCCGATCTGCGCACGGCTTCGGCACGGCATGTTAGTGCGCTGTATTGCTTCTGCTAACAACCGCCAGATCCGGCACTGTCTTCTACAAACCGGATGTCCTACGGCACTGTTGTCCCCATTACACCATACGGTCAGCCCCCAGCGGCTTCAGCCGAGTCATGGGCTAACTGTGCCCTAGCCTCCCCGCCGCCTCCTTTACGCCGGCCAAGGACCAGAGACAAGCAGTGAATCGGTGGAATAGGTTCGTCCTTGGTGATGAATATCTTAGAGAGGCCGCGAGACTGCATCCAAAGTCCAAGGAGTCAGTACATATTGGCTTTTCCGACGACCAAGTACTCATTAGATCTAGGGAGAAGGCCCGGCAGCGAAATACGTTCGATCTGATCACTGCGGTCCATGAGAGCGAATACACGAACGTAAAGCGACCACCAGAGCCTGGTACGTGGCGGGGTACACACCATGCTGTCCTAGCACGAAATCTGGAGAGCCCCTCCTGAAGGCCTTCAACACCTTTAAGGAATCTACTAACGTGTATCGCCACGCTCGCAGCACATCGCTTCGAAATAACTCTCGAACCCGACACCTTTACACCGGAGAAATACGAGCTCTTCCACAACTACCAGCAGCATGTCCACCACGAGAAGCCCTCCGAAATATCCGAGAATGGCTTCAAACGCTTCCTGTGCGGCTCGCCCCTCCGACGCAAGACCGCTCAGAAGGACGGGAAACCGCAACCTCTGGGGTCACATCATCAATGCTATCGATTAGACGGTCGATTGATTGCTATGGCCGTCCTGGACCTTTTACCACACTGCGTCAGCGGCGTTTACTTCATTTACCACGCCGACTTTGAGAAGTGGAGCTTTGGGAAGTTGAGTGCTCTGCGAGAAACAGCTCTAGCATTGGAAGGAGGTTACCAATACTACTACATGGGTTACTACATCCATTCATGCGCCAAGATGCGGTACAAGGGCGAATACCGGCCACAGCATGTGCTAGACCCTGAGAGCTACGAGGTACGTAGGCCGGAGTACGCAGTCCGCGTGTTTGATTTTCCCACGTAGAAACTTAATCTTGAGGGTCTTGGCGAGTTAATGCTGGAGAGGTTGCTAACATGGCCCGTGCGCAGTGGAACCCGCTAGACGGCGAACTTCGAACGCTGCTCGATAGGAAGACGTACGTCTCCCTCTCGCGTGAGCGGCGACGAAAGGAACTTAGTGTGAGTCCGCAAGATACCGCGAAGGCCTTTACGCTGAGTGTGCGCTAGTTGAAGGATGAGGGCTTGAACGAACCAGCTGTAAGTGCACACGTCTTGGAAGGGCCCCATGCTGAACCGGCCCTAGCGAAAAGATGCCAAGTCCGATGAAACTTTTGTAAGTACCCGAACTACTCCTGAAGACCCCTAAGCTCACTTTTCTCTAGCCAGACGAGGCAGGTGTTGACGATTTCTCCGATTACCCTTTGCCCAGCGCCTCCGAGGCTGGAGAAGCCATAATGGACGGCACGTCGCTTTTTGACCTGAAGATCCCTGGAGTGATGACCGCGGAAGAAGTCGAGAATGATTACGAGCTCGACCACCAGCGTTTACAAGCTAGGGGAAGGCTATTCGAGGCAGATGTACGACATCGTCTCCCGATCTAATGTTGAGCCATCCACTGACTGAAAGCAGGATCTGATGGCCTGGGAGAGCGGCGACATCCGGGATCCTAAATCACTGAAGGGTATCATTGCCGAGCTCGTTGCCTGCCTTGGAGCCGATGTCGCGAGGCAGGTGGTAGTGTCGTTTAGCTGAGTCTGTGGATGTTAGAGTAGAGTCAGGGTAGCGAACCCCTTCGGGATGAGCTACTTCGATGCGGCTCCACAATTAAGGAAAGCATCTGAAGACCTCGAAGCCCCATGATCATCAATTGTGCTATGTACCATATTGGGCAGCCCTCCCGTGGGCACGCAGTGGGGCGATGGAAGAGGCTAACCGCAATTGGAATAGCCTGACGTTGAGGCCAAGCGGCGACCGGGCCAACAGAGCTCAGGCCTCAACACCAAATCTTTTGTAGATCCCCAGAGTTCCGCAAGCATTCCGCAAGCACAACAATGGCTTCGTCCACCATTTCGCTCGTTGTGCGCCCCCGTGGTACGTGCAATTCCTCACATTTCAGTCATCTACAGAATTGACCGACATAGGCCGTCCGATCAAGAACCTGCCCGAGACCATCACCGTCAGCCCGCAAGACCCTTCTGCGCAGATCTTTCAGAAGATTGCGGACGCCTCGAAGTTCTCGCCCCATCGATTGAGGATTACAAAGGGCAGCGATGGGACGCCAATCCCCAGCACCGGTGAGGTGACGGTGCACGACACCGGGCTCAGAAACAAGAGCGCAGTCGACGTGAAAGACCTTGGTGTGTACTCTGCCTTTCACAATACCATTCCGTAGCTAATGTGCTTGCGTCAGGACCCCAAATCTCATGGCGTACCGTCTTTATCGTCGAATACCTCGGCCCGCTTCTCATCCACCCTCTCATGTACTACGCCCGACCGTTGCTCTACCGCACGTCCGACCCACCCTCGGAGCTCCAGAAGCTCTCTCTGATACTGGTGGTACTGCACTTCTTGAAGCGGGAATATGAGACGTTCTTCGTGCACCGCTTCTCGGCTGCCACAATGCCTGCACGCAACATCTTCAAAAACAGCGGATACTACTGGCTGTTCTCGGGCGTAAACATGGCCTTCTGGACATACGCTCCTTGGGCACAGACCGCGCGTCCCTCTAACCCGCTCCTGACGTACCTTGGCGTTGCCCTCTTCACAATCGGCGAAGTGTGCAACTTCATCACCCACGTCACACTCAGGAACCTGCGCCGCCCAGGCACCACCGATCGGGGCATTCCGCAGGGTCTAGGATTCAACATGGTCACATGCCCCAACTACATGTTCGAAACACTGTCGTGGGTTGGGGTCGCACTAGTCAATTGGAGCCTTAGCACGGTCGTGTTCATCATCATGGCAGTGGCACAGATGGGCGCGTGGGCCAAGAAGAAGGAGAAACGCTACCGTCAAGAGTTCGGCGACAAGTACAAGAGGAAGCGATACGGAATCCTGCCAGGCATCTACTAGATGCGAGGCTCGCTAGTGGCACAGTAGGAGGCATGATTGGTTTGGGGTCGACTGGTTGGGCTGGCTAGTGATCAATCCGTGATGGAGCTTAACAGTTCAGGGCTGAGTCAAGGCATACTCAGGGCAAGGCGACGTGACACATTGATAGCGCTCTGCTTCGGCCCGCCTGCCCCACCACCATGTCCCCCAGTAGCATGTCGGCGACTGGCCAGAGCAGAGATCATACAGCGGCTTATCGCAGTCGTTTTGTCGTACAATGCGTACGCCGCTTCCGCCAACACGGAATATCTAATAGCAACAAGTATTGACCAATTCAACCCATGATCTGTGGTTTCCCCGCGTGCGACGGCTCGGCCCAACCGAGAATGTCCTGCATGTGTACGCGCGAGGCCGCAAGCCACGGTTCCTTCGTAGGTTCAACCGACCGCTCCTGCGGTCTGCATCACACGATCTCGCCTCATAGCGACCTGCCTTCTTTCAGGCACATCAGGCAGCGGTTAGCCTAAGCCTCTTACCTAGCTGAAGGCGGGCCAATTCGTCCTCCGGGGACCCCAACATTTGCCAGAAGCGGAGCGCAGTTCGCGCGGCAATGTGTCTTCTTCGCCAGCTGACCGCTAGACCAGCTGTCGGTCGTGGTGTTCTCTTCCAGTGCAGTGGTAATTCGGGGGCGCTGATTGGCGCGCAGCCGATAATTGGCGGGCCGAGGCGCGGGGAGCTCAGCTCTTGGGCTGAGCGGGAGGCGGAGGGTGTTTGATATCGCCTGGGACACGACGGACTTCAGCCGCACATGCGTAGCCATCTCTTCGTCCTTCAGAAGGGGAGGGATATAAGAGGGGTGTGTGTATGTGTGCCTGGCGGGACGTTTTCTGATAGCTTATCGGTTGAAACCGTAGTCCTTCTACGTGAACGGCCTCGCTTCGTATTTTGCTTCTGCTTTCGGCTAGCCGGCTATTTTTGTATCGGCGTTGCCGGCCCCCACGATTACAGCCTTGCGCATCGTTGAAAGCCATTGAAGGACAGGACTCTTTCTTGGAAGCTTGAGAGGTTCTTGTGATTTCGTCTGGCAGCTCACCTTGTAGCTCACCCGAGACGAGCGCTATTTTTAAGCTAGTTCTAGTGTGGGGTTTAAATAGGTGTAAGTCGTTCGATTGTCTCCGTCTCTGCCAGGCCGTCTGTTGCTCCTCTACACATTCCTCCCATCTTCTCGTTCTAAAGCGTCTGAGTTGGTGTTCTTTCCTATCTCCGTTGCGCTCTGCGTTCATACATGCCTTCCCTTTCATGAGATCGTACGATTAGATTCCGTAAGCGGAAAGCGCCACGAACACTCCCAATACCTTGCTGCACCACTCCTCCTCCTCCTCCTGCAATCCTACAAGTTCCATTAGTACGCTCGACTGGTGATTCTAGTTACGTTAAGCCACAGGTTCCAGTTAACACCCTACAGGACCGTTTACATCATGTCCAACTCAACATCATGGAAGGATCACGTCGACACCCGAACGGGCATCACGCCTCCAAGAGCAGACGACGTGTCTGAGCTCGACAAGCTGCGAAAGGAACTCTCGGCACCCTTCAAATCGTTCGCCAAGCTCCTCGGTGCTGCAAAGGCGCCCGTCCCGGATGACACCGGAGATGGCTCGAAGCTGCCGCCAGAGGAGAAGAGCGCTCTGTACAAGAAGATCGAGGGCGATCTTCGGGACCTTCCAAATCTCGACATTTCGGATATCAAGACCTTGATCGAGATCCAGGCGAAGAAGATGTCAGGAGAGGCGATTGACGACAAGACGTACCTCATGGAGGGCTTGATCCGGACCGCAGCAAAATTACCAGATGGCTCGAAGAATCGCGATAAGCTGACGCATCAGTTCCTGGAGCAGCTATGGAATGACTTGCAACATCCCCCGCTGTCTTATTTGGGCGCGAAGTACCAGTATCGGTCTGCTGATGGCTCATTCAACAGCCTTGTGCATCCGCAGCTCGGAGCCGCCGGCACGCCGTATGCAAGAACAGTCAAGCCGGCTACGATGCAGACACCCGCACTTCCGGACCCGGGCGTCATTTTCGACAGTGTCATGACGAGGAAGCATTCTGGATTGCATCCGAATCGTATTTCGAGCGTGTTGTTCTACATCGCTTCGATTATCATTCACGACTGCTTCCGCACAGATCATAAGGACTACGCGAACTCGATGACTTCGTCGTATCTTGACCTCGCGCCTCTCTATGGCAGCAATCAGGAAGAGCAGGATCAGATGAGGACAAAAGTCGCCGGAAAGCTGAAGCCTGACTGCTTCTCTGAGGCGCGGCTGCTTTTCTTCCCTCCAGGCGTCGGCGTGTTACTGGTCATGTTCAACCGCTTCCACAACTACGTCGTGGAGAACCTTGCCCTTATCAACGAGCAGAACCGCTTCCCCAAGCCAACTCCGCCAGCGGACCCCAAGGACGAGAAGGCAGCAGAAGCATACAAGGCCAAGCTCGCCAAATATGATAACGATCTCTTCCAAACGGGTCGACTCATTACCTGCGGCCTTTACGTTAACATCATCCTCATCGACTATGTCCGCACCATCCTGAATCTCAACCGCACGGATAGCAACTGGCAGCTAAATCCCCGCGCTGAAATGAAGAACGCGCCGATGGGCGTAGGCAATCAAGTCTCTGCTGAGTTCAATCTGGTATACCGATGGCACTCTACTATCTCGGACCGCGACGAGAAGTGGACGAAAGAAATGTGGAATGGTCTGTTCGGCAAAGGTCGCGACCCGAAGTCGGTCGATGCTATGGAGTTTCTAATGAAGCTGAACGAGGTATACAAGAAGACGGACAAGGATCCTTCGAAGCGCGGCTTTGCTGGCTTGAAGAGGAATGAGGACGGAACGCTGCCAGATCAGCCACTCGTTGATATCATGGTGGACAGTATCGAGGACTGTGCGAATTCTTTTGGACCGAATCGCGTTCCGGACGTCATGCGCGCCATTGAAGTTCTCGGTATCGAGCAATCGCGTGCCTGGAATCTGGGGTCTCTCAACGAATTCAGGAAGTACTTTGGTCTGGAGCCACATCGGACTTTTGAGGATATCACTTCGGACAAGTACGTCGCCGAGCAGCTCAAGCATCTCTACGACACTCCCGACAAGGTGGAGATCTATCCCGGCCTCGTAGTCGAGGATGCAAAGATGCCTTTGGCTCCTGGCTCCGGCCTCACGCCTTCATACACCGTCTCACGAGCAGTGCTTTCTGATGCGGTTGCGCTCGTGCGGGGTGACAGATTCTACACACTAGACTACAACCCACGCACCCTGACAAACTGGGGCTACCGCATCGCCGACAGCGACCTCGGCGTCGACAACGGCTGCGTCTTCTACAAGCTCTTCCTGCGTGCCTTCCCGCAGCACTTCGCCCAGAACAGCGTCTACGTGCACTACCCGCTCACCATCCCGTCCGCTATGAAAGTCGCCCTCAACGACATCGGCAAAGCCCACCTCTACAACTTCGACAAGCCAACATACACACCGCATCCACACCTCGTGCGCGATTACAAGACAGCCACTGAAATCATGAAGAACAAAGAGGAGTTCAAGGTCACATGGGGCCAAGCCATGGAGTTCCTCATGGGCGGTCCAGCGAAAGACTTCATGCTCGCAGGCGACGGCCCGAAGAACGCCGTCTCGCGCGACATGATGAAGAAAGCGCTGTACGTCAACGACTGGGAGAAAGAAGTGCGCACTTACTACACCGCCAAAACGCGCGAGCTCCTTGCAGAGAAGTCCGCAAAGATCGCAAACTTCAACCAAGTCGACATCATCCGTGACGTCGGCAACCTCGCCCACGTGCACTTCTGCTCGGAGCTCTTCATGCTGCCGCTCAAGACGGACGAGCGGCCGCATGGCGTCTTCACCGAAGCGGAACTCTACCTCCTCATGTCTGGCGTGTTCGCGCTTATCTTCTTCGACGTCGATGTCGCGGGCAGCTTCCCGCTGCACGTGAAGTCGCACGCCGCCACGCAGACCCTCGGGAAGTTAGTTGAGAAGAACGTCGAGGCTATTGCGAGTAGTGGGTTCTTGTCGTCCATTATGCAAGCCGTCTGGCCCAACGAGTCCGCGCTCAAGAGCTACGGCATCCACCTCATTCAGCGGCTGCTGGATACCGGTATGGACCCGGAGAAGCTCGTGTGGGGCCATATTCTGGGTACGGCGGGCGGAATGGTGAGTAACCAGGGGCAGCTGTTCGCTCAGATTATCGAGTACTTCATCCTCGGCGAGGGCAAGGAACACTGGCCTGCCATCCAAGCTCTTGCGCAGAAAGACACAGACGAGGCGTTTGAGAAACTGATGCATTATGTCATGGAAGCTAGTCGTCTGAACGGCGAGACGGCCGTCCTGCGCTCTGCGGCCAAGGATACCACGCTCACCGACGGCGGAAAGCCGATCCCGCTCAAAGCAGGCGAACGCGTCTTCGTCAACTTGCGCGCGGCGTCGCACGATCCGACAATTTTCCCTAACCCGGACAAATTGGATCCTTCCCGCCCCATGGACTCCTACATACATCTCGGCTACGGCCCGCATCAGTGCCTTGGTCTACCCATGACACGCGTCGCGCTCACGGCGATGGTGAAGGAGGTTGCGAAGCTGAAGGGCTTGAGGCCTGCGAAGGGTATGCAGGGCCAAGTGCATAAAGTGAGCAAGGCCATGGAGAAGGGAGACAAGTACCCGTATCATGCGTACTTGACCGAGATGTGGGACTCTTATTGGCCATTCCCTTGTGGTAAGTTCTTGCACTACTTGTGGTGGCAAAGGCGGATGCTGACATGTTTATAGCCTTGAAGGTGAACTGGGATGATTAGGTTTATGGGGCGTGTTGACGGCACTGGATGCTGGGCACGCGTAAGACATGTGTGGGTGGTGTAAGCCGCTGCGTCGGTGCGGAAGATGGTCTATGGGAAAATTAGTGTTCAGTATACACGCCTTGAAAAGGATGAGAGCTCCGCACTTTCTCGGCTAGATTACTTGTATTTCATCCCACCGAAGCAATGCAACACTGCCAAGTGGCTTCTAGGCTTGTATGCATCATACCAACTGCTCTAATACGACCGCTTAACAGGCGGCACACTCGCACACTCCCTCTCATCCAACGTCTCCATCCTCACCGCTCTCGACCCATACCTCACCTCCTCCCCCACCCCGCTCTGCCACGTCAAACTATGCCTCAACCACTTCCCATCATCCCTCTCCTTATAATCATCCCGCGCATGCGCGCCCCTGCTCTCCGTCCGCGTCAGCGCCGCCTTGCTCGTCTGCACCGCATTCGTCAGCAAATTCCGCAGCTCGAGCGTCTCGATCAGGTCGGAGTTCCAGATCAGCGATTTATCAGCCACGCGCAGGTCGTGCTTGAAGCGGGACTCGAGGGCCTGGAGTGCGGTGTGCCCGGTGGAAAGTGAGGAGGCGGTGCGGAAGACGGCCGTCGTGGTTTGCATGGTGCGCTGCATGGCGGCGCGGAGGGAGGCTGTGCTGGAGGAGCCGGAGGAGGAGAGGATGGTGGAGAGCTCGTCCAGGGAGGAGAGCCCGATTGATGGTGGGGAGGGGTGGTGTGGCGCCGAGGGCGGGTTGTTCGAGGCGATGTGTAGGGCGGCTGCTCTGCCCTATCCGGCCCGTTTTATCAGCATCTCTACTGTCGTTCCGGAGAGAGGAGAGAGGGGAAGAAAAGCGACTTACAAACACCACAATATCCAGCAGCGAATTCGCCCCCAACCGATTCGCCCCATGCACACTCACACACGCCGTCTCCCCCGCCGCATACAACCCCTTTACCACGCTCTCCTCACCATCTTCACCACCATCCTTCCTCACATCCAGCACGCGCCCCCTGAAATCCGTCGGCACGCCGCCCATGCAGTAATGCACCGTCGGCAGCACGGGGATCGGCTCCCGCGTCACATCGACGCCCGCAAACACCATCGCCGTCTCCGCGATCCCGGGTAACCGCTCCATGATGACGTCCCGCGGCAGGTGCGAGAGCTGCAGGTAGATGTGGTCTTGCAGCGGGCCGCAGCCGCGCCCGTGCAGGATCTCGAGGTTCATGGAGCGCGAGACGACGTCCCGCGAGGCGAGGTCTTTGGCTGTGGGTGCGTAGCGCTCCATCAAGCGCTCGCCGTGCGCGTTCAGGAGGTAGCCGCCTTCGCCGCGGGCGCCTTCGGTTATGAGGACCTGTGGGCGCTAGGTGTTAGAAGGATGTCGTTGGGGGTGGGGGGATAGCGTGGTTTGGAGGGGGAGGGCAGACGTACGCCAGCGCCGTAGATCCCTGAGGGATGGAATTGTACGAACTCCATGTCCTGGAGAGGAAGGCCTGCGCGGGCGACCATGGCGTTGCCGTCCCCGGTACTAGTGTGCGCCGATGTGGCGCTGAAATATGCGCGTCCGTAACCTATGAAGTATCAGTCTTCCCCCCTCTCTCTCAAGAACGAATCCACGTACCTCCCGTAGCCAGCACCGTATTCCGCGCAAACACGCGATGCGCCGTCCCATCCTCCAGACTCACCGCCGTAACCCCGACACACCTGCCCTCCACCATCATCAAATCCAGCACAAACCACTCGACGAAGAAGCGCACGCCCTCCTTCAAGCTACGCCCATACAGCGTGTGCAGCATAGCATGCCCCGTGCGATCCGCCGCGCACGCCGTCCGGTACGCCTGCCCGCCCCTGCCGTACTCGAGCGACTGGCCGCCCAGCGCGCGCTGGTAGATGGTCCCGTCAGCGGTGCGCGAGAACGGCAGGCCGTAGTGCTCCAGCTCGAGCACCGCGGGCACGGCTTCGCGCGTCATGTAGTGGATTGCGTCTTGGTCGCCGAGCCAGTCGCTGCCTTTGACGGTGTCGTACATGTGCCAGCGCCAGTCGTCGGGGGTTATACTAGGGGTTGGTGTTAGCTTGTGGGTTCGTTTCTAATTAACCTAACCTTGGGGCGGGGTGTTGAGGAGGAGGAGTATGGAAAGGACGTACTTCCCCAGCGCGGCATTGATGCCGCCCTGAGCGGCGACTGTGTGTGATCGCGTGGGGAATAGCTTCGATATGCATGCCGTCTTTAATCCTGCTTCTGTCAGGCCGACAGCGGCACGGAGTCCTGCGCCGCCTGCTCCGACGACGATGGCACTGTGCTGCGTCAGACGTAGCCATTGAAGACGCATGCACCACATACTCGTAATAGTGATCAACAACCGCAATGCCCTTGACATCTCTGCCTGAGCCTGCCGCTGATGCATATCTCCGACGCTGCTGTTCCGGCCAGCAGCCCCGCGGTACCCTCAAGAACGCACTGCGGGCGCCAAATCCTCCACGCCTGAGCGCGAGCGCGACCACTCGCATCTTTTTCAACGAGGCGCGGAGAGAAGGGAAGGATAGAGGACATGCTTCCTGCTGGAGGAGATCTGGGAATAAGAAAGAGACTCGCACTAGCTCAGGTACGCTGTCGGTGTTGCCCCTCTCTTAACTCCTCGGCTTTCGACTCGTCGGGAACTAGACCTATACTGTACTGTACCACCTTTCTCGCACGTCTTTGGCGAACTAGCAAAGAATAAATCCATGTTGTTCGAGAGGAAGATAAGAAGCGGTCACGGCAGGGAGAGATGAATATATGGAACTCTTGAGAGCAGACAATATTCCCTGGACTCGATGTTTGAGCGGGGACGCGACGTCAGAAAGCCAGCCATGACTCGCGCGTAGCCGACAGCACGACCGTGTCAGCCAACCGGGAATTACCTGATTAGCAGCGGCAGCTAACCAACCAGGACAGGGGGAAGGGAGCAACTCTATCCACACTCCGCAACCTCCCCACCCAAGACCACCCAACAGACCTACCCTCATATGAGACCCCACGTGAGTCAGCAAAGTCGATATTACACAATGACACACACACATCGGAAGCTGCGGCACCCGTATGGCTAACCACTCTAAAGATTTGGAATTTTCTAGTGTATTGTGTAACGTAACCGCACGCACTCAATATGCAGCAGGCTAATTAATCTATACAATCTTGAACAGCCCTGCCTGCCATCCAAACGAAAAACCGACCAGAGCCGGTGGCTAGTTCTGCGCAGCCGGAAACTAGCCGGGCGAGAATCAGAGCGACTGGTTGAATTGTACAAACAACATGCGGAAAAAACAAACACCTGGCAACATGCAAAAACACTGCGAAATGAGCCGCAGCCGCACATCGAATGCTGGCCCTTACATGGGCATGCCCTCCATTCCGGGGAGCTCGGTCATCCCTATGCGATGTTAGCGAGAAAGAAATGGAAGAAGGGTAGGTAGGGAGAAACTTACAGCCCTCACTATCCTCGTGGACGCGGCTGGGCACGACGCACGCATTCCCGACGCTGGGGTCCTGCGTCTTCAGGCTGCCGCAGTTGGCGCCCATGCAGCCCTTGCCGTCGTCCATGGCCTTCTGCAGCGAGTCGTCCTTCCAGCCGAAGACGTAGTCGCCGTGCTGCCCGTAGCCGGTGTTGTCCCCTGTGCTGAGGAAGAATGGCTGCGAGCCTGTTCGCGCACAATGATTAGTTCCCTTGCATTTATGGAACTAGAACGGAGGATACGTACCGTCGGCCGGCCAGTCAGCCTGGTTGTTGAACGCAGTCGTGTCCCAGACGATCTCGAGCATGACCTGCGGGATGCGAACCGGGTGCGTCGACGGGCACGCTCCGCCGGTGCCGGTGCCAGAGAACGCAGCAGGCCCGCCCGTGGGATACGCAACGTGGGCTTTGTGGTCGGGGCTGTCGAGGTTCTTGCCGTCCCAGCACGTCGGGTAGAGGATGTTGGAGCGGATGCCGCCGGGGCAGGCCTTCGTGGGCAAGCCCTCGGTATCCAGGGTGGCGTCCTGGCAGGGGGCCGCGTTGTCGCCGCCGAAGTTCTTTGCGGTGTAGCAGCGGAAGCAGGTCTGTGTCTTCCTGCCCGCGCTCTTGCGGTTGTTGGCATCGCCCGTGAGCATGCGGAAGCCCTGGAGTTAGAGTGAGCAAAGGCTTTCGGGTGCATTATACATTGCGGCTTACGGGCTTGAAGGCGGTCATCTGGCCCTTGACGCCGACGTAGTAGACGACGAAGCCGCCCTTGGTCTTGCCCGTGTACTTGTCGTTGAAGAGGTCTCGGTTGGGGACCTGGGGCACGCGTCGGAAGGTGCCGTTGCGCGCCTTGAAGTATAGGTTGGCGGTCCAGTAGTTGGAGAGCTAGATCTTTGAGTCAGCCAAGCCGAAAGAGGAGCATATTGGCACCGCCCAAGCCCGCCCGATGTCGCCATCGCAACTTGGATGCGTGTGCCATGCTTTACGTACATCCTCTGAGTAGCCGCAAGTAGTGCAAGTCGCGAGCTTGCTGATATCAGTCGACGCCATGGTGATATTGAAAGCGTTTCCGCCCGCAACTTGATGCATATGCGGCGACGGAGCCACGCCCGGGTTAACGAGAGGATCGATGCGGTCGATGACGGTTTGGGCGCAGCCAAACCGCAACATGGTGTAGCTCTGGCCGCCTCCAAACTGGGGCAGGGCCTCGGCGGCCGCTACCAAGGTAGCGAGAGCGGACAACTTCATCGTGGATGATGCGAGCGAAGAAACGAACTTGACAGCACACGAGGGAGCGAAGGGATGGGGACGCAGAGCTCGAGGTACACGCCGAGAGGCAGCACTTTAATACGGATGGGGCATGGTAGTACGGACGCGTACTTGGTGCTTGTTCGAGCTTGTCTTCAACTGCCGCGAGTCGCTAGATTGTAGAGTGGTAATTAGGATTAATTCGTTGGTATACACCCATGCTGAAATACTTAGCTGGCCGCACGGCCATTGGCCCCCGTGTAATATCCATCCCCGCAAAGATCGCCACTGCCTTCGCGAAGCATGGTAACCGTGCAAGGATGATTTCGCGGGGGCCCCTTGGATACCTTCCGGATTGAGACCTGTGGAGGGCATCTATAGGATGCTGGAAGATGAAGCCATGTACGGAATCGTAGGCACCCATGCGGCTTCGTGTCGGACGGATGGAGCTGGACCATGGCGGGACCTTGTGACCATGGTTGTTGAGCCAGTCGGCACCTTTGACGACGTGGGACGGGCGCTAGAGCTGTCCATCCCACGAGGATGTTGGTGGTCGTTCGACCAGTTTCGTGGTCGACGAGGTACTTCCAGAAGGCAAAGGGAACAAGGAGCAAGATTGCCCAACCGCCACGTCGACCCGGTCTTGGGCAGAAACCGCGTGCGATTCGTAAGACGGGGCGTTCGAGACACATGCTGTGTCCAGCCTTCTTCTGAGCCTCATCACCCAAGTTCAATGTGGGACTGCTCCACTACCGCACGCACCATCCGAGAGCGGGATCCTGTAAGGCCGCGCCGTGGGCGACGAGTGTGACGTCAGATGGGGCCAACAAAGCAAGAGCGGTATGGTAAGGGTTGATATATGCTGTGGAATTGACTACCTATCTCCAGTGAGCGTTGTGGGGAGCCATATAATCCTTGCTCATGGGTGATGCCGAAAGTCCGTAGAGCTGTCATTACCTTTTGTGCCCCACTTGCCTACCTCTGTTACGCCTTTGCACAGTCTTCGTTCCTCCAAGTAATCGCAATCGCCGAAATAACTCGCATTTCTTCATCCCCTCCCTACTGGGACCCGCGAGAGGCACATAAACGGCCGGATATAGAGCATGGTTGACCGCGGTGTTATCCGTGGAGCCTTTAGGATGCGGCCCACTCGTTCTCGACGGTCGGTTGCTCTTCATGCCGCTCACTGTTCACTCCAGGTAGAGCATTCTTCACCCGCTGCGCGCCTCCCTCAATAGCTCGTGGAGTCCCATTCTCTGCTTCACCGTCGCTTGCTTCCTCAGCTACTCTATCCGAATAGCGGCCAAAGTCGGGAAGGTAATCGATCGCCCTTTGAGAGCCACCGTTTCCGTGCTCTTCATCCGCGATCATGCGAGAGACACGGTCTGGGACGACTCGATGAAGCCAGGACTCTCGCTTCGTCGGGATGGCAATGATCGCGAACTGCGAGGCGTCAGGCCCCATAATTGTTATTCTGGAATGTGAAGTGGGACGTACCTGCCAGAGAAAGACTAACGCCACCACAGCCATCTGGATACCGGCTACCCGCTGCTCCTCAGCCTTCCATTGTCCCAGGCATCCATTTGTGCGTCCAAAAGTCTCCTCGCACGAGCGTGGGGTGTGGGTCTTATCAGGAAACGGCCACGCCATGTCGCGGGAGTTCTTCAGCCCACAGCAGTTGAACACGTCCTGTATCGTTTTTATTCGCTCAACTCTCTTGTGGCTATACATTGCCGTCCAGCTCTCTCGCAGGCCGCAGTCAAGCCCAGAGGGTGGAGCTGCGTGTGTGCCCATGAGGGTTATGACGACGGTCGAGTAGATGAAGATAAGCGTGTTCGCGACGATGACGAGTGGCGCGCGGGGCGTCTGGCTGCGAGGGAGGCGTTGGCGACGCTCGCGAGCTCTGGTGAGATCATAGCCGCCCTCGAGGAGCAGGCCGGCAACGACTGGGAGGACTGTGGTGGCATACGATAGCCCATTCGAGATGGGGATCGAGAGTCGGTCTGTACGGGTCGAGGCATATCTGGAGAGATATTAGTAGCACGCCTTGAGAGGCGTCAGGCCCTGCTCTTACCCGGACAATGCAGCGACGAGGATGAGATACTGCAGGTTGGTCAGATTTCAGCCCCGTCGCAAGGCTCGGATACTGACCACAATGCTGACGGAAGTGACGACCTGCTTCCTGGTGTAGGTCATTGCGAACCCGGTATTTGCTGGCTGGAGAGCAGCGTCGGAGAGGTGCTCTTTAGAGAAGTCGTTATTTTTTTGGACGTGGAGCCTAGTGAAGCAGGAGTGTTGAAGGTCAGTAAACGCTGTTAGGCTGCGTCGTGGATTTATCAATGGCCAGGAGTCGTCGCATGACAACTCCGCACGTTGAGCAGGCTGAACCAGGATGTGCTGTCAGACGAGGGGTAAAGGCACACCGTCCGATGTATCCAGCACGCATATCGGTGCCTGAGTGACTTATCGCACGTTTCTTAGCAATGCAGCCTGCAGCTCACACCAGATAGAGAAGACCCCTCACTCTGATGGCCGGCCCCATTGGTGAGGAGAGCGGGCGATCTGCACTTCCCGTCGTGGCGAGCTTTCAGCGACGAGCATGGGCATCGAATTCCCTGTGAAAATCATCGCACAGGCGCGTAGTCGACAACTACAGGTGTTGCACGAGCGGCTCAATGGCTGGCTTTTCAGCGTGCCGGGAACGCGGTGTACGTCACATCATGGCCTGTGCGCTAGTGCACGTTCTCCGCCCTCCGGTCAAGTTTCTCTCCCGAACTCTACGCCTCATCTCCACCTTCCATGGTGGATGGATTGTCTCTGCGCAAAATAGGATGCTCAACGAAATATCTGATCAACATGGAGGACGCGACGGGAACCCCCCCCCACAGGGGCTTATCTCCGGCATCCCCTGGACCCTATGGCACGACTCTCGGTCTCAATTTCAGGCGACTATCGCCATTTTATGGCCCTCACGGTGCCAGCAGAGTTTGACCAAAGTTGGAACACCGCGCAAATGTGAGCCTCAGACCAGTTGAGAGCCGCGTCACGTGATCGTACCTATGATTGGAGGGTACGTGGGCCAGAGCCAACCCTGCTTTTAGCGTTGGCAGTGTGTGGATTCAACGTCTTTCCGAAGCTACGCCACTTGGACCCTCATCCTCTGGACTCGAATCTGATGGTTACGGTCGGGGCGAGCCGCGAGCGCGGCGTAGTCCGGCAATGTCATCTCTTCTCTCTCAAGAGCAGACATTGTGCATATACTGTGTCATCTTGTCTCAGCATAGTACGTATACGAGTATGCATTGCCATGAGATACACGGTTGTCTCCTGCGAGCCCACAATATATAAAATTCTTCCCGTGAGCATTCATGATATCCTGCTAGATCCTGTCTCCGCGGCTGAAAATCTCATGCAACCTACATCCAGTAGTCTACCAGTTTGTAAGCTTAGGAGATTCAACGCGGATGGTGCTGTCTTTACCCTAGGAATGGACGATGCCGCATTCTCCCTAAGCTCTAACTTCCTGAAGCTAGAGGATTTCCTGACCAAGATCCTCCAGGAGAAGGTGCCTCGCAAATGTAGTGAGTCACTCCTCCGGAAACTAATAAATTTACTGAAGCGTGTCTCCAAGGAGACCAAGTGGATCGAGAAGCGCCATCGTCAAGCCATCGTTGCAGTTGTCTTCGAAGCGAACCAGGTGCCCGAGGATGCCCGCAAATGGGAGTTGCATATTCCGACTCCACCTGGGGAGATCAAGCGAGTTCTTGCTGCGCCTATTCCTAAGATGCGGTATCCTCTCGTCCCTGGCTTTCATGATGCACAGAAGAAGATGAGGAAGTTCCCCCCAAAACCTAAATCTCCGGTCTTCTCCAGGCGCAGGAGCTCAAGCACGGTAGTTGGAAACCAGCCACCATCGTTGCTCAGCCGGAAGACAAATCACAAGCAACCCTCCGTTCGACAAGTTCTCGAGCGGCGAGATTCCACTACCTCATGGCTTTCCGCAGCGTCTTCTTCAACACTGAAAAGCGTGAGAACCTTGATTGTACTTCCGCTAGCTTCCCTCCTCGGAGTGGGCGTGCACATCGCTCTGGCGCCCGTCAAGATGACGGATGCTGCTCTCAGGACAGTGGGACTCCGTTCTAGGGACTCGGACGCGGATTCTGACTCCGAAGCGGAGAATGAGGTCTTTTATGATATGCACGGTAGGATCTGGACTGAGCAGTCTGCATTGCTAAGTGAACAGATATTTAGGAACGATGACGCGGACTAGGACGAAAACTCTGAACCCAGAAACGACTCAATGAATCTACGACTCTGGCTTATGACTGCATAGGTCCTGTCTAGGGGTAAATTCACTTGAGATCGTGCACATTACCATACTCTACGATTTGACGCAGGAACGAGGTATGGGGAGGCGTGCTACAGCAACCATAGAGAGCTATGGATCCCTATGACGATGTAACTACCCTAATGGAAAGCTATATGAACATATGATATACCGACCCACTCGAAACTAACGATCTGCTAACGTTGAAGGTTTCGACATTCTTGCTATGATTGACCTACCCCATGGTGATGCCCACAATTAGAGAGTAGAGAGTGACATCATGGTGAGCACTCTTCCTCGTGCGATCAGTATAGCTTGTTCTAGGTAACTCAGACACTGGCCTTTTGGTTCTCGGTCTTTATGCAGATATACCTATGTCTCCCATTGTTTGGCCCAATGCCAAACAGAATAGTCTACATCATACTTAAACATCGCAAGATCCGCACCAAAAGAACATTGTACAGAGATATCGCGGCGACGCTCTGTGTCCTCATACTGCTTCTATATACACCTCTCAGATCAGTCTCCTGAACTTCTATAAAAGCTTGCGTCGGTTCCATGGCAGAGCAATACCAACCACTGTGAACCAGCGAAGATGGATCCGCAACTCAAGCGAGCACTCTCATCTCGAACAACAACCACAACGGAGTCTTCATCAAGCAAGTCACAGGGTCCGCCCCTCTATAAGAATGCTCGAGCCTTGATGGCGAATTACGAGCAGGAAATCCATAGCCGCGGTTCACGCCCAAAGCAGGCACCGAAGGAGATTCGGATGATCGCGGTGGAGGGAAGCTACTTCCCTGAGGCTCAGCAGGCTTTGCTGCACCAGATCCCTTTCTGGACCAAAGTGCTGAAGAAGGATCGTACGGTGGTGTATCCGGACGCTTCGCAGAGCCCGGAGCCCGAAGATTCTGCAGCAGATTCAAGTGCTGATTCGGGTCCTCCGTCCTCACGCGAAGAGCGGATTAAGGCCGTTCGAATGGAGTTCCAGAAGCAGTGGCATCATCGCGATGATTCTGGATCTGCATAGAGAAGAATTCGTTTTGACTCTTCCGTTTTGGCGTTCGTGGGCGGCAGGTCTTCTGAGAACGCCATGCTGTATGTGTAGAACGAAAACAATTGACTAATTCAAAATGACGATTTCCTCCCTGTATCCCCCTATTCTTCTATTTTGTCCCAGACTCCTCGTAGCTGGAATCACAGTGTTTGACTATTCCAGTAGAATTCTTAAACGTGCTACTGGCGTTGTAAACGTGACACAGAGTGCTCATTGTATCAAGGTTTACTAGTAGCATCTATTTTAAACTCTAGAAGACTTCGAGAGCGGAAGGTCCTTTGCATTTACCTTCCTATAAACTTCTAATTGTAGTATCTATTCAGGCTGCCCGGAGCAGGGCTGTCACTCTCGCTTGCAGTGAACGCCATTGAGTCTATATGCAATAGACTTCCACACGGTAACACACCCTTCTATATCGAGAGCCTTGAGTCTAGTGCTAAAAGACCGTGCCTGAGTAGAGATCGTAGTCTAGATTGCAGCAGTCATCAATGCCAGACCATCTTACTGCATGAATACGAGGAGCCTATGAGGTATTGTACGCACCCGTGATCAGAACTGCTCAGCGCCCACTTGCATTGCATTGTGGCATAAACTCAGAGTGAAGCAGTACATTGTGTGATTACGGCCAAGAACGGTGCTTTCACAAACTTGGAGGACTGCACTCCTGTATTATATATTTAAAGTCAGTAGGCATCTAAACTTCCCTCCCCTTCACATCAACACTCCTCGCCAACACCTGGACAGCCTTCGAACATGCACTCCCTGCAAGAAACTAGCAAACCTTCACTCCACGTCCACTTCAGCCAAGATCCGGAACACGTGGGTGCCAGCACCCACAAGCGCAGCTTCACTCGAGCCGAATACCTCGAGCTCGAAGAGCACGCCACTCCTAAGTCTATTTCTAGCCGTGCCTCTTCTTCAAAGACTGCACCTGCAAAAATCACCTCTCCGCGTCCTATCGCCACTATGGCTCGCCAGAACACGGACTTCGGTGACTTTTTACCACCGCACCGCGTGCAGAGCATGGCGGAGTGGGAGAAGGAGGAGAAGGAAAAGAACTCGGCTCGTCGGAGTGTTCACGCGAAAGCTATGGCAAAAGATTTGGGCAAGAAGGTTCTTAGCAAGGCTTTGAAGCGTTTGGATGGTGGAGGCCGCTCCATCGCTCAAGTGGAATGGAGCGAACTCCTCGCATGTGGGTAGTGCGTGCCTCCAGTGGTTTGATAAGGAGAATGAATTTGAAAACGGGGTTAGTAGTAAACCATTACCCTTGAGGTAAATTGAATGGACCGAAATTATTTAAACGCACAGAATTAACTAGCTATGTTGAAGTGAATTCATCCCGAAGGAGTGCAAGTCGAATCAGAACCGCCTTAAGTCTGATATTGTAGCTTCAAAGTTGGAAGGCCAACATGAGATACTTCTGGGCATTGTGTGCTTGGGGTGAGCTGCGTTGGACTCTTTACTTGAAGCAGTAAGCAATTCCATGGACTGTATTGTTAATGTACAATGCACATACGAGATATAAAAGCTCTTAGGGAGTTCAGTTAACTTTACTCAGAGATACTTCCCTTCCTAGCACAATGGCTCAAGAACCCAAGATGACTCCAAATTCCTGACCCGCAGATGTGGCGCTTGCACCTTCGTCCCTGGCGGAATATGAAGAACTATATTGAGCAGTAATTGCTGAGGTTCGAAGGGTGCGGGCCGCCTTTGCGCGTAATGATTTGGAGCAAAGTCTTAACAATATGTGCAATGATATATGCAAAAAGGCTGGATATGCCTGGGAAAGGTTTTTTGACCATTTTCTGGCGTTTTCTGAGGATCTACAAAGTAGACTATAACTGTCTCGTTGAGCCTTGCGGAAGTGTAATGTTTCTCGAATTTTAGACTCGAATGGTTATATGTTTAGTAATACATGTTTCGCATTTCTTTGTTCTTCCAAACGTTCAAAAAGGCTCTCTGTCATACTTTGCTTCCGTGATGAGGGTTCTTAGCACCCCGAATCCCGATTGCAGGCTTGAAGCACGGCACTTGGTTGGCTTGCGTCTGTGAAATGTGGCGTGGATGGTACTCACCATTGTGAAACCACGATACCAAATAGTGGCATGCCAGGTCTTAATATATCCATACACAACGCCGTACAACCTCATCTGAGCAATAACATATATGCCTTTACACCTTCACATAAAAATCTCACGCATTGGCTCAAACTACAACTAGACACAATAGCATTAGAAGCTTTTGGCATTTCGAGGCTGTGCCCAAGCGATAAGATTCAGTTGGCTATAAAGATGCTATCCTCATCGTCGATCGCACCGCGATATCCTAGCTATCACAAGAACCATATGCCAAAATCAGTTAAGTTCATGTCAAACCCGCCAACGGTAAAGTACATACCTGATGGCATGGGTACCTGGGACAACCCAAACGTCAAAGCATACGATGCCACCACGGAGCAGGTTCTCAATGCTGAAGAAATAGTCCAGGATACTTTCAAGAAGATTGAAATCTTGGAAGCTGCCGAATTCGAAAGCTTGTCTACCGCTAACAGGGGTCTACAGCATTTTGATGAACACTTTGGTTCCACAAAGGTCCAGGCTGACCTTGCGGCTACAGATCGTAAGCGTTCTAAATCCGTCAGCCCACAGGGCCGTACGACGAAGAGTGATAACGAAGCCGACCGGAGGACGAAGTCCACACGTAGAAGTCAAAGCATGCAATCACTGCAGAAAACCCCTGCTCCAGCGGTACCTGCAATGAGCTTCCAAGCAATGCTAGGACTAGGGAACTCTGCGACAAACACCGCGCTCCCGTCACTTCCCACGAGCGGTCCACCTCTACGCAGGATGCTGAACCGAGCCCCTTTCAGCGAAACCGACATCACGCAGTCATTAAACAAATACGGCTATCCCACTCGGATCCCTTCCCGAAAGGCTGTCCCGGATCGCAATGAGTCCAGTGATAGTCGGAAAGCGGATCTATCAACTTCTTCCCCACGCACAGCAGGGCTCCACCGCAAAGACATCCGGTTCTCCCAGTTCTTAGCCGTAGATAGGATTGCGACCTGGGAGCAGCTAGATCGAGCCGCTTCGTCGAGGCAACCGTCCGTTTCTTCGACGGCTTCGACTGCGAAAACGGTTTCGTCATTCAAGAGTCTTGGGAAGAAGATGAAGGAGAAGGTGCTCCGTAGGCAAGCGAATCGCCTCGGCAAGTCGACGAAATGCCCTTCGCCTGAGCTGCATCCCGATTACCCGGTGTAGTCGCACAGTGCGTAATGATAGACAGAATGCGATAGGAGATGAAGACAGGATGACGGTGAATAGCGCTATTTGAATACGAATACATACAAGGAATCCGAATCCACGTGGATTTAAACATTATGCTCAAGTTTGCTTTGTGAAAGTAGATTCTTAAACTTTTACTACAATGTTAGGGATGCACTGCTGTACTCAAGTTGAATATAAGAATTAGTCGACCTTGCACAGATACTCTACCCTAGCATTCGCCTCTCTCATAGACCGATAATTGAAAGTGCAATCCACGCTTTCATTAGTCAGCATGAACTCTAAAGGCAAGCCGCACTCCCCAGAAGAGCCGGATCGAGAGCCTCCACATAAGCCATCCACTCATGTCAAGATCTCCGACAAAGCGCCGGAGATTCACGAAATCCCTCCGTCAATGCAAACATGGACTGGTGAAGAGCCTCCCAAGGACCCTTCAAAGACTGCGCTTGATTGGTCTGCGCGACAGATGTTCGGTGCAGAGCAAGGGATGGTCAAGCGATATGATGAACTTAAGGAGGAGACTGGAGTGAAGGAAAATGGCACAGAAAAAGAGGCCCAAGGCGAACCAGAGAATGACACGTCTGATTCTAGGAAAAAGGATAGTCCGACTGGCGAATATTAAGGTTGAAGGGCTGCGAAGGGAATGGAAGTTGCAAAGAACGCATGCATACCGCTACTGCTCAACCTCCATGGAGCAGGATAGCAGTGAGTCGATACTTTCTTTACGCAGATCGAGCGCACTACCGCTCGCACCAGACCGTACTATGAAACCGGACTCTGGCTTACTATATAGATCCCGAAGTAGAGAGCAAAACTGTTATACACTCGTTAAATAAAAAGGTAGAGCTTAAAGAATAATACCAAACCTAGGTGAAAAGTCCGCCACATGATAATATCGATGCAGTACCACGCCCCAGTTTCATGATTGTTGGTTTACCTCGTAGCCAAGGCACGGGATGCTACGAGCTGAGGTCTTGGCCGCTCGTATTCCTGTTGCGCTATCAAAAGCCCCGCCAATCAACGATGCCCCTTCGGTAGCCTCGTATTTCGCATCCAATCGACTTTGCCACAGCATTGACCGCGGATCGCCTAACACGAGCCATCATGCAAGTACAAAAAGTGGCTGATGTTGCAAGCCTGACGCCCTGAGAATTTTCCCCAGTTTTTATCAAAAAGACATGCGTGCATTCGCGAGCCTGCTACTTGTGGTGGCTTTCCACGGCCTAGGTATTGTTGCTGATGCTGAGACCCCTGAGATACCTACTCCGAAGCCGCTACAGGAGGCGCTCCAAAATGTCGAATTTCCGGCGCTGAACGGCAGCTCGATAGAAGATGACCAAAGTCTTTTCGGGTTCAACCTCTTCTCGAGGCAAACGGCTGGTAAGATACAGCCCGCTTTCAAAATTCGCTGCTGACCGGAACACAGGCGAATGCGCTTCTGCGAATGGCCAGCGCTTCAGTTGCACCCCGAACAAATGCGTATGTAGCATTGCTTTTGAGACTGGGAATGAGAACTCACATCGCTTTAGTGCAATGGAGAGGTGACTCCGGGATGCTGCTACGAAGGTCAAAACGTAAGTCGCGACCACATTCGGAGCCCATGGTATACTAAAGTTGCTCCCAGTGCATGACTCTGAACGGCAACCATGCTTGCTGCCCTTCAGACTACCAGACATGCGGCATGACTATGTGCACATGTGAGATCGGTGCTGACCCAATGCAAATAGTTCTGACTTTCTTAAGGGCCGAATTCTACCTGCTGTGTCAGTACGCCCGGAATGGCCTGCGGAGCCAACCAGATATGCTGCGGAAGTGGATGCTGCGATGCTGGTCGGGTCTGCTGCGGTGATGTACTGCCTCCCCAAACTCGTCTTCATGTCAAATAACATGCTAACCCGAAATTTTTACAATCGACAGGAGGGTTGTTGTGAGTCTGGCTATTCATGCTGCAAAGGCTCGGGCTCAACAAAGTGCTGTGATAATTCATTTTACCAGTGCTGTGGAGGTAAATGACAGCCTAAGCCATCACTTCTACCTGGATCTGACATCATAACAAGGCGTCTGCTGCCCGCTCGACCAGGATTGTTGTGGAGATGTTTGCTGCGACGTGGGATATACGTGTAGGTCGAGGGGGGAATGCGTGCTAGCAACCACTGCTGTGAGAACTGCTGTGAGGACCTTCACGACTACTACGACCGAGGCTGCTGCACAGTCAACGGACGCTGCGGTTGGAACGGCCAAGCTTCGTGACTGGGGACTTACGGGGCTAGTGCTAGCAGCTGGGCTCCTATGATCCTTTTGATGGAGGGGGCTTCCAAGATATGAGTTTGTTATGAACGCGTATGGTGCTCTTCGTGTACAAAAGGTTGGTAGGAATCAGTATTGGCGCGACTCTTGGGACCTGGACTGCAGGATTATGGCGAAGTATTACACGTAGGACGGATAAGGATGGATAAGGAGTCGGAAGATCACGACGAAGGATGGGGGAAGGCCTCAGGATTCAGTTGGCGATTGGAGAATTGTTAGCACACAGATGACACCCGATTGGGCTAGTCGGATCAAAGAAATGACATCACTCCATGGCTCAACAACATGCACAACCAGGCATCGACATCGACATCAACAGTCTCGAATTTCCGCTGAATTTACTACGACGCCACCTTGAACGAATCGTCTATCCGTTCACTATCACTAGCTTCCACGTATTATCACCCCGTCCTCGACAGGATCGCGGAATTCGACAGCTGTTCAACAGTCCTTTCTATCCGGTGTGCCCACAGCTCAACCAGTCGCAACTTTTAGTCCACTCCCGGAATCCTACATTCAAAGCCATCGCTTAGTCCCAAGATGCGACAAGAACTCCCCAGATTGCTCCATCGTAATCCCCTCAATAACCTTCAACTGCATCTCCACACTCTCCTCCGGCGTGATCGGTCCCTTGACGCTGGGCTCGTACTTGCGGAACTGCTCAGTCAAATGAGCCTGGGCTGCAGCAAGCTCAGGCGGGACTAGTGCAAAATCAGTACCTCGTTTAAATCGAGAGAATATAGAAGATAAGATTCACCGTTATCAGGATCCTCAGCCCGCGTCTGCACATACCCCGGACTCAGCGCCAGAAAGATAATCCCATCTTTCTTGTATTCGACCGCGTATTTAGCCACCAGGATATTCGCAGCCGCCTTGGACATGGCGTAGGGGATCGATTCCGCGATCTCTGAGACGCTGATAATCCCCGGGTCAGCCATGCCGGAGGAAACAACGACGACTTTCTTGATCGCGGAGCTCTTCAGAAGCGGGATGAAAGCGTTCACGCTGTACAGTGCGCCGGCGACATTCGTATGCATGCTCGCGTTGAGCTCGTCCAGGAACTGCGTCTCCTTCCCGACGAAGTCGCCGGGTTTCATGAACATCGTTTGCTCGGAGAGATAGGCACCGTTAATGATCAGATGATCCACTGCACCGCCGGTGAGCTTCGAAACTTCTTTGGCCACGGTGATGAGGGACGCCGGATCCGTCAGGTCCCCGTGCAGGATGTGCACGTTGGGTAGCGTATCGGCGGTTACTTTGGCCCGGACGGCAGATGGGGTGCGGGCTAGGCCGATGATAATATTGGAGGGATTGGTGGAGAGCGTCTTGAGGAACTGGTACTGCTTCGTGTTAGAAACGGTGTGGAATGAAGAGCGAGAATATGTACCCCGATGCCTCGCGAGGCGCCGACGATGACGTAGGAAGGCATGCTAAGGTTGAATTTCCAGGAGCTATGGAGGAAAACCTGCTCGAATCGGAGAAGATCTTTCTTGTTGAAACGATAGAAAGGCGCTGCTGTTTGCTGGCTGCCGTATCGGCATAGGGGCTTATTCGAATATATACAGTACGTATTACTATTCACACCCCAAAGCCACATGAGTTTTGATAATCAAGTCAACGGAAAGCACTTCCATAAGTTTCGTCCGTCCGCACCAACTTTTGGTAGACGGTTGCAAACGCTAGTGGATGCGTGGTAATCAACCCGAGCATGTTGGGCCAATCGCAGCCGGCAGATCGGCGCCGCGCTATTCCGCTTGTGGACGCTCCTACTTCCTCTTTCGGTTCTTCGTAAGCTGTCGCTGTCGCCGTTGCTCCACGAAGTTAGCTGCAAGAGGACTTTTAAATGGGGCGCATAGGAAATGAACACTGGAACTCGGATGCGGCCGTGTGGAGCCAGAGTCGCTGGCAGTGCCTGTCTTTCCAAGGTGCCTTCCAACCTCGGAATGTTCGCCAGGCCATTCTTCCCCCACGTGATCCCGGACTTCACCTCTTCGCTCCGGCACATGCCTTCTCGCAGACCTCTCTCTCTATGGATATGTTGCGCTTGAAGAACCATGAGGCCTTCGTTACAGAGTTTCTGTTCGGCGGCGTCAAAATTGATCGGCTCCTCTGGCGTCGTCACGCTCTTGCTTCCATCCTGAGGTCGACCTACTGGGAGGGAAGGAGCGAATAAACGTCCCAGTCCTCTTGATCCTGCTGCAGGTACCCGGTGATGAAAGAAATGGACGAGATGATGAAGAGCACAGTCGTAACGGGTGGCAAGAGTCGCACTGCAAGATGGGGAGGATAGATTGTGAAGGGAGATGCAGCAGCCGAGCGCTTGAAGTGAGGATGCTTTGAACGACGTGGGCTTCAATTCTAGCCCATGGGCTCCGGAGGGAACTAAAAGCCTTCTATACTAGATGAGAGAACGCTCCGAAAGACTCGAGGAAGCAGCTAGTAGCTCCGCTTCGAGTGGAATTGTTATTCGGGAATATCCCGACTTCGTGATGGTTCTGTCGCACTTCGCAAGCAGGTGGGTGGCAAAATATTTCGGCTCCGTGGCGCCGATATCGTCTTGACCATTCCGCTCTTTCATCTTCACCGCACAATCCGCGGCAGGTCCCTCCTCTCCGCCTTCTCCAACTGTTCTGGGCGTTATCTCAAACCCGACGAGCAGCTTCCTTCCACCTCGACACTGCGGCTTACCACCGCACACACTGCAGACACCTCATTTGATCACACTCTGCCTCACACCTGCTGGCTCTGGACCGCACGCCTTCGGGATGAGGCTGCTCGTAGTTGCCGCTCTCGTCACCGGGCAGCTTGCCCTTGAGGTCCCTCCCTCGGCTCACAACGCGGCTGCTCTGACCGGCGAGCGCGAGCACAACGTCGTTAAATCTGGGGCCTTCCCCATTCTCGAAATCGGCACGGCCTACATTCTCGGACAGTCTTCCCGCGCCACTGACAATGCCTCGACTCATCTTATTTCGTTGGACGGCCCGATTCAGTGCGGTCCCGACAAGCCGTGCATCGATGATTCATGCTGCAATTCGGATGGAAAGTGCGGCTTCCAGGAATACCACTGCCGTCCGAAGGCGCCTGTCAAGTGCCTGTCGAATTGCGATGCCAAAGCAATGTGTGGCGTCGACTCCGACGGCGGAAACAAGAAGTGTCCACTCAACCTTTGTTGCTCGTATTACGGCTGGTGTGGGACGAATTCTACCCACTGCGGAGATACGGACCAGGAAGGAAACAAGACACCGTGCCAGAAGGACTTTGGCAAGTGCGAAGTCGTGCCTCCCCCGAAATGCGAGAAGGAAGCCGGCAGCGCAACACACGGTCGACACATTGCCTATTACCAATCGTGGAATACACGCACTCGACTATGCAATCGCATTCGGCCGAGGCACATCAATGCTACGGGCCTAAGTCATTTGAACTTCGCGTTTGCCTCCGTTGACCCTCGTACCTTCCGCATTCAGCCAATGCATCCCGACGATGTTGATCTCTATCGCGAATTCACCGCTTTGAAGACGGACAAGCTCGAGACGTGGATTGCAGTCGGTGGTTGGGAGTTCAGCGACCCGGGCCCAACACGCACTACTTGGTCTGATATGGTCAGCTCCAGGGAGAATCGCGCTGAATTCATCGACTCGACTGTCAAATTCATGGACGAGTACGGTTTTCAGGGCCTCGATATAGACTGGGAGTATCCTGCTGCCAAGGAACGCGGCGGCAAAGAGGTCGACACAGATAACCAAGTGGCCCTCGTCAAGGAACTTCACGCTGCATTTGGCGATCGTTTTGGCCTTTCCAGCATTCTGGCACCCGACTTCTGGTACCTGCGTGGCATGGATCCGAAAGCGATGGAGGAGCATGTCAATTGGTTTAACTTCATGGGATATGATCTCCATGGGCCGTGGGACGGGGATATCTCGGTAAGTACAGTATTCCTGAGGTGGAACTACGCTGCTGACATGTGCAGGCTCTCGGAGCAAAGATTCGTCCCCACACGGACCTACGAGACATTGACAAAGATCTCCTACCGCTGTGGTTCGACAAATTAGATCCTAAGAAAGTCAACATCGGCATGGCATACTATGGCCGCGGCTACACCGCGTCGAAGAAAGACTGTCTGCAATTTGGTTGTGATTTCGCCGGCGCGAGCAAGGCCGGGAATTGCACCCAGTTCGAAGGCTTCTTGTCCAACTACGAGATCGAGCGCATTATCAAGCAAAAGGGCTTGACGCCGGAACTGATGAAGGAGGCTGCTGTTAAACAGATTGCCTGGGATGACCAGTGGGTCGGTTATGATGACGGAGAGACTCGTGCCCTGAAGATCGATTACGCCAACGAACACTGTCTGGGAGGAACTTTTATTTGGGCTATCGACTACGATTCCGGCATTGGAAGCGGAAATACTCCGAAAGGCGGTCGCTCTCCGAAAGACGTCTACGTGCCTCCGGGCGTCTGGTGGACACAGGATCCTACAGTTCAGTGCATCCCGCCGTGTACTGTTGTCTTGCCCCCATATACGCTCAACGAACCAACGACTATTTCGTGGCCTCCTTTGACAACTACTTTGATAACTCTTGAAGGTGGTCAGACATCGACAGTTACCACGGTATACGAGACAGAAGTGGGCGGAACGCTGACGAACGTTACGACAGTTGTCATTACCCTCTCGGGAGCCTCGACACGGGAGATCACTACTACTTTCAGCGTGCCACCTTTTACCACGAATATGATTAATTTCTGGCCGGTCTCCGTGGACCCAGAAGACGGCCCAACAGCCGTCTTTGAGCCAGTTCCTCGCGTAATGCCCCCACCCTTCACAATTCCACTGCCTCCATGCCTCCTTGCTTTCGAGCCGACCCATTATCCTGCGATGGAAGATGTGCCCGATCCCGGAGAAACTCCTGAGGAGGTCGATACACTGTGTTTTACCAGCACACATACGGAGCCCGTGTACCCCATGCCCACATATGGTATTGCTCTTCCCACGAACGGCCCCCGTGCACCGTGCACGGCCTGGTGGTGCGCACCCCCTCCAACGCCCGAGCCTTCGTGCGATCAATTTTGGTGCAGTACTGTAGCGCCATCAACCAGCACATCTGGCGGGGAGTACCAGTTTCCCACGAAAATCACATGGGCTTCGGACTCACCTTGGGCCACATGCACCTCGGGATGCGGAGACAAAGCAAGTACTCGTCCTCTGGAGAAATCTGAACTAACACCATAGATAGATGTGTAACCTATTTGGCTGCGTCTGTGGGCCGATCGGCCTCGAATGCGATGACTCAGACGATTCCAACTCAGATGGCGATGGTGATGGCGACGGTGGACATGGTCGCAAGAAGCCCAAGAAACCTAGGGGCCCGAAGTGGTATGTAAAGATCGAGCTATGCATACCGACTTTAGCTAGACGCATCTCTGCTTCCGCTGAACCACATTCCCGCTTACAGAATTCAGGCCAAAGTTACCTCATTTTCCGATTCCGAAGTTTCCTGATGGACGCTGTGCGATAGGCGGCTGCGATGGGGGTTGTGGAGTTTTTGGTTGTGGCGGTAAGTGAATCCACCTTGCATCTAGCGTATACAAATTTTGCGCTAACCTGAAAACTTAGGCGGGTGTGGACTCAAAGGCTGTGGCGGAAACTGTATAAAGCCGGGGACTTGCGGTCCGTGTCCGCTTGACGTAGGCGCTCGTCACGATCTCCCAAATAGACTGTACTGATTTGGTCGATAGAAATGCGGTGGGCCGGATTGTGCGCACGGTGAATGTGGACCAAATCCGCCTGGTTGTACGGCAAACTGCAAGCCTGTTCCTACTGGCGGACCCACCAGCAAGCCCAGTTGCGACGATAAAGATAAGACCACCGTTACGGACTACTGGGTATCGTGCACGAAGTCTTCCTCGGCGTCTTCCAGTACCTCCACTTGCAAGACGGTGCGCTCAGTCACCTTGACGGGCTGCGGACTCCTGCCCACGACGGTGACGACGACGCGAGAAGGCGCGGCATGCACTCGGGCTCCTCTATCTCTGGATGATGACGAAGGCGACAACGGGGGTACGCCGCCGGGAGGGCCAGACGAGTGTCCTGATTGCCGTTGCTGCCTTCAGTACAACAACGACTGTCTCAACAAGAACTGCCCAGGCGGTCCATCGAAACAGACGCCAGAATGCGTCAGCAAATGCATTTCGGACATGTGCTGGGCGCAAGACAGCCCAGAGATCTGCCATCACGGGAACAATTGCGAGAACAAAATGTGCCCCGATAAACCAGGAGATCCGCCCAAGAATATCCCGCCAGAGTTGGACCCCTGTGATGGTTGCCGGTGTTGTATGCCATATTACTACAACTGCATCGAGAAGAACTGTCCGGGTGGTCCTTCTAAAGAGACACCAGAGTGTGTTAACATGTGCGTTTCGGATATGTGCTTCGCCAAGGACAGTCCTGCGCTTTGCCACACTGGCCAGAAGTGTGCGAACCAGATGTGCCCAGACAAACCTGGAGACCCGCCAAAGATGGGACCTTCGCCCACGCCCACGCCCACACCACCGCCACCGACCCCTAAGCCGATCACCGATCAGTGGCGCCTCCGCTTCCATCAGGAAATGGAGTACGAATGGTCAGCCTTATGGTGGACCCTTATTGACAGCAACGGGGATGAAGCAGGCAAGGGCCAGGGCAAGCCCATTGACTCGCAGCGCGACTTCAACAAGCTGCCACACAAGCTTCTGGTAGACGTCGACGAGGCCACAGATAAATATCGCACGAATGTCCTGTTCACGTACGACAAGGAGTTCAACACGGGACACTGCAAGTACAAGTGGACGCTCGGTCAGAGCAAGCCAAAGGGTGCTGCTCCACGCGCGATGCCGTGTAAAGAGGGCCCTCAGAAGGACTTTGGCTGCGACGACCCTAAGAAGATCGAGTGGAAGGGTAAGAATGCAGGCTTCGAGCGGTACTTCGAGTGTTGGTTTGTGGCTCCTCAATGGGGTGACAGCGCGGATTCATCATGATTGAATCTAGAGATGTGGAAGGGGCGTCCGCATTTGGGAAGAGGTGTAGTGGCGATCCGCTTAAAGGAAACGCGATAGTGTTTTCTTAGATGGATAATCGGGTAGAATCAAGGAGTTAATAGGAGAGTCGACGGATGAAAAGGCGCGCAAAATGTTTCAGGTGAACGAAGATGGAAACGGTGCAGCTTACCGATAGCACCCATTTATAGACTAGCTCAAGAACCTTGGAATGCCGCTTCACTTCGGGACCTCTAATCCTAACAAAGACGAGTTTGAAGCTGGACTACAATTCTAGCAGACGGGCATGGCTACAAAGATCCCTAACCGCTCAGCAACCCTACACCTCCTCAGTCTTTTCGCTCTTCTCCGTCCCTCCATGCCCACTCCTCACGCCCTGCAACTTCCTCGCAATCTCCCCCGTCAACGACTTATCCACGCTCTGAATAAACAGCGACGAAATCACGCTCGCAAGACTAAACGCCAAACTGACTAGAAACATCGTCTTAAAGCTCTTCGAATTCGCAACCTGCACAGCGTGCATTATCGCAGCCTGAATCTTCGTCGTCATTCCCGGTACAGCGCTGTATGCTTTCGCGGTACCCAGACTCGCGGCTTTGATAGCCGCGGGCACAGAAGAGGGAGACAGTCCTGCGGAGACGGCGGCCGAGGAGACCTGGCTGGGGATATTTTTGCTGTTTTCGTTGGAGAGGACGGTGGAGAAGATTGCTGTGGCGATGGTGCCGGAGACGGTGCGGCAGGAAGCTGTGAAGCCAGACGCGAGACCGATGTCTCCCGGATCGACGACGAAGGGAATCATGATAATCGCGAGGAGCTCGACATAACCTACCGACAGTCCCGAAAGCGTCGTCAGCGCGATAGCGAGCGCATTCTGCCCAATCCCTGCGCCGGCAAGCCCAGCTGTGAAGGCCGCTATGCCCACCACTGAGATGCGCATTTGCCAGTGCAGCTGCTTTAGCGGACGGATCGTAATGCCGCCCATGATCTGGCCGACTGCCACGGAGCCGCCGAGAGCTACGGAGTACCACCCGATTTTCAAGACGTCCTTTGTGTAAAGCGCGCCGACCATTGTGGGCCAGAGAAGGTTCATCGAGTAGTAGACAATGGTGGCGACTGAGCCTGTGACGGCAAGCGCGATGAAGTTGCGGCTTTTGATGATGGAGAGCGGGAGCAGCGGGTGCTCCATCTTGACGTGCTTTTCGTAGAAGCCGAACGCTGTGATTGCTACGACTCCACCGACGATTGGGCCGATGACTTTGGCGGAGCTCCAGGGGTGGATTTTGCCGCCCCAGCCTATGAGGGGTTAGTTTGTGCCGTGGAAAGAGATAGGATTGCTGGGCGTACTTATGCCGAGGAGAAGCATTACGAGTCCTCCACAGTAGAGGACGAGACCGCCGTAGTCCAGACTCATGAGTTCGCGCCGAAGCGACTTGCCTTGGTGGAGAAGGCTGTAGTTTGGCGGGTGGTAGAAGACGAAGAAGAGGATCGCCGATGAGGCGCAGGTGATTAGGTTCATGTAGTAGCACCATCGCCAGCCGAGGGCGGTGTGCTCCTGGAGGGAGCGGGCTGCGAAGTAGTCAGCCAAGGTGCGTCTTTGCTTGCGGAAGCAGTACTTACCCATCAACGGTCCGAAGGTCGCGAATGGAAACGATACAACGAACTGACTTGCAATGAAGTATCCACGCAAGTTGTTTGGCACGAGCTCCTGAATGATGATGGAGAAGCCAGTTTGCGCGGCGCCAGCAACGCCTATAACTCGCGTTAGCACTCTCTCGGATGAGTGTTTCTCAACTTTTGGAACTCACCGATGAAAGCAGTAGCACCCAGCAGTGTATTGATACTATTCCCTGTGGCCGCCATGATCGAACCGATGGTCCCTAGGATTTGCGCGCTGATGTAGACCCATCTTCGTCCAAAGATGTCGCCGATACGACCGACGAGGAGCAGACCAACACCTCCACCGAGCGTCTTGGTGATGGGAATCAAGACGTAGTTCGGGTCGGGACCTATGCTAGCGTTGGCGGAGATACTCATCGACGTCGACGTCAATGCAACACACCAATGTCTTCGTTGATGATGGACAGCACATTGATCTAACAACCTCATTAGCCTCCATCCAAGCCTCCTTCGTCTTCCACCACATACCGGTAGCACATATCCCAAGTACAGACTGATCAGCATGAGAGAAGTCGCGACCATCGTGCCGATGAATTTCGGACTCCAGTAGTACCCTCGAGGTAACTCGCTCTTGTCGGCTCCACCAATGGCTTCGGGCGCAACTTCATCGTGTCCGCGCGTCGGCTCGGGGGCTTGCTCGAAGGTCTCGATGGTGTCGTCGGCCTTAGATTCGCCGCGGTGTGGGTGCGCCATGTTCGATCCTTCAAAACAATCTCCACACGAAGTCAATAAAGAGAAGCAAGACTTGCCCGGTAGAGAGCATCGGGCTGATCACTGTTATATAGAAAGAACGCGTGTTGTCGTCTCTCGTTTCGCTTCCCCAGATCCACCGCCCCGGGGCCCGGATCACATTTTGCGGGGAGGAAGTGAAGTGTCGAGAACAGGGACTGCGGATCTGCGAGGACGCTAGCACGACACGGCATGCACGACACGGCATTCGGACACGCTAACACGACACGGCATATGCTAAGATACATTCGGGACTTGGACGCTATATCGCAATTGTCGATCGGGGCTGCGTGATGGTGTTCAAGAGTGCGGATGCCCTGGAATTCGCAGTACTGGTCTTATCACCTACCCGACTATCTTCCTGCTTTCCTTGCACGTGACTTTATTTGGATTTGGACGGATTCTAGGCGAGCTGTTCTAGCAATGGCTAAAGACAACACAGTCATCGACATTACGGAGGAGTCTCCGCTGCTTGGAGAAGACTCTCGGTCCTCCCGCGATAGCGAAGCGTCCAATGGCGAAGGAGCCGAGAAGCCCAAGTCGATACTAGGTGTTCTTTCGGTGCTGCTCATCGGTGAGAACTGCTGCGATCCTCATATATACACTCCTGACTGTGCGAAGGTGTCTTCGTCGCGAATGCCGACACCTCGCTGGTACTCGCCACATACGGCGAGATCTCGTCCGAATTCGACAGCCTCAATAACGCGAGCTGGCTCATGACGAGCTATCTGTTGGCCATGTGCGGCACGCAGCCCATGGTCCGTATTCTGAATCTGTGATCAACAGGACTTACCACTGACCGAGGTCTGCAGTACGGCAAATTAAGCAACATCTACGGCCGCAAGACCATGCTGCTAGCATCCTACGTTTTCTTCGCTATTGGCTGCTTTATCTGGTGCGTTTCTCACCCTTGATTCCCGCTGAGTTTGATGCTAACGAGGATATGAACAGTGGCATGGCTACCAAGATGTCCCACGTAATCATCGGTCGAGTGATCGGCGGCGCTGGGGGCGCTGGAATGTACTCCATAGTGTCGTTCTTGATCACGGATCTAGTGCCACTTCGCGACGTTGCAACGTATCGGAGCTATGTCAACGTTGTCCAAACGGTTGGGAGGAGCTGTGGAGGTCCCATTGGAGGCTATCTCGCGCAGACTATCGGGTGGAGATGGTCAGTATGATGCTTCCTGTAGTGCCAGCTCCTAACTCACCGATCAATGCAGGTCGTTCCTCATCCAAACACCCCTCACTATCGTCGCTCTGCTACTCGTCTGGTGGCGTCTCCAAGTTCCCGCGCCGGCATTCGACTCAGCGCAGAAGCAAGAAACTAGCAGAGAGAAGCTCGGTCGGATCGACTTCCTCGGCTCGATTCTGCTCTGTTCGACTATCGTAACACTCCTCCTTGCTCTCAGCATGGGCGGTAACCAATTCGCCTGGACCTCACCCACGATCATCGGTCTGCTAGGTTCGCACCAGCTCCTCGCAATAGCGTTTTCATACGTCGAACTCCGCGTCGCGAAAGAGCCCATCTTCCCGCTTTACCTGCTAAAGCATCCAAGCGTGGTATTAACATACCTCGTTCTAATAATGCAAAACATCGCACAGACCTTGGTAAGCCCAGTCCAATCCTCCCGCTAGCATGTTGGCTAATAAAGAGGAATAGATGATGTATTCCATCCCCCTCTACTTCCAAGTCACCGCCTCCGTCCTCCCCTCCGTTGCGGGCGCCTACCTCATCCCCGCCGTCGTCGGCAACACGCTCGGCGGCCTCGCCACTGGCCACTACATCCGCCGCACGGGCAGCTACAAGGCGCCGACCATACTCGCATCTCTTGTCGCTGCCGTCGCGCACACACTGACTACTATTCGCTGGACGGGCCACACGCACGTCGCAGAGTCTTTGTACTCGTTCCCCGGCGGGCTTGGAACGGGGATAGCGCATTCGTCCACGTTTGTAGCGCTGACGGCGAGCGTGAGCGAGGAGGATGCGGCGATTGCGGCGGCGGGGTTGTATCTGAGTGGGAATGTGGGGAGCGTGTTGGGGTTTACGCTGGCGGCGCTGGTGATGAAGGCTGTGGTGAGGAAGTCGGCGATTAAGAGGTTGGGTGGGGGGATGGAGGATGTTGTGGGGAGGGCTTTGGATGATGTGGGATTTTTGAGGAAGTTGGAGGGGAGGGTGAGGGATGCCATTGTGAGGGCTTATGTTGATGGGTTTAGGTCGTGCTTTGGTGAGTTTGGGCGCTTGAGATATGGGATGGGTGTGCTAACGTGAGGTAGGACTGGCTATCGTGTGCTGTGCTATCAGCTTAATATGCGCGGTTTGTTTGAGGGTGAAGAGGCTGGAATGAGGCATGATTGGACCGGTTGGTTACCTAAGGTTCACGACGCCGTCCAGGAACCCAAAAGCATCAACGAGTTCTCTCTCCACAGTCCAATTCCGCAGCTCCCTGACATGCTCCAAGAACCTCTTACTCAGCACGAAGCCGCCCTCGTCATCGCTCTGCAGGATGGCCGCCAGCCCGTAGCTCCAATTCACCGTGAAAGTCTTATTGATAGTTCGCGCGAACACATCATACTCTGTGAAGTCCATATGCTCGATAATCCGATCCCGCGCATCAGGCCACGCGATAGTGCTCACCCAAAAGGGATACTCGCGCAGCAGCTGCAAACTCGTCGGCCGGAAATGCGAGGGCAGGGCTTCGTAGTGGCTCTGAGTTGGGCAGATCTGCCAGCGTACGAGCAGGCAGAGGACGTAGAGTAGCGCGATCTTCTCGGGCAGTGTGCTCACGGTTACGACGCGGGCAACGTGTTTCGCGATGGTCGAAGAGACGGGATGGGAGTCGGAAGTGGTTGGGTCGGAAGGGTTCAGGAGAGACATGATGCTTGGGAAGGTGGTCGCGGTGAATTCCTGGGGGTGATTACCCGAGCTGGATACCGGGGTAGCCTTGTTGATGAGGGAGAAGATGAGGTTGTCGACGTTGCTGGTTGGTTGTGTGAAGGCGGGCGTTATCGCCCAAATAGGCCTGGAGGATCGGATGCTGTTCGCTTGCAGCCGATTTAGGCGTAGGGTGTCTGGTGAGAGCGCAGATGTTGGGGTACTCCCATTTTGCTCTTCGGGCCGAGGAGGTGGCGAAGGAAGAGCAGTTATGTTGGAGAGCGTGAAGGAGAAGTCGTCTAGATCGGACATGCGGATCGTACTGGCCATCAACAAGGGGTCATCCAAGCCGGAAGGGCTCCAGTCCACAATACTAGTGGTTGGGTGGCCTGCAAAGCCTAGACCCGGAACAGGAGTGTTCCACCATTCTGTTGGTTGGGCTTGAGAGATAGCATTGTGAGGTTGAATTGGATTGAGCGGCGATCGTACAGGATGGATATCAGTCAAGGTGGTATCTGATGGTGCGGGATTTGCGCATGGAACGGCCCCAAGCTGAAGTTGCTGAAGACTGGGAAGAATTGTGTTTAGCGTATCCCGAACACGGGCCTCGCGTTCCTGCAGCGCAGCCCTGTCGGCCTCGGCCCTCTTCAACTTCTCTTCCAGATCTCGCACGGTCTTTTCAAGGTCTTCCAACTGCGTCTTCTTCTTCATGCTTCTTCATGTCAATGAACGACAGGCACGTGAGCGGGGAGAAAATACCGCAGTGCTCTTTGATTCTCCCTATCCAGAGCCCGCTTACGATAAAGCTGCTCCGTGTTCAGGTTGTTCACATGCCGTTTCTGCGTCTGCTCCATCGCAAATCCACGGAGATAGGAGTGTCATGTTGAAGTTGTCGTGCAGCGGAGATATAGGTCCCCGTGGGTCAGGGAATCGCGGGGAAGCAATGAATCATCGCCGACACAGCGCCAGCGGGAACCCACTCCGTTCCTTCTAGTAGGCTCGATTAGTGTCAACCAACACCACAACCCGGAAACTTCGCGATAGCACGCAAGACGCTAATCGCTTTAGGACCGCGCTTCGTGACTCGACATAGCCGAGCCCCTCCTCACCATGTCGCCTCGCGCTAAGCTCCTTTCTGCGAGCTCTCCAGCTCGAGAGTTTCCAAACATCATGGCTTTCTTTGACGTCTGGATCTTGCGAACAACCCCGAGCACTCAATATTGAGTACCCTTAAACTCATCCGACGACATTCGCAACTATGAAGCTCTTTCCGATCACCGCTTTCCTCGTCCTGGGCCCGGTCGCTGCATTGTCTCAAGCTGCACCAAAGACCAGGCCCAATTTCGTCTTCATCCTCACAGATGATCAAGATGCACATATGGGGTCGTTGGATTACATGCCATTGACACAGAAGTTTCTGCTCGACGAAGGAACGCAATTCATACACCACTACTGCACCGGTACGCGAATCTCTCGCTGGTAACATATTCGAAGAACGCACACTGATCTCTCAAGTCGCCATCTGCTGTCCATCGCGAGTCAATATCCTCACAGGAAAGCTTTCGCATAATACCAATGTCACAGACGTGATACCGCCATACGGTACGCCGCATTTTTAGCACCTATGCAGCGACAGAGCCCTATAGGTCGAGACTAACATTCGCAGGTGGCTTTCCCAAGTTCGCCTCACAGGGTTTCCATAAGAACTATTTGCCTCTGTGGTTCCAGTCTGCCGGCTACTCAACCTACTACTCCGGCAAGATATTCAACGCGCATACAACGAAGAACTACGATGCCCCATTACTTCCCGGTTTTAACGGGTCCGAATTTATCCTCGACCCCTTTACATACCAATACTACAACACTTCCATGACGCGGAATGGCGGATCACCAGTGAATTACATTGGACAGTACTCTCCAGACTTGACGGCGCAGAAAGCCTATGGCTTCCTTGACGAAGCGCTCGAGCATCAGCAATCAAAGAGCATCCCGTTTTTCTTGACAGTTGCGCCTATCGCACCGCACGCCGACGTGGAACTCTATCCGACCATGAAAGCAGGTCCACCACAGATCGCGGAGAGACACCGGCACTTGTTCAAGGACTACAAGATCCCACGAACGCCGAACTTCAATCCCGAGAAGATGGAGTTCGGAGCGAGCTGGGTGAAATCACTTCCTGTGCTGAACGATTCGGTAATCGAGTATGGCGACTGGTATCAGCGACAACGCCTACGGAGCCTGCAATCGGTGGATGAGATGGTTGGTGAAATAGGTAATATCACACAATGCCCCCCTTCACATGTGCCTTGAGCTAATGCCTACCAGTGCACCGCCTAGAAGCAGCCGAGACTCTCGACAACACGTACATCGTCTACACTTCCGACAACGGCTACCATATCTCTCAGCACCGCATGCATCCGGGCAAAGAATGCGGATACGAGACTGACATCAACGTACCCTTCATCATTCGGGGTCCTAATATCGCGAAGAACAAGGTTTCGAACGCTGTGACGTCGCATACAGATCTTGCGCCTACTTTTCTTTCTTTAGCGGGCATAGCGCTTCGCGATGATTTCGATGGCCAACCTATACCGCTGGAGACTCCGGTTACTGCGAATGAGCTCGAAGGCGAAGGCGTGGACCAGGCGGACGTTAATAACGGGCATGGGAGCAACGAGCATGTTGGTATCGAGTTCTGGGGGCTTGCTATTCCGGAAGGTATGAATGTCCTTATTTCCACGCTCCACATGTTACGCCATGCTGACTTGCGGCAAAGGCAAGTATGGATACAAAGGGAAATACGGGTTCGAAGATGGCTTCGGAAATGCCTACCGGAACAATACGTACAAAGGTTTGCGGATCGTATCGGACGAGTACAGCCTGTACTATTCCGTATGGTGCACAAATGAAAGAGAGCTATATGATATGAAAGTAAGTGCGAACGTGATAGTCCCGCCGAGAAACGAAGGGGCCGTTGCTAACAGTGAGTATAGAAAGACCCAGCTCAAGTGCACAATCTCCTGCACAACGAGGATATCTTCTCCAATGCAGTGATCCTCGGCCGGCCTGTAAGCCATCTCGTGGACCGCCTCGACGCCCTTATGATGGTCCTCAAGTCCTGCAAAGGCCGCACCTGCACCCATCCTTGGGAGTCACTCCACCCTTCTGGAGACATCACGTCTCTGAGAGAAGCGATCGATGGTCACTTCGATGCGTTCTATGCTGAGCAGCCCAAGGTGGGCTTTGAAGAGTGCCGGCTGGGCTATTTCCCCGAAGTAGAAGGGCCGATGGAGGTTAACGGATACGGGATGGAAAACGATGGATGGAGGCACGGGGATGGAGGAGAGCAGCGTCCTTTTTTTAATGCTGATTGGAGTGTCATGACGTAGCGCGATTCTGGCGAGTATTACAAACTGTAGGCATCGGTTGAGACGGGCTTCGGTGGCCTGCCCAGAAAGGGCTACCGGCTCGAAAAGACGGACACATCGCGAGCCCACTATGACATCCAGAACACTCGCGGCCCCGAAAGGGATATTGTTCCTTAAATTGTAGTCTGCCTATGTTTGTGCCACTTCTTGAGCGACCATAAGAATGAACTTCCGTAAACGCGAGATCATGAGTGGCAATCAGGATCAATAGTTCCGCCTCAAGGCAACCGAAAGCCAATTTCCACTCTGCATGCGACTCCCCCAGATCACTTCTCGCCCCGCTAGCTCTCCATTATTGACAGTCCCGCGCCCTCTCCCCTATCCTGCTCACGTGGTCACTTAGCGCCGCTGTCCAACTAGTTCCAATGTGCCTTCAAGAAGTGATCCTCAAGAAGCTTCAGCTTCCCCTGGCTTGTCGCGGTCCAAATCCTTGCATCGAAGGCGTCGTCGCACAGCGCGCAAGCCAGTATGTCCACCTGCCCAATCGCATAGTCTGCCCACAATCGCGCAAACATATCTGCCCATTCGTCGCCGTCCGGAAGGCTGTTGCACAGAGCCCTCAGGCCCTCTTTCTCGTCATCCCACGTCTCGATTATTTCCTCAATTCTTTGTGTCGTGTTGTAGACGCTTGGGACGGTATTGTTCAGAATATCATGAAGCCGTTCGGAATAAGAACAGAGAAATTCCTCACGCGATTCATCGGTCTGTTCGCTTGAAAGAGCCTCAGCTATCGAGCTGGGGACAGGGAGCTGCTCGGGGGTTTCACACTTCAGCCGGACGTCGTAGAATGCGGCTACAGATGCTTGTATGGAGATGACAATCAAGCAGCAACGCGGAGGCGTGACCACCGTTTCCCCGGGGGTTTGAAGATATATCAGGCCGCCTTCAAGCTTGGCCGAAAGTTCCGCAGTGCGCGGGCTCATCTGCTCAAGCAAAAACACGCGTTTAAAGAGCTTGAGGTTATGGACGGTTGGAGGATACATAATCCAGACCCGTGTACCAGTCATGAGGATAGAGACTTCATGCTCGCTCGTCAGGCTTTGCCGCAGTCCGCCAGCTGACATGATGTCGCACGCCATGGACGAAGCGTCCGATGCTGCCGGCGAAAGCGTCCTTTCGGTAATTTCGTCCAGGTGACGGCAAGGTAACGTGATATACTCATTTTTGCCGGTGTAAAACAGGGGGGATGTAACGTTTTGTAGCAGGGTTTTGCGAGAGGAATAATCCTCTTGCTCATCGAGGGTAGCTGAGAGCTCGGCCTGAATAGCGGGGATGTTCGGCTCTTGCTTCCAAGGTAGATACTCTCTGTCGTAAACGGCTGGCATGTCGGTTTCCTCGGGTCCATAAAGTGGTCTGAAAAGTCGGCGAATCTCTTCTCTATGGAATGGGTAGACGCGTCCAATATCCAGGAGCCGAAGGTACTCGGCACGAACGTCGTTCCACATTTCCTCCAGGCGTTCCCGAATAGCCCTGAGCGTTGTCGAGCTGGTGGACGGTGCCATGGGTATTGATAGTGACGGTGATAGCTTTGCTTCGGAGTTCGAGTGCGGGAGCGAATGATGATTTGGCTGCGTCGCATGTTGATACTTGGCCAGCGCTGTGCTGACGAAATTGTGCTTGCAGTCGACGGCATGGGGAATGACCGCCACGAGAATGGCAGGTGAAGGAAAGAGCCATGACCGCAAACGGACGTCTATCCATGGTAAGCTTCTCCCCTTTCCGCAAACCGGAAAGACCTTTCAATGCGGACTAATCACGCTCTCAGAGATGTCGCCTGCTTCCTACTCTGTCGTAGGCCCATGTGCCACCCATAGGGAGGCATAAGGGCTTTGAATGGAAGGAACGCACCGTAATCGACGCTTCGTCCTAGCGGTCTCTTGAACGTCAATTTGGGGCAAAGTTTCTAGATGGACAAGGTATCATGAGCACACCCAAAATGTCCCCGACAAGTCGAGAAGGCTCTATGCCGACCGAGGCAAAGTTACAACAGGCCATGCCCTCCTGCGCGCGTATTTCCCCGAACTCCATTTGTCAAAAGGGCATTCCGCGATGTCGCCCAAGCTTTCACTGAAGTTGAAATGTAATAGTCGTCCAGCGTGTAGATTGCCCAGTGAAGGTGAGTGTTAGAAGACGGAAGGAGAGATCCCTGGACGATGTATGGAAGGCGGAGAAGGTAGAGAGGGAAAGCGTAGTCCCGAGCACGACTAGGGTCTGCCGGCACTCGGCATTTCGTGCGCTCCTTGCAGTCCTGGAGAATAAATCAGGTGCAGTACCTACTCGCAACAACTATGCGGCCTAAGGGATGCGGAAGAGGTTAAAGGATCTGAATAAGGCTCCTAGAACGCCAGTGAAGCACTGCACTCCGCGTCGAGTTACCCCCTCGCTTCAACATCACCTGCAGCTCAGAAGACACAGACTACCAAGTGACACAAGGTCAAGTCGCCCTTCATCCTCAAAGGTTGTTGCTATAAGTCCTTTGTTATTTTCGATCACCGCCTTTTTGTCAGAACCTAGACCAGCGTCGCATTCGCCGGGCTCGTGATCAAGAAGCTGATCATACCCCGCCCGGGCACGCTGGCACTCGCGGTGCCGTCGCTTCCTACCGTCACGGTCGTTTCGGTCATATCATGCGTATTATCCGTATACCACGCCTTCACCGTCGGGTTTGCCACTGTCAAACCGCTCACACCAACTGTCTGCGTCCCCGTCCCGGAGTTAATCATGACGACGGCGATGCTACCATCTGTATTCACAAAAGCGCTGCTCTTAAGATTGCTTCCGCCCGAAGTTCCAACTCGTACGGCGCCAGGTCTGACGACGCGGAACTGAGCGAAGGCCCACAGCCGCTTGCTGACCTGGTAGGTCTGCCCGTCAACTAGGATGAGTTTCTCGTTATTGTTGTTGTTGGTTGCGCGGTCTTGGACGCCCTCCCAGAAAATATAGGCCGAGAGATTGGAGTTGACGATTCCGTTGAAGACGGTGTTGGCCCAGGTAAAGCCGTCACCTGCACCGCCGGATTGATACCATGCTGTGCTCCATCCACCGTTCAGGTCAGCGTACTCCGTTTCCCAGACACGGCGCGTCGTGCGCATCACGCCGGAGATGCGGCTCGTGTACTCGTGGGAGGTAATCGCGTACAACATGTTCTCGGCGCCGGCGCTAGCGATTTGAGAAGCATGCTGTGAAGCGACACTCCAGCCTGTAGCATCACAGCAGTTAATGCCGACATCGGTGAGGTTGTTTTTGTCGAGGGTTGGGCGGAGTACTTTGATGAAATCGGCGGCTTGGGTGCCTGAAGATTGCATGCTGGCATACGAGGTGCTGTAGTCGGGTTCATTGAGGAAGCCAAGATGCGTTACTTTGACGCCGGATTCCGCGTAGAGTTGGACGTATTTTACGAGGTAGTTAGCGTAGGCTTGTTTCCAGTCGCCCGATCGGCAGTTTGTGCCGGAGACCTGGGCGGGGTGTCAGCGTCTGAGGAATGGTGCTACGTTGAATGAGACATACACCGCATAGATTCCCGCCATTCACGTCATTCCCGTTTGTCTTCATGCATCCAGGCGCACTCCACGCGTTTGCGTAAAACGTCTTGACTCCGTACGAGACGGCCTTCTGGCTCAGGAACAACTGTCCGCTATCCTTGCCATCCCAAACATAGTTCGGAGTTCCATCTGGTGTGCTTGGACAAGTCGGCAGGATGGTGTTCATGTAGTCCCTGCTGCTGTCTTTGGAGCTGCCAATGCCATTGCGAACAATTGAGAAACCTGCGCCGGATGTGGTGTTGAAGAGTAGGTTGAGGAGTTCCGTTTGCTTAGGCTCCTGCAGGTTGACGATGAGGTTTGCACGCTGGAAAGCGGCGGAAAAGCCAAAGCCGTCAATGGTTTGGTATTTCTTGGTGACGTCGACAGTGATCTTCTGCGCTTGTCGAGCCTCGATCGACGGAGCCGCGGAGACAAGGAGGGGAGTTACTGCTAGGGCGGCGAGCTGCGCGATTGAGTAATGCATGATGCTGGAAAGCATTCGAAGCAAAGGAGAGCATCAAGGTCAGCAGTCTCCAAAGAAAATTATATATGCACATTCGAAAAGCGCCATTGTGGGGCCGATCAACTCCATTTCTAGGAGGCTAAAGTTCCGCCACGCCTAGAAGATTGCTCTGTGTTTACCCTAACCTGGATCCGAGCCTGTAAAGTGAGCTGAACGGTAGTTAAAGCCGGTCCGAATAGCGGCACTTTATATAAATCGATATCGAAAGTGTCAAAAATAGAGCCAAGGGCGCCAAGGATGTTTACCCCACGATTCCTTTGCACCGGGCGTGAGGCTGCTGAGGGTTGACCGAGCTGATTTAGCCTAAGGAATACTTCCGGAAGTAAGATCGCGCAGGCTGGTCACATGGCAAACTGCCCGCGTGCGATACCTTAATTCAGACCGAACAGTGCGGAGATGCCTTTGATGGGAGAGAAGTAGAGACACCTTCGACGTGGGACAAAAAGCTTCATTGTGATGCGACAGGAAGTTACTTTCTCCTCTGGCTTTGATACAGGAGTCCAGGGACGAGGTTAGGTAGCCGCATAGGGATACAAAGGCCCTGCGCAATCTCAGAGTGAAAAGAATAATAAAATGCATCTACCACGAAAACAGGTAGACGAAAGAAACGGACAGTAAGGGAAACATATGCAACTTACTTATCCTAACGGGAGCTACGTCGTGCTTGCATCACGCTTGGTTGGAATAGTCTGCGCGGTAAGTGACATAGAACAACGGGACATACCATCACAAGGATAGGCTCGGTCCTAGGCCGAAAGGCAACGTTCCATTAATAACTGATCTCTCTGTACATGCTCAGATGCAACTAACCTTGGAGAAGCCGATAACCAACTCCGCAGATCTCCGTGACCATGACACCTGAAATCGTGAGTTCCCTACTGCAGTCGAACACCAGCGAGCTTGTGCTTCTTGGCCTGCTGATCCTGCGCGCTGCTCATACCAGCGCGACTCGCCTCCAGGGAGCTCTCGGCGAGCTTCCTCTTTTCGGCTGCAATCTTGTCTAGATGCTTCTTTGTCTTGGTGTTTCCGCTGCCCTTGCCGTGAAACTGGTGGCTTAGCATCTTGAATGCCTCCTTTTGGTTCAGTTGACGCCCAAAGTCATCCGTGTAGTTTAGCTCAACGGTCGGCTTATACTCCTTGTTGAAAATCTCGGCGAGCTTCCTGCTCTCGAGCTGATCGGCCGCAACGTTGTTCTTTCGAGCCCACTCTTCACGCTCGCGAGGTGTCATAGTTTGCCACCTGGTTGAGTGGCGTTCACTCTCACGGTGCTTCTTCCGCAGGCGCTCGGCCGCTTCTTCAGCACGCTGCTTGTCGGCAAGGAATTTCTGGCGCTCGCGGAATTGAGCGTTCTTGTCACCGCCGTCCGAGTTCTCAATGACACCACGCTGCCGAAGAAGTGCGAGTGTGGCACCGAGACCCTGGTCGACCGTCTTCTCCTCTTCAAGACCCGTGCCAGTGATGCCTATAGAGCGAGCTCGGGAGATGCTGCGCTCCTCAGCCTCAGCAGCTTCGGCGTACGACTGTTCCATATCAACATCGCCCTCCTCGTCGATACGCATATCGCCAACAGACTCGACGCCGTTGGAGATGTGGCTAGATTTTTGGCGTTTGCGCCGACGAGCTTCCTCTTCATCATCATCATCATCAGCGTTCGCGCCAAGGTTGTGGACAAATTCGGTAGTCTCATCAATGACTAGAGCCCCAGCATCCTCCTCAACAAGCTCGGTCGATTCTACCACGCCCGGAGTCTCAGGTGTTGACGTGACTTCTTCGCGCAGCTGGCGGGCTATATCCTCGGGGCGCATCTTCTTGCGCTTCTTGATGGCCTGTCGACGCTGCTCAGCGAGTTTGGCCTGGAGGTCATCGTCATCCACAAATGACTCGTCGAAAAGATTCTTCATTTTCAGTTTTTGCGCGGCCGTCTCAGGCTCCTCAATCTCCATCTCATCGGCGGCTTCATCAGTGGGAACCATTATCATGTCGTCGTCGTCTTCAATTCGCTTGCGCTTGGAAGACTTCGACTTGGACTTCTTTTTCGACTTCTTGATCTTCACTTCCGAAACGTCCATGTAGTCGTTGGCCGGGCCATCGTCTTTCAAGATGTCGAGGCTAATAGCGACCTTCCTCGGTTTGAAAATGCCGCCCGCAGCTTTCTGGAGTTCCTCGACAGTCCTGCCCTGGCCGTCCAGAGTGAACGCCTTCTTCTTCCGGCCATCGATCTCTTCATCGTACTGTGCGAGAATTGACTTTTCTCCGGATTCGTCGACATCGTTAGGGTCGTAAGCGTGCTTCCGCCGCTTGGCGTCGAGCCGCTCCTGCAGCTTCTCCTTCTCTTTCAGTGCAACCGCCTCAAGCTCGTCATCGTCCTCTGCGTCAACCGCGGTATCCTTCAACACCAAGATCTGGTCCTCGCCATCGTCAAACTGATCCACTTCATGTCCAACCTTGACGCCGGCGAGATCCGCTTCGGTATACTGGCGCGCCTCCGCGGCCTGGCGCTCCTGCTCCTCGAACTCCTTCTGCATCTGCTCAGCCTTTGCAATCTTCCGCTGGCGCTTCTTCGCGTTCTTCAGCCAGGCTAAGTCGTCTTCCTCCTCGCCCTCGTCGGCAAGGCCCTTGCCCTCAAGCTTTGCAAAGCCCGCGGCACGCTCACGCGCCTTCTGGATGGCTGCAATCCTCTCCTCTCGCTTTTTCTTGGCATCCTGTTCGTCTTGAAGCTTCTTCCAGTTATCGTAGGCGGCGGCCTGACGCGTCTCGACGGTGCTTGCAGGCTCATCATCGGAGTCGCCGCCCTCGTTCGCGTGCTTGAACGTCGGGCCGGAAGGAGCAGATGCGCCGGGGACAGGCAGCGGCGCGAGGCCCATGGACAGACGAATCTTGTTCGCCTCTTCAACGGAGAGGTCCGCCATAGTGTCAGTTGCAACGAAGAGTCGGCTAGTCGGATGCTACGGTTGGGTTGGGGGAAACGGCGAGTACGGGTCACACGGCGGTGGGAGGGTGGCTCGAGAACAGAGCAGTCACAGCAGAATGCAAATTCCCCTTTTAGGAGTGCGGCATACACTCAAAGGGGGTTGTGGGTGGATGCTGGAGTACGTGTAACGGAGGGATGGAGTTTACAACCGCAGGCGATGAAGTTCCGCTCGACTCGCCAAGCCACTAGTTGCTAGCGCGCCAAGAGTTCGAGCTACAAAAGAATTTCTGCAGAGCCTCACACTTTCCTTCTCTCCAACGACCTGTGCCAGGGCTCCCGTCCACCCTACGGGGTGTGCTCGGTCGAGGCCTAGCAGTTCGTCCGATACAAGGAGCCATCACTTTCCCCATGGTGTCAATTTCCGGTCGACAGGTCTGAGAGCGAGTCGGTAGCGTTTCTGCCTGAGTTCACCTGCGGGTTCGAGCTCGGTGGAGGCGCTGCCAGGACGACTGATTCCTACTCCCTTATGCTAGGCCGTCGGCCCTTGATGCTTGGGAATAACCCAGTCGCCTACATGAACACATCCCCCGGACTCCCTTTGCTCCACCCGCTCCCATGAGAGTATGATGCGTGAGCCGCCGACGCCTGCTACGTCTAAAGCTCTTTTGCGTGTCCTTTGAGGGGCAAGCATCTCGGTTGCTAGCTGCCTCAAAGTTAGAGCCTACCTATAGCAGCTTCAAATTGCCGGTGACCTGATCTATGACTCCCTTCGGTGCCGGTCCAATGCCTAGCACCGTTGCGCTACCACTCGCGATCTGCGTCCGTCCAGCGTCATGTATGATGTGGGCCACAAGCCCCAAGCTCAGCGCCTGCGCCTGCAGTATCTCCAGCTCCTCTTCGCTCTTGACCTGCAGCGCCACCTTCATCTGACCAGCCCGCTCCCAGCGCCTCAGTATCGTCGAATTGGGAGCGTATCGAAGAAAATGCTTGTAGCATGCTAGCGTCGCGTGTCCACACTGAGCTCCGATTTTGCCTGGGAACTGTTAGCGAATGTGTAATTGTACGGAACAAGCTTCCCATGCACCTTTCGTCATGCCTAGATCTGTCCGCACTACAAGCACGAGCTTGCATTCTTCGGGATTGTTAGGGAACTCGCTGGGTGCAGCATCGTCTTCGTCGCTGGATTCGTCCGAGTCGTCCGCCTTTCTCTTTTTGCGCGGCGCCTCTGAAATAGGCTTTCCTCCAAAGAGTCCGAGAGATTTCGCTTGTCCGATAAAGTAACCGGTCACGCCTGCGATCAGGGCGCACGCAATGGCGACGTTCGCCGTCGACGGCTGCGGGGTGTCTTGCATAGTGGATAGTGCGGCCTAGGAAATGACAGCCTTCGGGAAGGTAGGGCAAGTTGGTACAGAGTGGTACGTATCAGGGTTGTGCTATTCTTTTTATCATGTTGCAGTTCCGGCGGGTGTGTGTTTTGCAGTCAGTGATACCAGCTCCGCTGAAGTCGAGGCTATCGCACGGACCAAGTCCCATCTCGAAATCTTCGTCGGACCTCCGTCTCCCATCTCCCCATCCATCACCCTTCGGCCAGCTTCCCCAGCGCTGCTCGTTCGTGCAGCATGCCGCCCCGGTGCCAATTGCTCTCCGGGAGCCTGTCGAATCCTAACATTCTGCTCCGCCGTCCCCAATCGACGCAGCGCAGCTTCACCACCTCCTCCGCCCTCTGCAAAAACCCTCTCGCCCGACGACGCGGCGGCGACCTCGGCTCGCATCTCCCCAAACATGTCATCCCCAAAGACGCCGACATACCAGCATACCCCTATGGCCCCAATCTGCTGTTCAAGCAAGCAAACAAGGGGCTCTACGGCAGGCAGATGATCCAGTTCGGCAATAATGTCTCGCCCGACACTGAAACAAAGACGCGCCGCAACTGGAAGCCGAACGTGCTCTCGAAGAGCCTCTACTCGGTCGCCCTGAAGAAGCGGATAAAGCTACGCGTAACGGCTAAGGTGCTCAAGACGATTGACCGCGAAGGCGGTCTGGACGAATACCTGCTGAAGCAGAGCGAGCACCGCATTAAGGAGCTTGGTCCTACGGGCTGGGCTCTTCGCTGGACGCTGCTACAGAGACCTGAGGTCATTGCACGGATGAGGGCCGATGCCGCCGCCTTAGGCCTGCCCCAGGAGGAGATTGACCTGCAGTGGCCGAACCCAGCCGCCGTCGTTGAACAGACAGCCAAAGCAGCTGCTGAGGTCGCGGCAGAACAATTGACAACGGAGGAAGATGAGATCCGGGAGGCAACAACACCGACACGCATCGAAGAGCAAATTACAAACGAGAGAAGAAACCAGATCCGCCGCGCCGAGCACGAGATTACAAGGGAGGCTGCTGCAGAGTATGCAAAGGCGCTCGCTGGAGCGAAGCGGTATGTTAGCAGGGGCCTGGTCGATACTGAGGAAGAAGGCATCAAGCTGGCTTTCCTAAGAGCTCGGGAGCGAGCAGAATCACAGCTCCGGAACAAGGAACGCTTTAGAGAGAAGCTTGCCGCGCTGTTCGGGCCCTCCACAGACGCAAAAGATTTCGCGGCCAAATTGCGCGCCTACAAAGAGTCGAGGAACGAAGAAATTGCGGCTGCGGGAGGATACGAAGAGTGGAGGAGTCAGTCTATCACCCCGGAGACCGCCGCCCAGCACGCCGCAGAGGTTGAAAAAGCTGGCGGCCAAGCAGCGTGGGAGGCTCAGCGCAAAGCCGACATGGCCAGGAAGATCCAAGAAGCCGAACAGGCGCACGAAAACGAGACTCTTCCTCAGGAGGAACAGCATTTCCTTGAAACTGCGATTCAGAAGGCCAGGCGGGCAATTGAGGCTAGTCAGAATGGTGGAAAGCAAGCGTACGTGGAAGCGACGCTGGTAGATTGGCGAGCGGGTGACGCCAGTAGAGTGATGCCGCCGAGGCTGGAAGAAGAGTCTAAGTCGAAGGTGCAAGAGGTTAGCGGAGTCGATGCGTGGGCGGCTTTAGCTGAGTCGACGAAGGTAGACCGAGACGCGAGACCAAACACTTGAATGGGTCCTTCTTAAAGCCATGTTGACCGGCTTCATGGGTGTATGATGTATTGGAGGCATCTGTAACACTACTGTCTAAATCTCACGTAATGTCATTGCCCGAGGGCAATGGAGTGTTCTCTAATCAAGGCCCTCACTCACATGTCCTTTTTCTGAACGACGTATGATCTTTTCGTACCTTTTCCCCATCATAATCTCCTCCAAGTCAATCTGAGTTTCTAATTTCCCCTCCAGCGTCTTCCCTCCATCCATCCATCCCTCCATCCACCGCTCCAATCTCTCACCAAGGCAGTTCCTCTCCATTCCGATGCCACCACCGCCCCGTACTCTCCACCCCCTTACTCATCAGAACCCTCCAAAGCTCACTCGCCGCCTGTTCCGGCTCCACCGCGCCCTGTATCTCCCCGGCACCCAACCCGCCCGCTAAATTCGTCTTCACAATCCCTGGGTGCAACAGCACAACCGCCACATTCTTCTCCTTCAAATCCACAGCTAGCGACTTGAAGAGCGCGTTGACGCCGGCCTTAGATGCGCGGTAGGAGTACGAGCCGCCGGAGGAGTTATCAGCTATGCTGCCCATGCGGCTAGACATTACGGCGATGCGTGGGGTGGAAGCGGCGAGGATGTTGGGGAGGAGGGCTTGGGTTAGCAAGAGGGGGCCGAATGTGTTGACGGCGAATGTTTTCTGGAGGGCTTCGAAGTTGACGGTGGAGAGGGTGTCTTTTTCGTGGGGTTCCATGACGCCCGCGACGTTGAGCAACATGTCGATTGGGCGGTCGCCGAGCTTTTGCTTAAATTCTTGGATCGATGATGGAGATGCGACGTCTAGTTGAATGGCTTCGCAGTCTAGAGCCTTGATTGGGTCGCCGATTGTGATGTCTGCTGCGACGACGGTGTATCCCTGGCCTCAGGTGAGCATTGGCCTTGGTTTGAGAGAGTGCAAAGGCGCCGAGTACTTCTTTGACGAGGATTCGGGCGAGCGCGTTGCCGATGCCCGAATTGGCGCCTGTGACTACTGCTGTTGGCATTTTTGCTCGATAGGGTGAGTTTCGAGGATGATTTGAATGGGTTTGGGAGATTGCTCAATGATTACGCTGGGATGGATTGGGTTTGTAGGTTTACTGGTTGGCTATGGCGTATTAATAAACATGACGTGGAGCGCAATATGCGGGGGACCGAGGACATCATCACGGCGATTTTAGGTAGATGTCATCCGATAATATGGTCCGTTGGACGTCCACCGAAGAGGGGAGGAGTAGTTCATGAATAGGGACGGGCTGTTCACGAGATGTTAGATTGAGGCTAGCTGTGAAGGAGACCAGGTAAGCCATTGTAATACTAGCAATCTCTATGGCCATAAAGAATGTACTTCATCTAAGAGGAGCATTAGAGAATTAATTTGGGTGTTACGATATGATCGGTCAAGTATTTTCAGCCAGTGTCATGTCACGTGGAAAGTCAGCAAAACAGGTATAGTGCGAACCCCCACCTCCAGCTCACCTCGGGCACCAGGTGCTACCGCACGCTGCTCTCCACGCGCATTAGCTGGCACATGAGATAGTATAGACTCAAAATTTCCGCCCATGCTTTCAGCCATGATGAAAAGCTACGGTCGCCCACTCTTCATCGCTGGAATCCCCAACCAACTGAGAATCGCTCAGCCCAATGCCTCAGACGTTACGCAAGTGGACCAGACGTTTCCTCTCCTTCTGTTGCCGCGAGAGATACGAGACCTCATCTACGCGTACGCCTTCGCCCTAAACACCTCATCTCCAGGAGCCTACGAAGTCTTCATCGGCCTTTCCGGCTTCGAGTACAGGTCTTCGAAGATACCAGGTACAGACCCCCGCCTGTAATATGGACTCAGCTCATCACGTTGCAGATTTCTTGCCGCCTATCTGCCGTACAAGCAAACAACTCTACGCCGAAGCAACCCCTGAATACATCAAAAGCCGCTGTTTCATGCTCTCCGACCGCTCCAGCGCGCAGCTCCTACGCGGCTGGCTCTCTACCCTCTCCCTAGGCTTTACAAGTATACGAGCCCTCAACGTTTCCCTATGCGGCAGCCGCCACGATTACCACGACGCGACTGGTGCCGTTGCATGTCACTGGGCGCTCATTCTTCGCTGTCAAAATTTAACGCACCTTACTATTCGGCTGCCGAATTACTCCGAAGTGCTTGTAGCGAGGAGGTGCTCCGACCCCAAGGATCCGCGATGGGAATCCAGGATGAGGCTGTTGCAGCTGGAGAAGCTAGTTGAAGTGAAGAGGCTGAGAGTGCTTATGCTTCATGGCGTGTGGTTGGCGTTGAGGACTTGGGTTGATTATGTTTTTCGAGTGGAGAGGCCGGATGTGGTTGTTAAGATGTATGGTAAGGGCGGACTACTGCTTGTTCGGTGATCTACTAGCGTCTACATCTAACTACCTAAATGGGTTAAAAAGTCGCGTTGTTTAGCCTATGCGCGTGATTAAATAGCACAACGCGCCAAATGCTCATTCGTACTTCATTGTTAGCCGAGCCGGGCGATAGCTGCAGGGCGAAGCTCCAGGATGCAAGCACCCCTCCTCCTCTACACCATGGGCTCGCTATTACTGCGCTGCATCCAGTTCTTTGCTTTGGGGATTGAACTATAATAACTTCAGAAACTTTCGTGCAATCCAAATCGCAGGATCCCATCATGGCATCCAAAGTAGATATCAAGGTATGGGCATTCACTCATACGTGCTCGGCTCATCCAACTAAGCCATCATTTAGACCTATCCGGGAATCATCATCAACGCCAAATTCATCCCTACCACAACAACCAGACATTCAATCGATCCCGCCACCGGCGATCCGCTATACGAAGTCCCCATCGCACGCAAACAGGATCTCGACGCTGCCGTAACAGCTGCCCGAGATGCCTTCAAGACATGGAGCAAGACCTCCTTCGACGAGCGCTCCAAAATGCTCCTCGCTTTCGCCGACGCGATCGAAGAGAACACAGAAGACCTCGCGAAGCTCGACACAATGGAGTCCGGGAAACCGCTTGAACTCGCGAAAACTGAATTCGCCATGACGATCCAATGGCTCCGCGCTTTCGCAACCATGGAGGTCAAAGACGAGATCCTCGAAGACAGCGACGAGCGAACGATATACCGGACTTTCCCACCGCTCGGCATATGCGGCGGTATCGTGCCGTAGAATTGGCCGGTCCTGCTCGGTGTCGGGAAAATAGGTCCGGTGCTGATCACGGGCAATTGCTTTATCATGAAGCCCTCGCCCTACACGCCGTACTGCGATCTTAAGCTCGGCGAGCTGGGCATGTCAATCTTCCCGCCGGGCGTATTCCAAGTCCTCAGTGGCGACGACGATCTGGGGCCGTAGATGACAGAGCACCCGGACATCGACATGATCTCTTTCACCGGGTCCATCGCCACTTGGAAACGCGTAGCAGCTAGCTGCGCGAAGCGTTATGTGCTTGAGTTGGGTGGAAACGATGCGGCGATTGTGTGCGAGGACGTGGAGATTGAAAAGGGCATGCTCAAGATTGCGACGCTTGCGTTCTTGAACTCAGGCAGATCTGTGTGGATGTGAAGAGGATATATGTGCATGAGAAGATGTGCGACGGGTTCCGCGATGCGATGGTGCAATTTACAAAAAGCAAAATTAGGACCGGGGGCGGGTTTGAAGAAGGTGTTGTAGTGGGGCCGCTACAGAATAGAATACAGTAAGTATATGCCCGCCATCTTAGCATGGCTGAGCTGAACGACAGGCAGATTCGAATTGGTGAAGCAAATGTACTCTGAGATCGACAAGCAAGGCTGGAAATGCGCGCTCGAAGGCAGCGTCCGCGCCGACTCAAAAGGCTACTATATCGAACCCGCTATTATCGACAATCCGCCCGAGGATTCGCGTATTGTCATCGAAGAGCCCTTTGGCCCTATCGTTCCCCTGCTGAAATGGAACGACGAAGACGACGTCATTGAGCGGCTAATGCGTTGCGGACTGGCCTCGGCGCGCGTCCGTTTGGAGCAGAGATGTCTCACGCGCTGAGAGAATGGCTAGGAAGCTCTCTGCAGGAAGCGTGTAGGTAAATTCGCATTTTGATGTCGCGCCCAATGTGCCATTTGGTGGGCATAAAGAAAGTAGGATTGGGGTGGAGTGGGGGATTGAGGGCTTGAAGCCGTATACGAATCCGCGGAGCTTGTGGGTGTGGAAGAATTTTCGAGTAGATAGAGGTACGCGTCGGGAAAAGTGGTAGAGGGAGGTAGCCAAACCTAGCTATCTATGTTGGCGTGCACCTCGGCTCTAGGTGTGAACTGCAACTGCAGCGGGAGAAGCGTCATGAGGAACGTATCCCGAAAGCGCTCGTCAAACTCTTCCCCAGTCTCTCCAGGTGCAAAATCGACAACAAAATTTTGAACGATCGCAGACACAGCAGTCCGCAGGCTCAGAAACGCCAGGTTCTTGCCTGCACACGCATGCATTCCTAACCTATAGTCAGTATAGAACCTTCGCAAGACGAAATTACTAACCGAGCTGGAACGGGAAAAATGGCGCGTCATCCGTCCCCATCTCCGTCCTTCTTTCTCCGAATCGCTCGGGTATAAAGTCATTTGGATGCTTCCACCACCTTGGATCGCGCTGGATGAGGAGGTACGGAACAGACACGTTAACGTTGCCTGGAATGTACGTGTCGCCAATTCGGATGCCTGAATCGGGCGTTTCTCGGGATCCACCTTGGATGATTGGAGGCTTGAGGCGCAGGGTCTCATTAATAATGTCGTCTATGTAGGTTATCGTCTTGATCTTCTCGTAGTTCCATGTGGTGTATCCTTCTGGAATGGCGGTGTCGACGAGGTTGCGGAGCTTTCTTTGGACAGCGGGATGCTTGGCGAGATAAAAGAGCACGTTTGCGAGCGTGTTGGCGGTGGTGTCGCTGGGGCAGATTAGCCCTATGAAGAACCGTAAGGCCAGAGCACCTACCTTCCAGCGATAATTACAACACGAGAATCATCGGTCAATGATTCGCGCGTTGGCGAGGCAGAGACGTCCTTATCCTTGATCGCCTTCAGCAGCCATGACACGATGTCTTGCGGCTCCTTCTCGCTATTCCACGTCTATCGGGGACATTAGCCTCCCCCTGATGCGCACCAAGTCTGATTGATACTGACTCTTTCCTTCTCCTCCAGTTCCTTCTCGCACACGCTGAAGAACTCGGAGAAGCTTGCAGCTGCCCCTGGAATGGTCCCGAGCAGGTTCAGAAACCACGGGACGGTCTGAAGGACGCCGAGAACAGCGATATGTTCATGGATACCTTTGATAGCGGGATGCTCTTGTCCGCTGGCGAGACTGTTGAAGTCTTTACCAAAGCCGACTTCGCCCATAATATCGAAGGCGAATAGCATCGACCACTTCGTGATATCGACTGAACTTCCGGTGCTCCCATACAGCTGTCTGATCAAAACATCGGCTTTCGACTTGACGCGTGGCTGGTACGATGCAAGTGCTTCTCCCATTTAGTTACACAAAAGTGCGAAGACGAAAGACTAGCTTACCTTTAGTTGAGAAACCTCGATCCCATGCGCGACGCCGAAGCCTGTACTGCTTCGTATCGCGGGTCATGTTGATCGAAACCTTGTTGGGATCGTTCCCACTTTGGCCGTACCAAGTCGACTTCCTACATTCTGTGTTCGGCCCATAGATCGCTGGGATGGCTGCTTTGTCGAGAATACTGATTTCTCGAGGCCCTGGGGAGCGTTAGTAGCATACAATAGCGCCGGACGTTAGATTTGCCTGTCCGAACAATGTCTCCATATCGCTCATGCAGCTCGCCCAACTCCTTGTAGAATTGGTATCCCTTCGCGTTCAGGTACGCAACGTAGAATCGCGTCAATCTGGCAAGGACAGGCCCGGGAAACTTGCGGCATCGGTGACCAAATAATCGGTAGACAGCAATGCTAACGAAGAGGCTGACATTGAAACTTAAAGCAACGAGAGATGTCTGCGCAAAGGCAGTCACAAAGCTTCGCCCGGGGCCGAACCCGTAAACGCAAACGCGCCCTAAGAATATGAATGTGTAGAAGGTCAAATAATGAAACATATAGCGCTCAAATTCGAGTGGGGAGATAGATGTAAGGAACAATACACCCAATAGAGCGCTTGTAAAAGGGATGTAGAGAGCATCTAATAGAGAGATGGCCATTGAAGCAAGTAGAGAAGAAGCCAGTCTTGATGTAGTGTAAACTCGTCGGTTGTCGAGATTTGCGAGGGAGGGGCACCGTTGAAATAGTGATACGGTGTACACGAGACTCCAAGAACTGCAGGGCCAGAAACGGCATGGTGTAAGTAGCCTCAGGATACCGGGATATGCTCACTCAGCAGACGGGCTCGCCTGATTGGAGCGTGCCGAAGAACCCCTGAAGAGACCAAGATAGGAAAATCTTAACCCTCCCTTTGTGCATTGAGTGGCCTCGCTTAATTTTCCGCATATGGGTTGCGAAGGTGTGCAGGATTCCTCGCGAGCGGAACGTCTGCTCCATATATCGATGAGGTTTAGGAGAAGACATCCAGCCGTGCCGCAGAGGCGTGATGAAATCTTGTCATAATAGACGCGAGGACCCGAACCATGCAAATGTTGCTGATGTTCTTCTCCAGCGGTCTTGGAAGATCTTCTGGAGCCTGTGCCTCGTCGATGGACAGAAATCCTAGTGAAGCTGATGGAGATCTGAATGGGAGATGATGCACGGGTTCGTAGCCCTCGAAGGCTTCTACGAGCGACATGTACACAGCGATAAGCAGCAGTTATTCGGAGGCTCTACAGTATCTCAGCTCCTCAAAGGCTCCTCGCTCCCCGGGTTGGCGGCCTCTCATCGTGTACCATCCAACTCGTCTCACTTCATCCTACGCCGATGCATACCCAGAGATAAAGCGCTTGTTCGTACTTGTAGGCGCCACCGTTGTCGGGCGCATGAGCCGAGCGCTGCTGTGGATATGGACGACGACTGAGATTCGTGACAATGGAAGAATGTACGTCCAGCCGAGAGTGCGGGTAGCCTACTCCGGAACGGGCGAGTTACGCAAGCTCAATCAGTGCGGCAAAAGAGGTCGCGAGAGATGTAGGCGCAAGGACGGGACAAGGCTGAGGCTAGCGCCGAGTGTTGAACTCCACTCGTGCGTCCTGACGTACAAAGATGCGCTGATGTAATGGACGCAGAAGCACAGGGCAAAGAACAAGTACTATAGGGATGCATGACGAAGATGGAGTGTAGAAGACACGGGTTTAGGGAAGCGGGATGGATGGCTGGGGTATCGATAAGCGATGACGTGTACCCGAAACTCGACAGATCGGTCGTTCCTGCATACGAATCATCTTGCACCATCTTGCACCCTCTATCGACAGTCTCGACCATCTCATCGTCTTCTTTTAGCCATTTGGACGCCTTTCGCTGGGGTCGAGTGGAGAATACCCGCGGCTCGGGACTGAATTGGTCTAGCGTTTTGAAACGCATGGTGGTGCGTTTCCATCAGATCAACCCGTGAGCCACGAACCGCTGGCTATCGTCCCATATACCTGAGTGGAATAGCTGCGTTCTCCTTTTATCTCGTTACATCAGTGGCGCTTTCTGTCATTTACTTGCCTCATTTGTTGTCTCCCTCACTGCTGCGTCCCCACAGTCGACGGCCCCTTGTGCATCCTCTCGAAACACCGCAATTATCTCCATCCCCGCGGGCTTCGCCGGTGGCGGTGCGGCTCATACAAGCTTTTCGAGCCCGGTCTACGTTCTCCAAACCTTTCTCACCCCGGGTCTTCAACGCGCGCATCCCTTTTAGCCATCTTTTCCCGCCTCTGAGCCGGCAGCGAGCACGATCAGGAGACAGGCACATCTATCAAGCTAGAGAGTAGTCTGCCGATTTCCATTTAGATGGCGCAGTGCGATTCGCTCGTTTCGTTTCAATTGTATTCCCTGGTCGGCTTTTTATGTACCCCGGAACGCCACAGCCTCTCTCCGCATGCAAATCGGCTAGCAACCCCTGCCCATTTAACATCACAGGGCGGCGATTAAATTGGCCCCAACGGATGAAAGGGGAGAACTTCTCGCAAGCGGCGAAACAGTGCTACCTACCCCACACAATCGAATAACAGCGTGTCTGAAGCGACGGGAATTCTGCCTAAAACACGGGTGTACACAGTACAGCCCGCCACCAGAGAGGACTTTATATTCGTGGAGTGCTGCTGCCCAGAGTTGATCTGCGAGCATCTTCATCCGAGGTTCTACTCCAACATCGAATACTCCAAGACTTGTTTCATCCGTCTCCAACCATGAAGCTCACCGCTGCTGCTGCCCTCTCCCTTGCCGGCCTCGCCGCCGCCAACCCCGTTGACCTAGCCGAGAGGCAGAGCTGCCCCAAGGTCTACGTCTTTGGCGCTCGTGAGACTACTGCGCCGGCCGGCTACGGTACCTCTGCTGGTCTCGTCAACCAGATCAAATCCGCCTATTCGGGAGCTGGCTCTGAGGCAATTGTCTACCCGGCCTGCGGAGGCCAGTCGCAGTGCGGTGGTGTCTCCTACGACAACTCTGCCACCCAAGGCACGGCTGCTGTTGTCAAGGCTGTCACGGCCTACAACCAGAAGTGCCCTGACACTCAGATTGTCCTCGTCGGCTACTCCCAGGTACGCTCTGCCCGAAGTGCAAAAGCGTCTTCATGCTAATAATACTCAGGGTGGTCAAATCATGGACAACGCCCTCTGCGGCGGAGCTGGCGGTACCCTCACCGGTGCTGCTCTCGCCGCCGTCAAGGCCGCCATCTTCATGGGCGACCCACACAACCGCGCCGGTCTGCCATACAACGTTGGCACTTGCACGAATCAAGGCGTAAGTGCTCATCCAATCTATGTTCACTGCTCCAGGACACTAACTTCTCGTAGTTTGCTGCTCGCCCCGCTGGCTTCACGTGCTCGCCGGCCTCGTCCAGCATCATCCAGTCGTACTGCGACTCCCAGGACCCGTACTGCTGCAACGGCAACGACGCCAACCACCACCAGCAGTACGTCACCATCTACGGCAGCCAGGCCATGACTTTCATCAAGAGCAAGATCACCGCTTAAGTGGATGCAAAAATGGAAACTGCTACAGACTGCAAGGAAAATGTACACCTCACCTGTACCTAGTTAATCCAAAATGTATATACGGTCAACTGTGTTCAACCTTGCATATGCACGTGAAAGACCACCAACTTTGGGATCACCTGGGGCACGTGAGGATTATGAGACGTAGCTTTGCGAAGTCGCCTCCGCCCGTGAACCGATGATATAGCTGATAACTATTCTTATCCTGCGTGCAGCGCTGGTCCTCGAACACTGCGAAACATTTTCCCGTGGGTAGTGCGGCGGTGTTGGAGGACTACGCCGTCTCCGTTTCACATCTCGAGCAGTGTCTTCCACTTGGAGTTTCCTGAGGCGCCAACCGCCACTACGCCGCAGCGCATCCAACGCCATGGCCCCACAGTAAAACAGGCCATGTTCGAACATAAAGTAGCTGCCACTTCCAAAGCCCTATGTTTTCGTGAACACTTCTCTATCATTTCATTTTCTTCAACCCGCGTAGTCTTCCATTTCCTCCATCATGGACCTCCAACGCTACAACCGCAGACAACGCCTCAAGCAAGACATCATCATCCTCATCCTCAGCATCGTCACTCTCTCCGTCTCAATCCCGTACGCCACCCAGCTCTGGAACGATGCTGAAAGATACGTCGCCTCTTCTCCCTCCTCGTCGTCGAAGATGAACGACCTCCTCGGCTCAAGCCGAACTACGCACATGCCCCCAAAAGAGTGCGCACACCCAGAGCGCGCGGCCTAAAAGAGGGCTAGCTGATCAGAAATGTAGATCCCTCATCCCAATGTACGGCCTCACACCACTCGTCGCAATCGCCATGACAGTCCTCAGTATCAGCCTCTACTGGAACGCTGTGCAGCCGCTCGTCTACTCCATTTCTCTGAGCGCCTTCATGTTCGTTGGATGGTTGATCACGGTTATTTTCTGGGGCCGCTGTGTGCATGATGGGGATCGAGGTTCTCGGGCTGCTTGGACGAAAGGTAAGCGGGTCATACGGAAAGTGTCACCGGTTGAGGAATCGACTGACTGATCTGCATACAGTATGCATCCAAGCAACGATCTATAGAGACCACGATGTGGGGCGCAGGCTCGATTGGCTGGGCGTTGCTTCTGCTTTCTTTGCAGCGTTCTTATTGCCTTGGTATGTATGCGTGGATATTTCCCCTCCCCGTTTCTGGAGAAGAGGATGAAGCTAATTCCCGAATAGTTATTTGCTGCAAATTTGCTGCGCTGTGAGCGATTTGCGTAGAAGTAAAAGTATGGACGTGAACAGGTCGAGTAAGGAAGTGGTGGAAGAGGAGATGGAAGAACTGTAAAAGTGCATTGGGTAGGATGGAGTTAACGTGGCTATTCAGGTAAAGATGGTCGTGGAGCGATACTGGTTATCGGAACAATATAGAGGTGCCATTTAGTAAACTTTGCAAGGTCCTACTCCTGTTTGACGCTTAAATTCGTGGTCCTTAGTCAAGCGTTAAAAGTCCTCAGTGCTGATCATCACTCACGCTTGCCCTGCCGAGAGCATTCTCCGAGCATCTCTCGTGCGGCTATGACTCTCGTGAAGCTAGAGACGCTGGTGACGCAGCACTTACTTTCCCGAAAAGCTCTTCCATGTTTGGGCAAAGCACTTCCATCTCGCTGACGCTCCGCGCCTCAAGCCAATCCTTCAGCCCCCAAAAGGTCTCCAGCCCGCCAATTCTCTTCCCGTCACCCTCTCCACACTCCTCGTGCTCTTGCTCTATCTTCTTTAGCCTCTTCTCCAACGCCATAAAGGGCTTCAGCGTCAGCCTCACAGACTCTGCAAGCGGCATTGCAGCGAGACTCGCAATATCGTACGTCCTCGCCATAGCATCCACGTCCAGCTCCCGATAGCCGTGCGTAAAGGTAAATGCAAGCTCGCGCAGATCAATCATCAGCTCCACATACCGAAGATTCGGAAGCGACCTCAGCAGCTTCGTCCCATTCGGAGTGAATATGTCCTTCTCGAACAGGTCCAGTCCCAGCAACTCAAGCTTCGTCAGCATACCATATCCCTTGCCACAGTCCCACTCATTCAGCCAGACGAACAGGTTGTAGATTGCGACATCGCTCGGGATAGTGAAAACGGCGTTTCGCAGAATGAGCCCGGTGACTTCGTAGTAGAAGACGTGGTCGATGTGGCGGAGGTCGGGGAGACGGATAGCTTTGGTGTCGGGGACTTCGATGTTGTGGAATTGTGGCTCCCAGGTGAGAGAGAAGGTGTAGATGAGATCTCGGACTTGGCGGGGCAGGTAGAGTAGCGTGTTGCCGCGGTTGAGTGCGCCGCGGTAGGATATGACGGTTCGGAGGCGGAGAGGTGGCGTGGTTGTGGTGTTCGAGGAGGGCGGACTCGGTGGGTAATGGAGCATTGTTATTGCTGGAGGGTGTGGCTTTTCTGCTGGGATTTGTAGTATAGCTTGAGCCTTCTTGGTTCTCAAGATTCCTAGCTCCGGAAGCGTGAAGGGTGTGTAGGAGATAGTACTTGTGATTGGGAAATGAGTGGGTTGAGAACCTTAGTAAGAGATATTGGGAGTCACAAAAGATCTGATATGGGAGTAGAATAGAAGCACGAGCGAAGTAAAGGAATAGAACATTTTTATTGCACATTCCCATTGTGAACAGCCGACAGTTCCAAACTTGAATTAGTGGATATCATATTGAATTGGACAGGTGACCACCAGTTCTTGAAACGCCTCGTTGGTTCCGATTCAGCCCTTGCAGCACCATCATCAGTATAGAATAGGTGGATGGCGCCCGTCTTCTGTCTGCAAATGCGTCCGAGTCTTAAGAGTAAAGAGCTATCGTTGATGATACGCCATCCTCTCGAGAATCCTGTTGTCAAGTTACAATTATCAAAGAAGATATATCGTTGGGGCGGAAGACATACCTTGTAAACCAGTGCCAGGGTCGCGGTGAAGCCAATAGCGTTGTCCGGGATTGGTTTCCGACGAGGCTACTCAATCTCCTCATCGTCGACAGGAGAAGAGTATCGACCTCCAGTGTTGTACTCGCAGAATATTTCAACGTCCATCTGCTTTCGGCGGAATAGCTCAGCTAGCCAGCTCTTCAAGCCCCAGGCATCTTTCAATCTCGGCATTTCTGGATGGTGGCGCGCCGTGAATAGTTCTTCTAGTTCCGATGCCGTGAGGTCGTCCAAGACGCTCTGATGCCTCGCGTTACAATACATCAACTTGATGCATAGGCGGCGGAGGGTACTGATTGACGACAGTGTAGCGAGGTCGTAGAGAGCCGTTGTAGCTAGGAGCATGTTGTCGAAGACGGTAAGCATCCCAGGCGTGTAGAGCGCAAATTCGCGCAGCGGAAGGTCTACCACCATGGAGCGAAGTTTGTTGCAACGGCTCAGAAACCCGATGGCCGCAGGAACAAACTGTGGCTCGGGTAGCACCTTGTCGTGGACCTCCACCGACTTTGTGTTGTGAGCGTTGATCCTATCCTGCCACCACGTTCTGACCTGCTCTGATGGCACCTTCCGAAAGGTATCGAAATCGTCGAACATTACTGCACGCACGCAATGAAAGGCATTGAATGACTTCTTCGCTTCTAGCCATAGTACGACTTGCGCCAGGTTAGAGGTATCTCCTATAGCGAAGACCAACGACCTGAGGACAGAAGGCTCCGCTTCACGGTACAACAGCTTGCTCGCGAGCATGAGCTCGGTCGGCCCGACAGTTGGTCTCCCCTTCTCGTTGACGCGGAGTAGAGCTGTCATTCCAACGGAGCACCATTCGTAGATTTTGTCGCGGATTTCGCGCGGAAGGTAGAGCAGCGCATTGCCGCGGCGCCGAGCTTCGCGGTACGGCGTCGTGGCAGTGGGACTGGGATTTAGTCGTAAGGAAACGAAGTCCGTCGCCGGGGAGGCCATGATCGATAGTAGATGTGGGTCTGTTGTTGAGAAGGTGAGCTGATGCCTGAAAGTTCTGGCGGAATCGACAAGCGAGCTATGAAGTGGGCTAGCGTCTTGGCGTTCCCAAGGAATGAATACGAAATCACATGCTCTCGTTCCGTCTTCAAATTCACTTCGATTATTAGCACCTAGCAGCCAATAAGTGGAAACCATATCTAACTACAGGTCGGCGATAGTCTGAGGCTGCACACCAAGGGCCCTTGATTGCTACCTGTTCTAAGCGAATTGTGTTCCCCTCCACCCCTCCTTCACCAACATTGACCCCAGAATAAAGCCTTCTCATTGTCACTACTCGCCACGCGAGAAATGCAATCTTCGGTATAACCTCACGCTCAATCTCTCTCTCATAACCAGCAACTCCGGAACCTCACTTTTCAACTCCGCTGATCGCAACTACTCCACACACAAACATGACATCCCAATTAATCACTCTCGGCGCCATACGCGACGCGCTCAAGAAATGCACATCGCCCCACGCCGAGCCGTTCATGTCGCTGCTCAAGAACGGCAAGAACTCGCCGTTGAAATGCGCGAAGTCGGTAAAAGACCGCTTCGGCCCGACCGACGACGATTTCCCGCGTGTAGGAAAGAGGCAGTCTCCTTTCGGTACCAAGAAGCTTCCTTCAGCCGAAGGTCTTCGCGACATTCTACTCAACGAACTTGAGGCGGAGGAGGGAGGGCCAGTTTACTTCCCGCCGCCGTGGTCGGAAGATGAAGGAATCGATATGAGTGCTGAGGATGCAGCGGCAGTGCTTATCAACAATATCACCGATCCCGATTACCAGGCTGATGGGCTGATTCCGAACCTGCCTTGCCCCACGATAGACGACCTGTGCCACGATGGCAAAGAGCAGGGGACTAACGTCCTCTACGAGACATATACGACTTGCTCTGTACTTTCTAGCAACACTCTACTGCCCCTCCAGCACCACAATGAAACTACGAGCTTCTCCACTCTATTGACTGGTAGCATCGTTTGGATGATATGGCCGCCAACGGAACACAACCTCAGCACTTTGCAACAAGCATACGAAGCGTTCGCCCAAGGCTTCGATCCCGCTAAGCTGGACGTTGCACCCGATCTAGTCGGCGGGGTGGCCTTCGTGCAGAGTGTGGGCGAAGGCATGCGCATTCCTTCATTCTGTCCAATGTTGGGCCTCGCGACGAAGACTTCAGTCCTCTCAACCTATTCCATATTCACTGCCGATGTCTTCGTCCCCATGCTGCGCAGGATACCGCTTCTCAAAGCGTGGTGGCAGACAGAGGTCAACGGCGAGGCGAAGCGACTCGACTTTGGTGCAGGCATTTCCGACTGTTTGGCTCGCATCCTCTCAGGCTCCTTCGACAAGTTCAACGCGCTGAAAGATAGACATGTCCCGGAGAACGGCCCACTTCACACCTCTCTGCTAGCTTGGGATGAGGTAAAGGATGACTTGGTCGGAATTATGGACGACGAGACTGCGAAAGCGACGAGGAAGACGTGGACGGAATTCCTGATTGCGGTTATCGGAAGGAACTGCGCAATCTGCGGGAAGAGCACGCAGAGCAAGAAGCGCGAAATGGGCAAGCATTTTGATGGTGCACACTGGCCGAAGCAGCAGAACGCGGCTAAGCGGGTAGATTCTATGGAGCTCGACCAGGTCGACGAGGATGGAGATAATGCTATGGTAATCGTGGAAACGGAATAGGGTCACGGTGATCCGACAGAACTGGTCAATATGTGGTTAAAGCTAGAAAGAGCAAATCCACGAGGAAAAAGTGGCGGCTTGTCTTCAGCATCTCAGGAGCTCATCGGATGTCTCTTTGGTCTGGTCCATGTTCCTTTCTTCATTGACAAATCTGCTCAAAAGAGGATTGCCCTGACTTTTTGGTTCGCGGTGTTCAAGGCCTGGGGTTAGATCCGACAACTTCCACAGAGGGTGATAAGCCCGCGTGTTAGCAAGGGCTCGTTAAGGGAACTTCAATAATGATATTCTTATGGTGCCAAGTGTTCCCGGGTAATTTTCCCGCCTTCCATGAATGTGATTCGCCGCTATGCTCATGCAATGCTTTTCCATGATATACCGGTGCGAGGTCCTCGTTGCATCATGTCCGTCACAGCAACGGGGAAGAAATCAGAGCAGACGTCAAAAATCTTCGCAGCAGTTCAAGCAGGATTAGCACTTCAAACTTGTGTCGTGGCTTATCGTTGGTGGACGGCGGCTGCCACGATACCTAGGTAGTATGGCGTCTGCCCTTTACCATAACGGAAAACTTGACTGAGGGAACCACTGCGTTCTCTCACGGAAAATCGGCGCGGTTTGTCAAGCTTGGGCCGCGGAAAAGCTAGAACATGGAAAGAAGCGCAGGAGATGTGTGCTTCCTGCTTTAACAGAGAGTCTATATAAACTCCCCAACTGAGCCCTGCTTTTCTTCTTTCTCCACAATCTTAGAAATTTGTCGCTTCTCTGTTCATTCTACCACTGCCAGTCATACAGCGCCGAGAAAGCTCTTAATTGGTCCATTCAAGCATTTCTTGCCGCAGAATATCAACAAATATCTCTTGGAGATAGCTTGGTCAGTCAACAAAAGCATACGTTGAGAATTCCTAGTCACCACTTGTATTCATAGCACTCACTCCTCACCCTGCCTCTGTGGACCAGCAAACTAAAGCAACCAGACCGCCACTGCCATAACACTTACGCTCTCTTCTCCATAGTACTACACACTTGCAAGAGAGGGCAACAGCGCTGCACTATACAAGAGATAGCATCCATCAGCGTAACAATGCTAATTCCAAATTTCCCCCTATCAGGAGACGCTCTCCCTTCCGAAATGACCAGGTGCCAGAATGCCGCTCTTGTCAGCTTTATAGCCCTCTTTCTCTTCCGTTACGTTCGCGCGGTCCTCCACCTGGTGGCTACATAATGAACAAGCCAGCCTCAGTCCCGGAAAAGCCATCATATACTGCGGCGGACGTGACAGTTGTGGTGACAACTGTCGACATCTCTCATATGGCGATACACGCTGTCGTCCGTTCGATCTTAGAGCATGAGGTAAAGGCTTTGATTATTACCACAGCCGGCAGCGGTATTCCCGCTCAAATCTCATCTTTCAACACCGTGTTTCGCGACCAAAGGATCCTGTTGCTACACCGCGCGGAGCCAAATCAGCACGAGCAGACAGCTGCGGCAATGAAGCACGTCACGACTCGGCTCCTTGTTCTTTCTAACGACCATACGTACTGGCCCTCTTCACCAAGGTTCCTACCGTCTCTTCTCGCTCCATTCGAGGACCCCAAGGTCGGCGCGGTGAGTCCCATCACCCCATCTCATTCCGCGGATTCTGGAACTTCTGGGGAACGATTTATCTCCAACAATATGGCCGCGCGTTGATGGCCTCAAATACCATCGACGGCGGAGTAACCTGCCTCCCGGGCCGCTTTGGTGTCTTTCGCTCTTCAATTTACGCGTCGTCCGACTTCCTCTGCCACTACCTGAATGAATACAGTTGGTGGTTTGGCAAAGCGTTGGACCTTTGAATGCTGATGATGACAAGTTTCACACTCGCTGGCTGGCGACTCACGGCCGTAACGATTTGAAGTGTTTTGTGAATGCTTCTGGCATTCAGAACCGACATCCATTCTATCCTTGACTAGCTCTGCTCGTTCCAACGAAGATGACTAGAATGGCCGCATAAGCCGCCGTCAATTCGAGGACATCCCTCCAGGTCCTCCTAGATAGAGAGACTATTCCCATAGCGACCCCAAGAATACACAGAGAGGAAGCTATTGGGTTCGTCTTGATGATCGAATGTAGTGTCAAGATGAGCATGGGAACAATGAGCATCAAGCCGAACAAGGCACCCCAGACTTTGGACATCAGCCCATCCGTCCAATACATATACGAGGTGACTATGCCGCGATAGATGTTGTCCTGCCACGCGTTCTGATATGTAACGCCGTTGGGATCCGAGTTTAAGCGTTTGTTGAGAGTTGGTAGGAGCGTCTCGTGGAATGGGAACAGCTTCTTGGAGGAAGGTGGCTTGAACTGGAGTTCGCACATATATTGGTAGTCTCTGATTGCTTGGCCTAGACATGCTGTAAGCCGTGGGATATGGACGCCGATTTCAATGCTTACAATAGTTCCGAAGGAGTACTCTCAGACGATCTAGCTGCTCTTTGCTCGTGGTTTCCTTATCGCAAAGCTGATGAAGCTCCGACTCTAGTTCAGCTTCATAGCCGTGTAGGTTGAGATGATGTAGCCGTGGGAAAACTAAGACACCCATAGCGTCCATGTCCTGTGAAGGCGAGTCCTCGGAGTGGGCATTGAGCGCTTCATGTGCAAGGAACGCGTAAACGTCGTCGCCTTTCTTGGTTGTGAAGCGGGTCGTGTGATGTATTGGCATGTCAATGTCGAACACCCTTTGAAAAGAATTTAGGATCTCTGAGCGGAGCGGCAACGGATCTGGGCCATGCCATGCCGAATTTGGTGCAGGAAAGATGAAAGCGCCGAGTGCATCATCCTTGTGCTCTGGGACTCCGTTCGAATGAGCGCCGCGGTTTGGACGGTGGTGTTGACCTGAGGTATTGGATTTCGGGCCGGCCATGGTGGGGCGTGTCACCGCTGACAGGCTCGAGATGCCGTTGCTTTGGTATTGGTTCCGGCTTCTAGTCGGAGCTAAGCGCGCTCTACTGGTATGTGAAGGTTCTGGGAAGATTTTCGAACGCTCTTCGGCGTGAATGGTATTCTTCTATGCTTGAGACGGTTCTGTGGCTGCTCTATCGCCTGATATCACTCAATCCATTCTAGCATGCTAGGGAACACCATCACAAGATTGTGGCTGGCATGGGAAGCGGGTGATTGGACCACTCCGCCCGTCACTATGCGTCCTTCCCTGGATTTGCGGAGAGCTCATGGCGTGACTAGTGAGAACCGGTGAGGAACCGTAATCGCGTCGGGTGGGTGGCGAATGCCTGCTGAGCCCTTCGCCTTGAGCCGCCCTCGCAGCCTTCTTTGTGCCGGTGTAGATATAGACCTTAGAAGGTGGTGAAGGAAGGATAGGGGAAGAAGCGAGGGAGCAAGGGTAACACGTTGAGGTTGCACGTGTCATTGCGTTTTAGCGTGATGGTCCGTGCGCTAGGGGCTTTTCTCCATGCCGTCTGCATCTCCATGCCCGTAGGCAAAACACCGGGATCAATGCATTTCCTTCCTTTAATTCCGGACCACTTAGCTTTCATTTCCTTCGACGCAACTCTCTTATGATGCATCTAGGCGTTGAACAACGGTTCGGCAAGAATTTGGCGGTCTCCGTTCTCAGAACACAATCCACGCCCAAGAAATGTGTCCATCAACGTCATTTCAATCGCCGGACAATCTACACATCGGTTCATAAGTTGGCGCACCGGAAGACTAAAATGAAACAAAAGAGAAATGTAGAATCAGAAGGAGCCAGTCCGGCTCCCCCAGGCTCAAATTTGCCCGAGCAGAGCATGGAGTCGATCAGCGGGAGCGTTGGCGAGAGAAAACGTTCATCCTGGAAAGACCTTCGGGCGAGACTACGGGCATTATGCGGCGCACCGTTGGCTACTTTCGAGCGCTTGGACTTCAAATCCTCGTCGCCCAGAATCGGCAGCGGCTCCGGGCACCAGCTGCTGGCATCATGGAATATCGATCATACCGATAACATCTACGTACCTGGCAAGTTCCTGATAGCAACGGAAATTGCTGTAGGGTTTGAAAACTCATGTTTGGCATAGGTGCTCCGCCCCGTCTGTCGCTTCCGACTTCACCATCGATAAACCTAAATTGGAGCCTTATGCCTGCAACCGTGGTGCGAAAGGTTCGCGGCTTAAGCACGTCTTCGGATCCCTTATTTGAAAGTGCTCGCTTCATGAGCCCCAAATTCGAATTTCGGAGTCTGGACGTGTTCTGCGACTTGGAAACTATTATCGATCTATACAATGGACGAGACATGATCACAATATCCACGCTACCTGGAACTCCGGCTTTCCTATCCAGGCTCAGGTCGAAGTCTCTTTCTCGATTTTCGGCTCCTAACGCCGATGGGAGGACGGAATTGGGTCCTGATCCCCGCATAGGAGCTCCTTTCAAATGCGAATTAAGCACTGTCCAACAACGAGGGTTTGCTTTCGAAGCAGCAATAACCCAGAAAGAGACGGGCCTCCCTCCCCAAACCAGACATTTTCGTGTCATTCGCTATGATTTTGGCCAAATTGCTTTAGCCATCAGGTTCGAAGTTGACGCGTGGGAGCCGGTAGCAGACCGTGCCTTGCACTCTGACTCCGGGTCTCATAACAACCGATACGATGTTTCCGATCATACGGCTAAAAAAGATAGGGGGACTGAAAGAAAAGTCATCTTGGCAGGCTATGTGGTTGATGCTTCGGAAACTGTCGAGATCAAGACTTCGAAAGACGACATACGCGAACGCTTCAAAGGCTATCTCAGTGACCAGTACCTAGCTCAAGCTTGGTTTTCCCGGAAGAGCAAGCTGTGCTTAGGGATGTACAATTCTAATCACGATTTCCGAGTGGAGACGAGGAATATGAGCGAAGGCTTTGCACTTTGGGAAAGGAAACATCGGTCTCGCCTCCGGTGGCTACACAATTTCCTCCGCAGAGTGACTACCGAAGTCTCGAAGTCATCAAGCAAACACTGCGTTGCGGTGCCCTTGAATCGAAGCCCGGGTGTCGAAGGCAGACGGTGGGAGCTCTACGAGGTGGAATCCGGCGGCCTAAGGTTTTCCGATCATATGGACTTTCTCGCAAGAATGGCTGAATACGACTCCCAAAGCGATCAAGCCTGCTCGAAGGGGGATCGATCTTCCTTTCCTCTCGAGCTCAAAGATCTATGCCGACCCGCCGTGTCAGTGGGATGAGGGATGTTTGCCCGTAAAATGACTGGCGCACCACGCGGGAAAAATTCAAGACAACGCCCTCTCATACAACAAACTCGCCGAACACATGTAGGAGCCCAAAAATTACCCTATATTAGCCACTAACGGCGATCATGGGGAAGGCCCTTGTTCGATACCTTTCTATCCGAAGCTCTAAAATGTGCTAGGCCTCATCCAGAATGATCTCCGATATCCTCTCTGCTAGAGCATATATCGTGGACATTGGATGGCCGGGTGGCAGGAACGGCATCGCACTCACGTCCACCACCCGCAACCGCTGCACACCGAATACTATACCGGCGGAGTCCACCACAGCCGTCTTATCGTCTTTCTTTCCCATCTTGCAGGTACAACTCACGTGCGAGATAGTCCGCGCACTACTCTGGATATACTTCAATATCTGCTCGTCTGTCACAGTGCCATTCCCGGGCGCCACTTCCGACCCGACAATGACTGTGGCGAGGAAGGGATGAGCGATAATCTCTCGAGCCCTTTTTATGCCGGCTATGGCTAGGTCTTGGTCAAGTGGATCTGTCAGGAAGGCGACATGTATTACCGGCGGATCGAGCATAGAAGGTGACGAGATTGAGATGGTTCCACGAGAGAACGTATTGACTAGCACCACGCTTATCCCTCCGTAGTCATCGTTGTCTGGAGGTTTCACACCTGGGTAGGATGAATGGGCCAGGAACTCTAAATCAGGCCAGTCTTGCGGAACTGCGTCCAACGCGGCAGCGGTCTTGTTGGACACTAAGCGACGAGGAACCTTCTCCCATGCTATTTACGTCAGACGATGGCTCAGAGACACATCAAGAGCAAGTAAGGTACTTACAAATAACCTCGCCGCCCGTACTGGCCAACGGCCCTGTGCCATCTCTCAAGTAATCTCGAACAGCAGCAGCATTTTTAGCTGGAGAGTTCAACACTGTGGAGCTAGGAAGCTTCAACTTGCGAGTAACTCCAACAGAGGGATGGTCCTGCAATGTATCAGCCATGTACCTGCAGCCAACCAAACTGGACATACCTCCATCCCCTGGCCCACACCAGGTGCGTCGACCAGAATCTGGATCCCGAACTTCTCCAAAGTCTCCTTCGGACCAATACCACTCACCATCAACAACTGGGGACTCTGGAAAGCACCAGCACTCAAGATTACTTCTTTGTTCGCCGTGAGCCGGAAGTCTTTGCCCAGAGTATTGCACAACACCCCCACGGCCTCCGTTCCATTGAAGACAATCTTCATCGCCATAGTCGAAGGATAGATGAACAAATTAGCCCGTTCCATCGCAGGTCTGAGATACGCCGTCTCAGATGAATCGCGAACTTGGGTCTTCGCATCCACCGTGCGCAGATTCCAACTAGATCCGATCAGCTCGCCATCTATCCACCCCGGGAGTGGCTTCATTCCCAGCGCATCCACAGCTTTCAGCAGCCACGTCGTCCACGGCAACACCCAATTCGTATACGAGATAGAGACCGGACCAGACGTCGCGCGGTCGCCAGCCGGATCATACGCCGGCGTAGCGTTCGCAGGCCGTTTCGTCATATCTGCCTTATGGAACGTAGTCGACTTGTCGAAATACGCCTTGAAATTCTCCCACTCGTACGCTGTGTCGCCCACGTCCTCCGCCCACTTCTTATACGTCCCCTTCGTCGCGCGATGATACACCATATGATTGCGCGCGGAGCTACCTCCCAGCGTCCTGCCCCGCGGATAATGGATCCGCTGTCCCCCGATGCCTTCCTCCGGCTCGGTTCTGAACATCCAGTCGACGAGCGGATTCACGTCGTCGAAGCCGAGGCCCGCGCCGTTCCAGACCCAGCGCGGGATCTGCGACTGGTTCCCGTTGCTGAGCTCGTAGAAGCTGCCGGCTTCGATGACGGCGACGGTGTGCGCGCCGGACGCGGAAAGGCGGTTTGCGAGGACGAGCCCGGCGGTTCCGCCGCCGACGATGAGGTAGTCGTAGGTTGCGTTCAGGCCGGGGATGCCGAAGGAGCTGCCGAGGAGGGGTTGGCCGGTGATGGAGTCTGCGGGGGCGGAGGACGTTGTGGGGAGGAATGCTGAGAGCGAGAGGAGGATTGTGACGGCGCGAGATAGGGCTATGGAGTATGCGCTTGAGCGCTCAGGCGTGTGAAGCGCCATCTTGACCTTCAATTGTGTGCTTAATCAAGAAGCCAGCATGCAGTAGTCGCGTTGGGCAGAAAGTTCGTGCGGAGAGCTAGAATATATTTCTCGAAGCTACCCTTGCCATAGCTCTTCCTCCTGCACGCACGCTCTCGTATCCTCATCTTGACCTGCATGGTCTGGTCGGCTTGCTTCCCGCATCCAGATATTCCGCCCATCAACTACCTGTGCGCTCAGCCCTATCTGCAGGGGCCGGGGAAACCACCGAGAGTTACCATCCCGCCGGGTACTCTAGGCCCTTGGCTATCTAAAGTAGCCCTTCGTCCCTCTTCTTTCCAGGGTTAACTGTCCCATTTTATGATGTTTGGTTTGTGTCCTTAGTCAGTTGCACCTGTCATCAAATAATTGTTAAAGATATGGTAGACGAGGGAGTAGAGATGCAATGCGAATTCGGGACGACATTCAGTTCAGCAGATATCTGCATTGCATGATGAGGGGTACCTCAAGAGGGGTAGTTAAAATGCAGGGGGATATGCAGGTGTGCTTACTCATTACGCATGCAATCCTTTTATCCGACCAAGCAGCTTGCCCGGCGGAAATGATGTGCGTCAGTACAAGGGAGACGGAACTCACCGCCCCAATTCGTGAACGTTCACCATATGCAATGCAAGAAAGAGAGGCTTGAGATCCCATTGTGTTAGCTATCTTCCCGTAGACAGCGTCAAGGAGATTCCGATTCCGTAAGAAGCATGGCAGTATGTCAACCCCGTTCCCTACCACTGCAAGCTCTTATTTCAGGCCACGGTCGCCGTGAGGTCTGCGCAGCGTGCCAATTAGAAAAAAAAGCCCGTCGCGCCTACTCCGTCATATCACATAGTCCACCAAAGTCGCCGCGAAGCACATTGGCGAGACGTTGCCATGTCATGGAAGCTAATATATCCATGGTGCCAGCCGTCCACAGACTTATAACTCGCCCTCATCGTCCCAGGCACTGTGTGGTCCATAGACCGGTCCTTCTGTACTATCATCGTCGATCTTAGACTCGCTCAGGTCCATTGGGTCACCAGGCAGAGTAGTAGGCTGCGGAGTCGGAGGCTGCGCATCATTGGAATCTGTCTCCGAGGACGCGTTGTTGGGTACGAGGGGCACGTTCAGGGAGCCGTTGTTGGATCTTCCCATGCGAGCATACATGCGATCATATTCTTCACCTATGTCCGAGTTGAAACCGTCGTCGTCGAATTGGTCGTCCGCGAAACGCTCCTCCACGAGGGGGGCCTCGTCGATGAAGTGGTCGGCGTCATCTTCATCAGCTCCTTGGCCGGCCTCCATATCTTCGTCGTCACGGTCGGCTTCATCCGCCAATGGGTCTTCCGGACGAGGGAACGGCTCTCCGACTGTGTCTGTCTCGCCCTGATTGTCGCCGTCTCCATCCGCTTCAGGGTCCTCATCTTCTGCTTCGTACTCTTCTTCGTCTTCACCCTCGTCTTCTTCATCATCCTGCTCTTCGTCCTCTTCATCGTCTTGCTCCTCGTCCTCTTCATCATTCTGCTCCTCCTGCTCCTCATCGTCCTCGTCTTCCTCCTCGTCGTCAGGGTGTGCTTGGCCATGACCTCCGGGCTGAGGCTGATTGAACGTGATACCCTGCGTCTGGAAGAGCTCAATGCGCAGCATCATCAAGGTTTCGGCGCGCACATCCGGGGGCAAATTGTTAATCATGGCCCTGCGGTCGTTATCCACATGTTGTAACACATCTTCATCCTCGTCTTCTTCATCGGACTCTTCCTCTGCCTCCTCGCCTTGATCTTGTATCCATTGCTGGCGTCGCGTCAGGCCCTCGCGGTTCAGTCCAGTCTCTTTGTGGAAACCATCCTGGTTGTAACCTTCTTCGTCGTAGTGGGCCGGACCGTACTGTGGGCAGCCGTGTATACCGGGCCAGTCTTTGCCGCAGATATAGCAGAAACTATTTCCGCACTCGCAGGTGATGTGGTTACAGGCCTCGGCGAGCTCGACAGTCCGTCCGCAGACAAAGCACTCCTGATAGCCTTTTTCTTCGACGGTCTGCTTGAACTTCTTCTCGATTTCGGTTATCTCGCATTTGTGGGCTTGAAGACCGTTATCGAGTAGCAACTTACAGGACACGCACGTGATCTTGCAACAGCCATCGGCCTCGCAGATCGCGTATGTTATCTTCGTGCCCGAATCCGTAATGTGGTTGGCCGGGCTGAGGAATTGAGCGCAAGATGCGTCCGCGCAGTACACCCGGAACCTATCCGTGTCAGCATACAGTTCTCTCAGAAGATTCAAGACGCAGGGCTTACTTTGGCAGTACGGCGTATTCGCCCTGTTCCTTAGCCTGGAACGCCCATTGGACCTCGAAAGGTACATGGTCCATCCACTCATCTAGCATCAATATCTGACCACAGCATTGCGGGGGATAGAGGCTCTCGCTCTCAGTGGCGCGGACGAAGAAATCTCCCACGTCTTCTCGGCAAACGTAATGACGGTCGCATGGTAGCCGTAGTAGGAGCGTCTCCTCGCCCTCTTCCTCTCCGCAGATGACGCAGCTGTTGACCATCTTGAATCGCCTGCACGGCTTGGTCAATTGAGGTGGTGAGAGTTTGGTGTGTTTGGAGAGTCGCGTTGTTTGCGCGTGTCGTGCCTAAAAAGGGCCGTATGGTGGGGAATTGCGGCAGTCTTGGCGCAAGGTAACGTTAGGCGGTGTAGCGATGATGTAGAGGTGGCTGCTGTGAGTGAAGGACTCGTAGTGCTCTTCACCTTATCGCAGCTTGGGAGTGCCCTATTTCACCAGCCGGAGCAAGCCCGGTGACCACCTTCGCCTTATCAAAGCCAATGCCCACAGGCAGGAGCCACCAGCCAGAAAGATGTCGCGTAATTTCCTTGCCGGAAGGTATCACGATCAACGATCGGAGCCAGTGAAACACGGAAGTGTGAGTCGAACAGCCCTGTACCACATAAGAAAAATGTATATATATGCTGCAAATTCCTATCGCATGTTGATAGGGTAGTGACCCAAGAACTGATGTGTGAATATAGAAAAACGAAAGCAGCGCGATACTGAGGTACTAGGAAGGGAGAAAGGACTTTTGCTCATAGGGTGCCCCAGAGGTGACATGGAGGCTGACTCCTTCGCAGGCAGCCAACCGTGCTGAGCCAATGAGCAGCCCGGGTGAAGCCGGTACATGTTTGCCGCCTGTTTTCGATCGGCTATGCAATCAAACCGATGAGGATGACGCGCGATGGCCGTTTGCTCATCCTGAAATTAGTGAAGCGTAGGGTAGCGGGCGCGGAGGTGAAAGAAGCCAAGCCAAACTAAGCGGAGTGTTGCCTGGCTGCAGGTGTACAGTGTCGAGCCGGGTCTACTTGCTCCCCGAGTCTCCGCTACGCGGATGGATGACCAGAGAAAGAGGCTTAATGCTTTCGAGATGGCACAGGAGTCATTCAAACGGGGATAACGAGATAGTGGTGGAGACTGCGGACAGGAATTGCGGGCAGTTTTAAGCGACAGCTGGAGGGAGACTAGCGCACCTTGGCGTCAACCTTGACGGGAAAACATTCAAGATGGAATTCTCTTCAGATATTCAATCATGTTGAAATAATACAACAAATATTACACAATTTCCACTCGGTCAAATTGACTTCTTGTATCCATACATTAGCTGGGTGCTTTTCACGTGACCCGGAGTGTGTGCGGAGATTGCCTGCCTCAATCTACACACAAATCGTCTAAGTGCATCAAGAGCCGCCGTAAAGCATTTCATGCGCAGAATTTACAGATATTACCTGTGTCTATTGATTAACCGTCACTCAGAGTGTGTTAGTATCCACGCACGCCATTCGGAAGACTTATCAATTGCCCAAGTTAGCTCCCACGAGTTCTTTTTCTTGATTGAACGTTCACATCCCTCTCTCTTGGGAAGGGATCTGCCATTGTAAAGCACGACCTAGCAGTGCTTGTTTGCTTACTGGCAGCAGTGCATGCCGCCATGCTACGGGGTGACACTGGACACGAAGTCGCCTTGCCTATGTTAACTAATAGCTCTGGTTGAGAACCGCAATCCCCATCCGTAGCAAAGAAGGCGCATTTATGTGATTTCTATCAGTCTATTTCCGGCCGAAAGGGCGAAAACAAATCGCCTGCCATTTGCAGTGCTTTTCATCTCACCAGTAGACACCAGTCTGGCCCTGGATATCATGGATAGCCAGCATCACAGGCGTTGTAGCACCCTGATCGGGCGTTTTAATGCCTCCTCCCTTCGTCATGTCCGTCTTCACGTAGCCCGGACAGCAGGAATTGATCAAGACAGTGCTACCCTTCTCTTTCTCAGCAATCGCGAGGGCCCGGGTCGCGCCAATCAGACCCGCTTTCGAAACAGCATACCCAGCGCTTGGGAACCCTGCTTCCTTCTCTTTGCCAGCTTCGACAGCCGAAGCGAAGTCCTTCATGATACTTGTCACGTCGGCCTCTGTCTGCGAGGAGAGGAATCGGTTACGAATCTCGTCGGAGTACTTGCTCAGGCTGCCGGCGATGCTGGCGAGATTGACTAAGCGGCCGTGTGGCTTTATTAAGGGGAGGAAGGTGTGGCACGCGGCGAGAGTGCTGTAGTAGTTGCAGCCGAGCGTCGTCCTGACGACATTGGAGTCTATCCTTGTGTAAGCGTCCGTCCCAGCAGCACACCTGCAATTTGCCTACCAAATCCGTTCATCGCAATCCCCGCATTGTTGATGACAAAGTCAATTCCATCGCCGTGGGCCTGCTTCAGGTGCTCCGCGAACGTGTCCACGCTCTTGCGATCCGTTATGTCGAGCTGGTGGTATGTAATCTCCGACAGCCCTCCATCTGCCTTTAACGCTTTCGCTTGCTTCAGCTGGGAATCCTCGTGTAGGTCCTTGAGCGCGGCTTCGCCTCTGCTCTTGTCGCGGGCCGTGAGGTAGATTAGGAAAGGGCCGTTGTTGAGCGGCGACTTCGGGTACTGCAGTGCAAGCTGGCGAACTGGACGTCGTCAGGAGTGGAGTTCGGTGGGCTCATGGTGGAGTGGAGTACCTATTGCAAGTCCAATGCCCTGCAGACGTCAGTGATCGATGATCGAATCCTGGGGCTGCAGGAGGGGCCTACCTTGTTGGCGCCGGTTACGACTCCCACTCTACTGTAGGCCATTTTCAGTTGTGTGTTATCGGTCTGGGGGGCTACAGAAAAGGGAAGCGACAGCCATTATAGCAGTGTCTCCTCTCCTTCATTGATGACGACGGCGGTGGATATTCATCATCATCGAAGGACGGAGTTAAGGTTGCTGGCCCAAGCTCCCTTTAGCGGTCGATCACAAGAACGCTAGCGGGACGTTCACTACGACTGCGAGATCGCCACATCGCCAACGCCAGGCCGTCTTCGCGCCTCAATCACGCCCGGGCGCTTCGCAGCCTCAATACGAAGAGCTCACAAGCTTTCCCAGGTTTGCCATGCATCGATTTCGGCTGCGGGGCATCATGCTGGATCAGCCCACCTCCCCACCGCTGTTTTCCATGCGCCTTGCAGTGGTTCAGATCAGAGCCTCGTATTCTAACGCCAAAAGCCCCGTTCAGCGTCCCGCATGGGAGGCTGCCACGAAGTCCTTAGCATTACCTTGTCGCCGTAGAAAGGAGGGCATAGTTGCGCCGAGCTGACTGAGAACCACGCGATTCGAGAAACCAAATTTCACAGCCTTCCGTCTCATGCGGCAAGCTCCGTGTCCCAATCACACATTATCCAGCTGTCTCAACGGTCACACAGACTGCAGCTCTCCAATCAGCACTCGGTGTGGCCCCTCTCACCTGCCTCAGCTTCGCTATTCTTCTTGGCCCGCCGCCGCCTCCTATGCTGCTGGAGAAGCATCTAGCCTGATCGTTAAAATGCCACCTATTCAACTCCCAAGCCTCTGACTCCGCTCCCGATAGCATGCTCTTTCCTCTCCGGCAAAGCGAAAGCCGCCGAAAAGCCTAACGTACCGATCCCCACGCAATCGCGTCTCGCCGTTCCTACTAAGCTATCTCGCCAGCCTCGTCCGCTATTTTATCTTAATGACTACCTTTTCAGCTTTGCGTGGAGTGGCGCTGTTTCTTTTCTATCTTCCTCTGAACGCGGCGAGTCCCAGAATCCAAGAGCAGCTTCTCATTACCGCCCCTCCAAGTCCGCAAGCTACCCACTGCCCCCGCCACGACCTTCTGAGACGGCAAGCAAGCTGTCAGTATGGCGAATGCGGAACAGCCTGTCTCGCACAAGGCGCTTTCTGCTGCGGGCCTGCCGGCACTCTAGCTACCTCGCCCTTCTGTAATTCTCCCGTTGAAAGAATAAGTGATCCCGCTAACCTGTTTAGGGGTGTGCGACAACGTAAACAGTTCCCTCCATGAGAAATCATAATATCCGCTAAGGCACAGAATAGGGCGCATGCATCACATCAGTTCGGGGAGCAACCGGTGTCGTCGACTGTTATGACCCCGAGAACCCCTCTGGAACAACTCAAAGCTGCATTGACGAGAGTGCAACCACCACGTGTAAAGCCACCGATCGATGCTACACATGGTAAGTCACCTCTGCACTATATCTTTCTGTACTATCAGCAAGGTTGACGGTCCGTAGCACTTCCGAGCAGCCCTGGTGCCAGTGGGAAACCTATATCGCCTCCAACTCTCCTACACTTCGCTGGTTCTCCTGCGTTGAAACAAAAGGCGCAGACTTGACCTTCTTCGCGAACACCATAACGGCGAATCTACCCACAACCGGCCAGGGGCATTCTAACAACAGTGCGTCTTCCTCATCGACCTCTTCTACGTCTGCTCAGAATGGTGCAGAGAACGACAGTGCCCTCTCCACGGGCGCCATCATCGGAATAGCAGTTGGTGGCGGTATTGCCCTGGTGGGCGGCTTAGCCATCCTAGCATTCTGCTGTCTCAAACGACGGAAGTCGCATTCCCAAAAACCACAGGAACTTCCTCCGAACCCGATACTCCCTCAGATGTCCCAGCCACATCCTATGGAGCTGGACTCGCACGCCTACACGCGGAGCGAGTTGAACAGCACAACGGCGTACTCGCCGAGGAGTCAACCTTCTACGCCGTTTACGCCGGCGGACAGATACGCCACGAGTGTGGAAGACATCGACATGTGGCGACGTGGCATGACCACGACTCCGTCGGATGGCCAGAGCAAAGAAGCGTACTATGCGCGAACTCAGCCTCCGAGGGAGCTGCATGAGGGTCGGAGAGAGGAATGAGTGCATCGACTCAGGTGGACGAGAGCTGCTGTGCGTAAAGAGACAGGCCGAACCCCCTTTTCATGTGTATCAGGGATATTGAAATTCTTCGCTCAAGGATATGGGACGTATTACTCCGCCAGGTACTCGTCACTTTACTTCCCTCACCCGGCCTACGCCTTCTTTATCAACTCGCCCACCACAAATGGAACCGCCTCCTTGGGCCCAACGTACTCCAAATCGAACTTCTCCCATTCACCAGCTTCCCTTAGGAATTCCGGCGTATGCCTCTGCAGCTCGCACCCGCCCATGAGGAAAGGCCACCCAATGATCGTGTACAAAAACTGCACGAGCCTCCCCAGCATGCTTCCCTCGGTCCTCCACGGATTCACCACATGCTCGCAAATCACCATCCGCCCACCAGGCTTTAGCAGCGCATATAACCCCTTGATGGTCTGTTGCGGATGCGGAACCCCACATAGCACCCGCAGGCAGCAAATTTCGTCGAACACGCCGCTCTCTGCTGTGCCGCCCGTCCCGCTCTGCCCCAGGATACCGCTCTTATACAGAGCCGGGATCAAGCTCTCAGGCTCCCCTCCACAAATCAGCGCATGATACTTTCCGCCGAATCCGGCCTTTTCCGCGTTCTTGATGAGCTTCGGGTGCAGGGGCGTAGCGGGCTCCGCGCCATACATGGCCGAAATGTGCTGGGCGTTAAAGCGCTTGAGCAGCTCCCCGGATCCGGGTCCAATGTCAAGAACAACGCCCTGGCACTTCGAAACAAGCTCGTCAAACGGTCCAGGCATCTCGACCGACATGGCCTCGCCATTGTAGGTCCAGAGTCGAGCGAAGGCTTTGAACCGCAGCCCGGTAATGTCGAAGAGCTTGGCGGGTTGGCGCTCGACGAAAATTATTTCGAGGATGGTCATTATGAAGTCTGGTAGAACTACAGCGTTAGACGGCAACTTTCTATGAATCAATGAGGGGGAGGAAGCGCGTACGGTAGGTGGCTATGGCCATCAGCAACAACGGACGCAGAAGCGTCGGAATATTATCTGCTATCCATGCCGGCGGAGCCATGATGGCGATTTCCCAGCTATTCTTTTTTTTTTGTATCAATTCGGCTGGGGGAGAAGAAGGGTCGTCTTTGCCAGACGGAATGGAAGGGGGTTCAGCAGGCGGGATTCTGGCGGGCCAAGCGGATTGCGGGAGGACGCGTCTTTATAGTCGTTTTATAGTCTCCGAAAAGGCTCCCTTGTTTAGTCATACTAAACGAGGCCGGCACACGTACGAGCAAGATTATGCAATGCCAGTGATACGCGACGAGCGCACGCGGAGTTGTGCGCGGCCCCGCTTTCCTTCTCAGCCAGAAAGCGGGGCGGGGCAGGAACAGCCGAGATCGATGTGCGGTCCGAGCTCCTCTCTAGACACCGAGCGCAGACCCCGAGTCGCCGATTTAATCAACGCTCTTCTCGTACTCCTGGGCTCGGAGCTTGAGCGTGGATATGGCATCTGCGGAGAGGAAGCAGTTTGCGCTGATTACGGGGTAAGTGGTCCCGAGTCCCAGTTGCGAGCCCAATTGCCTAGCATAGACTAGGCAATTGCAGCACCGTTTCTACGACCCCTCGTCTGACGCAAGCAGATGCACCCCCGGCGGCATTGGACACTACCTGGCGCTTGAATTCGCTGCTCGAGGTCCCTATCCTCCCCAGTAGCCCATTCAAAGCTTACATGCGCTTAAAGGCTTCCACGTCCTGGCCACCGTCCGCGACCCCTCCAAACACACCTCCCCGCACGCCCGCATAACCTACCTCCCCCTCGAGCTCAGCAGCGATGCCTCGATCGCCGCGCTCCTCGCGCGCGTCTCCGCCCTCACAGACGGCAAGCTCGCCATCCTCTACAACAACGCCGGCCGCAACTACACCGTCCCCGCGCTCGACATGGACTTCAGCGAAGTCTCCCCCCTCTTCGCCGCCAACGTCTTCGCCGTCATGAAGCTCTGCCAGGCCTTCGCGCCGCTGCTGATCGCCGCGCGCGGCACCATCGTGCAGACGGGCAGCCTGGCGGGGATCATGCCGTACGTCTGGGCGCCGGCGTACAGCGCGTCGAAAGCCGCGCTGCACGCGTACTCGGACACGCTGCGCGTGGAGCTCGCGCCGCTGGGCGTGCGTGTCGTGACCGTCGTGACTGGGGGTGTGAAGTCGAACATTGCGCGCGCGCACCGCGAGCTCCCCGCGGGGTCGTACTATCTGCCGCTGAAGGCGGAGTATGAGAGACGGTTGACGCATAGTCAGCAGTTGGGTATGGATACACGGGCTTATGCGAGGAGCTGTGTCGGGCAGGTGTTGAGGGGTGATGGATGGTTTACGAAGCAGAGGTGGATTTGGGAGGGCAGTTTGAGCTGGGTTACGTGGTTTGTTTGGGCGTGGTTGCCGAGGGCCGCGTTCGATTGGTGGTTTAGTTGGAATTTTAAGCTAGGGAGACTTAGGGGGACGGTGGGTCCGGATAAGAAGAATGTATGAAGAGGGGAAGATGGGATACGGTATATGGGCGCATCGGTGGCGTCTGGCGTCAAATGAGGAAACGCGAATAGGACCCGAAGGTATTCAGCGCTATGTACGGTATGTTAATAATTATTCCTTGAAAACAAGCCCCTCGCGATAATGCTCTTTTGCAGACCCGGTTGCCTGCCTGTTCCTTTAACGCCCTCGATTCTCGTCCAAATGCTCAAAATAAACCAACCCTCATAACCCACGCGGCCAATATGTTCCCTTACTCCTCCCACCTCCCATCCCTCTCCTCAAACCTCTGCTCCATCGCCCGCCGGCGTTTTCCCCTGCCACACCACCCGCACACCCATGCATGCATGCCCACACATCACCCATAGCCGCCATGTGTCTGCGTCTCGCCCGAGATCGGATCGTCCAAGCAAAAACGCCGAATACACACACCAAACAGAACCAAAAGTCTTCTCGCCTCCCATTTCGCTTCTGAGTTGAATTCGAGCCGCAGCCGGGCGGGAGCGTTTCGATCGAGCAGACAAGAAGCGTGAATGCGTAGATAGCGGGCCGGGCGGGCAGGAACGCGGTGTGTTGTGTTGCGTTGCTGCTAAGAGCCCGAGGGGAGCGTGATAATGACTACCGCGCTCGACAAAGCGGCTGCTTTGGGATCTGACATCTCGCAGAAAGAGAGAGTGTGTGGACGATTTCGTACGGTCGGGGTGGTTGGGTGGGTAGGTAGGTAGATTTCTTGATGCGGTCGGTGGATATGTACTTTCGTTCCTTTGCGTTGGGTTTTGTTTCGATTCGGGCCTCGACTCTCAAATGCGCAGCCAGCTCATGCGAATCAAGAGAATTCTTTTCTCCAAGCCAACATACCCCCTTCGATGTGGCAGCCAAAGGGGTGCCTATATATACATTTTCCAGCTCACGCGTACCTACAGTAAGCCCCAGTAGCACTGCAGTAGTGCCAGCTTGCCACCAGCAAGCTTGCCCCTTCCGAATGCGTAGAGAAGCTCGCACCATGGGGGCGCTAGTGGATGAACCAAGCAGAATTGCCGCTTTGGGATTCGTGCTGCGAGATCTGGGGATGTGATGGGGCGCCTGGAGCTTGGCGATCTGGCTAGCCGTAAATCTTGGTCGGGGTGAAGACCCGGACTTATCATGCTTACGCTCAACTTCCTCCTGGATGTTTGCACTTTCGTATGCACCTCGACTAGAAGGAGAGAATTTCTTGAATGGGTGGTTGTGCTGCGACGGAGGGGAGGCACGAATGTCGCGAACGTCTGCAGCCTTGCCAGCGGGAGATGGGCTGTCAGCGAGGCCAATATAGTCTGGCTCGTGGTTAACGAGCTTTGCTGGATGATTACTAACCCGAGAGCAGAACGCCTGTCTTCCACTCGATCCCTATTTTTTTGGTTCTGCGACGTATGCGATGAAGATCAGCTAGGCCAGAAAGTGTTCGAAAAGCTAGCGCGTGACAGGGAAAGGTACTCGAGACGCCCTCTTGTGATCTTCAAACGCCGCTAGGAACCAACCGGAAGGATGAGGTGATGGAAGGTCGAACATCTGGCCGTGAATTCCATCAAAAATGGACAAAAGCGATCGTTCGGCCGTTAGAAGGAACAACGAAGCAGGAAAGCAAGCGCATCAGCGTGTCATACCCCCCTCCTCTTAAAAGTCCCTCCTCGATCATCTCTCCCCAGTCGATATCCGTGATGTGGGTCGTCCGATAGTGGTCTTGCCCTCTTCATGCTCCGTGCCTCCCGAGACTGCCGCATTTCGGACCACTTCGTCTTAGCACTCTCCAGTACAGGAGCGAGCTCATCTCTGTACTCTCGGGAGAGGGCGGCCTGCATGCTAGCCCAAACCGTGTACCCAGATCGGGTGACTTCATATGGGCATGCTCCTTTCGATAGGAAAGTCTTCATCACTTCTACAATAGCCGCCTGAGACAGCCTATCTTCACCGTCATACTTTCGATCCCAAATAAGATCCAGCCATGCTCCCCATACCGTACGCATCCGCCCATCGACATGAACGTCCAGATTCGGGTCGAGGCCGTGGTCCAAGAGTGTAGAGTAGACGCTTATCAGCCGTGTAAAGTAGGCGGAGTCGGGCTCATACTCGGAGTCGAATACGTACTCTCGTAGGTATTTCTGGTCGTATCCAAGCCATGGAAGGCCGTCCATCAATCCAGTATTCTCAAATGCCTGGTTTAGGTCCCAGCCGTGGTGAAGGAGAACATCGAGATACGTTTCCCAGATATCATACCGCATCGGCAATGGGGATAAATTGCTATAATCTACCTCATGTTGGCCGAGCACGCCGCAGGATAAGAAGTCGGCAAAAAAGTCCTTCTGCGCTGAAAGATAGGTTCGGCTTCCAGCTTTCAATAGCCAATCCAGCACAGAAACGGTATGGTCAGTTCCGAACGTTTTCGCTGCCGTTTGAGGCGGCTCTTCCAATGCCGTTTCAAGCAGCGATAGCCCGTGGACTTTCAGAAGCGCTGGGTGGAGAGCAAGAAGGTACTGTAGACCTGGCAGGTATCCGTACCTAATCATCTCTTGCAGGAGCAAGATTGAGCTGCCAAACGTTCTTGCTACGCCTTCATGCATGAGCGCAAGCGAAGCGGAGTCAAATGATTCCTCGTGAATTTCCGCCCAGCGAGCGAACATTACGAAGTACTCCACACTGGAATGGGGCATCGCACCGCTGGAACCATACAGTACTATGTATGCCGTAAGCGCTTTGCAGGCTTTGGTATTGGAGTCCAGTCGAGGAAGCGCAAAGATATCGTGAGCACTCTTCGTGTCCAAATATTCGCGTACGGTTCGGTGAAGGAAGCTGACTCGTTGTTTTCCGCGCCGTCCAGTCGGTTCCAACAGGCCTTTGTAGCGTCCGTAAAGACGCCTGCTCATGTTGCTCTCAAGCTCGGGCACGTCATGAACGGGAATGGTTCTGTTCGCCTCGACATCACGGTGTGGTCCCATCATCTTCCTGGTCCAATCATCCTCCTCATCCAAAAGCCAGTAAGTTAGAAGGCTGACGGGCCCTGGAGCCCGGAGAGCAATCTGAAAGGTTACAGCCATCTTCCTCCTATAGACTGCGTCTACAGAATTGATGATTTTTTCGAACAACGACTCAAGATCAGCGGGAAGCTCGTCAAATCGTTGTCTCAGGAGGGCCGCAGAGTCCCCGTTCGATAGTCCATCTCGAAGTGATCGCACAACCAGAAAAACCCAGAGAAATACACCTTCCGCTTTTCGAACGATTTCCTCAACCAGATCAAAACTTTGCTGACTCTGCTTCTGAAGTTGAACGTATTGAGGTACCTCCTTCAATTTATCTCGAGCGAAAGTGGTGATGTCCTCGCGAGTCAGATCTTCCAAGTAAAGTCTTCGGCTTGAATCCGCCCCAAATGCATCCTCGAAGCACGGCCAGCGCCTGCTGGAGACGCACAACTTAATAGCGGGAAGTTCCGAGAGTTTGCGGACGATTTCAATCAGCTCAGAATGGTCTCCGTCGTATTCGTCGAGGCCATCCACGAAGAAACAGAATCTAGTATCCAGAGACAGATTCTGTAGCCGCCCTAAAGCTTCGCGCAATTCATCGAGTGTCCAAGGCTTCCAGTTATGCCGATCAATCCAGTCATGCCCGGTCGCGGAGTCTTCGTGTAGCCATCTATCTTCGCACACGGTCGGAATGAGGTCCCGATATTGGCGTAAAATTTCGAACAAGAGCTGCCTGAGCAGTCCCTGCTGGGATCTTTGTAAATGGGAGCCTGCGATCCAGAAAAAGAACCCTGCAGTTGCCAACCTCGCACTACCGGCCCAAGAGAGCAAGTAATCCCTACTCTTTTGAGAGTCACAGAGGTATCTCATTAATGTTGATTTCCCTGACGCTGGTTTGCCTGTGATCCAGAAAACCCCAGTATCGTTTTGGAGCCAATCGCGGAACGCTATCCTGGATCGAGGATCTGAAGGAGGGAGACGGTCTGGCGTAAAGATCCAGTCGAACGTCTTCTGGTGAGCTTGTGGGATTGCGGAATAACGATCATACATAACTTCGAATCGCAGGCTAAGCAGGATCCTATACTCCTTCTGGACATCTGCGCGCATTGTGCGAAAGCGTCTCAGAGACATCTCAATTTCTTTCAAGGCATCTTTATCCAGTGTAGCGAGGCGGACCTTTTCAAGACGCTCTATGGTATCCTCAACCGATTCCGGTCCCGGAATGTTCATTCGTCTCAACTCGGTTCTCAATTTCTTGAAATCAAGGAGAAGCCTCTCCTGAGCGGACCTATGCTTGTTAGCATATCAAGCAATTATCGAGCAAATAGTAGTAACGGGAAGGATCAGCGCCAACTTACGATATATGGGTAATCATATGCGACTGAAGTTGGCTGCGCAGGTTCCTGAGTCTTGCGTGCATCTTCTCGATTTCGTCTCGGCTCCACACCGTAGCAAGGGCCTGACGAAAGCTCTTCCATCGGCTTTTGGAACCGCTTTTGCGCTTCAGCCTTTCAATGGCAGCAATTAGATCTCCTGCGGCCGTCTTCGTATCAGCTGCTATCTTGCTGATTTCCGGCACCATGCCTACGAGGCTGTGGGAGCTTTGGTTGGACGCGATGGAAGGAACCTCATCGCACATTCGCAGGAGATCTTCAGATATTTGACGAAGTTCAGCGTGCTCCATGGTGTGACCGCTGCTCGACTGGTGAATCTCATGCGCTTCGCGCAACAGCCTGGCTCCGAAATCTATGAGTTGAACGATGTTGACCGCCAGGCCGAAAGCGGTGATTGGTTCCATCGCGGATGAGGCTAGAATTCATCAGCTTTCGTCAAAGGTTTGATGTAGGGGAGGTCCGGAGATGAGGAGTGCCCGTGTTGTAGAAAGTGTACAATTCTTCCTCCAGCAGCGAGATAAGCTACGCGGCTGAGATTTCAAGCACAGCCGCAGGCTTCCACGAAGGCAGATGGTGTATCAGCCTCGCGGGCCTTGGCGCCAGTCGACGTCCTACGAAAAGCCGCATACTGCCTCGCCAATGCAGCCATTGTCGCCGCTTGATCTTGCTGAGCTTGGGAAAGCCTTAGTCCTCGCGGTGTGGTGCGGCGTGGTGCAGTGCGGAGTTGATAGCTGAGGTTAAGCAGCGACCCGCGAGTGGAAGCCAATTAAAATAAGCCTGCACAACGTCGTGCTGGCGTGAAGCAACCGGTCGTTGTCCGTGTAACTTTGTTAAAAAATTTGGTGTGGGTGTGCCCGCCAAGCTCAGAACTGAGGGAGCCGCTTACAGACTAGCGTGGAGCTAGCTGCCCAGGTGGATTGCCGTGCCTAGGTAGGGACCCTTTGGATACGGAAGCATCAAACATGGATATTATTGCATCGGGCCCCTCCTACACTTCCATCGAATGATCCAGATATAGCCACTAACAGTTTGGAAGGATCACGCTCCAGAGGCTACAGTAAGAAAACAACAAAACAACAAAACTTTTGTCTTCGGTTCTCTCTTTCCGACACGCCCGGCTGTGCCGAAGCAAAGGAAGTTGTAAAGAGAGTTGGCAAACGAAACGAGCGCTTTCGCACACTAGCTTACATGAGGCCGCGATGGAGAGTTGTAAGGCATGATGCGGGAATGAAGGAGTAATTCATCAGCGGTTACCACTCTTCCCAAATACCACGCTAATGCAAACTTGTCGGCCGTTATGAAGGGAAGCTAGTCTCCATTCCCATCGAGCGTTCGATGGACTCAGCCGGCGGCGCTAGCGGCCTGCTTTCCGTGATTCCCTTCGGGATGGTCTTCCAGAGGAGCTATGCTGGTGTCTGCAACCGGAATGGAGCTGTGCGCTTGGTCCGAATGCAGTCCCTGGTTGTGTACGCTTTGCACGGCTTCAGCGTTTGTAGGTTGTGGACGAGGGTCGTAGTATACGTAGGTCTGCTTTCCCTTCTTGCCTGGTAGACCGGGCGCTTGCCAGTACGAAATCCCATTTTCTTCGTCGTACTCCTCAACAGTGGAAGCGAGGCGTTTCCCACCGCCGCCGGGTAGGTCGACAACAAATGATGGCATCATGAAACCCGAGAAGGTGCCTCGAATGGTTTTGTCGAGGTCGAGGATTGTCCGTAGAGGTGTTCGCAGATCTTCGATGCCGCGCACCATGTCGCATTGGTAGACGTAGTACTGTTAATAGTTAGATCAAGGCCGAAACGAAATAGATGGAAGTATGGAGGAACATGGATTCCGACTGAATCAAAAGCAGTCCGAAGGGGGCTGCCTGGCGGGAAGGAACTTACAGGTTGGATATTGATATCGGCGAGCGCCTTGATGAGGTTCCCCATCGTCTCAAGGTCGTCGTTGACGCCCTTAAGCAGCACGGACTGGTTGCGCACAATGACACTGTGCTTGAAGAGATAGTTTGCTGCATCGTGGGTGATCCACGTAATCTCGTTCGGGTGGTTGAAGTGTGTGTGAAGGCACACTTGCTTTCCCATCTGGCGGCCGAGGTTGGAGAGGTCTATCAGAGTACTCGTCCACGCATCCTCCTTGTCGAGAATGCGGCCAGGAGCCACCGCCAAGCCTTTCGACGCGAAGCGTATGCGTCGCATGTGCGGGATACTGAGCAAACTAGGCAGCATTAGTTCCCACGTTCAGCATAGAAATGTAGTCATACCGTTCGCCAATCTCCTTGAGGGCTTCGGGTTGGAGATAGTACGCATCTCCCCCAGAGACGACAATGTCCTGCAAACTCTGTTCCTTTTCAATGTGCTGGAAGACGAGCTCCCATCGTTTCCGGCTCGGTTTCTGGGGCGACTTTGATACGGCTTCGGTGTTCGCGCCAACCGCATATGATCGTGTGCAGAACCTGCAGTATACAGGGCAGATCGAGGTGGCTAAGAATAAGGCTCTGCCAGGATACCTATGAACCAGACCAGGAACAGTTGCTCCATCTTCGGTGACCGCCATGTCTTCCTCTTCGTGCAAGCTATCTAGCGTTAACTGCTCGTGATCAGGAATGATTCCACTCTTGAGGGGCAGGAACTGGCGACGAATTGGGTCGTCGAGAGGGCTCCCCCAGTTAACCCGAGACAATATCTGCGGCGTCAATCGAATAGCCATGGGCGCAAGTTTCAGGCCCGCTATCGCATCGTCGATGAAGTCATCCCTCGTTTTGATATACTGAAGAAGAGGGTTTCTCGATGGTGCGAGAGTATCCGGAAGTACGTCCGAGAGGAACTTGTAGAGTTTGGGCGCGCCAACGATGGTATTCCGGAGCTGAATAAAATAGTAAGGCCACAGGATCTGAGCACGGCTCTAGAAATATGGGAGCTACGCACCTGGAATCTGTAGCTGGTGAACTCCTCGGACGACACATCCTTCCACGGGGCGAGCCGACTCCAATACCGCCTCCGATCGTCAATTGATGTACAGTGGGTCCGATATTGTTGTGCAGCGGGAATGAACGGCGGGGGAAGCGACCGCCGTGCCGCGAAACGGGCAGGGCGCAAGCTCAGGCCAGACATCTCTCGGTGATTGCCTGACCAGAAATTCTCCTAGTAGCTGGCTGGAAGAACCTTTTAAACGCGCAAAGTATGGCGACACAAGTCCAGAGGGAGCGGTGGCGGTATCGTAAGGAACTTTTTGATACGCCCAATATAGCCATCTATATGCCTTCCACATGTGATGCTAGTACTCGTAGGCAGGATCGACTCACGTATTCGGAAACCATTGCTTGTCGAGATGCAGTCCCTGATGCACTGAGTTGGTAGGAAGGAGATATGAGTGGCCGGGACTATCGGACGGGTGCGACTACAGGTCCTTGAAACTCCCGATTATCAGCGTAGGTGATACTCGTGCAGGACGACCGTTGCTCGGCGCCGACGCAATAAGTGTTGTGATTCGCTTTGGCGCGTTTTGAAGCCATGATTAGTGGAATAACATGCCTGTTCGTGGCAAGGCAGCTGATCGCGATAATTGCCGTTTTGATTTTCTCGATTAGAAAGTATTCCACTGAAGAGGAAGCTTCGTAATGTGCCTAACAGACGAGCCCTTTGCGGATGGAGAAAGGACGAGGACAGCAACTGCGGAGAGATGGGATAGGAAGTCATTCCGCCCAACGGAATAGAAAGTTCTACTGTACCTACGGTGATATGTTGGAAGTAAACAGGCGGGAGGTGCAAATCATAGTTAGGCCTTGGCAGCTACCTCGATGCAGTCGTTGCACAAGCCAGACCTGGCTTTTGGGTCGTCCCGCCGAATGGGAAGTGGAGACCTCGTGACCCGAGACGTAGCTCGGACGTATTAGCACCTCGGCTTTCGGGTGCTGAATACGTCCCATCCGGCGGTTGCCCTGGCTCTTGTACTCTCGTGCACCCAACACATCGTTCCTGGTTGAGAAGGAGGGCATGTCCATCCATGTTCTGTAGTAGTTAGTGGACGAGATGATAAACGGTGCTGTGTGTTGCAAGCACTGATTTCGCTTCGAGCACAAAGGAAAGTGCATAGCTGCGATAGGGCCGTGAATGATCTGTGGTCTCCAGCGCAGCCAAAGAAAGACTGGACGTTTATCGGCTGTACCTAGGCATCCTGCATAAACTGTGAAACGCTCGTGTCCAGATGAGGAGATAAGTCCCGTACCAGGTGAGTCACAGCAGAGAAGAGAAAAATTCTGTGCGGATGATGGGACGTGTGGTTGCAGGACGACGCCGTGCAACTCACGACGGAAGAAAAGCGGGACCAGGGCCTCTTCCTAAACCTGTTTAGCGCGCGGGAGCCTTCCCGAAAGTCTGGGCATGCAACCGATGACCTCAGCCTTCAAACACCACAAACTTATCGTGACAAGCATTAATCGCATCGACCCCACACCACACTTCAACACAATGGCCGAATCACCCGATGAACCTACTGTCTCGGCGCCTGCAGCGCCTACAGAATCCCCGGCGCAGGAAAAAGCACGGCTGCGGCGTGAGCGACGCGCAGCAAAGATTCAGGCAGGCGGGGCTTCACGCTTGCAAGCAATCACTCAGCTGCAAGGCGGCTCCCATCGAGATGTAGAGAAGGATGTACCGGGTAGGCTTAAACTCCTTTCTTTGCCTTGACAGTTTCTTTGCCTTGCCAGCTCCTGCGACGTTGCTGCGACGTCGCTGACTAGGTTGAAGTCAAGCCTTCACCAACAGGCTCTCCACAGCCTGGACCCACCGCCGCCGGAACAGCAACCCCAGACCCCGAGGAAATTGACATATCGCAACACCACTACACCCCAGCTTCGCAGCCCCGCCTCCCGTCGCCATTCGCCTTCGACGGCAATGCCACACCCCCATTCCCAATGGGCCAACCTCCCGATTTCCAGAACGACCCCAGCATGGCTATGCTGCAGCAGCTGATGGGAGGAGGAGGAGCAGGCGGCATGCCAGGCCAGCCAGGCGAACCTCCAGGCGATCTTCCTCCGGGCCTTGCGAATCTGTTCTCCGCCATGCAGGGCGGCGGTGCCGCACCAGCGCCCCCGCCAGAGCAATCCTCGGCCTGGATATGGCGCCTCGTGCACTCGCTCTTCTCGCTCGGCCTCGCCACCTGGATCGTGCTCCAAACGCCCTTCACCGGCTCAAAAACCTCGCGCACATCGACCGCTGAGGAAGACTGGACGGCGGATAGCACATCCTCGGAAACCTTTGCGCACTTCTTCTACCTCTTCGCCACCTTCGAAGTGGTTATGCAGACATCACGGTACTTCATTGAGAAAGGGCAGCTACAGGGAAGCGGCATTCTCTCCAGCATCGCACAGATGCTGCCGGAACCATATGCGGGGTACGTGAGGGTCGTCGGGCGGTACAGCGTGATCTACAGCACGGTTGTGAGCGATGCCATGGTGGTAGTGTTCGTGCTCGGTGCGGCGAGCTGGTGGAGAGGCGGTGTTGTCGCCTAAGCCCAGCATGCGGGTTGTGCCTACTGTTGAGGGCTTCGGGAGGTACCTGCGAGTAGCCGCCTTGGCTCAAGTAACAGTATTACTATTTGCAAGTCATTTGACGGCTCGCACATGCGCGCCCGGGGGAACGTTGCACGTGCCCGAATTGTCCAAGAACCGTACGCGCGACTTTCAACGTATACGGCTCGAGCATCTATTGAACCCGTATGCTGCGCACTACCGTGGCTTATGCTGGCTTGTGTGGGGTGCAGATAGCCGGACGGGTAGGTACAGTGATCGGTGTGCATTCGAGTGTCTCAGTTCCGTACACTGATCGGTGTGCTGTTGAATGCCCATGGGAGTACGGCTTGGCTGCACAGCACGTTCACTTCAACTCCACGAAGCTCTCGTTCCGAGTGCTTGTCGAAAGGGAGGTTTAGTCTCACCAAGACTTTTCCTTGGCCGGCCCGTAAGGAGAGATCACGAAGATGCGTGAGGGACCATTCCACATGTCTATAACGTATGATACAATATACATGATATACACCGTCTCTTAACCCACCTACCCACCCTAGATACAAGTATCATACACTAGGCATGCCTCCAACGCAAACCGTCACCCTCCCAATCCCCGCGCAGACTACGTAGCAGCAGCAGCCTCACCCCTTGCTAGCCGCAGGAGTTCCTCCTCTCTCCGCTCCTTCATCAGCTTCTCGCGCACATCCACCCTATCCTTCTCCGCCCGCTCCTTAAACTCCTTGATCTCTTCCAGCTCCCCCAGCTCCTGTGGCGTGGGTTGGATCACCACTGCGCCCGTCTTCTCAATCAGCTGATCCAGTATCTCCGACTCGCCTTTCATTTTGATGTCAATCGAGTGCGTCGGCGTGGACGTGTCTGGAGTGAGTGTATTGCGGGGATTAGGTGTGCCCGATGGAGGAGTGGAGGTTTCGGTAGTCGCGGGCGAGGAGGTAGCTGCGGGTTGCGAGCCCGGGTTCGCGGACATGTAAATGTGCAGGAGAGAGGGTCCGGAGGGATCGCTATGCCGCGAGATTTGGATAGGAAGCGCAGGGTTGCGGTATTTTATTCGGGGGAGCATTTCGCGCCAGAACTTCCTGTGGCTCTGCATCAGCTCCTGTATTTGCAAATCCCAACCATCTCCGCGCCAGCTTTTCCCATGGCGCGCGGACGATGGGAGAGGCGCGCTGGCGGAAACCATAGGACAATTGAGAAGCGTACCGTGCCCCTCGATGTCCTCCGATTATTTTTGTGTTGAACTCCATGCTGATCTTCGTCACCTCCTTTGGCAGTATGAGGGCGCCTGGTCCGACTCGTATCCATAATAGCTATAGCAGTGACTGTCAGCATGTCTTAATTGCTGGGCAATTGTGCTCGGAGGCCGTGTATCGCGGATGGAGGTCCCTCGGGATAGGAGTGGAAGACGGGAGCTGTACCTTCTGTAATGGTGGTTAGCGGGGTCCAACGACGATGTAGAATGACGATCAGCTATAAACTTACCTCACGCAGCTTGCGCATTCGTTTTACTATATTGACCATGGCGAGTATGTCCAGATTGGAGTTTAGGTTGCGGAGCTTGATGCGTCGCGAGATTTTGGTCCATCGACCGATGTTTTTCCGACGCCGCTAACCACACGCTAATTGGTCAATACTGTATGCAGAGAGTAGAACTGACGACGCAGCGTTCAGAGACTAGCGCAAGCACGGTGATTGTAAACGAGAAGAATCATGATTGACTATATTCGACGAAAATCGCTAGCTGCATCCCCATGAGCTAGTTGGTCCCTATATTCCCTTTTCTCCTGTGCGCGAACTTCCACCCTTGGAACCCCGAAGAATGGCCGTGACCCTTAGTGAAAACGATCCTATTACAAACTAATACCCACGAAGACATTCAACCGTGAAGAAATACGACCCTGTCGAAGTCAAGAGCCACCTAACGAGTAACACTACCTCTTTATAAGAACTCGTACCCCATGGAACGCTGAAGCTCAAGGATGTATCTACTGCGGCGCTGGTGCACCCTGCTGAGCTGGGTTCTGGGGTCCCGTGCGACGGCTCCTACAGAAGGTGTCAGCGTATGAACTTCGAATCAATTGCGTTAGGACCTACATAAAAGACCTGCTCATGAAAGAGATAAGGATCATGGGAAGCCACGATGGCATCTTAGAGAAGCCCCAGAGAACCCAAGCAACCGGGATAGCCAAATGGTACTCCTGCAGCCAGCCGCTGAACGGGTGCCATGCACCCTCATACGGTGCGCGCTTCTCATACTCTCCGTCAAGGACAAGTTTCTTGAAGGTATCCACGGTGGTGGAGGTGCGGTTCAGCGGAATAAAGCGAACGGTGGGCGCAGGAGCGGATTGGTCAGCCAGCGGCTTGGGAATCTGGAAGTAGTAGAGCGATGGAGGCCCAACGGACCACGAGTTGCAGAGGATAGCTTCCTTATCGCAGTCAACGACGGCGAATTTAGGAGGGTTGGGTCGCGCGGCGAGGAGAGGAAGTGAAGTCTAGGTATCGTTAGTTCCGTCAGACACTCAGCAACGGCTATGAAAATGCGTTCGTACGTTCCACGCCTTGGTCGTATTGCCGCAGAGGCCATAGCACGTCGTGTTTCCGCCCGTGATATAGACGAGCCAGTCCTGGGTGGTGGGCGCGCTGGCCGTGGGATCCACTGTCAACACGTCTCTCCAGGTGTCGAGCGTGAGCTCATGTTGTATCTGCTCTGCCGCCTTCGCTGCCCCGGCATCTAACGGCGAAGGCACGGCGGGAACTGCCGATGAGACCGCTGCGGTCGCCTTGCTCCAAAATCCCTTGATTTTATCGACGAGCGGGACCTGTTCCTCGGCGAGGGCAAGCGCCGGGAGAGCAGCGACGAGTATTGAAGCGCGCATCGCGATAAATAATGTGTGAAGAGAGTTGGGGGGAAAAGGTGGTGGCGGGCGCTGCCGTGCTGGATGATATGATGCAGTTGTCCGGCAGGGTCTGCGGCGAGGCGAGTGGTTCGCGCGACAATTTGTGGGGACGTCAGACGGTAGCGGTAGGGAAGGAGCGGTAGAATCAGAAAGCGCAAATTCCAAGGCGATCGCAATGCGCGTGGGGCGAAGAGAGGATGAATGACAGACGCGCCGCGGGAACGATGGGAGTCGAGGGGTGAGGGCGAAGGCAGCAGCGCGGTGTCAACAGCCGTGATGTTGGCACTGTTTGCTTGGCGGCCCCGGGTTGTTTGGCTCCTGTCAGGAGCTTGGGCCAGCGCCCGAATCCAGCCCTGTTCACCATGAAACCCCTTTTGCCGCCGATTGGGTCGTTGGGACCCTGTTCCGCCGCATTTCCGTCTCAAAACAACGCTGCTGCTCCTCGAGACTTGCTCTTCGTTCTTCTCTTCGTCCTTCCTCCTCGTTCTTGAAGTCAATTGAGGTTGCGAGCTTTGCGAAACCCCAGTGGTTCCGAGTCATCTTCCCGAGCGCCTCACGATGCTTCTCAACAGCTTCGCTGCGCTCTTTTTCGCTTCGAACGCCCTCCTTGGCGTGTCTGCTGGGCCTCTGGCTGCCAAGAGACAAGGTGAGCTTGAATTGCTCCACTCTCAGATCAATTGCTCACAGTCCGTTTTGCAGATGGTAGCAGCTCTGTAACAGTAGCTTCCACCTCTTCGCAGGCGGCTGCGACCAGTTCGTCCGTCTCTCAGCAGCCTTCGGTCGGCCTGGTTGTGGGAACCAACAGCGAGGGCAAGACCACCACCTTTGAAGTCTTCGGGCCTCAGCCCACTGGCAGCGAAGCTACCACCACAGGAGATGCTTCCGCCACTGCTACCGAGGAGGCCTCGAAGACGACCTACACCTTCTCACGCACCGGACAGCCAGCACCTATCAGCACAAACTTCCCTGTCTGCCATGACGCGAACGCAAGGCCCTTCTGTCTGCCGAACAACATGTCCACCCTTTACGTAGGGAAGACTTACTATGTGACTTGGAATCCCGACTTCTTCGAACTGAATTCCACCGTTACCGTCAAGATCCAATGGGCCAATGATTCGGCACAGGAAGCATGGTCCTCGGACGTGACAGAGAACAGTTGGGGTGTCGTTGCTGTGAACATGAAAAAGGAATGGTTGCAAGGTACGTCCAAATTGGCATTCAGCGAAGAGGACTGTGCTCACAGATTGCTGGTGCAGGCTACTCCATGTACAACTTGACATTCCGCGCTTTGAACTTCAAAGGCGATGATCCGAACCAGGAAGCCAAACCCTTCGACGGCCCCATGATCACCCTCCAAAACGAGCCCCCGCGCCACTATGCACCGCCGCCACAGAACTCGATCAACAAGGAGGGCTTGATGATCGGCCTCCCGGTCGGCCTTGGGTTTGTCGTGGTCATCGTGGTTGGGCTGTTCATCGGGATGCGCCAGAAACGCGTGATTGGTCTGGGAAATATCATGGGCCGCAACAGGGGCTATGGGTCGGGTAAGAGCAAGAGACAGCGCCTCGGCTTGGGAAAGAAGGGCGCAATTAGGCTTGAAGAAAGGGAGGCGCGGCCCCAATATCACGATCCTCGTGAACACTCCCGGGGAGATAGTCTCGGCAGTCTTGTGAGCGACGACGACATTCGACCTGCTCCAGGGCAGAACCTCTTCAGGGACGAGATTCAGAGGCAGCGTACAGGTCGTTGAACACACCACGTAGCGGGACCGGCCCTACGCGAGCAATCTCGGGCGAGGTACGCAATGAAAAGATATGTATAGACGACGCGCGGAATTAGACGACAAGCGAGGGCTGTATGTAATATGATCTAGTATCTGCATTTAGCGGGTTTGAATGCAATTGATACATCTATCAATTGCCTGATAGAGCCTTCCCTGCGTAAAGAAGCACTAAGATTAGCCTGCATTAGTCCGATTCAATCACGTCAAACCGCTGCCTCTACACGCAATTTGCAGACTTCCCGCAACCCTAATCCAGACGATGTGCGTACTACCACACCACGCGTCCAAGGAGTCAGCACCGCGTGTGAAGCGGGACGTTCACGTGCCACCAGGTAACACAGCTGCATACCTCTCTCGGCGTCCAGCGGGCACACCGCATCAGAAGACCCGTTCCACCGCGTGCTGTGGAGTCTATGCAGTCACAGGACTTGAAGCGCGCCGTTCGGGGCGCCCGTATCTCTGGAACTCCAACTCCGTGAGGAGCTGTTGCATCACAGCATTACCCTCCGCGCTCTAGAGGATTCGCTCTCGGGTGTCGAGACATTGACTTCGGGTTGCAGCGCGCCGTCTCTCGATGCAGAGCTACCACCGATGAGCGGTGCCTACGCTCTTGATGCTGGGGTTTCACGGTGGCATGCCGAGCCCTCTGCGGGTTCGTCCTTGGCAGTGAAGGGTTCCGTGCGCATGTGTACTGTGTTTTCGTATACTCGTGAGACGACACAGGTATGTTTACTTGCCTTTGAGCCCGCTGCCTCGGGCAGGAAACAGGCTTCATGATGTTGGCATTGAGAATATACGAGCGTAGCTGACATAGCTCTTGATTGGCAGTGTCGACACCGATTGATACCCTCGGATATACAGACATCGAGTGGGAGTACGCGAGGAAGTCGATGAGGGATCGCATTGATTTAGTAGTAAAGAAGCCTACACGACTTCCTTTCCATATATTCTGCCTACAGCAAGTGCGCGCCGCTGGAAATTTAATCTCTGGACGTGCCAATCGAACTATCGCTTCCCATAGGATCTCCCTGCTGTTGCAGGGGCCCATAGTCAAACGACCCAGAGCCTCGCGCTTGAACGTCTCCTTGGCCTTCAAGATCTGGCTGCGGGGAAGCATCCACGTCCTTCTCGTTGTGCTGCACGACGTCCCCGCTCAGGACCACATAACGATCGCTCAACAGCCCAGTGAGACCCTTCTCCGCGCCGTCGCGCCACAGGACATAGAACTCCATGATCACGGGCGCCCAGGTAGCAACGGCCAGGATCTGGCCGAAGGTCCACTGCCGGTCTTTGTTCTCCTGCCCAGCGTGCTTGTTGAGCTCGTTGCGGAACCAGAAGAATATCCCCAGGCACACCCACATGGCCTGCAGGGCGAAGAAGGCCGAGAGGACCCAGCGGTAACGCCACACGCTGCGCAGAATGGGGCGTCGCTCGCTCCGGAGGAACGGGATGCGAAGTGCGTTTGCCACGATGATGAGATCGAGAAGCACCAGGATGGTGATGATGCCGAGCATGATGGTGAATGCCCAGTTGGCGCGGTCTGCGCCCAGCTTCGTGACGCAGAAGCTTTCCCACTTCAGTTGATGGTCCGGGTCTTCCTCCAGTAGACGATCGATTTCTGTCTCGTCGGCGCTCAGATAGGCGCTGAGATTGTCCCAGTCTGCCCACTGCCGTCGCCAGGGGCTCTGGGGATCGCTATAGTATAGGCCGCTCATAATGACTGTGAGCGCGCCGACGAAGCTCCAGATATATCGGCGACCATGCTTGCGGCGGAGATGCTCGGCTGCGCAGCTGTGCAGGGCGAGCGGGGGGAAGATGGTGTAAAGTGCGATGAAGACGGAGACCACGGCGCCTGTCGTGGGTGTGGGACTGTCATCGTCGACGCGCCCCCGGACGAAAGTAAACATGGCGGCGAAGTGTACCGCGACGCAGAAGAGCAGAGCAGAATCGAGGAACGGCCTCGTCGATTCTTGCACAGCGGTGAGGACGCGATGGGCGATGCTTCTGCTCCTGGGGCGCCAGCCAAAGCGCGCAGCCATATGTACGGCAATGTACAAGGTCACGAAAACGGCTTGTATACAGTAGTTTACGACCATCTGCAGTCGGATCAGTAGATGTACACTGCTCAGCTAGAGCGGGGACTTACACCTCTTCCTGCCAAATCTGCGTTCCCCGCCCAGGGCAGCAGGCGGCAGAAATCAGACTTGCATTCATCGTTGGTGTAACTGAGTGCCTGGAGGAATACCGGCTCGCCTGAATCAACGGCCCATGGTAGGATTTCGTTGGCGGGGTCCGGATGAGTAATGTTATTCTCGTCCCAGTATTCCGTGAAGGCATCCTGCACTAGATATATCGTCATTTGGGCGGGAAGATCTAGAGACATGAAGAAGGCCATTGACCAGGTAGCGACAACGTCACAGTCGTGAAACTGGAGATGCGAGGTGTCGGGAGGGACCCAGGATGCGCTTTGTGCGAGTTCCATTGCTGTCGGTGTTCAAAGATGCCAGTGTGCAGTCCCGCGGACGACTTTTTACCGTGGGAAGGCTCATATTTTAAGGCAATCAAGTGCTCAGGAATGCTTTTGGGGGCCATTTCCTGTGCCATAGCAGGGCTGAGGTGGTGTCGCGTGCAAGCGGCCTCCAGTCAGCGCTGAAGATCGCGATCGGTTCGGGCCATTGCTGGTAGTGGGACGAGCCCGCCAAGTCTCCGAGAGGGCAGGCGAGCCAATACTCTGGTATCCGAGATAGGTTGAGCGACAGAGGATTGCTTGGAGGATGGAGGCACAGCTGGAGGCTGAGTAGCACTGACGTCATAGCTGGACACCTCGCCATAATAGCCCCCATGCTGCGAGGGCCCGCGCCTCTTGCTATGTTACCATCTCGAAATGCTGTCAGATAATCTCCCACCGTACCGTAAAGCTTTCACTTGCGCGCTATGTCCTTGGGCATAGAGGTTTCCGCAACATTGTAATTCCGAAACGGGCCGACGTGAGCAAAGTATCAACCTTTCCGAGTGAGGCGGCATGCATCTCAAAAGTGGCAGCGAGAGCACACAAACTACCAGCTTGATCATGCAAGGGTGGACGAGAATCCTGCACGTTTCTCTGCGGTACACAGGTTCGTGGTTGCCGCGGAACCCTACCGCCGAACGCTCCGCCTTGGGCCAACTTCTCTGGTCGAGCCACAGCTTTCAACCACAGAGTACGGTTCACCTGCTTTTAGTGGGAAGGGAACCCACGCTCTTGAAAATTTACATTCTCCAAAAGAAGAGGACACAGTAACCGTCCGTTGCTTACTGGTAAGTAGAAACGTCGCGCGCCCAAACCCCTGCATTTCACCACGATGCTCCTCCAGCTGCACGCCCAGATTTCTTCATGGTGGCATGGGACTCCGCTACCGGCACGAACGCCTGCGAACATCAAATTCCAGAGATGGAATCACTACACCAACGGCCGATGGATCCCACTTGCGAGAAACACTCCTTCAACTGTTGCTCCGCATCCTTCGCCCGGCAGACTAGAAGTCGTCACGTGGAACGTGGATGCTGGCTCACCATCTCCTGGACCTCGTATTTCCGCTCTCCTGCAAACTATCGAGGCCATGGCGAATGCCGATGTTATCTTTCTCCAAGACGTCAACAAGGCTGCGATTGCCCAGCTACTAGCGCATCCTTGGATACAGCAGCAGTGGTATTCAAGCGAAGCCGACGACTCCAAGTTCGGAAAGCAATCATTTGCTACCGTCACCCTGATATCGAAGATCTGTCTATTCAATCACTCCATCTCGCTCGGCCCGATTTGGAGGGTTTCTCTGCCTAGTCGCTTCGATAGAGATGCCCTATGTTGCGACTTGGTTTCCAACAAGACTCCCCAAACTAAAGGGCTTGCCCGGATCCGTCTCATCAACGTACATCTCGACTCGTTACCCATCAATCCTTCACGACGACCGCAGCAGCTATCCATCATTGCCTCTTACCTGCGCGCGGCCGGTCATGGGCTTGTGGCTGGCGACTTCAATCCGGTGCTCCCCGAGGACGATGAAATCGTTTCCGATAATGGTCTGGTCGACGCATGGACCTATCTTCGCCCGTCTGATCCGGGATTTACTTGGGGTGCCCGTGGCGACAAACCGTTTCCGCCGAATCGCCTCGACAAAGTTGCGCTGCATAACCTTACACCTTCCAATATCCGCATCCTGCAGACGTCTTCAATAAAACATGACTGTACGGATCTCGAGTTCAGCGATCACCTTGGGCTTTCTTGTGTCTTCACCTGGAACTAGGTTGGGTAGATGCTGTGACAGCGCGCAGAAGAAGGGGTCAAACGTGCTGGAGCGTTGTGTTGCCTGTTGGTGAGGATATGGGCAATCTTTGAGGCGTGTAGGATAAGGGAAGGTAGCTACGAGGCTGTCTCAGATAGAGCCAATTAGGTCATGGTGCGATACCTTCGCCCTTCTTTCGGCGCAATACATATTGAAGCCATTAGATCACAGAATGCTGGATACGGGCAGAAGCAGGCGTGCAAACATGTGGGTAGGCATATGAATTTTCTTTTCATAGACCACGGCGCTTCGCCGAATCATTGTACATCAAGGAACCTGAACGCCTTTGGGGTATCTTCCCACCTCCGTCATTCCAAGAGTCATGGCTAAGAAGTTCCAGCTCGTGTCGTCGCGTTGAGTCAGCCGCCTTGCTCCTGCCCTTGCCCTTGCCCTTGCCCTTGCCCTTGAACTCCTCCTTTCTCCCGCTGAACGGTCTCACCACCTTGAAGTAACGCCGGCGGCATATACGTCAAGCGCTCCTGCCCTTGCCCTTGAACTCCTCTCTCCTCACGCTGAACCGTGTCGTCATCTTGAAGTAATGCCAGCGGCAAATATGGCAAGTTGACATCCTCACTGTTGCCCAAGTCGTTCATCTCTTTCACCCTATCGGCGTCCGTCTTGCCGTCCTTGCCTGCGCCGTCGTCGCTCACCCCCGCCTTCTCCGCCGTCACGCCCATGTCATCCATCTCCTTGAATAGCTTCTGCCAGGTCGCCAGGTCATCCTCGAATGGGCCGAATGGAGTCAATCCTTCGTACGGAGCGTAATCGAGCGCGTTTTGGTTCTGGACGTCGTGTTGGGAGTGTGATGAGACGCCGAAGAAGTCGCGGACTGCGGGAAGCAGCGCCGGGTCGGTGAAGAAGACTGGGTTGAATTCGATATCTGGTTCGGGATTGACTGCGCGCGCGGGGCGAGGTGGAGGCGCCATTGGTGCGGCTGCTGGTGCTGGTGCGGAGATTGTCTGAAGCGGGCGAGGTTGCGATAATGAAGCCTGGAGGCTTTCACCTCCTTTCGCGTCGCCCCGGCGACCTCGCTCCAGTGAACGGCGCATATCCTCGAGGAGAAAGACCACGCCCGCGTGGTCGAACTCGAGGTCTGGCCTGCCATTGACGAGGTCTTGCATCTGCTTATACCTGCGGATTGGATTTAGTAAACGCCATCCTGGAGCACTTCAGGGTGTTTAACACTTACCAGGGCGCCGCGTCTTGCTTCTCCACGAAGGCCTTCGCGATGGCCTCGATGCACTCGTAGTAGTAGGTCCACTCCAGACCCAGCTTCCCCCGGACGGATTCCAGCACAGGCTCAAAGTTCGTCCAGCCCTTAGCGGGCGCCTTTCTCGCCCTCAATTGGGCCTTGAAGCCCCTCCGGTTGGCGTTTACCATGGCGGATTACCGAGTTGCGATCTAGAGAAGAAATTGGAGAGGGTCATCGCATACCTATATACCCTAGCTAGCTAGGCACCCGGCCCCATGAGCAGTCCTATTGTGCGAATAGCACAATACAAAGCCTGGTGACCTTCAACGGACTATACGACTCTCACTCTATTCAGACAATACCAATCGTGAAGGCCCTCGGGCAACAATCTCGACCAGCTCACAATACGAAGCCATAATAGCAAGCACTAATACTCGCATATCGAACACCTTCACATCACGGAGCTCGGAGGACTTCAGCGAGCTATTCAACTTTGACTCTATTCAGACAATACCAGTCGTGAGGGCACTCGGGCAGCTATCCCGCCCAGCTCACAATAGGAAGCCATAATTGCAAACACTGATGACCGCGCATCAAATGCGCCATTTCATTACGGAGCTTGGAGGGCTTCAGTGGGCTATCCCCATTCACTTGCTCAACCCTAACAACCACCCATCCCATCCTAGCCTGGCAATCCACGCGCCCGCCAGTACGCGTAGCTCTGCACATACGCGGGCGGTGGGTCTACCGGTCTGCTCCAATCAAAGTCCTCAATTGCCTGGAGCCCGTCCTCCCAGGTTCCTCCACCAAACGATTCAGAATCCGCGGTGTCTCCATTCTCTTCGTCTCGTTCATGTGGTTCAGCCCTAGTGATATCGGAGGATGTTTTCGCCTCTTCGGGTGCCACGGACGGAGTACGAGCGGGCGACGGCTCTTGCTCTGCGCGGCGCTGAGATTGTGGCTCGATATCAACGTTTCCGGGGGGCGATCGAAGAGGTAGAGTCAACGTCTCTTGCATCTCGCTCGGGGCAGGCGCTGACATGGGTGACGCGAGACCAGAGGAGGGGCTCGGATATATGGCATCAGCAAGCACTGGTTGCTTTGCGGCTTCATCGGTTTGTCCAACAATTGCCTGACCCATTTGCGCATCCGAAAACATCGCACACGCCGGGTGTGACGCATCTACGAGTCCAATGTCCCGCGTAACCTCGGCGTTAAGCTCTTCAAGCTCGTCGTCGCTCATGTCACTCAGGTCCGCAACGCCCAAGTCTCGTCCTGGAACGTTAATGATTCTGAAATGTACCGCGCTGCGTTCCTTCCCATTAGGCTTCATGCCCCGATTGAGCCGGCGCGCCAAACGATTGTACTCAACAACGAGCTCGGGACGACCATCTCGTAGGAATTCCACTAGGGCGCTGGCAGACTCCGGTGCGCGTTGGGAGCCGGCTAGGATGTCCCGGACGTATCCGTCGAAGACATCGCGCATCATTCGGTTGCGGAGTGAGCGGCGGATTTGGCTGAGGATCTTCTGGGCTGATGCTGGCATGTCGTATGAGAGGCCGCGGATGGAGAACTGCTTGCGTGAGGTTGTTGGAGCCATGTTGCGATTGATGGGTACACTTTGAAGTGCTCAGGGAGAAATTGTGAGTTGAGGAAGGCTATACGAAGCTGGAGATGGGCCGAAGGGTGGTGAGGTTGCGGTAGTGGAGTAAAGGTCTTGATTATAAACAAGAGAGGAGAGCAAGTGAGACATATCAAGTTGCGGTTACAGTGAACTTAGCTGTGGCACGTAGTCGGTGACGACTAATAGCAGGGCCAACGGTGAGAGGCGTCCAGAGTGTCTCCGAGCGGAGTCGCAACTTCAGGATAGGCGACGGGTATAAAGTGCGGGAGGGATTCTGGTAACGAATTTCTGGCCTTGCAGCTGGTAACTAGATGACCAGATTTCGGAGATTGATCGCAAAAAATTGAGGTCTATGATTCCGACTTCTTCTCGACGTTATGCTTTGAGAGAAATCGGGCAACGTACCTCAACTCCACCCTCTGTCAAAGCTCCTCAACCTTCCCCACACTCCTCTCCTTATCCAACACAACCCTAACTTGCCTGCCACTCTCCGCATCGAAGAACCCTTTCCTCAGGCCATCCAGATACAGCTCATATGCCGGCATATACCCATCAATAAACGCCGCAACCTCCTCATCTTTCATCCCCGTACCTCTTGCCTCGATCAGCTTATACTCCTGCTCCAGCCTCCACTTATACACGTTCCGCACATCCTCCGTATCGATGTGAATCATGAAATCAAAGTGCTGCGGCCCCATGAAGGCGTCGCAGTAACGCTTCAGGCTTTCGTTGACTTGGAGCAGATGCTCGAGCTTGTGATTTGCCGGGGTATTGACGGGGAGCTTGCCCGCGAGAGCGAGCCGGTGCTTTTCTTCGACTGCAGCGGCGGACAGCGGCCGGAAGCCTACGCACCAGCCTTCGAACACCACGACGTCCGGCTTAGCCGTGATGGTGTGCCACTGTTCCTTAGGTGCGCGATCGCCCTCGCCGTTGAACTTGCTCTTGTCAAAACTAGGTATCTTCAATTCACCGTCTCCCCGATACCCTTTCAGCTCCTTGAAGAACTGCGCGGCCAACTGCTCGTCATGCGTCCCGGGCTGGCCTCTCGTGCGGTACAGTTTGTTTCCCGGATACTTGTTTCTTTGCGCTATCAGGTCGTCGTGCGTCTTGTATAGATCATCAAGCGATATTGTTACTGTGCGCAGATTGTGTTCGGTTGCGAGGAGCTGGACGATTTTGGATGCCCAGGTGGATTTTCCGGAGCCCTGGAGACCGGTGATGCCTAGTATTACTGGCTGTGAGGAGCTTTGACAGCGCAGTTGGATCCTCGGTAGCAAGGTATCGAGCACGCGCCGTATGTTTGATTCGAGCGATGACATGCTGGAGGAGTAAGAGAGCCGGTAGATGAGCGAAAGGGAACGCCTAGTGTGTGCGGCACGAGTGCTTTCTCTCGTTTAATCAAGGGGGTTAGGTATGTTCGCATGCGAGATAATGAAAGACGAGGTGTCGACCGCACATCGGCCCGAGGATCTCCACATGGTACCGCAATGCGTAATTCTCCGCACGGGAAGTGGCCAGGGCGCAACCTTCCTAAAAGGGAAAGTATCAAATTCCGTTGAACATTGCTGCACAATAGGGGTGAGGCACTTTCACTTTCACTTTCACTTTCACTTTCACTTTCACCGTTCACTTCCACTTTCATCGTTAGGCTAGCAGTCTTTTCGCTTAACCCTAGCTTTACGGAACGCCTTCCGATTGCCGATGTTCCACACAAGCCTGCTGCCTGCTGTGCCCCACTTCGCCGCTCACGATGACGTCCGCCCGTGAAAACCATCATCCACATAATATCGCGACTGTTGGCAACCCCATCGCACAAAGAATTTGTATTCCCCTCAAACAGAAACTATCCAGTATGCAGCTCTCCGACTTTCCGCCCGAAATCCTCGACGAGATCATCGGTTGGTCGATGCCCCTCTCCTTCGAATCCCTCGCTCTCTCATGCAAAGCCATACACACACGCGCCGCCTCCAAAATCCCCCTGCACAATCGTCTGAAAAAGAAATGGAAGTGCGCCGAGCACCGCTGGTCTCGCTATAGCGACAATCTCCGTTTCCTCCACGAAATCGCCAAAGAACCGCTCATCACCCGCTACATCGAAACGCTCATTCTCCACGATCGGCGTGATTCTTATCAACTTAAGGTGTTGGAAGAAGATGATGCCAATGATGACTTCAGGAAGGGCGAAGCATACTTGGAGCGGATACGCGACTTCTTCTTCGCAAGTAGCGCAAAGAGATACATCGAGGAAGCTGGCGTGGATATGGACGACTGGTGGAACCACGTCAAGCAGGATACTAATACTAAGCTGGACCGGTTTAATAGCTATCCGGACCCGACTCCTTACATCGACGTGTCCATACTTCTTCTGTTGCCGAATGTAAAGACGGTCAGGCTCGCGCGGAAGAGCTGGGCGGAGATACCGGAAGCTGAGGCGAAAGCGTCGTCCATTCACAGAGCGACACCCGATCTTTGGCCTGTTCTCGATACTGTGGTCAAAACCGCAAATGGACCTGCGTTCAGTGGGAGAGCATTAGGGAGGCTAGAGAGGGTCCTGCCGTTCATGGGGCAAGGGTATGTGGAGAGAGGTGCGTTGGAAGCAATCCAGAGCTTCATGCAGATCCCGTCCGTCACCGAAGTATATATGGTGTCCTGTCTCGCCATTTGTAACGGAGACGGATACACCGGCCAGAGTTTCACATGGCGCTTACCGGAGTATACGTGCAACGTGCGGCGCCTCGAACTGGCGTATTGCGGTATTGATCGCGGCGGCATTTGCACCGTCCTTTCTCTCATGCCTCATCTCGAAGTTTTCAAGTACGGGCACGACGTGAAATTCCACGGCTGCCTTCTTTACTAGAACGCCGGTCTATTCCTAGACGCGGTAGCGAAGCACTGTGGCGCGAACATAACTGAGCTCGCCATTGGGTGTGGGGGCGTGGAAGGAAATGGCGGTATCGAAAACGGGATCGGCAGCTTCCACGAGTTTTCGAAGCTGAAGAAGTTAGAAGTGGACGCTGTGGTCTTCCATGGACCACCCATCGACAGTGGGCAGATGCAAGGTTACTGCGCGCACAGGCTGGAGGGCGCGAAGACGTGGACCGAGGAGGACCTGCCCTGCCTCGCTACTATGCTACCGCCTTCGTTGGAGGAGCTGCATGTTAACATCGACTACGAGGGCTCCCGGAAGATTGATTTTCTCTCACTATCACCCCTCGATCGCCACGATATGATATGCGAACTTCGCTATCAAAATGCTGCCACGGCCTTGCTGAAAGGTTTCAACAGTGAGAGGCAGAGGAGATGCCCACATCTGACGAAAGTAGTGTTCCGACAGTACGGGATCGATATTGCGAGGCGGGAGGTGGAACAGGAGGGTTGTGAATTAGACGATTACGAGATCGGGAGCAGGGAGCGGATGCCTCTGTGGATACGAGAATTCCAACAAGTGGCTTACAGGATTGCACGTATTCAGTGAAAAGGGGGGGGGGGGAACTATATACACATACTCGGAGTTACTCAACGCGTGTGGCTCAATTTTGAAGCTTGTGCACAATTCCCCTTTCCAACCGGACATAAGCCAGCTCGCCGGGCTCAGCGCGACCTATTTCGCCCTTTGCTCCTCCACAGACTCCCGAGCCCCGCTTATTTCTCTGTCTTCACCGTAGCTCTGCATCAGAATGACCACCTTTTCCAGATCAGTCAACCTCTATTTCCTTCCCTGCGCCATACCGCCAAGTAGCAGCCTTGCGAATGGCCACTGCTCCTCCAGTATGTTGAGAACCACTTTCAGGATGCTAGATGGGAGCATAGAGTGCAGCCTTCCAGCCTCCCCGTAGCTAACCAATATCTCCACATCAACCTCCACTTCCTCCAGGGCCCTGAATGCTTGAAAGCTTTCGACAGTTGCTAAGACCGTGTTTGGGAGACAGTCGATGCGGCCAGCGAGCTCTCTTACCGCAGAGCCAGCCCTAAGCAAGAAGAAGTCGAACGATTCAGATCGCGGGGTGCCGGAGACCTTTTGTGGGTTGAGGCGGGTTTGGAAGCAAGAAGAGAGAGAAGAACATGCCAGTCACACGAGCGACGCACAGTCTCGTATTTCTGGTTGCACAACTCGAACTTCTTGCTGCAGATGAACAACCCAAAAGCACTTCTGCATGCCGTTTTCGTCGAAGATCAATCGCGATCACCAGCTGTCGTTTGAGGTGGACGGTAGTGGGCTTCGCACCAAGGAATCCCGTCCAGCGAAGCTATTTTGGTAGTCCAACTATCCAAGGAATTCATATTTTGAAAGTGTCAGTCTCTGTATAGATCGTGTGAGAAGTGAAGAGTGCAGCGTGCAGGGTTGCGGAGAGGCGCCAGGGGGGAATCGGGCCGATGGCTAAGATAAGAGCCGAACGGGGTCAAGCACGACTGACGCAAAATCGGCTAGAAGGACTAACATGCGTACTTTGAGTTCCTTGTTGTTGGAGGGTCGTAGTGTGGCCGAGATGCGCTGGCGATAACGATGCCAGCAGAAAGGAATAACCACAAGAGGCACGGGCGTTGCGTCCGGAGTACCTAGGTATCACGGACTTCCAAGGTTGCCTCCATGCCTTCATCCAAGGTTTCCAAGGCGCGCATCAGTGCATGTACCTGTACTCTGCCCCTTATCCACTCCCGTTACCCCAGCGCATACAGCAAGGATACCCGCGTGTACAATCCAGCACGTCGCGCCTCTTTCCCATGGTCGGGCATTTCACCATGCGACGCCGTGTACCGTGGATTCCGTGCAGCAATCGACGCTTTTTCACGCGACTTTCCTTTCGCGGCAGTTGTTTGATTGCGAGGGGCGACGCTGGGCGGCGCTGGTGGTGGAGAGGATGTAACGGTGTCGTGCGGATTTTGGTAGCGAGGCGCAAGGTGGAAATTGCGCACTTCTATTTATGACGACTGAGCGGTGTACAGCGCATACATGGCGGGGCGTGAAGCGGGGTAACTGTGACTAGGCGGGGTTTTTTTTTCGTGGGGGGTGATAGATGTGCGAGGTGTGTATAGCATCGTATGTCTCTTTTGTATCGTCCCGAGCTGAGATCGGAACGGTGGCCGATTCTGAAGTGATGGGTTCGGGCGGCTGAAAGGCTGAATGGGGCTGCAAAGTCGAACGGAGTATAGCATTGGTTCACGAAGGAAGATCATGCTCTGCTACCGATATGAAAAGCTAACAGTAAACCAAGTATCGTTAGCATGAGACAGCAGTTGAAATCGGGACACGCAATTGAATATCTAAAAAAGCTGACCAACCACGAATGTTTTTCTATGCAAAGTGAAACCTCTAAGTAGGTACAAGAAAGGAAGAAGAATAAAAGACCAACGCCGGGAGATACAAGGAAAAGAATGTAGAGTTCTCGAATATAGACAATGAAGCGCTTTCTCTCCGATGCTCAACCAGATCACGGGTCAGCTGCGCTAAGCGCCACCACGACCAGGACGGGCAGCGCTAGTCGCAAATCCACTTGGCGCAGGTCCACCCTGGGGCATGCTCTGCTTTCCAGAGGGCTGTTGTCCGGCAGGCCCTGCGCTCGAGGGAGCACCAGAAGGCATACCAGAGGGCTGTGGGACGCGAGAAGACATAGAATTTGGGCCAGTAGGGCGTTGGCCGGTTGGCATTCCGGACTGCTGCGGCGCACCAGAAGGCATGGAATTTGGGCCTGTAGGGCCTTGACCGGCTGGCATTTCGGACTGCTGCGGCGCGCCAGACGGCAGAGCAGTGGGGATGTCGGAAGGAGGGGCATCGCTCGAGGGTGCAGTGCTTGAAGCAGCATCGCCCGCAGCGTCGGAAGCAACAGCACCAGAAGGTATATCGGTGGGGATAGCACCAGACGGCATGGCGCCAGAGGGCATAGTCCCGTTACCACCGCCGATCAGAGGATTGTCGGCATTCGCAACTCCTCCTCCCTCGTAGTAGGTAGCGGCGACAGCGTAGTACTCATCATTGGAGAGGTCCTGAGTAGTGTTGATTCCGATCTGGATCCAAGCGAGCAGGCCGTCAGAGACGGTGTCACCGAGGTAGACGAACTCAGGGAACGGATCGTAGTCGTTCGCGGCCTGGACAATGCTCCACACGTCATCGTCGTTCGAAGTTCGCTCGATGGTGTTCGTGTTATAAGGAGAGGTGGTTTCGACGTCAGTGATTAGATCCTCTGGATAGAAGAGCTGGCCGATGTGGGTCACGGCTCCCCCTTCGGTCGTGCCATTCTCTCGGAGAGTGACGTTCGACTTGACGAGCAGATGAGTGTGTGTGGCGCGACCGGTGTAGTGGCCCGGGAATAGCGTCTCGAAAGTTACAACACCGTCTTCATCGGTGGATTGGATGCCGCGGAGGAAGGTGGAGTTGAGGCCGCCTTGGCCGGATTCGACTCCACTGTGAACTGTTAAACTCGTGGACTGAACACGACGGATGGCTAACACTTACGAGTATGTGCCAGTAGAGTTGCAATTCCAAACATCGACGTAGAGGTCCTGAACCGGCTCGCATGTCTCGGTATCAATGTACTGTACCTCCAAGTATAGGTCAATGCCGACCTGATCCTCCTTGACGTCCTGGCGGACTAGCTCACCGAGAACGTAGTAGGGTCCGTCGGTGACATCAGGGGAGAGGATACAGGAGGTATTGGCCGCAAAGATAGTGCTCTCGGGGGTATTGGGGGTATAGTCGACAGTGCCAGTCATGTTATGGTTGACGGCTTCGAATTCCTGAAGGGTCGCAAGGTCGCGGCGGTATTTCTTGGAGTCTGAATGCCCCCGTTAGCTTCGCCTAGCACTCATAGATCAGTTATTGCTCATTTCACTTACTGACTTTGATCCCGCGCTTCTCGCGGAGGTCATTCAAAGCCTGCGCGCGGCGTGCCATGGAACGCTGCATCAGCTCCCTGTGCTTGAGGGAGTTCTGGCAGTTGGAGAGAGAGCGCTTGGCGGCAGCGGCACGCAGCTGGCGGGCGTCGATTTGGCGCTTGACATGGGACATGTCGTGCTTCTCTCCGGGATGGGCTGATGCGAACCCAAGGAGGGAGGAAGCGGCTACGGCACCACTGATGATAGATGCGAAGTTGACCATTCTGAAAGTGGGATAGGCTGCTCAGCGCTATGAAGAAAGGCAGACGAAGCAAACGAGAAAAGAGAATAGAATGTACGAAGCGAAAGCTAGTAAAGACCGAGGCGTGGTGGTGGAGTTGTACAACGGCTCCGCTGACAATATTTATACAAAGCTGCTTGTCGCCTCTGAGCAGCCTCGACAAGTCCTAGCACTCCAAATTGTGTCCTCGTCATCAGCGGTTACGCGGCTACGGCCCTTCTGCTCTGGCATCGGAAAGTCTGTTAAACACATCGGGGCGTTCCGCCGTGAGGGCATGGTGTGGAAGCTTGTCATACTTTTCTCCGAGAGATCTCAGGGGCTCCTGTCGTTTCCTTACCGGTCCAATCAAATTACGTTCGAATGGTGCTTCGACTTGCGTGGCTTTTCGTTGGCTTTCTGATGTTTGCGTGTTCCTGGGGCTTGTGAAACAAAAGGGAGACCGATGCTCGGGCCGATGTGCGTTAGCCTTAAATTTAGCACGATGACGTTTCCTTTCAAGCGGCAGAACCGTGGACTAGCTGAATAACCTCCGCGTGATTGGCCGCAACTGGTCCATGTTTCTTCTCTGCGCCTGAAGTCGTCGCAAGCTTTCTTCAAGCTCAGCCTTGGCATTCCTCCCGCATTTCCCAACGCCCGGGAGCACAAGCATTGCCTTGGACAGGGACGTGATTAACTACCGTCCTGCCGGGGCCAAAGCCTCTGCGCGTTCTTTGCTCGGCTTGAGCGTCTTCCTCGACTTCATGGATTGAGAGTCGCAACCTTGGGAGGCTGTTCAGAGGCCGTCCGTAGTCGACGTAATCGTTCCGAATTGATTTGGTAGACCTCTGGCAAACCTGTCGACCCCCAGGACTCGCCATTCATCAGTTTTACGAGTCCTGGTGCGGCAGTGAAGATGCGCGCCATCCCGCTACGAACAAATCAGTAAGTCTTCTGTCAAGAAGAGCGCCAACGACTTACTGTCCATGGTGTCCAGCGCATATCCATTGCCCGGGCTTACCAGGCAGCTCCCCAACGAATGGCACACCGTCCGCGCTGAGCCCAATGATGCCGCTCCAACTGTAGTCGAAACCCTCGCCCGGACCGAACTCTGCGTCCTTCCAGCCTTCGAGGTTATCGCTCACAAACTCGCGAACACACTCCGTCACATTCTCAACCCTTGAAAGTCCATCGTCTATGCAGTGCTCCGGGTGCCTTTCTACCCAAGCATCGAGCTGCTTCTGCCCTGGGTTGGAGCCACCGAACATCATTATCCCGTCTGTGGTGCATCGTGGGTTGATGGAAAATAGAGCGCCATCCGGAAGAAGAACGCCGTACGAGTTCTGGATAGCTTTGGAACCACAGAGCGCGCGGGGAGGCAGAACTTTGTTGCACATATGCGGCTTCGGGGTGATAACGCCCTTCAAAGAAGGTTCGAGTGCCGCGCTGTAGGCGTTGGTGGCATGGACAACAGTATCGCATGCAATGGCCCCTCGGTCTGTTTGAACGACCCATTTGCGAGTACTGGAACCGGTCTCGTTGACCGCCTGCGCTATCGTATACGTCTGGAGGTTCACTCCTTTCTCGATGTCGTCTCGCATAATATGCGCAGTCAATTTCCAAGGCTGTAGAGTGGACGCTTGCCAGGCATAGCACGCCTTCGCATTCTTGATCCTGGATACCTTGGCCGCCTCAGCTGGATCATGTATAACCTTGATGTGATCCACCTTTCCACCAAGGTTTTCATACCGTTCGAAAACTTCCTTTGCGATCTTTGCGACTTCGTCGTCAAGCGGCACGTCTAGGGTCTCGCCAACCCAGAGATCACAATCCACGTTATTCCCTTTGATATAGGCCACCAAGGCTCTCCAAGTGGAGGCCTCATTTTTCATGATCTTGATGGCCTGCTCCTGCCCGTACGCCTTCTCGAACTTTCCGAAGTGGCGCCACTGGTCAGGTTTGCAGTGTCCTGCATTGCGACCTGTTGCTCCAGAGCAGAACTCGCGCGCTTCAAGGACTACAATACTTTTGTCCGGCCACGTTTGGAGATGATGCTTCGCGACCAGAGTGCCCGTGATCCCAGATCCGATAATGACTGTATCAGCCTGCGCTGGGAGGTTCTGGGTGGTCCGATGATCCAACAACGGGTCGCATCGGACTTGCTGAAGCCAGTACGACAATGATTGGCCTCCTTGCTTCGGAAAGCCTGTTCTTTCCCAATTAGATAGCGATGAAGCGTGTTCTTCAACGTTCAGAACGGCTGAACTGTCTGGGAACGTGACTCCCGTTACGCTGCCAATTATAGTGCCGACCGAGCCGGGCTCTTTCATGATAGCAAAGTGAAGATGGATGGAATGATGGAGTCATGGAAACTCTGCAGGCGAGGCTAATATTATTAATGGAGTTGCGCCGAAGCCGGCATACGGCATATCTCCGAAGCCTTATCGATAACGCTGCCGAGGTTCATGGAGGACGACGCGACGCGTCTTTTCTACTCTCGACCTGTGCCACCATCACCGCTTCCTCGTCGTCCTCATCAGCGCCCTTCCCCTCTATGCAACATTCCAAAGAATCGTGTCGCCGATGCGGCCGCCGTTACGAGTCACCGCAAAAGCGACGTCGAGGGACCATCAAGGCAACGCCCGTTCCCGATTCCACCACTTCCGCCGGTCTAGAAGAATGATAACATATCAATGGAGCTGACTAGCTTCGAGTGTTAATCCTTCATCGCGCCAAACACGAAGAGGACCTTGCCGACTCATTGAGGGGTTACCATATGCTGTACACTTTAAGTGACACGGACCCAGCAATACGGAAGAGGATACACAATGCGGCGAGTGGAGCCGAGAGCTTCCAGAGCAGGAGGCGCAATTTACGGAAAATTTTGGCGCCTTTCCGCCTGTTTCCTTTTCTTGGGGTCGCCCTAGAGAGGCTGGACGACACGTCGAACCTTGGAATAATAGGGGAAATCTCGACGGAATTAACGCGGAACCGGACACAATCTGGGGCGGCCTTTCCCAGACAGATCTTTCAGACGAGGTTCTAGCCCGATTGCCGGAGTCCCTCGACCGCACGAATCATCATATGTTGTGTTGTACGGGCTTCCACACAACCTCATTAAGGGTAGGTCCAAGCGATTCAAACATGCGAGAGCAGATACATCTACGCGAAAACGAAGGATGTAAGTTACGGCAGCTACCTAGGATTTTAGGAAACCGGTCCAGCTATAGTCCTCAGCGAGAGGACCCTCTCTCTATCCGTGGATGTGTCCGAATCGGGGTTAGCGCATATTATGCACGGACCAACACCGCTCGTCCCACCTGCCATCCTCTCTTGTTCTCTCTCCACACTCCCATCACATACGCCTGTCAAAGCGGCCGGTCGCGCAATGCACTTCCTAAATTTACCTATTGAACTACGCTATCAGATTCTAGAGGTTGCCGTGGCCGCGTTGAGCGTCCCGCTAGGCCCACCCGATGTCGAACAGCTGCATCCTAAAGACTGGAGCCTTGTAGAAGGTGCGACTGCCATAACGCCTCCGATTAGATCCTTCCGTACCCGCCCCTGGACAGCGAGGATACTTCCCTTACTGCTTATCAACAAGCCATTTCGTCACGACACAACATACGTCTGGGAGCACTACATTGGTCCGAAATTACCGGCGATCGCTAATGTCGACTGTGTGGGTGCTGGTACCGTCCACCCACGGCCGCTGACAGGAGTCTTCATCAAATGGCTGTCCTTGCCGTCCCCTATTGGGAGGATCCACACCATGCAAGTACATATCCGCTTTTTCGACCACAGGCGCTTCACCGGGAGAGCATCCCTGGGCGAGAATCGGGTGTTACTCCCGGCCGTCCCTAGAGTGGTACCGTACTTCCTCTCATGGGGCCTCAAGGGTATATTGGGCAAATTATGCGACAAGTCATCATATCCACTTAACCACCAGGATGCCAGGGATATATCCCAGCTGCGGGCGCTCGACCTGATCCTCCGCACCGACTCTTCACCTGACCTTCACTGGTCACATAGGAGCGACCTCGCGTTTCAGGACGCCAATTCCGCTCTGGACGTTTCTCTCCATCCGTATATGACTGCGCGCAATCTCGCCACACACTACATTAGAAACCGTATCATGCGACATCTGCCCCTGCGCATAGCCAGATGGAATGTATACGTAGATGACGATCTTGTCTTCAAGGTGATGAGAGCTGGGGATGGGGAAGGAAGCGATGAGCTGCGATGGGAACAGTATGAATATGACGTACCAATCGATCCGCTATTCCTCCCGTGATGGAATTGGTCGGATAGCATCGCGCCCAGAGGGCACTTGCACATCCCACGGGCCGCGAGTACCCTTTTAAGTCTGAGCGGAACATGTTCGGCTATAGTGCCGATGATGAGGGCGATAGTAAGAGGAAGAGCGGGGGAGACGAGGAGACTCATTTGGCAGGGACGGCAAATCATGACAATGGGGGATTTTAGGTGGTCTATCGAGCCCTGGTTAGACGCGCTGCGGGATATGCCTCATGAGGTGCGAGACAACGAGACCGCGTGGTTTCTAGATAGAGAGTCTGAAGAAACCGACTTCGACATGTGGATTAGATGGCCGAAAAGGGAGAACGGCAGTGGTCTGGCAGAAGGCGACGGCAAGTGCAAGGGCGAGCCGATGATTGCGAATTGGAAGGATACACCAGAGAAGACTATTGGATTTCGAGCTATCGGCCGACATGCGACCGGGCCTGTGTCGAGGTGGTGAATTGACCAAAATTCATGGATACGATGCCGGCTCTCGGGTTCGTGGTCCGGGATCTAGCGAGAGCCATCCTCACGGCCACCCTTATTTTAGGAATCCCATATCATAACGTTTCAATTGGACTTTTCTTCCACTCACTGCCACTTCATCTCTCGACCCCCAGCACTAACAGACCTGGCCAATCTTCCCCTTACAAACCTCGCCTCACAAGCTCGGCTCTTCAACACCCACCCATAGCAGCACAGTACGCCAAATACCATGTTCGGCTCGCCCCTCCATCCAACCAGCCCCAGTCAAAGCCTTGCTTAGAGAAGAACCCATAAGCCGCCTTCGGATCAATGAGCGCAAGATTAGAATACAAGATGCCCCTCCATCCCCCACCCACGCTATCGACACGCCCGTTGCTGAAGTACGTGTCCCATTCTTCGCGGACGAAGGTGGGGTTGCGTGTCAGGGCGGAGGACGGGTTGATGGGGATCATGTGGATTCCTTGGATGTATTCGGTATTCATGCCCTGTGTAGGGTTTCGCATTAGCCAGGGCTGTCCCTTCAGTATACTACGTTGAGGCCGAGGGGTACACTTACAAAATAGGTCGCATGGTCGATCTTGTTCTCGAACAGGATGCCGGTCACCTTATTTCCGATGAACTGCGGGGGCTGCACCTTGTTCGACTTCTCCATGAGGAAATAGGTGGAGAAGGTACGCGCTTGGATAGCAAGCATCAGGTTGGCGCGCGCTTCCATGCAGGTGTCGCCGATAGCCTTGGCCCATAATTTCAGGGCGTAGGAGGCGAAGCCATCCTCGCTGGTGGACTCTTCGTCCTTGCCGTCTGCGGAGTCGAAGAGACCTTTGGCCTGGAATCGCGAGCCTCGTTAGTATCCTGGCAGCTGCAGATATGGGGGAGAGATAGGATCTAGCTTACCCAGCTATGTCCATGCCACCAATCGAAGGCCCGCGAGAACGGGAACATCTTGTCGTGTACTGGATTCGCAAAGTCCTTCACTAGCATATTCACCCACGTCTTGTTCTTCCCCTGGTTCAGCCAGCTCGGATCGATCTTACCGACGACCGCCGCCGCATATACGAAGTAGCCGTAGTGGAAATGGTGGTCGTTGTAGAAGCTGTTTCCGAAGTCGACGCCCGGATCGCCGCCAAGACCGCCAGTGGAAATCACGCCCTTCCAGCTGGAGTCGTAAGCTAGTGGGTTGCGTTGGCGGTTCTCGACGAAGACGGCGAAGGCAGCCTTCAGCTTGTCGAGGCCCTTCTTGGCGAGATCGGTGTTGTGGGCGAGGAAGTGCAGGGTGTAGACCATCATTGCGACTAGGAGAGGTAAGTCAGACACATAGAGGTGGTGGAAAAAATGTATGCTTACACTTCGCTAAGCCCTTGCCGCTGAAGTACATGCTGTCCAGGCAGCATTGAGCCATGACGTCCTGCTCGACCTCGGAGATGGCGGCAGCGTTGACGGCGGAGATGGCCGCGCTCGAAATAGACGTTATCGACTGGTTATCGCGACGCCAGGGCGCAAATTCCATGTTAAGCGGAAGAGTCTCGTTCAGGCGCCATTCGTCCGCGGTCACCCCCGCCGCTTGGCCTTTGGTAGTAGTCCAAAGACGGAGCGCGTTGATCTTGCCAGCCGTACTTCCATCAAAAGATTGCACGTGATGCGGAAGCGCGAACCTGAGGTGGATTAGTGAAGGCTATAGCGACAGACGAGAGGGAATATACATCAAAAGCGGCTTCGGCAGCCCTGCTTTCTTCCAGTTGAAGCAGTATTGCGCGTTGGCCCCATCGTTACTTGCGGAGACTTTGCAAGACAGAGGATACGCCCCAGCACTGCGGTCGTAGAGCCCTTCGTCGCCGCCAGCTGGCAGTTTGGCGACCTGGATTGTGCCGCCGTAGCCTTGACGGCCTTGGATGCATGTGTTGCTCGTCTTGGCCAGACGCTCCGCACCGCCAGCAGCGGATGTGGGAGTCAGATAGATCAGCCAGACACGGCCTGATTGCATTAGCGTAAGGGCCTAACAGAGGTGCCGGTCCACGGAGCTACATACCGTCTTCGAGGAGGGCACGGTATTTGGTGGTTGCACCGTTATCAATAGTGCCCACCGCCGTGAGTTCGCGGAAGAAAACGGACGACTGGATCAAAGGCGTGCACTGCTTATATACGCCGGTAACAAAACCCATTCCCTGAACGAGGGGGAAGGTGATGATGGGCGCTGCGCCGGCTGAGGGCGCAAGGTTCGCGTTAACGCTGAATGCATCGAGCGAATCAGTCGTGAGGCTGGTAGCAGAGTTCAGCTCTGAAGCAGAGAGTAGCATGCTTTGAATGCCTTTAGAGAGTCAGCTAATTTAATCTTTTCGTCATCAGTTGCCGTTCAGGGGAGCTTCTTACCAATTGGATTGATAAAGTACTGCGCGGCGCCGGTCGAAGTTGCTGGGCCGAACGCGAGTTGCTCACGTTCAATGTGCGAGATGTTCAAGCCCCAGCTTCGCGCGTTGCCTGTTCCTTTGGCCCAGCAGACGGAGTATGGGTGCGTCCATGCGGAGTTGCTTTGGGCACCGAGGAACAGGTTGGCGTAGAACTTGTTGGTTTGCAGAGGGTCATCGGGCGGCTGTTGGACGAGCGGTGTTGTTGGGTGTGGATCGTCAACAGACGCGGTTCTCGTGCATATCCCCTTCCGAGGGACCGGGTGGTCGCCCCGGATGGGAATTGGCAGAGGATCGTCAATTGGGCAGAAGATGTTTGGAGACATTATGATTTCGGGTTTAGGGATTCTGTGAGGAGAAGGAACACAGGCGGAAGGGGCGACACTGAAACTTAGGAAACTTGACAATCGGAGAGCTCGACAGTACTGAGGTTTTGAAGAGGGTTAAAACTGAAGCGCGAAGTGGAGTTCACCTGTATCCGGTCCACATGGCGGGGAGGAAGATATAGAGTTTCTACCGCCGTCAGATCACTTCAGGTCAGGATGCCCCGCAGCTACCGCATGCCATTGACTACGGAAGCGGCCCGTCCGTCGCTTCCATTCGTAGTTCCCGTTCGTGTTTATACGATGTTGTTGATTGAGTGTGGGTGCCGTACGCCCAAAGGTGCGATGAGGTGACGCATCGCGGAGCGCTGTGATTGGCCAGAACGCCACCACCACATTCGAAAGTCCAGCTGCGGCTTGCATTGCGAAGGCAAGTTCGAGACACACCAATAGAAATGTTGATCTCTCTCCACACTTTGTTGCTTCGTCAGATGGTATGATCGTCGGGGCTGAGGGGGAATGGTAAGGCAATACTTCCAAATGGCTGCTGCGAGTCCGCGTGAGCAACTCGACTGATCAATCATCCAGCCATGGTTGCGGGGCTGAATACAATGGTCTGAGATGCAGGCAAGTCTCGATCCAGCTCCAAGGACGGGTGGAAGTCGGAAGTGGTCCCTTCCGCTAGCAACTCGGGCTGGAAAGGGTCGTCCGCCCAGGTGCACACTGTAGATTTGTTGCCCAGGAAGCGCCAGAATGGTTGACGGAAGAGATAGTCTAAGCGTGGACGATTCGAGAGCATCCTTCGAAGGCTAGGTAGAAACCCTGCTAATGTTCCGTCCCGCTCACGTGCTAGCGCGTTCTTTCGGCTGAAGCGTGACGCGTCACCCCAGCGCCATAGCCGCCTAATCTCTCAGGCGAAACACCTCGTCTCCTTTACAATCCAACATCGCCTCCACCTCTCGTCTGCCTCTTCAGCAATGGACCAATCGCGCAAGTGCCAGCGCTCAAACACCAATGGCGACTCATCATCTGCACCAGCCGTTCCCGCATACAACCTCTCCGCGTGCCTCGAAGCACTTCCACGCTGCCGATGACGGCACCACTTTGAAGGCCATGCTTCTGCAACTCACGGCCGCACACCCAGGCATCGCAGACTACGTGCGCAGAACCTACTCGAGCTATCTCGCGCGCGAGCAAGCCCGCGTCGTGGATTTCGACCACCATTCCAAATCAATATAGTACGCGCTGAACAAGGAGCATCGCAAATTAAGCGGGTCTAGAGCCTACGACATTTCCTTCAACGTCTTTGCAGATGTTGCCAGCACGATCAGACGCATTGGCGAGCAGGCTGGGACGCCAAGTGCTTCCTTTGGGACGAGGAGGTCGGGCTTGGAGACGCTGCGCAAGATTGGAAAGACCATCTGCTTGAGCTCGAACGACACGCTTGGGCATGAGGTGCAGAAGCAATTTCAGCAGTCCGAGTGCTTTACGGAGGCGATGGAGGCGATTGTGGACTCTATGAATGACGAAGAGCGGGCGTGGATGTGCGAGATCAATGACGGGAGGTCGATTTTCGCGGAAAAAATGGAGGAGCTGCGGAACCTTTCAGCAGACTATTGCGTGTTTGATAGTTTGTACGTCGTTATTGACGAACTCTATGGGGAGGAAGAAGGAGAAGACGGCGATGAGGACGAGGAGAACGAGAACGATGACGGTGACGAGGAAGGACTCATACCGCGACAACCAGAATGCTGGTAACCAATTGCAGGTACTAACATCTACTTTAAACGTCTCAGCTTTGCATTAATTTATACTACCCGCAGTACATATGCGGCTAGTGTTTGCGCACTAAAATCCAACGTAATCTTGGGCCTAGCTTCTACACAAGACAGCCCGAATCGGGAAATAGACTACGAGATATGGTGCGAGTTGGCGTCAGCGCAACTCGGTACGGCCGTGATTATTTAAGCTATATACGCCCTCTTGTCCGCCTACTACACAAGATGCAGCACTTCGGATAACCAGTCATGGGCGGGGTTGCTTCAGTCCCGACCGACCGGAGCAGGACGCTCAAGGTAATCGGCGCAGGATACTCGAGGACCGGAACGGTGTCAATGGCAATGGCACTAGAGAAGATACTCGAGGGACCCGTGATGCACGGCGGTACACAGCTCTTTGGTCGAGAAGACGGTATCGTTCCGTAACCCATCCTACTTCCTTGCTCAGCTAAGCCATCCCTCGCAGCCTACGTTAAGCTCTGGTCGCAAGTCTTCGCCGCCCGCCACGACAAACCACGCCTGCTCAAGCTCCTCCGCGAAGCGACTGCGGGCTTCGTAGCAATCACCGATGCGCCTGGAAATTGCTTCGTCGAAGAGCTGCTGGAGCTGTATCCAGACGCCGAAGTCGTATGCGTGCGACGCGATCCGGAGAAATGGTGGAAGAGCTGGTCCTCTGTGAGCATGCAGGCGGAGCCGGGTTGGCTTGCTTGGTTCCTTGCACCGGTACCGGGGAAGAGATGGTTTCCGCGGATAGTGGTGCAGTTTATGGAACAGTGAGTTGTGCTTTGATGTAGAGCAGTGGATTTGACTTATTCTTTTGGATAGGCAGGAGGAGAGATTTGGTCCTATGAACCCGAGTAAGTCTGCGAGGGCTTCGTCCTTTGAAGCTTGTACTTAACGAAGCCAGGACGGATGGAAGAGCATAACGAGTATGTCAAGGCAGTCACGCCGCCCGAGAAGTTTCATATGATGGGTAGGTCTCCCTATTGGGCCCTCGTGCTGAGGAAAACGCTGCTGACACTGAACTTTCAGAGCTGAAGGAGGGATGGGCACCATTGTGTAAGATCTTGGGGACGCCAGTGCCAGATGAGCCCTTTCCAAGATTAAACGACGCCGATGCAGTAAAGGGAACAGTGAGCCAGATTTTCATCCAAGCGGGAACAATTTGGGCGAGTATCTTAGCAGTAGCCGGAGCCTTAGGGTATGGCGCTTGGTGGCTGGGGAAGATGGCCTAGGCGTAGATGCACGAGGATCGCCCCACGTCTACTATCTGTCAATACAGCAAGGTTTCCCTAAAGCGCATCATCTTGAGTTAGTAAGGAAGGTAGTTGGAGAAACTCGAGAATATTTAGAGGTCGATTTCCCCACAATATCCATGTGGGGCAGTCCAGAAGCTACTCCATACCCCGCATGTCGAGCAACTATCGACTCCTTGCATATATGTACACCATCTCTCATTGTGACCAGCCTCTTGAAGAATATTGAAAGACGGTTCAGCCTTGGGAAAATAAGCCATGGACCCCAACGAATTCGGCACCTCCACCGTTCCGCTCCAACACGCGCCATACGGCCCAATCACTGAAGAAAACCTCAAAGGAGCCAACAAAGGAAAAGTAGCAGTAGTAACCGGAGCAGCACAAGGCATCGGCGCCGGCATCGCGGAATCGCTTGCCAAATCCGGGGCCAATGTCGCGATTCTAGACTTGAGCGTGGAGAAGCAGGCGAAGACGAAGGAAGCATGTGAAGCGCAAGGCGTCAAGGTGGGAGTATATGCCTGCGATGTCACGGATCAAGAGAAGGTGGTAGCGACCATTGACAAGATTGAGCAAGAGCTAGGACCGATCGAGTAAGTTGAAGAAAGCTGAAGAGAGGAAGCAAACAACGGGCTAAGATGCAATCAGCATTCTCGTCAACAACGCGGGGATACTCGATCAACGGCCGCTCATCATGTCCACATTCGACTCATTCTGGAAGCAGATCGAGGTCAACTTCAAAGGCGTACGTACCAGCGTCCTCTCGGAAGTAATGTTGGACTGACGAGGGCCCAGCCCCTGTTAACAATTCACACCATGCTCCCGAGATTCCGCGACAGGGGCGCCGGCTGCATTATCAACATCGCCTCGCGCAGCGCGACCGTAGACGTTCCAATGACACTGGGCTACGTGACGAGCAAAGCGGCGCTGACGCGGGCAACGCACACGCTGCAGCGAGAGATGGCACTCGACGGGCTTGATCCGGCGATTTGCCTGTATGCGCTACATCCAGGTGGCGTGTTGACGGGTATGGGAGGAAGTAAGTTACCCCTTCCATTCAGCTACGGCACTGCTCTAGGAGGATTCGGATGATGCTGATACTGAATGTAGCTGGAGCGGGGCAAGATGTACTGGATAAATACGGCGATGTGAGGGATGAGAAGTTCTTCATGGACTTGTTTAAGGATCCACCGGCGCTGTGTGGGCAGACGTGCGCGTGGCTTGCTTCGGGTCAGGGAAAGGAACTGCGAGGCCTTTTTATCGGTGAGTCTGTAGGATGAGCCAGACGGAAGCACGGACTAACTCGTGGATAGATTGCCGACAGGATGTAACGAGGCTGCTTGAAAAGGGACGGGACGCTCTGCTAAAAGAGAAGCGGAATGTTCTGACTGTGAACTTCCTCGACGGTTACGCTAACGAGCCATAACACCGCCATATTTCTATTCATATTCATCTGCACTAGCCTCGTTCGGCACACGTCTTGCTTTGCATTGCTCCTTTTCCAAGACGCATTCCTGAGCTTCCCTAAACCGTCTCCTTCGTCTCAATGAGCTCGCTCTTCACACTTCCAGCCTTCTCGTCAAACTTGCCTTCAGCCTCTGCCTTCGCAATCCGCTCATCAGCTTCGATATACTCCGTGGGGCGATGTAGCTGCACAGCAACCTTGTTGCGATGAATGAACAAACCGGGCCCCGTCTCGAAAAAGCGATCGATGTCTTCCAGGGTCCTGTTATTGCATTAGCTTCAGCGCATACCGGAAGATGTAGTGCTGTTAAAGAGGAGCTTACCTGTTTGCAGTCTCGGGGTAGAAGAAATACGTGATCGGAATAAAAGAAAAGCAAATGACTGCCCAGATGATCCAGAACTTCCATCCGATGTTCTGAATGCCGGGAAGTGTGACCTGAACTACGGCATAGTTCATTATCCAGTTCGTGCTCATGGCAAGGGAAGCACCCTTCGTTCTCATTTCGAGCGCGTTGATTCTATTTCATCCATTAGCTACAAACTGTGTCTCGGGTTAACCGGTACTCACTCTGTAGGATATAGCCAAGGTACGCCCAAAACACCCATGCCGAAGCTGGCGAAGAAGACGAAGAAGAAAGACACGGCGACGATACCGAGCTTGTACTCGTTGCCGCCGTGAGCCGAAAGACCGAGCGAGATGGCAATCACGATCCAGCAGGTGGAGCAAGCTGCAGCAGAGCACATCATAACCTATTCTACGATTAACTTAAACGCTCTATGGGGAACGGAGAACATACCTTTCGCCGGCCGTACCTCTCAATAACGAAGTACGCCAGACACGCAAATACCAGATAGTCTACCGACCCAGCAGCCGCCAAAATTCGACTCAGCAGCTCCGAGATACCCAACGCGTTGATGAAGATGTAGCTCATATAGTAGCTCGTCACGTTGATGCCACTGATTTGATTCATCGCCTGCATCCAAGCGCCCAGAATCATCCTGCGTAGGACACCGCTCGGGCCGCGGCCGGAGAGCAACTCCCACCAAGAGTACGTATTCATATGCTCGCGGTCGAGAATATCTTTGATGATGTTGTACTGGGTGCGGACAGAGGCAGACTCCGGGGTTGCCCCATGCCCTTCAAGGGCGGCAAGGACTTCGAGCGCTTCGTCGTGCTTGCCTTTGCGAATCAGGAGACGCGGACTGTCGGGGAGGAAGGGGCACAAGGCGTAGATGCAAAAGGTGAAGAAGAGCTGGAAAGCAAGGGGAAAGCGCCAAGCGACGTCGCGTGGAGCGAAAGAGAAGGCGAGGGTGAGCCAGTTGGAGATGGAGAAGCCGGTGATGCAGTTGGCTGTTTCGCGGGTCAGAAATGCGCTCTTGCGTTGAAGTCAAAGAAAACGCACCCATCTGAATGATGACCAGCTTTCCTCTGCTGCTCATCTTGCTCGTTTCAGCTTGCCAAACTCCCGCTGTAGCGGTGTTCATTCCGGTTCCTAGGCCTGCGACTATCCTTCCCACCATCATCTGTGCGACACCGTAGCTGGCGGTCTGAATGATGGCTCCAATGGCGATAACGGTTGATCCCAGAAGGATTACCCGGGGACGCCCCAAGATATCGCCGGTCCAGATTGTGCTCATAGCGCCTATAAAGCATCCGATGTTATAGATGCTTGTCATAACCTGCGATCTGTCAGATTAGTTCTAGAAGCCTCATCACTCTCGTTCGACTTACACCTTGCATGTTGGCTGACGGATGTCCAAAGGTATCGAGGAAGTTCTCATTAATGATAACATTGCCGAAGACGCCCTGATCGTAGCCGTAGAAGCTATACGCTTATTAGAACCTCCAATATACAAACCATCAGGCAAGTGCACTTACATTAGGACGGTACTCGCCGCGATACTGATCCATATTGTGAGCCTCTCGCCAGACCCACCAAGATACTTTCGCGCCATAATGTCGGCCCTCGATGAGGGATAAGTGCAAGCTATTTAAACTGTGGGAAGTGTTGCGTCGTCCACAAGAGGCGTGCAGTAAGTAAGATGTCGTGATGATGTTGAAAAGATCAACGGCTCCGCACTGCTGGGACAGTACCACGGATCGTCATCCAATATACCAATTCAATCAACGCTGCAGAGGGATTCAACAAACTTTATACATCCATCCTTCCTTAACCTCGGATCCTGCGCTCCTCCTAGTTTCCATCCTATCATCCGTTTTACCATTCTCTTTCTCCACGCATCCCCAGATTTCGTACCCCATACCGCCCTAAAGCTGCTCCATCGACCCACAATTGCTCCTATCATTCGCGTGGACGCATGATCCGATACCACTTCAGGAAAAGATCATCACGCAGCTCAAGGCGGGAGATTTTTCCATCCTTGTTGGAGGCAAGAAGACTGATGACGATGCTTAGTTGTTGAGCTTGCATGCGGAACCGTTCCTCTTCGGCTTACTTACCTGGGGAAGGCGGCTGGGCATCGGATGCTGATAGCGCGAGGCTGTGGAAAGTTTGCCGAAGGTTGCGGGGTTGCGAGGAAGGTGTGGCGAGTGCGGGGGTTGGGGAAAGACTCATCAACTATACCTCTAGTAGTCTGTTCGACTCAGCTCGAGAGTCAGTGTGGCTCTGCGATGCCGCTATGAATTATTTATTCGTCTGCTGTGCTCCATGCTCAAGTTATACTACCGTGCGCACGCACAATTGCGTCAGTACTCATCCATCAGAGTCCGTGGCTGGCTCCCTATCTCCGTCGTCCTCTCCCTGGAAGATGACTTGCACACCCAAGTCCTGCAATCGCAGCCTCAGAAGTTGCACTCTCTCCGCATTCCTCCTGAACTCCTCATAGGAAGTCCCTGCCCGCTCGAGTGCACGCAAGAGCTCGTCTTCGGTCAGATCACCTTCGATGTTCATTTGCTCCCCCAGGTCGATGGTTGAGAAGTACTGCCGCAATCGCTCAAGTTCGGCAAGAAGTTGGGCTTGATTGCCGCCGACGTTTTGCGCGCCATGTCCTCCTGCAGAGATGCTGTAGGAATTGATGTTATCGTCGGGCGGTAGCGGGTCCGATGTAGAAGTGTATTTCGCCTTGATGCGTGGATCGAGGAGGCTTAAGAGGGAGCGATCGTCTGAAAGGATAACATGGCGAGCAAGATCCACCTCGTTGATATCCGCAAGCCAGTATGGGGTCTCAGGCCCGTCGATTGGCTCCTCAAATGAGTAGCAAACTTCGACTAGAAGCGACGTCGCTTCTGTTGTATTCCAGAGATCCTTGGCGCGTGGTACGTACAGCTGACATAGCAGCTCTTGATGATCTCCTAGAGGCTCTTTCCCCCATATTGACTTCGGTATGGGCGAAATTTCCAACTCTTTGCAGATACGGGCAGCAATCCAAGGGTATTCCTTTATGGCCAATCGAAGTGATTTCCTGGCCTCCTCAGGCTTCTTGAGGCGGGCGTGAGCGAGTGCCACTGAGTAGGCGAGATTAGGCGGAATTTTCCAGGCACGCTGCAAATGATCCGACGCCGCTATGTCAACCAAAGCCTGAGGTTCTCGGCCTCGTAGTGCCAGTTGATCGATCAATAGCCGTATGCAGTACGGGTCGTCCTCCGGAGCCATGCTGAGCAATAGCTTGGCCCATTCGAAAGCGGTGCGCCATGTTGCGCGGATTTCGAGCGTAGCAATGTAACGCCAGACTGCCAGCCAAAACTCGCGGTTTTCCGGGCGCCGAAAGTCAAGACGGGCTTTGCCTTGGGAAAGATTGCTCGCAAAGGTCGAGTGCACTGCTCTACCGAAAGAGAATAGCGCCCGCTCCAATAGCTCGCCAGCGGTTGCATTGTCTCGTTGCTGCTTGGCGATCTCCGAAACTTGAAGTAGTGTGGAGATGTGATATGCTTCAGACTGTGTTAGCGTTTGAGTGTAACACGATGCGGAATTGAGACGTACGGTTGAAGTGGAGGAGATGGATCATTCGCTCCGGATCCATAGACGCGACGCATGTCTCGAACTGCCTCTGAACGGACTGATAGGTCATATTGTGTATGAACCGGTACTCAACGGAGCCATCGGACCGCCTCTCCACCACCTCCATACCCAGGCCGCCTGACGTTGCGCGTGGCCATTCTTCTTTTCCTTGTATGAAGATGTTCCGGCGCAGTCCCAGGGAAGCGAGATTACGTCCTGGCGCATTTCGGCCTGCAACTGCTGCAGCAATACCACCTTGCTGGCCGTGCCGCTGTCTCGCTCGTGGCTCATCGTCATCGCCGCTCTGGACTGCGGCACGGCCGAAGAGTTTACGCATCTCGTTCGCAGCATGCAGATGCTGCGTATCCACGGCTAGGACAGAGTACAGTTGCTGCATCTCTCCGCTGATAATCGAGGTTAGCTGGGCAGATCTATCGCCAGATTTTGCATTTGCGCTGAGATTGAGTGCAAGCAGCGCCTGGTCAATCTCATCAAGACCCGACAAGTCATTGGATCGAGCAGCCGTTTTCTCCAGCTCTGGAGTTTTCCCTTTGCCCTTGCCCTTCTTTTTCTTCTTTTTGCTCTTCTTGGAGAGCTTGGGTGCTTGAGGCAGGTCGGCGTCTGCTTTTCGAGCTTCATCCGGAGCCTCGTCCGCGGCGTCTGGGGGCTCATCTTCGTCGTCACCGTCTGCATCTCCAAGCAAGGCGAATAAACTAGGCTTCGGTGTCGTGGGATGCGCTATTGTCGCTTCTTCTTCTTCTTCTTCTTCTTCTTCCTCTGACGCCTCTTCCTTGTCGTGCTCTATCCTTTGGGCCGCTTTTTCCAAGCGTTGCCGCTCTTCCAGCTCTTTCTGAGCACGCCGCAGGGCCCGTGAAGACATTCTGTAGCGCAGGGTGAGTGTTGTGGTTGTGGCGTGGCGCTGCGTGCGGCTCTGCGGCGAACGGTGGGATGAAATACAGGCTAGCCGTGATTGGGTCACTGGGTGAACGCACGGATCATCGGGGCGATCGGCAGCACGCGAATCGGTGCCTTACGCAGCGATTTCACTCCAAGCTCTCCCTCCCCCAACTTCCGCTATCCCAGATCGCATTGCCAGCCAGGCTATCGCAAATGCGTCGGGTGGCCGTTCAAGCCTTTCGATCCGCCCGTCGCCCGTGCCTGCGCAAGGTCCCTCGCAGCCGTGCCATCGCCTTCTTCCCCAGCAATGGGCTAGGGCAACGATACCTCTCGCGCCAGCGTGCCTCGTCAACCCTCCTGACCTCGTCCATGCAACTGCGGACCTTTACCGGTGCCCTGGTCGCTGCCGCCGTCGCCTCGGGCGCCTTCTACGCCTACCGGGGCACCCAGCCTGTCAGCAGCGCGACTACCGCAGAGCAGCTCAGAAGCGCGAGCAGTGACGCCGGAGAGCCGACGCGGAGAGCGCTGGTCGTTGATCAAGGCTCGCTATATACCGGCACAATCCCCGGAACCGGCCCGCTGTCCAAGGAGACGGACGACTACGGTAGGAAGGTGCTGGAGATGCTCACCCCGGAGCAGGCGACCGAGAAGCTGAGGAAGAACGAGGAGTCATGGATCGTCGGCCGAGGACAGGGCGTGGTGCGATACGATGTGGTTCAGATTCCAAGCAATGATCCCATCGAAGATGACCACGCCGAGAAGATCATCGAGGTGCCGCAGAACCTGGCAGCTACGGAGAAGGGCGCTACCTCGAGCGACTGGATGTTCTGGGGTGTGTTTGACGGCCATAGGTGTGTGTAATGTTCACCTATGATGTGACAATGCTGATGTTTGGCAGCGGCTGGGTCACATCCGCCAAGCTTCGCCAGACGCTGATATCGTTTGTCGCACGCGAGCTCAACACTACCTACAAGTCGGCGCTCGAAGACCCTTCGCTGCGCTTCCCGACCCCTGAATCTATTGACAAGGCCATCAAAGCTGGGTTCCTAAAGCTTGATAATGAGATTGTGCATGAGTCGGTCAAACAGGTGAAGAAGGCCCAGTCTAAGGGTGTGGCTGCTGAGCTCCTCGCTCCCGCTCTCGCTGGGTCTTGTGCTCTGCTCTCGTTCTACGACAGCAGCTCAAAGCTGCTCAGGGTTGCGTGCACAGGCGACTCGCGCGCCGTGCTGGGACGACGGGGACCAAATGGAAAATGGACAGCGACCCCACTCTCCGAAGACCAAACGGGAGGCACTGTCAGTGAGGCTGAACGGCTACGCAAAGAGCATCCTGGGGAACCCAATGTCGTCCGAAACGGCCGCATTCTTGGAGGCCTTGAACCCTCGCGTGCCTTCGGCGATGCCTACTATAAGTGGTCGCTGCAAACGAACGAGGAGCTAAAGAAATTCTACTTCTCACGAACGCCCTCGCACCTGCTTAAGACGCCTCCTTACGTTACTGCGGAGCCAGTCGTCACTACGACTAAGGTGGAGCCTGAGAAGGGCGACTTCGTTGTGATGGCCACGGATGGCCTCTGGGAAATGCTTACTAACGAAGAAGTGGTCGGTCTAGTCGGGCAATGGCTCGATACGCAGGGTGGTGCGAACGGGCAAAACGCGCAGACGCAATCTTGGTTGAAGAGCTGGTTCTCCACTCAGAAGACATTGCCCGTCGAACAGAAAGGTTCTTCCGATAGCACAGGTCAACGTGCGCCCATCCGCCAACAACAGTGGGGCTTGAACGCCCTCAACGAGCGTTTCGTAGTCGAGGACAAGAACGCAGCAACACATCTCGTGCGCAATGCGCTGGGTGGAAACGACAAGGACCAATTATCCGCTCTCCTCACCCTCCCGAGTCCGTTCTCTAGGAGATATAGGTATGTTCATCCAACTGTTTTTGTGCATCCAAGCTAACAACTCGCAGGGACGACTTGACTGTAGAAGTCATCTTCTTCGGCGACGGACCCGTGACTGGAAATGTCACGCTAAACAAAGAGGCTAGCGCTCCCGGTCCTGAGGTCAAGGCCAAGCTATAAGCGTCGCGACAGATGATCGATACCCCGGTTCGACCCTTGCGGACCAGCATGCATCTGCGTTCAACATGGCGTTTCGGTTTGCTCCTCGCTGCTCTCGATCCAGCGGCGTCAAGGTATGGACATAGTAAGCGGGAAGACTTTTGGACATGTAGGACTATCTCGATTTAGAAGCGCATGTATTTTCTATATCCAATCATCTGTTCAAACGTATTAACCTGGCTACCCAAGCTCACTAAAAGAGAAATGTACTCACCTTTCTCTACGTATCGTGTTACCCAAGAAGAACCGTTTTCCCACCGGCTCGCGATATCCCTGTTCTTTACATATCCCAATATCTGCTCATACCCAGGCTCTATTTCAATCTCTCTTTAGTGGTTTTCGACCAATCACATCATCCGGCCGTCTAATTTCCCTCAAAACCGTTGCATGCCTTCCCTTTTGCTCATAACCTCTATATGCACCCCGGGTTTCGGCAAGCACAATTTCTCCGTACAATAACACTATATGATATCTGCCGACCGTTCCTCGGTACCTCGCTCGCCCTTCCCTTGCCTTCCGTTCTGATGCACTTTTTCGATATGCTCTCCCTAGCAGTATTTGCGCTCGGAATAGCGCAGCATATGCTACTTGCTGCAGCCCTACCACCGCATCCCCGTCAAGCCTCGGCACCGGCTCAGTATACAGCCAACCCTTCCATAGGCGGCGGCTCCGGCTCCTACAAGGATAGCGACCACTTTCGCGTCTATGGCGCTCCTTCGAACACCGCCGATGCGACGCTCAAGATGTTGGAAGCCGCCCATCAGTGCTTCGTGGCCGAACAAGGATGGCGGACACCTGGATTGAGCTACAAGTCCGGCGGTGTGGGTAAGGAGGTGGGGCCGTGGTACAAGATGAATGTTTATCAGGTGGGTTGCCGGCAGTGTTGAATAAGCGGTTGGGTTTGAAAGTTTAGAGTTGAGGGACCTTTGGCTGATAGAATTGATCAGGTAGCCGATGGTTCGATGCCGGGTGCTGCGGCGCAGACATGGACAGATGCAAACGCTGGACTGGCGTTCTTGAAGGTTGTGGATAAATACTTAACGACGCCGGGCGTTACGGTACATGAATTCGGACATGCGATGCATTACAGCGAGAAGAACTGGATTGACCAGACGAGGTACCCATCTCTCACCTGCGTCCATGACACATACTAACACAATTGACAGGACAGGCGCATGGTGGGAGACCATAGCGAACTTCATTGCCGACCTCTATATCGCAACACCTCTCTGCACCAACGCAAAGTCGTCCGTCGGCCTCTCCACCACGCAAGGCGACTCGCTGATCGAGCTAAAGAAAGTAATCGGCGACTCCTTCCAGGTCATCGTCGACGGGACCTCGGGCTCCGGAAACTACTACCAAGCGTGGCCTTTCCTGTCCTACATTACCAACAACCCGGACGCCTACACCGGCCTGGGCAAAACTGTGCTGCTGGATATGATTAGGAAGTACAAACTCAACAGTAACGAGACGCCGCTGCATAGCCTGGAGAGATTGCTGAGCGGAGTCACGGTTCAAAAGGTGGTCGGACGATATTGGGCCCGCATGGCGTATGTGGATATCGGGCATGTGAAAGCCCAAGCTATGTTCAACTCCCAGCGCAAATCGCTCAACTACGCAAACGTGGATTCCAACAGCAACGGCAAATATACAGTCAAATCGGCTCGCGCGCCGCGGTACATGGGCGCCAACATCATCCCGCTTAAGGCCTCGGCGTCGACTGTCAGCGTCGCCATCACGGTGAGTGGGGGAGGACAGTACACCGGGACATTGGTGGTTAAGGGGAGTAGCGGGACGACGAGATATGTGGATGTGGTGAATGGGAGTGCAAGCGTGACGCTGGCGAGTGGGGAGGAGTGTAGTCTGGTGGTTGCGAATACGCCGGCGTTGGTGCAGTATGATGCGTTCAGTATTCCGGCGGATTTGAACAAGGGGTTGAGTTATTCAGTGCAGATTACAGGTGCTACTGTCTAGGGTGAAGAGTCCTGAGAAGGGGAGGGCTGCGTGTACACCGCTACTTCTAGCATCTGTCGATTTGAGTCAGCTAGGTCCCTTGCAAGACGCACTTTATGAGCCTTCAGGAGGCATACACTTTTGCGCTGCATCCTGGGTTCTCCTAAAGGGGCCATCGATCGCAAATTGCAGATGCAACGGTCGCTCATTGGCCGGACTGCTGTGAATTTTCTACGTTGAACCAATGACAGCCCTGGAATATTTTATCATCGGGGAATTAGGCCGGAGCAAATCACTAGAGGCCGCGTGGGCCGTGCGCCAACTGAATCCCTGCCGCAGTCGCTGACCGCTCTGACGTCTTGTTTATGAGCCTGCTTTTATGCCCGCACCGCCGCTTCAGCTGGGGCTCATTCCTTCTGCACGTGAACCTTTTCACTCGCTTCTACCAACTTTCGAAGCAATTGCAGCCATGAGCGGCGTGCGTGCTCATATCGCCAACCGGTTGCGCAGTTCGTCCCAGTCCCAGAACCTCTCCGCCGTCCCACCTAGACCCGAGTCTCAGGATTACTCCCCCGAACTTGCCCGCCACGCCGCGAGCATACTGTTCCAATCGCCCATTCCTTCCAAGGACAACCGACCGGTATACATTCTAAATGCGGCTGCGCTTCCAGACTCGCATGAGGAGAACTTCGATCAGCTCCTGCCGTACGTGCTTGCCCGACTCCCTGAGGAAGATGACCTGGTGAAGGGGTTTGAGTATGAGGTCGTCTTCTTCGCCGGCGATTCTGATGGCTCTGCAACATCGAAGAAACACAGACCTGGCTGGGGCTGGTTTCTGCAGGCATACCATGTCCTCTCAAGGGCCATGCGCAAGAGACTGCAAAAGCTGTATATTGTTCACGAGAAGGCCTGGGTCAGGATTCTCACCGAGATCTTCTCCACCATAGTCAGCCCGAAGTTTAGGAGGAAGATTATTCATGGTATGTGTCAAATCACCTGGTCAGTCAAACTCATCCATTGACTTGTCATAGCATCAACCCTGACCAACCTCGCCTTACACATTCCCATCGAAGACCTGCTCATCCCTCCGTCCACGTACCTCCACGACCGACGCATATCCGACGACATATTCGCGCCGTATGCGAGCGGGCGCCGAGCATTCTGTGCCCACCAGCCCTTCCCAACGAGCAGCAACGGCAAACCACGCTTTCCGCGCATTCTGCGTGAGACAACTGCCTTCCTCCTTATGGAGCAGAACATAAAGGCTGAGGGGCTCTTCCGAGTGCCTCCGCACTCAAGACTGCGAGATGTGCTCAAGGAAGCATATGACCGGGGTCAGAAGTACATCGTCTGGAAGGACAACGGAGCGACTCTGCCACTGCCTCCATACCCACGCGCCGAGCATCAGAACGAGATCATTGCAGAGCTTGATCCAAAGGATGCCTACAGTGTCTTCATGGCTGCTGCGCTCATAAAGGCATGGTACGCCGATCTGCGCCAGCCTATATTCCCCCAGTCCTCATATCGCGACTTGAAGCGCTTGTACGGCAATCCAGACGACGTCCCTGACCTCAACCGACTCGCCGAGCTGTTCTCTCCGTCTTCTGAATGGTCCTTCCTCCCAGCCGTGTCACGCGAAATTCTCGTTAGGCACCTACTCCCCCTCCTCTCGGCAGTTGCGGCTCGACAGGAGCAAAACAAAATGAACGCTGAGAATCTGGCTGTCTGCATTGCACCGGCTCTGCTATGCGGCCCAGATCAGCTCGAAGACGCTAAAATGTCGTCTATCATAAGAAGGGTTTTTATGGAGGCCATCGATCTATGGTCTCAGGGGCTGAGGGAGGCCTGTGGGCAGACTGAAGATGCATTCACCAAGGAGCTGAAGCTTCCACAGAATGAGTCTGACTGGGAAGATCCACTAGAAGGAAGAAGAAGGACTGAGGAAAGGAAGTCCTGGGACGAGAACCAGAGCACTGGCATCATTCTCCAGGACAACGAAAGCCTGCCAATTTCGGAGAAGACCGCGGGACAGCCGCCCCCTTTACCTCCTCGTGCTGGAGCGTCATCGGGTCGCCCTTCTCCAGATTCCATCACCCAACGCAAAGCAGTACCACCTCTCCAGGCACCTCCACGTTACTCCACCATTGTTACGGATAGTCCTATCGATGATACAGAATCTCCTATAACCTACGCGGCGACGGTAGATGGGTTTGCGCCGCGTGGAGGAGACCGAAGTCTTCCTGACCGGACGGCGGCTACTCATTCAGCGAATGAGAAGAAGTCTGGTACGATTTTTGGCGATTCTTTTGCTCCTCCTCCAATCATTCTTCCGAAAGGGAAAGCCCTGACAGCAGAGCAGATTGACAATGCTGAACATGCCGTCGCCGACGCACAGGCGCGGAAGGCGTCGGGGCAAAAGGAGGCTGAGATAGCACAAGCGCCAAAAGTCCCGGAATCCAGGGGCTTCGCTTTGCCGGGGCTTGCAGATCTTCACGTTCAGAAACCCGGGAGCGGACCATCAGTGAGGCGGAAAGCAGTCCCCTCAGCTACGTATAGTATGGAGGAAACTGTGTCCCCAGAGAGCGTTTCTTCAATCACCTCATCTACTCTTGCGGCTCCAGTACCCGTTAACGAGTTTCGTCGGCCTAGTCTGCCCGCCTCAGCGAACCGTGGCCCTAACATCACGTCTCTTGCGCGTCCCGTCTACCCAGCTACAAATCCCGTAGCCAATCGGCCACCTTCTAAGTCAACGTCTCTTCCAGTTCCTGGGCCTAAGCCGCGGACGCCGTCACCATCCCTGTTACAGCGGATGCCGTCTTTTGACACGTCGAAGAAGGAGGCAAGCTTAGCTCCACTTGCTCCTGGTAGACTCGATCTAAGAAAGCAGTCTGTTGATGATCTGCGGAGGCTATATGAGGAGAGGGCGGGGACCGCACAAGCTTTGGTTGAGGCGAATAGGAGGGCGTAGGGGTGCTTTCGGTGCGATGATGTTGGATTGGATACCCATATACCTAAGATACATAGCTTCTAATGACCGAGGGGGAATGCATCTATGAATTTGTGTGCACCTCAGAATATGAGCCTCCGGCCCCGCATTGAACGTTAACCGCCCTGGCACGTGCTCTTCGAATGACGTGGGGCCGCTTTCAGCGCTATGCTCCGCGGCGCGCCGAAGTCGGGCCTGTCGATCTCACAAGCTCCGATGTCACCCCAGTCCGACCGACTTTCACGAATAAATTTACCGAACCAGCTGATGACTCTCTGATATGAACACGTAGGAACACCACCGTAGCCATGTCGACTTTTGGAACGCATTTTAGGGTAACGACGTACGTTTTGCTTAAAGCAATATGACATAAAGCAATTGACTGACTTTCTCACTAGGTACGGCGAGTCCCACTGCCTGTCGGTAGGATGCATAGTCGACGGCTGCCCGCCGGGCATGGCCCTCACAGACGCGGATATCCAGCCTCAGATGACGCGGCGACGACCAGGACAATCTGCGATTACGACGCCGCGAGATGAGAAGGATAGAGTGGAAATCCAGTCCGGGACGGAGTTTGGCATCACGCTGGGCACGCCCATTGGTATGCGCGTCATGAACGAGAACCAGCGGAAGCAGGACTATGGCAACCAGACGATGGACATGTACCCCCGGCCGAGCCATGCGGATTGGACGTACCTGGAGAAGTATGGGGTCAAGGCGAGTTCGGGGGGTGGGAGGAGTAGTGCGCGGGAGACAATAGGTGCGCACACTCTTGCTCCAGGCTGGGCGTCTATTCAACCGTCTGGTGTACTAATGAGGCCATAGGACGAGTCGCTGCGGGCGCAATAGCAGAAAAATACCTCCGCGAAGCCTACGGCGTCGAAATCGTCGCCTTCGTCACCTCCATCGGCAACGAATTCCTCTTCCCCCCCTCACCCGCCCACCCCACCTGCGCTACGAACCCTGAGTACCTCAAGCTCATCGAGACCATCGACCGCAAGACCGTCGACGCGTTCCTCCCCGCGAGGTGTCCCAACGACGAGTGCAGCAAGCGCATGGTGAAACTGGTGGCGGACTACAGGGACAGGCAGGACAGCATAGGCGGCACGGTGACGTGCGTGGTGAGGAATTGCCCGTCAGGGCTGGGCGAGCCGTGCTTTGACAAGCTGGAGGCTACGCTCGCGCACGCGATGCTGAGTATCCCGGCGACGAAGGGGTTTGAGATAGGGTCCGGGTTTGGAGGGTGTCAGGTCCCGGGGTCTGTTCACAATGATCCCTTCATCAAAGCGCCGGCCATCCCGCCTGGCGCGATCGATCACCCGGCAGTGCCCCGCCCGCGCCTGACGACCAAGACGAACAACTCCGGCGGTATTCAGGGCGGTATTTCGAATGGCGCGCCGATCTACTTTACCGTCGCTTTCAAGCCGCCGGCGACGATTGGCCAGGCGCAAAATACGGCGACCTACGATGAGGAGACTGGTGTGCTGGAGGCGAAGGGGAGGCATGATCCATGTGTGGTGCCGAGAGCGGTTCCTATAGTGGAGAGCATGGCGGCGCTCGTGATTATGGATGCGGTGTTGGCGCAGCAGGCGCGGACGGCGGCGAGGAGTTTGCTGCCGCCATTGAAGGGGGTTGTGCCGGTGCTGGGTGGGAGCAAAGAGGCGGATGGGGCGTGAATGCGGAACAAAGTCAATTTTAGGTCGTAATGGACTGAAAAGTCGAACGAGTGCTCCCTCTACGCTTCAGCTGCCTCGCATTCGTGTCTCTCTCTGTGCATCCGATCAGTTGGCACCCAGGTATCCTCAGTATCCCCTTACACAGTACAAGGCGGCAGTGGGGCGGTGGCGGCCAGGGGAAGGCGGGATTTAGATTCCCAAGAGTTTTGTGCAGGCATTGTTCTCTTCTAGACTACAATACTTGGTAGCGAAAAGAACTTTCTGATGAGTCCTGGTACCGGCAGTTCCTGCAGGGCAGAAGTCCAGAAGCGAAGACCTTCGTGCCTGCATCCGATGAACACAGAATGCTCGGTCCGAGACCATCACCCGGACTAGACCCTGGAGCACGCCATGTGTAGGCTTTTCTACCAATGATGTTATTTCGCTATTTTACCCGGTGGGGGTTCTTTTTCTAAGCTTGCAGATTTTCTACCTGTTGAGCATCAGTCTTTGTCTTACTTCTACCATACTACTGTTATTGCCGGTTTCTTTGAGCTCGGGTAGAACTCGGCCGGCACTTCACCGGGCTAGTCCGGCGTTGTTTGTGTCTTTCTGGCGCTTATCTCCGTGGCATTGCATTCATCAGTGGGCAAGATGGACGACGCGTGCCACGACATCCGTGTCAAGAGAGGAAGAGACGCCAATGCAGGAGGCGATCAAGTGGTATGAAGAGACAGATGCTCTCAACGCGTCCAGACCCTTATGCCACGACCATTGCGGCCGTGGAGTCGTCAGGCGGCCTCGCCACCACGGGCGCCAGTGCGACGGTATGGGAATCCGCACTTTGCGATGTATTTTTAAGCAACGCCATGGCGAGTCGCTGCAGGACGGGCGACGGAAGGGCTCGCCTCAGGCGCCGCGGCGAATCACGTCCAGCACCTCGCAGCGATTGCCATGCGCAGGGGCCGCTGGCGAGAGAGATCTCCTCGGCATCCCGGGCTCGTCTCGTCGTCCCAAGGACCGTGTGGCAGGCGCGTTTGGACCGCACGTATCGGTGACGTGCAGACGAATTCCTGCGGTGGCTAATGCCGCCTGCTATTCCTTTCACTCGCTGCGCACATTATGTGGTGACGAGCGCGCTTCCCCCTTCCCTCCGCGCAGCTGCGACACCATGGCCCGCGGCGCACCTCCACCGTCCTCCAAGCCCGCCGACGACGACCGATCCGGGGCCGCGGGGGAGCCCAAGCAGAGCAAGCGGCGCTGCGTGCAGTCGGCCTGCGTGCCCTGCAGGAAGCGCAAATCCAAGGTAGGCCATCCAGGTCGTGGTGTGGTGCGGTGTGATTGCTGATTGCTGACTGCCGCCTGCTGTAGTGCGATGGCGGGACCCCCGTGTGCGCGACATGCACCGCCGTCTACAAGAGCGACTGCTACTACGACCCCGAGAGCGAGGGCCGCCGCGCGAAGACCACCGCCGCGGGCACGAAGCGCGACAGCTCGGCCGTGGCGAGCCGCGCCAGCAACGACAACGCCGAGTTCCTCATCTCGTCCATCCGCAGCCTGCCCGAGACCGAGGTCTACGACCTGATCCAGCACATCCGCAGAGATGCGCGCCTGGACATCGCCGCCCTGGCCGAGTCGTGGCGGAAGACGGTGACGCTGCCCCCGAGCACGCCCGTCGAGCCGCAGTCGCTGGAGAGCGACCTCTCCATGCTGCTGGGCAAGCCGGCCATGACGCAGTCGGGCGAGAGCAGGTACTTTGGCCACACCAGCGGCATGTCGCTGGTGCCCGAGGACGAGAACTACACGCGGACGGGCGTGCGCCCGCCGAGTGCTGAGCGCAAAACCTCCACGTGGACCAACATTACGCAGGATATCGGCTTCGTGGAACGCCTCCTGGACCTGTACTTCCACTGGTCGCACACCTTCTACGTCGTCTTCTCCCGCGAGTGCTTCTACAAGGACTTCCACAACGGCCGCGAGAAGTACTGCAGTCCGCTGCTGGTCAATGCCATTCTCGCCTATGCCTGCCACTTCACCGACGACCCAGCCGGGAGGACCGATGCATCCAATTTCCGCACCGCCGGAGACGCCTTCTTCGAGGAGGCGCGCCGGCTGTTGTACGAGGACGAGAGCCCTTCGCTCACCACCACGCAGGCCCTGTGCGTCATGGCTATGCGCGAGCCGTCCGCGGGGAGAGACAGCTCTGGCTTCATGTACATGGGTCGGTGCATGCGCATGGCCATTGAGTTGGGGCTGCATCTGAATTCGCCGCCTGCTCTGCAGTTGACCCCGTCAGAGGTCGAAGTGCGCAAGGTCACCTTCTGGGGCTGCTTTACTGTTGACACGTGGGTCACCTGCCAGCAATCCATGCTCCGCTTCGCTGACTTCTCCAGGGTATGGTCTATTTGCGTCGGGCGCATATCTCAGCTCCCGCGCGCAGCCATCACCTTGGACAAGCCTATCCTAGAAGAGCATCCTGAAGCCTATTCAGGTGCCTCCCAGGTGCCTCCTGGCGCTGTGACTAGCCACATCTTTCTGCAGGAATTCAGCACGCTTTCGGAGCTCATCAACGACAACAACTTCATGTTCTTCGCGCCCAAGGAACGCTTCACTAGGAGCCGCCTCCTCGATGTTCACAACAAGTATAAGAGCTGGTACAAGGACCTACCGCAGAAGCTGAAGTTGCAAGGCGTGCGAGAGCCGCAGCCTCATATCCTCTGCCTCCAGTATGTCTAAACAGCTTTTTCTCACAACCAAAGCGTAGGCGCTAACCGCTTACAGTATGCTGTACTTCACCGCAGTGGTTCATCTCTTCCGTCCTCTGCTTAAAGTCGACCTGGTCGACTCCGATATCCGCCCGCGCGACATCTGCGTCGATGCCGCCAACAAAGTGTCCGAACTTCTTCGTCTCTACCGCCAACAATACAAAATGCGCGCCTGTCAGCTGGTCCTCACGCACATTCTGCTCTCAGTCGGTATAGTGCATCTCGTCTACTCTAAGGATTCGCCGACTTCATATCGCAATTTGGTGGAAGGATGTAAAGCCTTGGAGGATCTTAGCGTCTGCCACTACTTCGGAGCCCGAGGTTTTAAGATTATCCACGCACTAGCAAAGACATGGAACTTGCCTTGGCCAGAGGAACTAAAGAACAGCAAGCTAGTGCCCAAAGACAGCCCGCGAGGTGTTTTGAGCCCGCCAGCTGAATCTTTCCTCGCGGCGCGACCCACGTCGAGTATCTCAAGCCGAATGGGCGCTGGAGCCGGCATTGTGTATATGAGTCCGCATGCGCCGGCAGCACAACCCGCGCGGAGAGAAAGCTTAAGCATGTTTGCGCGCCCCGAGCGTGCAGCGAGCGTGCAAGGTCTTGCTTCACGCACGCCCCCAGCTCAAGCCCCGGGGATTGTCCCGAGCCAGCGGCAGCACCGAGGATCAGGACCCAGTATCGTTCCGTCATATTCACCCTCAGCAAGCTCTACGCCTCAAATGGTTTCCACGACGCACGCCAGTCCTGCAAGCAGCTCGGCAGAAACCCTCTTCTGGGCGCCCGTCCCCGGTATGGGCATGCCGATCCTCCCGCGGAACTATCAGGAGAGCCCTATGGACCTCGAGAACATGTTAGCCAATGTAGACGAGTGGGATCGGTTCTCAAAAGACGGATTCAAGATGTCCGAGACGTGGACGCAGGATCCCGTCACTACGGTGAACGGAATGTCCGCGGATGGTTTCGCGCAAAGAGGGGTCGCAAGCCACGTGTATTCTACCAACGGAGATACCAGTCCGTATACTACCGGAGGCGAGATGAATCAGCAAGGAGGTCCACATGCCAGCGAGCAAACCTTCGATCCGCGGTGGTGGAACGGCAACGGCAACACAGGGCCGATGAGCTGACGACGCGAAAGTTCGACCGATCTCAAATCCCAGCCGCAGGAGACGGCCGGATTTGACCACAGCTCTTCGATAGGGGAATGGATTGGATGCTTCTCCTAACTCTCGGTATGGAACCTTTTAAGAGACGGGTTACGAGCGTTCCCGCCTGCTGTAAGGGAGGTGAAAAAAGAGATGGAGCTTGTTGTATGGAGAGATGGTGTATGTGCGATGACGAGGGCGTGGTCGTGCATGGCGTTCACGCATTTGATGGCGCATGTTTCGGAACGGGAAGGGATATACGGAGGAAAAGTTTATTCGTTTCAGCAACTGCATGTTCGGCCTCGTGCAGGAAATGGTATACGATAGTGTTGTATTTGTAGGGAGGGGACATGTGCTAGGGTGAATAGGGGTAGCAGTATCTGAGAGCAAGTGAATACAAAACTCTTAAAGAAGAAGCGAAATCGGCTTTCAATCGTCTCGCGACGCAGCGATGTGCCTTGAACACGAGTCAGCGGGACTAGCTGGGAAAGGGTTTCCGCGGTTGCTGCACGAATGGATGGGTGGATGGGTGAGTCTTAATCTTGGTACCTAGATTTGTTGGTGGTGGTGTCCACCATGTTCTAACAGAAAGATGCAGGTGTTGCCGAATCACTGACGGGCTTCCCAACGGAACTTGGTTCAGCGGTGAGTAATAATAAAGTCAGTGAGTCAAACACTTAGCGCAACCGCGGTCACCCTAACAAAGCATCCTCCTTCCACAAAGCGAGTCCCCTCTGATATAAAATCCCCGTTTCCCTCTCCCATCAAACGACACTTCCTAACACCAGTTTGCCCCCGACACCACAAACAACTTCACCAACAAACAAAGTCGACCAACAAACACAGTCGACCAACAAACACAGTCGACCAACAAACACAGTCGACCAACAAACACAGTCGACCAACAAACACAGTCGACCAACTAACTCTCCGCCAACTCTACCCTCCCAACAACCCACCTCCAAAATGCGCATCCGCACCATCCCCTACGCCGAAGTCGCCGCCGACGCCGCCGCCATCCAAGCCTCACAAGACACCCCGCACCCCTCCACCCGCTCCCAACGCTTCTGCACCGCGCAGCACCTGCTCGCAGACATCCTACCCAGCGTCCCCGAGTCCGCGACATTCACGCACGAAACCCCGCCCTGGACGCCGTACGCATACACGCTCTGGCAGCCGCTGATCGCGCGCAGCCAGCGCCTGCGCGCCGCAGACAGCGCGGTCGCCCAGATCCCGAGCTTCTTGTGCGACGACCTGCTGCGCTGCCACGCCGCGTGGGTGGCTATGGACCGCGTGCGGCAGACGCTCGTCGACGAGGTGGTCGAGGCGTGGACGGCGACGCGGGCGGGGAGGGAGGTGGCGCGGCTGTTCGACGGCGAGCGCAAGTGGTTTGTTAGGCTGGATCAGATGTCGCCCAAGGACTCGCCGCTCGGGGGCAAGCTGCCCTGCACGACGCTCGAGGAGGTTGTCATGCGGCTGGGGAGCAGTATGCGCGTGTACGGGTGCTTGCTGCGGGAGCGCGAGGATGCGCTGCGCGAAGGGCGCGAGATGCGGATTCCGATTGTGTGTAATCGCTGGGACGAGGGGATGGATGCCGCGCGCGAGTTTCGCGTCTTTGTGCCGCCGCCCGGGGCGCGGATGTCGTTGGGAAGGACGGTTGAGGGCCTTGCAACGGCGGAGCAGATGCAGATGAGTGCAATCAGCCAGTATAGGTGGTCGCTGCCGTTTGTGAATCCGTGTCCGGAGCTGGGTCTGGAGGGAGCGGCGGAGCTGGTGCGTGCCGGGGCGGCGAAGGTGCTCGAGGAGATTGTGGACTTTGCGGAGAAGGAGGTGCAGGAGGAGGTTCGCGATATGCTGCGAAGGTATGGCTTCAGCTTTGACGTTATTGTGAAGGAGGGAGGGGTGGTGCAGGTTGTGGAGATTAATCCGTTTGGTGCGCTGAGCGGATGCGGGGCGTGTTTGTTTAATTGGGCGAGGGATGGGAGGGTGTTGTATGGGTTGGATGGTGGGGAGGTGGAGTTTGCGGTTACGCTTGAGGAGGCGGAGGGGCGGGAGTGAGATGTGAGATGTGAGCGTTAGCAGTTCGTTAGCGAAGAAGATAGTGTTCGAAAAGGAGATAGGAAACCCTTTTTGGCCAATATCACTTTACCGTTTCATACCGCATCTCTTCCTTTCGAAATCTAGATCCTCGTCTTCTGGATGCTCGAGAATCTGACCCTCCCATCGTCGATCTCAAGGACGTGGACCGGAACCTTCATACGCATCGGCTCTTCGCCTGGCAAATTCATCGGGGCGGAGAATCCTGCTACATGCGAGACGCCCCCGTTGCAGGATGGACATTTCCAGTTCTTCCTCGCGAGAATTGAGTCTGGCTCGCCTTCTTCCTCGAGCTTGCGGATGCAGACGTTGCAGAATGGGTGGTCGCAAGGTCGGATGCTGCGGGTAAGTCAGCCAGAGAGCTTCTGTTGTAGAGAGATAAAATAGTGCGCACATGCAATCGCAGAGCCTTCTCTCACACTGCCTGCACATTCTCGGTTTGAGAGGGTCGAAGTCCTCCTCAGTACTCAGACCCATCAGCTCGTCCATCTGACTGACGCTCTTCACATTATCGAAGTCGCCGCCTTCGAGCCTCTGGTCGACTTTCTCCTCCACGACGTAGAACTCGCCGCCCATCTCCGCGTAGGTTTCGACGTCCATGGGCGGCGGAATCGGCACGACATGCGTGACTTTCTCACAGCTGACGGGGTCCAGCATGTGCACATGGATGATGCGGGCGGCAGCGTGGTTCCAGATGTTTGCGGGATAGGGATCTTTGTATATGTCTTGAACTGGGTCCGGTATAAGCATGGTTTTATGGTGTTGTGGAAGAAGAAGAATCAGCACTTACTCAGTTTGCCCCCGGCAGCTAGACCCATGGTTGTGATGTCTTTGACCTTTACGTCCTCGAGTTGGTCCTCGTCAATCTCAGAAGCTGCTTCCACACTGTCGCCGGCGTGCACATCGCCATCGTTGAATGGATATTCGAGAGATTCCAGAGGACGGTCTTCGTCTGCCTGCTGTCCCACGGATCTTTTGCGTTCATTCGCAGCTGCCTTCTCGAACTCCCACTTCTTTTTTTCATCATCCGCCACCCTCATCTCTTTTACTACATCCACGGCACACTTCCCTTTTGGCACATCTTCGTCATCGCCCTTCCGATCCAATTTTGCGAATTTTGCGGCTACTACCATTTTTACTTTCTCTAGCTCACACTCTGTTGCTTGTACCAGGGGTTCGTTTTTGTCGGGTTCCCATATCTTCTTTTTGCTCGGTGAGTGGCCCTTGGTATCGCTTCCATGGTCTTTCTAAGTCGGTTTCAGCGTCATGCAGCCCTACACTGGCTTTATGAGTCTCACCTCCAAGACCAACTCGTTATCTTCACCGAACAGAGCGACTGTGGCCTGATCCAAATGAGGCTGTTCATAGGCGCAAAGGACATCACCAATCTGCAGTCCTAGCTCGGCAGGGTTTCTAAACTCGTCGATCCACGTTGTCCAATCCAAGCTGGCGCGCCCGTTTGGCTTGTTACTTTCGAGCACCCACCAACGAAGGCCCTTCACGAATTCAGGAGTGACTTCGATTTGCAAGCCGCCATACCTCTCTTCCGTTGTCTTCTGTCCTTCCACAGTGTATCCGGAGCCCACTGTTCCTATCAGCAGAGCTGTAATAAGTTTGACGACCTGACATACACGGCATGGCGATGAATTGCCGAACAACACCCCGGGCCACGCAGATGCCATCCAGCCATCGCTGTCCTGGGACGACGAGATAATCCTGTGCTGCGGTTTCGCCACTTGCTCCCTGGTCTTGATCCATGATGAGCCCGGATACTGCGTTGATGCGTCCGATGAAGACCCGAACCGCCCATCTTGAAATCTGGTTCACTTCGAAGTTGATCCACATAGCCTCACGCTGCCACATGCCAAGGAAAACCCCACCAACTTCCCGGATGCTCATCGGAAGATGGCCAGTATATGATTCCACATTGTATAATTCGAAAGTTCCAAGGGAACCGGGCAGTTGGTGAAGCTTGTTGTCATCTGGCATCCTCGGCGCGCGGTGAAAGGTTACCTCAATTCCACAGCCGTCTTTAAGGGACTGGCTTGGTCTTCTTGGATCGTCGGAATAGTTCTCGCCTATGCTGAAGTCGTTTTGTACCCCATGGTGAGCGTTCGCGTGTGCGATTAACATCTCATGGAGCCTGATCTGATTCTTCGTCGATGGCTGGTCGTCTGCAACGACAAGGACTTTGTCGCATGCATTCGGCATGTCCTTGGTGTCGGATTGCGTAAGGTCTTCTTGGCCTTCCTCGATTGAATAGGATTGCCAGCACTCTGCCAGATGGTCAGCCATACGGAGGGGTGGAGACACAGTGTGTGCCCGATCGGAGAGTTGAGTTGCGGGCGAAGGTAGCGAATCTGCCTGCCGAATGTCATTGCAATCTGCATCCCCTTCATTCTGACTCTCTCCTTCTCCGTTATCTTTCTTCCGTGACGTTGTAGTGACCATGGCGGAGACAGAGACGCTGTCGTGAGTGTCCATACCAACCAAAAAGAGTAAGAGTCGTAATCTGATCAAGTCGCCCTTGTCACAAGGGGAAAAGACGCTGATATATATCTGGTGACATCACCTGTCGAGGAAAAAAGCAACTGTGGCTGAGATTTATCCTCAGGCGACTTCAGCCCTCGTGTTTTTCGTATTGCATGGCCTGCCCTGTGGCAAGAGTCGTCGCGGCATATGTAGGGAGCCGTGAGATTCTAGTAAGGGTAAATCGAACAAGAACCATGTCTTTCGGATTCTCCATAGGTATGGAAGAGAAGCAGAGTTGGCACAACCTCGGGAGAACGCTGACCGTGTTGAGGCGATATCGTTCTGCTTAGTCAGCTAGCGTACAAGCTTTATTCGAATGTCACCAGCGGGAGGAAAGGAGCATCCCACGACCTAAAAGGGCTCAAGGATGAACTCTTCAGTCTTCGATGCGCATTCGATCATCTTCGAGCAGTGGCTCATGATATCCTGGCAGAACCAAATACCCGGCAAGATCTGGATCAGATTCTAACGTCGTGCGGCTCCACGCTTCAAGAACTTGATGACGTCACCAAAGGGTACCGAGAAGCGGTCATTGGAAATGAAGAAGATATCAGTCAGGGGAAGAAACCGGACAAAAAGCCGATCATTGGTGGTATGGTGAAGAAAGTTAAAGGAAACTGGATGAAGGTGCGATGGGACCTGGAGAAGCAGACACCCCAGCAATACCGCGAGAGGCTCCAATCACACACCACCGCCATCAACATAATAGTGAACTCCGTCATCTTGTGGGTCACTCCTCGATCTATGCTATCCACTGGTAACAATGTACCAGGTCGACCGTCAGTATGGCAGCGGCGGCCAGCAAAAGCAACCACGAGAAGACGCACAAGTTGCTTGAGCAGGGGCTAAAGCGCCCACAGCCGGATAAATCATCGAGACCAGCGGCAATTGCTTCAAACAGCCTGAGTGCTCAGCAAAATCCAACCATAGCTGCGTTGAGCATTGAGCATGCCCCGCTTAATTGTGCCCAAAAGACTATTTTCAGCCCGCATTCAGAACGCTGGCATACCGGTCGCTTAGATGGAAGAACATCAGATTCTGTGTCTGCTTACTTCGTAGACGCATCGTTGGAACGGACGCTGGGTCGCGGTAGGATAGAATTAACTCCGTCTGTGGTGGCCGTCAATATCGAGCGCCGTGTTTTAGGGATGCGCGAATTCGAAACCTTCACTCAGCGCAACACTCAGCGCCAGAGGAGGGCCGTAAGGCCTAAAAGGCCAGCTTTTCTCGCACTCCGGACGCCAACCATCCAGCAACTGCAAGACGGTCTGGCATACGTCTTCCACCCTCTGTCTGATGTTATCGGAGAGAATGTTGCAAGTCGGAGCGCGGCGCAAACCAACGAAGTCCTTCAGTGGATCGAAGGCTTTCGCCAATCTGTGGAAAGTACCGCATGGAATTTCGATCAAAGCAAGGGATTGATTGATTTGATGGTGGCACTCAACGGTGCGGTGGAGAAGAGTGACCCCAGAACAAGAGCCTCGTTCTACACCGGTGCTGATCAGGTGGGATTGATGGAGGTACTAGCGCAAGCACAAAGTAGTTCCAAGAGCGTGAGGATCATGAAAGAGATCGAAGAGTTTCAGGAGGTGAAAGAAGAATGGCTGGACCAACAAAACTAATTTCGCGGACTGCGGTCAGACAACACGCAAGACCACGCGGTGCTGGATAATCCAGGTCAACCAGCAGAAGTCTAACAGGGAAGCGCACCTCTTGCTCTATCTCACGTATGTCACTAATAGATTCGTAGTCATACCTCGAACACAAGACTAAATCAATAAAACTAGCGGAGTTTGATTCGTGCCGACACTTGCGTATCCGAAATCGGTAATTGCTTATCATTTTGTGCGTCAGCACGTGATAGACCGTTTGAGAGACCACGTATCGCTGCTGAAGTGTTCCAGCCAACCCTGTGCGTACACAAAATCGCCTCGATCTGTAGCGGCATATACTTCTCCATAACAGACCTCACACACCAAAGAGCCTCTATCCTTCAAACATCTGCCTCTCCCTCATCTTCAGGACCACCAAAACCGACTGTGTCTCTTCTACGGGTTATACCTGCACTATATTGATGCCAATATCAATTAATGTAGGAGCATACGTCTTACAACAGAGATAGGATAAGCGGAGTGCGCGGGGGTATACGAAGCGAGGCCTTCGAGTGGAATTCCAAATGACAAAGTCGACCGGTCTGACTCATCACATCGCGTCGGTGGACTACCCAATTCCAAATCTCGGCCCTCTTGGGAATTTAAAGATGTAATCATCTACTCCAGTTACGCTAGTGTAGTCCTCGGCCGACGCACGTAAGCGCTGACACCAGGCTCCTTGCGCCTCCAAAGCTTACACTTTTCGACTTGGCAAGACCGGAGGATCGGGCAATCGAACGAACTCTGGACTTTCGGCGCTAGAAATTGCGCGAAAAAGGTTTTTGTAAACTCTTTCCACTTCCATGTCTCTGTCGACGCCCAAGACAGGCAGTGCGCCTCTCGGGTCTTCCAGTTGGAGTGGATTTGGAATTCACCTTGGATCAAGAATACTTAAAGCTTCTCGAAATACCTAGAAGGCGCATTCATCTCACCCAGTTTCATCACATCCCATTGATATCTTCGTATCGGCGGCACATCCTTCATCATGCGACCTACAACCTACAACACCTTTCTTGTGGCTCTATTTCTTTCCCAATTTGCCTCTTCCATTCCTATCCAGCCTAGCCGCGGACCGGACCCAGGCTACGCTCATCCATCGAACGGAATCTGCGCAGATTATACCATTAAGGAGGAGATTACGACGACCAACCAAATTTGGGTGTATCCACCCCTGGCAAATGACTTCGATGTTGCGCAGGCTCTGGCCAATATCTCCAGCAAGGAGCCTTCAACCGGGTATCAGCCTCTGTCTGGGGTGGTAAATGTAACAAAGACGTATGAAATTGCTGGGACGTTCTGCACACCCAAAGAAAAGAAGGGTGGTAAAGAGACGATTGTTCTGGTCGCGACGCATGGAGTGGGATATGATCGCCGGTATGTATACTGCGTCGAACATTGCAAGAGGATGGCTAGCTCATACTTTCCAGATACTGGGCATCATCTTACATGCCTGAGCAGTACAACTTCGCTCAGTATGCGCTCGAGAGTGGATACTCGATCTTCTATTATGACCGTTTGGGTGTGGGGAAGTCGGAAAGGTATGCTCATCCCTTTTCTTCGCGACTTCATAGGCTTAACAACACACCCTAGGATCTCGGGTTACGACAACCAAGCGATCATCCAAGCAGCACTCCTCACCAAGATCACGGAGGCCATTCACAACGGAGCGTATACATCCGATATCAAAGCCTCAAAAGTCGCCCTTGTCGGTCACTCCTTCGGTTCTATCCTGTCCAGTGCTGTGACCAGCGACAGACCCGATTTAGTCGATGGTGAGGCTCCTTTCATCTCATTATCTCCAATGCATTGCATTCCTGTCTGTCATGCGCGTTTCAAACCTACTCACCAAATTGCAGCACTCGTACTGACGGGTTGGGCCTATCCAAACGACACCGACCCTGCTGCATTCGCTCCCGTCTTCACACCAACCGTGTTCGCTTCACGTCTTGTGTCTAATACATCCGGCTATGGCACCGGCTACCTCGACTTTGGCGACATATATGCCCACGTGCAAGCCTTTATGCATCAGCCGGGCTACGATATTGCCACCGCCAAATACGCGTATTCCATCTCACAGCCTTATGGCATCGCCGAGTTTCTCTCGGGCAGGGCGCTGAACCTGCAGGCGGCGGACTATAAGGGCAGCGTGCTGCTTGCCGCCGGGAAATATGACGTTTTGCTTTGTGGTGGTGACTGTGCGGATACGTTCGAGGGAGGTGTACAGGACATGGTCTATCCGAGTGCAAGCAAAATCGAGCCATATGTGCAGCCCGGAGCGGGACATGGTGGAAACTTCGGAACAACTGCGTTGGAGCTCTATAAAACCATTGTGGAGTTCTTGGACAGTGAGCTGTAGGTGGAAGAGAAGCGGAAGAGCTAAGATGTCGATGAGGATTTAATATATCGCATGTCGTTCCCAGTCGCCCCTTTAGGGCACATGTACGGTATGTTCTCCAAGCTCTATCAGAGACCGCCACTTGTCCAAACTTTCACCTAGTTCTTGTTGGTGAAGGTGAAGGCGGCACGTCAAGAAATTGTGTTCTATTTACTAAGCCACCGGTGAGGGGAAGCTCCCATCCGCCCCACTTACTTTCTCACACGTTCCGTGTCTCTAGGTACCATGGGTGGCACTCCACACCGCCACAAGCCCCTTGATTAAGTTACAGCGACGAAGAGCGAGAAGGCTACTCCGAATTTCAATCCACACCCCAAATCGACGCCAAAAGCCTCTACGCTTGTCTCAATCGGAAAGCAGTCGGCCATGTCGACTCCAACGCAGTCAGAGTCGGCTTCAAAACCCCGCCTGTGTGGCTCGGACCACGATCCTTCCGTGAAGGACAGCAGGGTGTCTTTTGCGTAAGTTTGTCCACGACCATGACGAGCGATTCGCTAACGCGAGCTAGTAACGTGTCGAACACCATCGCCACAGTCAAAATAGGCGTGAATAGAAAGGCTTTTACCATTCACCTCGATCTCCTCACCGGCTCCTCGCCGTACTTCAGGAAGCTCTTCAAAGGACCTTCCAAAGAAACTGAAAGTTAAGAAGTCGCCCTAGACGATGTCAGCGAGCCAGCCTGGGTTGCCTTCGCCGACTGGCTCTATCGTCTCCAGAACATCACTCAGGGTGGCCTTATTGACAACATGCGCGTGCATCCACATGCGCCGAACCTCAGAGCTCTTCATATTCGCGGACAAGTACAATGTGCCTCAACTTCGAAAACTTAGCGTCACAGGCATCTGGAGCCTTCTCGATCCTAATAGGAGGAGAAAGGTGCCTTCCTATCAAGACATCACACTTGCATTCGAGAATCTGCCGGAGAAGGCACCACTGTGCAAATTGTTCGTCGACGTCTATTGCCGGAACTTCGAGAACGAGATGGATGACGAGAAGGAGTGCTCAGCCAAGGGCATGGTGCCTATGACATTCTTCGATGCTGTGGTCTGGCGCCATACGCACGCGCGGAAGATGATGGTAAAAGGGGAGATGGAGATTGGCTATCGGTTAAAGTTGGCAGACTATCACGAGCACCAATCGCAAGAGGAGGCATCCAAGTGCTATTGCAAGCTCGCTCGTTGAGATTGGTGGCATGAGGTAGGGGAAGAACTCCCACTTTTCACAGCAGTGGAAATGATGGGGAAGGTTCATTTAAGAGCGAAACTATCATGGTGGACATCAGTTGTGACTCGGTAATTGGATTTGCCGATTCCCTCAGGTCAAGGAAGAGGGTAGCCGGAGAGGTACGGTGGCTGGCTTTTCTAAACGCCTTGGAGTGCCCCTGCACGAATTCCCCGGGAGGGCGCACTGCAAATAGATGCCAGATATCCCGATAGTCATTCGAACTAAGGTTCCTGCGAGTCATCATCCATTAGATGGAACCCACGTTCCCTTCGTCACGTATTGTTGCCTCTACCATCTCTTCGTCGCCGGAGCAGGAGTCGCATATGTGCTTGACCATTTCGCTTGATATGTCAAGGTACCCACGACCGTGACACTCTTCTTGTCGGTAAAAGTTGCCGACGTGACCACAGAGTTCTTGATCCAAGTAGACCAAGGGGGGGCGGTAGTGCCGCCGGTAACAGGACCAAGAGGGACCTCGGCGGTCTCCGCCCAGGCGCCTGACCAGACCGTGGGACCCGGGATGGGATAAGTAGTCGTACATGGTGTTGTGACGGTTCTCTTCGTATCAGTGGAGCAGTAGATCTGGGCTATATTAGCGATAAAAACGACCAAGCAAGCAATGATGGCGTACGTCGTAGACAATTCCCGGGTCATCGTAATTGTAGGCACCTGGGAAGGTGACGCCTTCTGGGAGCTCGACAGTGCCGTCGCCGGTCACTTCGATTTGCACGCAGTCGGGGTAGAATTGTGTGCCGCGCATGGGGTTGTCTAACCAAGACACTTCGCCCTCGTGGAACGCAATCATTTCCGCGCGAATAAGATAGCTGTTGTAGATATCAGAAGACAGGTTTGGGAGTGTGAGATAAAGTATAGACGTACAAGCCGGGTTTCAGGTCCTTTGGAATTCTGACATTCATGTGACCGTGATTCTTGGCGATGTCTGCCGTAGTGGTCCACTTCCCCGGCTGAGGAAATGGGTTACTCTCGTACAGACCTTCATGCCAAAGCTTGACAAAGGAGTTTTCCGTTGGCGGGTCAGGCGATATGTAGACGAGTGCCGGGCCTGTAGTCACCGTTAATTTATAATTCCGCTTACGTGGAGCCAGTGGTGTCTCTTACCGTGATGCGAGGAAGCAATCACGTCGTCCGCGTCGCTCCTGATGTCGTGGTGCCTGTAGGAATGTTAAATACTGAGTCTGGGGGATCACCGAAGGCCCGTACCAGTCCAAGGTCAGATTGTCGCCGGGCTTGACTTTGATCGTATCCGGAGACTGGATGTCGCCCATGACATTGCACCGAATATCGATAGAAGTCAAGTTTTTGACCGGCGAATTCGAATAGCCTCCGCCGTTAGGTGCGCCATTGTACGCAGGTGTGCGGACGCCCTTGTACAGGCCTTGATCTACGCCGTTGACAAATACACCCTAGCCGCAGTGAGCGAAAGACATCAATGCCCTTAAAACTGTGTCGACCAACCCAGATGAACGTATGAGCATAAGTGTGCCCTGCAAGCAGAGATCCCAGAAGGATCGGAGTGCCGTACATGATGACCTGCGACAGTAAGCAGTAGTGAAGAAGAACGATACGACTGAAAAAGAGTAGGAGACAGCGCTTGGCAAAATATACTTGAGCGTGGAGGGATTGATCAGGAATGGTGTATTGCCGGGGCAGTTTCTGAATTGCGACGCAATCTATTTCCCCACGCCCATATTAGATGGGACGTTAATCTATCACACTCCACCATGGAGATATACGAGCCGTGTACCGGGCGAGCCAAGCGGAATGCCGGCTGAGATGCCGAAAATTCTCATATTGAGTGTCGATGAGCGGGTGCAATCATCTTTCACGGAAACGCTTCTCGACGAGGCGTTGCACGAAGTTCTCGTCTTCTCGTTTGACACGCTTAATCAATTAGGCGGGTCGATACGCAGGTCACCGGATGGTGTAACATATCGATGGATTTTCATGCCTATCTGACGGAAATGTGGCTGATGAGATCGGATGGGACGACAGGAGGTAAACATAGATTGGAAGTGAAGAAGCTAAGGGCTGGTTGGGCGCAAGCCCAGGCTCGGGGCCTAGAATAAGACTGCGCGACGCGATATCACTCTGTGAGGATATAGAAGAGCATTATAATGTCTGCAAAGATGAATTCCCGGCGCGGTGAGGTTGAGAGCTGGGAACCATGGAAGGGAACCGGAAGCGCCACGTGATCCGCATTTAGCTCGGGGATTACGTCATCCGAGCACAGACCAGCCCAACACGTCCGACACACGGATCACACAAGTCCATCCCGCCTTACCGTGCAAAGAAGTTGGACCATGGGCTGTAACGCGCTTCAAACCCCGCTTTCATGCCACAAACTTTACATATACCAATTCCGCGCTTCTCCACCTAAGAGCATGTCGCTAATATCCTCCCAGTACATTTCCTGCCAAGTGCGAGACTCTGAAGGTTCATCCGCCGGAAATACAAAGTCGTAATTCAATCCATTCGGTATTTCAGGCAGCTGTGGCGCGTCCACGACGAACGGTTTGAATCCTGGCGCGAATACATCTGTACCGCGCTCGTCGCATTGGACTGTCGACTGACCCGGAGTAATCAAGCCCGGACAAGGCTCGTCCATTAGTCTTCTACTACATTCTGCGGCTTCATGTCTAGTTTCGCGGCTTGGCGCACTGTCACTGTGGCCGTGGGCGTTGATGGACTCTCTGACCATACCCGCGAGCTCCCGAACCACGCTCAACCAGCGCTGCATAGTACCAGGCACCTTGGAATTATCCAAATGCTTGGAGGCTACTCTTGTACACTGATCCAAAAGCAGTTCTTTCTCCACGCAAGATTCTAGCCTGCCTCGACTGACGTCACATAGAAGGCTCAGTACCAGAACGAGGGTTGAGGAGTAGAGATAATAAACGTCCAGCCAGGTGACGGCGTTGAAGTTGCCGAAACTGTCAAGCTTAACAAGCAGTTGACATGAGACACGTCCTGATTCGATACAGGTATCAGACATGGTTTCGAGAGACGCGGAATGTGTCACTGGCCGTTCCTTCGATAAGGACGTAAACCGAGAGAGCAGAGCGCCACGACATATCAGTGAAACCGTGTAGTGGTACTGGGTGTGGAGAAGAATGAGTGAGCGCTGAAAAGGTGCTGGCATGGTGTCGATGGCGTCCGGTGAGAGATGCGGCGGCAATGATGCCCGCCATCGCGTAAGATCCCGAAGAAGCGTTGCCGTGGGGGAGAGGGGTCCATGGCAGTCTTCTTTCGTTCCTTCGGGAAGCGCATTTGCGGTACCCAGGAGGGATGACAGCCGATTCGACCACGCTACATAATCTGGTAGGTTATGTGTGCCCATACCCAGTGTGCCTTCTCGTGGAGAAGCGGGAAGGTGTTTGGCGTTCTGTATGGCGCTCTCGCGGTCGTGGGAAGAAACTTGCAGCTGCTCAAACGCGTACAGCGTCCACCACACTCTCTTTCGCATCTCGCGCATGAGAGGCGTGCCGTCAGTCTCGATATCATCCCGATGAAGTCCGATGGCGAACCCAATTCGAGCAGCCGCACCAGTAAGCGTCCAGCAGACGTCCCTGGAGTTTGTATTGTGGAGGTGGAGCGCTGCCAGCATCAATGCTTGGATGGATGCTAAGCTGGAGGTGAACATGACTTTCGATAGTAGGATCTGGAAATGGGACCACCACCTATCCGCTTGCTCCTCCGAGATGTCGATATCGCAGTGTCGGCGACCAAGGCTCAAGACAGAGAGGAAGCTACAGACCCACACATGGTCGACGTTCGTTGGGTCCTTGAACCACGAATCCAGTTGTTCAAGGAATGCGGCTTCGTGCAAAACCGGAAAGTCAATGTTGACTCTGTCGAAGAATGCCCGAACTAAAGAAATAACGGTCGATCTCTCGGTTGGCTCCGTCATAGCTTCTGGGGAGCCTATGAGACTTGGTGATGACGGACTTGCGATGGAATGTATGTCCACCGTCTCCAGGGGGCGCCTGGAATCAATTTCTGTGCCTGAGTTGGATCTGCTATTGGCGGGATTCGGGCCAAAGAGGTACATGCGACCAACAGGCCTGTTCTGATCTCGGCCGACCAGTGCTCTGAGCTTCATCTGAAAGAAGTAGGAGCTTGACCGTCCGATGTACTGGTTTTGCCCTTGCAAATCGTGGACCAGTTGCTCGTTTTCCTTTTCGTCGGTCACCTCCGAACTGCTGGGCTGGCCCTCTGGCAACGGAATTCCTAGAGAGCGGCCCATTTCTTGCAGGCTGTCGACGTTCGCGATGTCTGCCTCTGGGATGAAGCCCTTAACGAGGCCTTCCAAGACTGCGACCCTAACACCATGGGATTCCACGCTGCCATAAAGGCGTTGCTTCCGCGGCTTCGTGACGATGCAGGTATAGCCATACTTCAGGCAGTGATTGCACTTGTCCTGGCCAGGTGCCGTCGTACACTTTTGCTTTCTGCTCTTGCAGCGGTCACAGCTGTGTTGTGTTCTCTGCCGTTGCTCCACAGGCACCCGGCGGCTCTTTGCGCTCATTGCGGCCATTGCGGCATACCAAATAATCCTGCCGTCGCAAGCTCGTCAGCCGGTAGGCGCAACTGTCATCGGTCTTCGGCGATTCGGGTAACATCAGGATGTTTAACGGTCGTGGCGGGGAAAGATATGGGAGGAGTCTGGGGGCGGGTTGCATGTTGCCGAAAGCCGCCATCCCCGCAGTTAACAAAGCGACGGCGTCCGCTAGGCCAAGTTTATGCTCTCCTTATCTCCAAACTAACTCTTATAGATGCGCGCGGCTTGCATGCAAGCCGCACATTTGCCCCCAGTCGACGCGCATGTCGCTTAACAAACTATGGTCACCATGATCTGAATCTACGGTATCGGCTCGTTGCAAGCTGCGATGAACATGGAGCTGGAAACGACACTTTCGACAGCGCCTCTTATCAGATGATTTGCAGTCGCGGAGCTAAGCGTTTAGGGACCGAGGGGGGAGATTGGGTATAAGATCGCTACCGACAGAATGGTCGCATAGGGCCCTGGAGCCTTCCATTACAAAGTCCCAAAGCAACATTCATTCCTCGGTTCCAGCTCTAGCTTTGCTATGGAAAAAAACATGTCAGATATCAACACCAGGGCGACAGCTGACCCGGAGAAGATGTCGATGTCCGGGTCGAACAGCGAGAAACTCGGGGCACCGACGTTGAAGACAACCGAAGACGGTATCCCTCTGGTGCCCCAACCAAGTGATGATCCGGACGATCCCCTGGTATGACTTACCCTTTCTACCAACCGTGTATATGTAGTGCTAAGGCTTACTAAATCATGTAGAATTGGAGCTTCCCCAAGAAGCATGCCGCCCTGTTTATCCTGGCCTTGGAGTCCCTCCTCGTCAAATTTTCAGCTACTCTCATTGTGAGTCCAACTACTTCGTTTTAGAGTCGACGCGAACATCCCACTAACTCGCACGTTCGAGGCACCTGGAGCCCATACCCTAGCTGCGCAGTTCCATGTCCCGGCATCCACTGCGACCTACATCGGATCCGCGCCTTCGATCTTATACGCACTTGCGCCGTTGGTCTGGATTCCTCTTAGTCACCGAGTCGGACGTCGTCCAGTGCTTCTGGTCAGTCAGATTATTGCGCTTATCGCAGCTATCGGTGTCGCCAGGTCACAATCCTACGCCCAAGCTCTGGGTTGCCGCATGGTTATGGGATTCGGGGGCAGTGCCGGTTTGTGTATTGGTCCCGCTGCCATTTCCGACATGTTCTTCTTGCACGAGAAGGGCAGTCGCATGGGTATTATCAGTATTCTGCTCGTTACCGCTCCCTATGTCGGTCAGTTTGCATGCAGTGTCGCATTAATACAGACAGCGCTGACGGCTTCACAGGTGGCGTGGGTGGAGGCTCTGTCCAATACAACAAACAACTGGGCTGGCGATGGTCCATGTACATCTCAGCTATTTGCTACGCAGCGCAATTGGTTGCCCAATTCTTCCTCGGTATCTTTTATCCCGGCCCCTTCCCCCCCGTCCCCCGTACAACCGGATACGAAGCTGACGAAATGGAAAAGTCCCAGAAACCATCTACGAGCGAGAGATAGCTGCCGCCGAATCTCCCGAAGCAAAGAAAACCCTGTCTCGCCGCCTAGGCTTCCGTACGCCTACCAATCCGACCGGCGAGACCTGGGCCCAAACATTTCGCCACCCGTATGCGATGTTCGTCTACCCAGCGGTTGTTCTGCCATCATTCTGGGTCTCCCTATGTGTCATGACGGAAGTAGCCAACACCGCCGGCTTTGCTCTAAACTTTGGCATCACCAGCCGCTTCCACTTTAACGTCGCGCAGGTCGGGTTCTGCTACTTCTCCGGTCTGGTTGGCGCCCTCCTCGGTGAACTATGTGCTGGTCCGCTGTGCGACTTGACCGCCAAACGCTGCTTGAAAAGGGAGGAGGAATGGCAGCCAGAGAAGCTGCTCAAGCTTTCCCTTACTGGTCTTTTAACAGTCTTTGTAAGCCTCTACCCGCCGCACGCATACTATATATCTAACCCGCTGCAACAAGGTCGGTCTAATGATCTACGGCTTTGAGCTCGACCGCGCGCAGCATTGGATCGTGCCCCTAGCCGGCTCCGCTCTCTTTGTCTTCGGCCAGGAAATCGTCGTCACAGTCGTCATGACGTACATGACGGACTGCTATCCGGAGCATGCTGCCGAGGTCGCCATCGTGTTCCAGTTCTTCTTCAACATCATGTGCTTCCATCCTCCTTTCTACACGCCACAGTGGATTGCGAAGACGGGCGCGAGCCTGCCGTATGTTGTTTACGCGATCATTCCGATCGTCTTCTTCCCTTTCGGCATTGGGCTGTTGATGTGGAAGGGCCCGCAGATTCGGAGCAAGGGAGGGCTGTTCGCGTTGAAGAGGAAGTAAGGGGCTGGTGGTCAGTGTCTCGAACAATGCGTGGATGCTGTTAGTCTAGGACTTGTGCTATTTATATGAGAGACTATAGTGGTTTAGGATCGAGGGGATGTTGCTTGTTATCCGTATATCTTCCCATAGCGTTGAAAGTCATTGCGAATTGCGGTACCCGAGAGCGCCATTTTGATAAATATATACATAACCGCCCAACATATCTGCCCTTCTCCTTGCTATCATTTTCTAGCTGCTTCAAGATTAAGGTACTAGTTTTGCACGGCTCGGGAGATATTTATCCGCTACAGCGAAGGTGTTGTCGGAGAAGAGCACTATTCTATTCCGCGTATCACAGATAAAGGCGATGGCGATTTCCAGCTCCTGAGTAACCCGAAGGCACTCCTCATAAATAGCAACATGGCGATTTTTGGGCGTACAGTCGCGCTTAAAAAGTTCCAATACTCTCCTCGAGACTACCTACTTCCGCCAGTTCACGCCGCGTCACATAACTTAGAGAACAGCTTCTCCACCTGCATCAAGTCTCCCTCCAAATCATGCTCCCAGATCCACAAGAACCGCTGATTGAAGTTATCCACAATTTTATCCATGTCCTCCCCAAACTCGGGATGGCTGAAAGAGTACAGCTGCCCCGCCTCCTGGCTAGTCCTCACCACCTTTTGCCCGCGCGGTCGACGGATGGCATCGTACGCCTCGAAGGCGAAGGGCAACTGCTTATGGTCTGCAACCTTGCCCAGTACGTGTGACAAGACGAGAGCGTCCTCTATGCATTGGCCGGCGCCCGAGGCTTGGTGGGGTGTTGTTGCATGAGCTGAGTCGCCGAGGAGACAGATACGGTTGTTGTAGTAGGTTGGAGTGTTCATGTGGTGGTGGAGAGACCACTGAAGTGGGTCGGCCCACTATGATTTGTACAGGATTAGTACTAGATTGCGGCCGTGATTCGGTATCTGGGGAAAGGCTTACATCAAGCAGCTTCACTAATCTCTTATCTACGCCCTCTGAGAAATCAGCCACCATCTCTTCCTTAGTTACCCGTTTCGTCAATTGGTGGTGCGTCCAGGGTTTGTCGGAATATTTGAAGGCAACAAGGTTGCACTGTGTGCCCCTTGAAATCGGGAAGGTGATGAAGTTAACGTCGTGGCCAAGGAAGGTCTTGGAATCGCCGGCATGTTCGCCGATGATCTCAAGCGCATCCTTCATCGGGATGATGGACCGGTAAACATATTTGCCGCTGTAGGTTGGACTGACTTCTTCAGGATATCGGTCGCCCAGGACATATTTCCTCGTCGGCCCCTTGATGCCATCACTGCCGACTACGGCCGCAGCGGTAACCACTTCGCCGTCTTCGAAGGTGATGATGACCTTGTCCTCGCCTTGTTGCATCGACTTCACCCGCTTGCTGAAACGAACATTCTCCCGTGGGATCATGCTCGTTAGGATGTCCAACAAGTCTCTCCTGTGTGCGCTCGTTCGGTCGTAGCACCCCGCTCCAAAGCCTTTCATGACCCAGCCTCGGTTGTCGCCGAAACCATCTTCGGCGTAAAGCGCATCCATCATGATGTGGTCTTTGTTGGGCGTAAGATTCCCAGAGGAGATGTCGTAGTACCTGGATTTCAATCTCGGATCGATCAAATCCATGGCGCGAAGTGCGTTCGGGCCAAGTCCAACTCCCGCCCCGACGATGCTGTACTGAGAAGCGGCCTCATAAAGCGCAAACCGGACATTGTTCTTGAGGCATCCGATGGCGAATGAAAGACCGCCAATGCCGGCACCGATGATCGCGATTTCGAAGGGGGCATGGTTCTCGGAGCTTGGAGCACAGTCTGCTGTCCTCCGTTGGCGCAAGAGCGATAGGATAGAACTTTGGAAATACTTCAATGAAGAAAGGATGACGCCCATTGTGCCAATCTTTGGTTGTTAGGGTATCTAAGAGTTATTGCGTCTCTTCACCCTATCTAACCAAAGGGGCAGAGCGCGGCGAAATGAGGTATTTCATCTTCGCACACACCATCCCATGAAGGCAGAATATGGAAAGGCAGTCTTCAATCGCGATGTCAACCGCGCCACTCTGGCGTGGGCCTTGCGCGGAGGTTTCGCGTTGCCGCCGTGAGCAAAGTGGGTCATTCGGATGCCAACAAGCGTGACGGATGCTTGCAAGCCGCACTCCGCCAGCCGATCCTTGCGCAGACAGAACGCATGTCTACAGGCCGCATTTCGGATGCTCGATGTGATAATAGCTCTTTCTATCATTCTCTGAAGATGTAGGCGAAGGAGTGCGCAATTCGTCGGGTGCTCCAATTCTCCGCCACCGAAGTCGTGACGGCTTTCCCTAGGGTAAGGCTCCAACCACCACACTTTAAGATAGACCTTCACAACTGAAACTAGAATTAGCCCCGAGAGGAGATTATCAAATGGCGCCCACAGTTTCCCAGACGATGGCCCGGAGTCTCGTCGTCGATGTGCACACGCATCTTTACCCTCCTGCCTATATCGAGCTTCTCAAGGAGCGAAAAGACATCCCTTACATCCGTCCTTTTCCGCCTTCAAATCAGCTTTGTCTTTGTAACCGCCCGCCACAAAATAGCAGCGCACAGGGTTCCGCCAATGGATCCTCAAAAGTGCCTCCAGGACGGATACTGTATCGGCACTACTATGAAGTAGACGAAAAGATCGCGTTCATGGACCACCACCAGATAGATGTCTCCGTCATTTCTCTCGGCAATCCGTGGCTGGATTTCATGCCGCCAGACACAGCTGGGGATGTTGCGATCAAAATCAACGACGAGACGAATGAACTGTGCAAACTGTATCCAGGACGCCTATTCTTCTTCGGGGCGTTACCCCTGAGCGCTCCTGAGTCCATCATTCTGGCCGAAATCTCCCGGCTGAAGACGGTCAGCCAAGCACGAGGCATAGTCATGGGCACTGGAGGATTTGGCGAGGGCCTCGACGACCCAAAACTCATTCCGGTCTACAAGGCGCTCGCGGAGTCGAGTATGCCAATTTTCCTGCATCCAAACTATGGACTTCCTAGCTCGGTTTGGGGAAGCCGGGGCTCCGACTACGGCCAGGTACTGCCTCTGTCTCTCGGATTCCCCATGGAAACGACGATTGCAATGACGCGGCTCTTTCTCTCGGGTGTCTTTGACACTGTTCCTGATCTTCAGATCATTGTGGCACACAGTGGCGGCTGCCTTCCATTCCTCGCTGGGCGTATTGAAGCATGCATAGAGCACGACAAGAGATTGGAGGCGGACGGGAAGTTAACCAGTGATCGGAAGACGTTGTGGGACGCCGTGCGCAACAACATCTACCTGGATGGCGTGATATTTGACAAGACGGGATTGAAGACAGCTATTGAGGTTGCTGGTGTGGATCGAGTGATGTTTGGGACGGATCACCCTTTCTTTGCTCCGTTGGACGAAGGAAAGACGTTCCCGGCCATGACGGTGAACAGAGATGCCGCCAAGGAGGCATTTCCTGAGGATGATACGGAAAGCTACGATTTGGTCATGGGTGGAAACGCCGTCAGGGTGCTGCATTTGTAGTAATTTACGAGCGTGCCCGAGTTATCCCGTCTGTGCCAGTGCCACTAATCGAGCCTGCTTAGATACATAAGGCAATGAACGAGATATACAAGCCGACAAGGAGGTGGCGAAATGAGTATGGGCAAATGTGTATTACTGAGACCCGAGTCGGAGAAAAGTCGTCAAGAGATTTTGCGAAGAGGCTAAGTCCACGCTAAGCCAGGGTAGGCTAAAGCAGTGAGCTGCATTGTGAACGCTCCACCACCAGGCCGTCAAGCGCTACAGGACCGAGCCACATTGATGAATTCGTGATGTTATCGAGCGAAAGGCGGATCTCTGCACCATCCGTTGAATCACAGTCACTAGCCGCAACGCCGTCGCAGCTGAAGATTGGTGCGGCTTGTATGCAAGCGCATTCTCATGACTCTGCGGCTTGAGTGCATCCGCATCCTCGTCCTTTTGTGGGTTGCATGCAACCCTATCCTCGAAATTGCTGCGGCTTGCGTGCATGCGAACGATGGTCAACCTATGCGCTCCATTCGAGAAACCCCGGATGCATGCATCCACAACGATGGAGAGCCTGCGTCGTGGTGCGCAGCGAAGTCAACATCTTCCTGGTCCAGTAGTGGCGACGGATATCTGAGGCCCACTCGGACGGCAACGGCTTGCGCCATGTGCAGACCGTACAGACATTGTAGGCAGAAATACCCAAGAACAGACCCTTAAAGAAAGCAAGGGACAACGCTGCTGCTGCATTCCACTCTCATCGGACAACACTATCTTCCTCTCGAAGCAGCAATGGACGGCCCAGCAGTCCAGGGCATCCAAATCGCCATCGACCGAGGCGGCACCTTCACAGATGTCCACGCTGTGGTCCCCGGGCGTGAAGATGATATCGTTCTAAAACTCCTATCCATTGACCCCCAGAATTATGCCGATGCGCCAACAGAGGGCATTCGCCGAGTGCTCGAGAGGGCGCTGGGTAAGCCAGTGCCCCGCGGCGAGTCTATCGACGTCTCAGTTGTGGCTAGCATCCGCATGGGAACGACTGTCGCCACTAATGCCTTGCTGGAAAGGAAGGGCGAACGGTCGGCGTTGCTCATCACCAAGGGATTCCGTGATCTCTTGGTTATTGGGAACCAAGCACGGCCGGATATCTTCGACTTGACGGTCTCAAAGGCTGGTGTGCTGTATGAGAAGGTGGTCGAAATCGACGAGCGAGTCACTCTCGAAGGCTTTACAGAGGATCCAGAAAAGAAGGTGATTAATGCTTCATCGGACCCTGATTTGGTCGTTGGGCTTTCCAAAGAGGTCGTCCGCATTATGCGGAAGCCGGATTTGCAGGATGTTCGACAGAAGATACACTCCCTTTACGACGAGGGATTTCGGAGTTTGAGCATATGCTTCATGCACAGTTACACATATCCTGAGCATGAGCTTTCTGTGGCGAAGATTGCTAAAGGGATGGGCATGAGCGTATCAGTCAGTTCGGCCTTGCAGCCCATGGTGAGTGGAACTGGCACGTGGATAATGCCTTGGAGTGGAACTGACTTTGGCAGATTAAAGCAGTGCCGCGAGGACAATCTGCGACAGCGGATGCGTACCTGACACCTTTGATTCAGAAGTATCTCGAAGGGTTCAGACAAGGCTTCGTCGGCCGACTAGAGGATTCGGCAGCTCCTCGTTGCGATGTCATGCAGAGCGATGGTGGTCTGGTGAATTTCCGCAAGTTTTCTGGACTGCGCGCCATTCTATCCGGTCCAGCTGGTGGCGTTGTTGGGTATGCGCAGACCTCCTTCAACAAAGACACAGGGAAGCCGATTATAGGCTTTGATATGGGAGGAACATCAACAGGTAAGTCTAATCCATCATCCACAAGCCGCCATCGAGCTCTAACTCTTTCCGCAGACGTATCACGATACGCAGGATCGTACGACCATGTCTTCGAAACAACCACAGCAGGCATCTCACTACAGACCCCTCAACTAGATATCAACACCGTTGCTGCTGGAGGTGGCTCGCGGCTATTCTGGTCCAACGGTCTCTTCAAAGTTGGGCCAGAGAGCGCGGGTGCTCACCCAGGCCCGGCTTGCTACCGCAAAGGCGGTCCCTTGACCGTGACGGACGCGAACCTCTTCCTAGGCCGGCTGGTCCCTGAGTTCTTTCCCCACATCTTCGGAGAAAACGAGGATCAGCCCCTAGATGCCTTGATCACGCGGAAGAAGTTCGAGGAGATCAAGAAGGAGATTAACGCATCGCTTCCCCCCGAGTCGGCGAAACTCACGGCTGAGGAGGTCGCTCTAGGCTTCCTGCGCGTTGCTAATGAGAGCATGTGCCGACCCATCCGGACGTTGACCGAGGCTAGAGGCCATGATGCCGCGCATCACGATCTGGCCGTCTTCGGAGGGGCTGGTGGACAGCATGCCTGCTTTATCGCGACTGCTCTGGGTATCAGCAGGACGATTATGCACCGGTTCTCCTCAATTCTGTCCGCCTACGGCATGACACTTGCGGATATCGTGGCTGATGTGCAGGCACCGCTCGCTTGTGTTTTCAACGACGCAAACCTGGACCAGATCAAGGCCACTGCATCCGAACTCCGGCACAAGGCGGAGGAGGAGCTCAGGGATCAGGGGCTCAATGACGACACGGCCGTCGAGTACGATTTGTTTTTGCACATGCATTATGAAGGCTCTGATACCCTTATTATGATCCGTCAGCAGGACGAGGACTGGGGCTTCGCGACGATATTCATCGAGCGCCATCGACAGGAATTTGGGTTTACGATGCCGCGAGAAGTCTACGTCGGCGATGTGCGAATCCGAGCCGTTGGGAAGAGCAGAGTCGGAGCGGCGGTAACAGTTCCTGGGAGGGAGATGGTAAACATGACTTTGTCCGCGGCACCCGAGGGCGCTGTGCAAATGGTCAAGGACGTCTACTTTGAGGGGCTGGGTTGGCAGCAGATCCCAGTCTATCTTCTAAGCTCTCTCCAACCGGGAAACCAAATCCAGGGGCCGGCAATGGTGATCGATAACACGCAGACGATCGTGGTAGCACCGAATGCCACAGCCACCACGCTGAAAGAGCACATCGTCATCGACATCGAAACGGTGACAGTGCAGAGGGCTTTGACTGGGCCTGTGCTGGATCCCGTGCAGCTTTCCGTGTTCGGCCACCGCTTCATGGGCATTGCCGAGCAGATGGGTAGGACGCTGCAGAAAACGAGCGTGAGTACAAACATCAAGGAGCGGCTGGACTTTTCATGTGCTCTCTTCTCTGAAGACGGCAGGCTGGTGGCTAATGGTAAGTAACATGCTTTCAGAGTAAGAGGGCTCACTGACTGTTTCAGCTCCTCACGTTCCCGTTCATCTTGGAAGCATGCAATATGCCGTGCTGTGGCAGCATGAGCATTGGAAAGGGAAGCTCAAAGAAGGGGACGTCCTAGTATCGAACCATCCGAGTAAGTCTCACTGAGCCTAAAATCTTCTTTCCGCCATTTGTCTCCTATACTAATCCTCACTTAGTCTGCGGTGGCACCCACTTGCCAGATATCACCGTGATCACTCCTTACTTTAACGAGGGCAAGATCGTCTTCTACGTAGCATCACGCGGTCACCACGCGGATATTGGTGGCATCTCCGCTGGCTCCCTACCACCTAACTCGACAGAACTATGGCAGGAAGGCGCTGCTATCGAAGCAGTCAAGCTTGTTGAGGCGGGAGCCTTCAACGAGGACGCTGTAAGAGAGCATCTGCTGGTGCGGCCAGCCAAGTACCCCGGATGCAGCGGCGCGAGGAATCTATCGGATAACCTAGCAGACCTTCGAGCTCAGACTGGTGCGAATCAGAAGGGTATCAATTTGATCGGACAGCTGGTTCAGGAGTATGGTCTCGAGACCGTGCTAGTGAGTCTCTCTCCTTCCTCCTATGTCGCAGAAGCGGTGCTAATTCTCTGCAGTTCTACATGAAAGCCATCCAGCAGAACGCAGAACTCGCGGTCAGGCGGCTGCTCAAGGAGACGTACGTCAAGTTCGGCGGCAAGCCCATTGAAGCAACCGAATTCATGGACGACGGCAGCCCTATCAAGCTCAAGATAACCATCAACGGCGAAGACGGTAGTGCAGATTTTGACTTTACCGGCACTGGGCCAGAAGTCTACGGTAGGCCGTCCTTCCCCTTCTCTTCTCACAACCCGCTCATACTTATGTTCGACAGGAAGCACCAACGCACCGACATCTGTAACCTACTCCGCCATTATTTACGTCCTTCGATGCCTCGTTAAAGAAGACATCCCCCTGAACCAAGGCTGTCTAAACCCCATCAACGTCATAATGCCTCCGCGCACACTCCTTTCACCCAGCGCAGAAGCAGCTGTCGTCGGCGGCAATTGCGTGACATCGCAGCGTGTCACGGATGTCATATTACGCTGCTTCGACGTCTGCGCCGCCAGCCAGGGATGTCTCAACAACCTGACGTTTGGAAAGAGCTCGCGGCTCGATCCGGACGGCAAGTACACCCCTGGATACGGGTACTACGAGACAATTGCTGGAGGCGCGGGCGCTGGACCTGGGTGGCAAGGGACGGATGGTGTGCATGTGCACATGACCAACACAAGGATCACAGATGTCGAGATCTTTGAGCGACGGTATCCGTGTTTAGTCAGGGAGTTCAGTCTGCGGCAGGACAGCGGTGGAGAGGGGAGGTACAAGGGCGGAGAAGGGTGTATCAGGGATATCGAGTTCCAAGAGCCGCTCTCGGCAGCCATCCTATCCGATCGCAGGGTTCATGCTCCGTACGGCATGCACGGTGGCAAGCCCGGAGAGGTGGGCGTGAATCTCTTCGTCAAGAAACTGCCGAATGGGGAGGATAGGGTCATTAACCTGGGGCCGAAGAATTCGATTCAGGCAGCTATCGGGGACCGGATCATCATTCAGACGCCGGGTGGTGGAGGCTGGGGAGCGAAGGTCGCCGGGGAGGAGGACCACCGCAATGGCGGGTCTGTAATGGTGAACGGTACGAGTGCCCCGTATATGAAGGCTATGGGAAGTGTGGCGGCGATCCATGCTATGCAAAACAGTAACTAGAATAGTATGCGAAGTTCGGCCCCTTTAGGAGTGCGAGATCTAGATGTAAAGAGCGTAAATTCAATACCTTGTTCCGTTCAACGCTCTCTGTATCCCACGTCGAGAAACACGACTCTTTGGTCGTAGTACCGTCTACATCGGAACTATCGCAGAAGGCCGGAAAGTGGCATAGACATCGCTAGAGTTAGAGGGTGCCGTTCTCCTGTCGTCGGCTATTCCAAGGTTAGGTTGCGAGGCTAGCGTCCTAAAACGGCGTAGGCTGCCTCGCTTATCGATACGAAGAAGTCGCGACGCGCCCGCGTTCCAAGGTCTCGTTCTCTCCCAACCTCAACCACACCACTTCACACCACGGCCTTAACCAGTTACTCCTTCCACGTCACACTGACTCTCCCGCAATGATGCTCACCGCAAACGCCTTCTATCCTCAGCACATCTATACGCCTCCACGGCCCTCGCCACTCTCCGAACGCTCCGCGAATGCTGTTCCCCGCCCTTTCGCCTTCAACTTCAGCATGGCCTCACCGGTTCAGAACGAAAAGAAGACTTTAGTGCCGCAGCGCGCATACAAGCCAAATCCTGTGGTGCAGATGCGTGATGCCGCGACCCAGAGACGACGCGATTTGTTCTTCAGACGGGTGCAGAAGGATCGGGAGGATAAGAAGTGGGATGCGAGGGGTGAGCAGGTACGCGCAGCCTGTGTAAATAGATGATAGAATGCAATTGCTAACGAGCACCAGATTCAACGTCTCGATTACATCTCAGAACGCAAGCGCTGGGAAGCCGAGAAGGTGCGACAATCTCCACAACTAGCCGACGGGTCTATCGAGGAAGAAGTCATGGAGGTATTTAAGTCTTCATATGCACCGAGCAGCGCGCCACCGCAGGAGCAGGAAGTGGAGGAGGCCGACTATCTCCTCGCGCAAGAGGAATATGAGCTTCAAGATCTGATCGCTTCGATGGAAGAAAACCAGGACAACGCGTCACAGCACTATGGCAGCGACGATGAGGACTACGACCAGATCTTCATGGAATGCACATCCACCGCGGATATGCAATCACGGCAGCAGCAGCAATTTCAACACTCGAATAACAGCTTGGAGTACGCGGATGCAATGGACATGTCCGAGGACTGACGGAAACGGGTTCGCGGAAGTAGCCGGTGTATATTTTTCAACACGGAGTTGTCGCGACTATCTATATAATACCACGGAAGGGATCAGGCGTAGGGAATACAATCATGGACATATGACGTATGTATATTGATTGGGTATCTGCAGTGGCGAAAGGCCTAGTGTACGAGGGATTACTGTGTAGGACATCCTTGGTCGATCTCTTGGAGTGCTTCCTGGGCAGCGTTCATATCGCCGACGAGGTCTGGCGGTGGAGAGCCTGCAGCTTGCATCTAGTAACGCGTCAGTCTCCTGAATGACACGCAATATCGCGTTTGAGAGCAACACAAAGCATACCTTCTGCATCCGCTCAACGATATACTCCCTGTCCTGCGCATTCTCATCGGAAAATCCCTTCCGCTCAAACCGCGCCGTAATCTCCTGCACCAGCACCTGCTGCTCCTCATACCGCTTCAAATCCTTTTCCTCCACCTTTCCCTTGTTCTTTTCCATCCACGCCGGGTATTTGTCGTTTAGTTCTTTCATTGGCTCGTACAGGATGTCCTTGTTAGTTAATTGCTCCATCATGCCCATCAGTATCTTGCTGAAGTCTTCTTCGCTTCCTTCTCCGCCAAATCCGCCCTGTTCCATCTCCTTTAGCATCTGGGCGAGGATATCGTCTTGAGAGGAGGTGGCGGCTGCCGCTGACGCTGCGTCCCCGGATTCCTGCATGCGCTCCATTGTACGGCGGATTGTTTCCTGGAAGGAATCTTCACCCTTTTTGGCGGCCTCGGTTTCTGTCTTGCTTGAGGACGCCGCGCCTTCTTTTGCACCTTCTCCTTCTTGGCTCGGCCCCACAACATCGCCCATCTCTTTTATAATATCGTCGAATTGCTTCTGGAAATCACCCTGCCCGAGCAGCTGCTCCATTTCCTTCTGGAGCTGCTTTGCGAATTCATCGGGATCATTGATGAGGGCTTCGTCGGGGGGCGGCCTGCCGGGTCCTGAAGGGTCGGGAGCGGGCGCTGTGGCAGGTTTGGAGTCGGTTTTGAGGTTGGAGAACTCGTCGAGGACATCTATGGGCTTCTGTCAGAGGAGGCCAACTGAGGGGGAATGAAGGACGAACCGTCCAGGTCTGAAAGGTCGTCTTCCTCGGGATCGGAGGCCATGTTGGCGGGTGGTACAGCTGGTTTAGCATCCTCTGTCTTCGCGGGCGGATCCGCCATGGCGTCGGCTTTATTCGTCACTGTGTGTATGAAGAAGTGTAGGGCTGCCCCTTGCGTGCATGCCTCGGCGAGATGACGGTTAAGCGGGGCAGCGACTAGCGCGGGGCCATCCTTGCTAGTGTTCCAGAACTCCGACGGGTGGCTCGAGCGCCGATAATTCCTGGTCACGTGCGGCGACGAGGGAACCTCAACCCGGCTTCACCTCTCACAGCTTTGGACTTGTCCTCCTCACCTTCACCGCGGCTCGCCACGCTTATAAATCCCATTTCGCCTACACCCGTGCGGTCTCGACGTTATCCGCTTCTTCTGCTGCAAATCTCTAACGGCGCAAGAGTTGGATCACGACGCAAAGTCTACGTCTGCGACAGCCTCATCATGTCTCTGTGCATGAACCGGCTCTCTGAGGAGAGGTGCGCCTCCATACCCACCCCATCGCGCGTATCGGAGCTGAACGATATGTAGGAAGCAATGGCGGCGCGATCATCCCTTCGGCTTCTTCGCAAAGCCAATGCGCAATGCGCAGGGCGTGATGGACCTCAAGAAGTGGGATTGCGGTGTTCCAGGCAAGGAAAAGACAATGTGGGAAGGTGGGCTGTTCAAGCTTGAAGTTATCTTTCCCGATGGTAAGCTCCCACACCCCAGATCTTCTCGCCCTCCTTCGTCTCCATCTAATCAAAATCGCAGAGTACCCCACGAAGCCACCAAAGTGTAAGCCACCAGCGCCGAGCCCGCACTCGCTCAACACCCTACCGCCAGCGGACACACACAACACAGCTACTAACACGCATGCAGGCAAATTCAGCCCGCCGCTCTTCCACCCGAACGTCTACCCCTCTGGCACCGTCTGTCTATCCATCCTCAACGAAGAAGAAGGCTGGAAGCCCGCAATCACCATCAAGGAGATTCTGCTAGGCATCCAATCTCTCCTCGATGAGCCGAACCCGGAGTCACCCGCACAGGCCGACGCATTCAACCTCTTCAAGAAGGACAAGGCCGCCTACGAGAAGAAGATACGAAGCATAGTCAAGGACAACCCCGCGCCGTAGCCTTCTGCTTGTTGCCTGTCATATGCGGAAACAACACGGGAACTGAACTGAGCCCGGGTGGGGATGATGGTGGGGTTGTGGGAGGAGAGATATAGTGCGGAGGGAGGGAATGGAGTGTTTACAGCGATTTGGCATTTGCGGTTTTTGGTTCAGCTCATGCGTTACGGACGGCACACGGCGCGATACTCATGGACCTCGGCGTTTGAAGGCTTCTAGTCTCTACCAGACTCGTCTCATTCCGACGCACAAGGTGGGGTTGAGGAGGAATAGTGGCTGGCTGGGAAGCCTCCTGGGAGGGATTGATACCTGCTTCTCGGTCTGAGTCAGTGCGCCTTCGGCTGTTTCACAGCATACAAGATCTGTCCGAGCTTTTCAAAAGGTGTAATTCTTCCCGTGCCTGAGTGATATCGGTAATAATGACCCTGACAAGAAGGGTAAACCATCTAGCAAACCCCATATTGGGGTCTACAGTCGCAGTCCCATAGAAAGTAGAAACCAGCAGTGCTCCGAAATGTCCGAATAGCCAAAGCCGACGCAAGAAAAACCGCCGCCTTAAGCCCAGCAGCTATCCGTGAAGCCCTCACACCGTTCTGCTATAGTACATGCCCAGAGCAAGGTCCAATTCGGAATGCAGCCCCACCATCCTTGTTCCTCCTCTTCGCCAATGCAACTGTGCTACGCAAATGACCGAAGTCTTGTGACGATGATCGAGCCACCTAGTATGTGACTAGTACGGGCGATAGCCAGAGGCGCGAGGACGATAACCGCCGCGGTAGCCACCCCCTCGTGGAGGGCCATAACCACCACCGCGACCGTACGGGGATCCACGACCGCCGTAGCCGCCACCGCCGCCGCGCCCTCCGCGCCCTCGGCCTCGTGTCATACCGGGGAGGTTGGTTCGCTTGGGAACGACCTGGTACAGTAAGTCACTGATGCTCATGGGATGGGTTGATGCCATACCTTCAAGTTCCTGCCCCGGAAGACGCTGTCATTCAGCACGAGCGCTTGACCGACCAGGCTAGGTTCAGTGAACTCCACATACGCATACCTGCATACGCCCATTAGCGTGCCGATCTTTCTACCAAACTCTTGCCAGGTAGCGAGAAAAATCCAGTAATTCAGATGACGGGTCTGAGCGCAAGCGTCGCACCAACTTCTTCCACCAGTGCAGTGCCACTTGCGACTCACGCCGCGATGACTGGTCTGGGTATGACAACAACCGCAATCTAAATCAAGGAAAAGCCCCCTCTTGGCATAGGAAAACTGACCCTTTAGGATGTCCTGTGAACTTGTCCAGCAGTATGGTAACGCGATTTATGCTGCCGACAGACTGGAAGTGTGACTGTATCTCCTCCGGGGATGCGCCGTAGTCGACGTTCCCGACAAAGATACTCCGCGCATCTACGTCCTCCCTGTTTTCGCGCAGGTCGTGGCGTTCGTTATCGAGCGTTTGCTGCATCTGGCGGAGCTTCTGCGCTTCTTCTTCCATTTCTTGCACACGGCGTTTCATGGCGGAGATTTCTTCCTAGAAGCTTGTGTTAGCAAACTGCATTAGGGTATGAGGAGAGAAAACAGGCGCTACATCAGAAGGGTCGGCACCCTCGAGTATTATACTGCTTCCAGGCTGAGAAAACTAATCGGGATTGCGTACCTCGTCGTCCGGGTTCTCGGGCGCAGTATCGAGGCGCTCGTCCTCCTCGCGCCGCTGCTCGGTCTCGACGTCGGCCATGGCTGCAAGTGAGTGATCAAGCCAGCTGGAGACTCGGTCAGCAAGAGAAAAAGGTAGCGCAGGTTGTGCGCTCATACGTACAAGGCTACAGTTATGCCCTCGAGACTGAGAGGGTAAGTAGCTAGCAGTTGCAGAGACGTGAGGCTAGCTTCTTGTCTGTGAGTCGCTCCAGTAGTTGCGCGGTGACTGGATGTGTAGATAGGCCGACGGCGTTCCGTGAAAGGAATGGCACCTGTTAGAAGGTGAAGAGGCTGTTGCAAATGACGGAAGGCGACCAGGAAGCTTGAGCCGCGCTAGTGATGTATTATGTAAGCTGCAAGCATTCACCCCCAAGGTCTGGGCACGGCCAGGGCAGCTCCGCTCTGTGCGGTATCAATCCTGACATGCGAGTCTTTGCATGCTTCTTTTTTAACAGATCTCTTATCTGTTATTAGGTACCGCATCCATTATCCTGAAGTGCTTCAGCACCCTTATCAGTATCCCTCGCAAGCCCTGACGAAGTCGCCCTTCGATCACATCTACAATGTCGTCCTCACCTCTCCTACAGCCGTATGAGAGGTTATGCGAAGCGCCAGAGCGTACACCTTCCTTCCGCCGGCGGCTCTATCAATATTTCTCTAGCAAGACCTTCCACTACTCAGTCCTGCTGCTAGTCACTCTTGATGTTGGGTGCATGTTCGCAGGTATGCAGCTTCTTCCTAAGCATATTCAAGAGTACGCAGCTCAAAGAGTAATATAGATATTATCATCAACCTCATGACATGCGACCGCAAAACGCCCGCAGCAGACAAAGCACTAGAGGTACTAGGATACGTAAGCCTGGTATTCTCCGCGCTCTTCATGTTGGAGTTGTTTGCTTCGATATGGGCGTTCGGAAGATCGTAAGTCTATTGTTCTCTAACAAATTGCTTGTTGTCATAACACGATATCGTAGTTATTTCAAATCCAAATTTCATGTCTTTGATGCGACTATCATCGTTGTCTCCTTCATCTTCGAAGTAAGCCTGCAGGGCGTGGAAGAAGAGTTAGCATCGCTGATCGTTATCCTACGTCTGATGCGCGTTGTAAAAATAATCGATGAGATTAGTGTAGGCGCGCAAGAGGAAATGAAGGGGCTTGAGGAGAAGCTGATGCAGTCCGAGAAAGAGGTCCAGGAACTAAGGGAAGAGGTGGAGAAGCTGAAGAAATTGCAAAATGAAGTGGTCTGATCAATAGGAGTTCACATGGTACGATCAGGTGTGATCGAGGGAACTTGGGCCCGTAAGAATTATTGATACAATACTGAGAATGCTTAGCGTATAGTGCGAACAATAGTATGTTCAAGGGCGGCTCTTCATGTCCTCAGTTCTGACCCGAACTTTTTACCTACTTTGTAGATGATCCTGGGCCGCGGCAACCTGCCATTCACCTGATTTACGTGAGTAAAGACTTCCTGTAACAGTTCGCTTTCAGACTTACCAATGTCCCATCGCGAAAAGCCAGCTGCCCTTCATGAAGCATCAGCAGCGGGTTGTCGGGTAATTCAAAAATATCTCCCAGTCCCTTAGCCTCCTTATTATGCGCCCCCTCGTCCGTGTCTCCGACCGCCACGCTCTCCATCTTTTGCGGAATCGAAAATCTTGGTCTCCAAGCACCGGCTGTCTCGTCGTGAACATCCCGCCTGTGTGATCGTACGAATGTCAGCCGGTCACCCCAGGTTGCTTTCCTCGACGGCCTCTTCTTAATCTCGGCGATCTTTTTCTCGATATCGGTCTCTGACATTGTCTCTGCCAACGGCTTCTCGTACTCCGGAAACGCTTTCAAGAAGCTCGTCTCGCGCCTAATGTAGGAGCCTTGATCGGAGTTGTCGGTGGGACTGAATAGCTGGGCACGCTCAAAGGGCATGAAAATTCCGCATATCTCCCTAGACGCCGAAACTTTGTTGGTTTCGCGAAGCTCGGAAGGTTCTGCGTGCAAAGGCGTGTTTTGAATGGTTCTTGGGTCGGCTGGAGCAGGAGGAGCGGTTTGGGCCTTAGCTGGATGGGGATGGTTGATCTTAACGACAGGTGAAGCCTTCCTTGCGGTATCTGCTTGGTGATCATGGAGGGATCCACTGGAATGTTGCTCAGATGCGGTGCCTGAACGCAAATGCTCCGTAAAGAGTTCCTCGTAGTGCTGTCGCGCACTCGCATTAGCGAAGGTCCACGACCTCATTCGCCCATCTTCAACCAGCTTCGCTCCTTGAAAATCATTGGTGCCTGATAGCACTGCGGCAAGACTGTGCTCCCCCATAGCAGGCCCCTGGCGATATTCGGGAAAATTGTCTGCAACCCAGTTTTGGATCTGTAATGTGGACCATGGTCTACCATCGGAAGCCAGAAGAGCCATTCCTACGAGCTCTCTGTAACTGTATTGCCCTCGCCTGTACTTGAGGCGCGTCTCAGTTCCGGAGCCTGTTGGCCCCACTGTGGTTTCGCCCGGTGTCTTGGGAATGATGACTGCTTGATCTACCAAAGGTTGTGATGCTGGGCGGGCAGATTCGTCTGTTTCCTCCTCAGTTGTGCTATCAGAGCGTCTGACTTTCTCTTGTACGAGTTTCTTCGACTTCGAGCCGACAAGACCGGAATTAAAACACAGTGTCGAAGCCGGACTGCCGGGTTCAATTGGAGTCGTCACCGAAGAACCAGACTCAGCTACCTGGGGACTGTCGTCTTCACTATCTTGGTGGGCGGACAGGGAGTCGGGCGTTTCCGGTATGGTTACCTTGAGTTTATGCGATCCCAGAATTGTTGCCCTAGTCTTGCATCGGCGGCTGCCGCAGTCAGCGATCAAACGGCTCATCACGAGTATTCATCCCCACTCACCATTCGACATTCTCTTCTTTTGTGCCAACCAGGACTCGCTGCTTCTTGCAAATGGAGCATAGAGCCGTGTAACTCGAAATCTTCTCCGTGTCCGAATGATAAGCGGTTAACGCGCTATCATCTGGCCCTGAAGGACTGCGGAGCGCATCGTGTATGGAATGTGAAGAGTGGGGAGCAGCGCTCTCGAGTTGCAACTGGCTAGAAAGTAGATCAGGTGTAGCGGGTATCTCCGTGCGGTGCATAGTGGCATTATAGTCTAAGTCCAGATTTGATCCGCTCGGTAGCTCCGAATGAGCTGACTCAACGACGACCTTGTCGAGGGCAATATCTCGTAGCACAAAATCCAAGAGAGCGGCCCCGTGTTTCAGGCCTGGTCTATGTCGAGATTGTTCACACGCCTCGGGCGATATGACATCCGACAGTGACGCAGCGTTGAGTGGTTTCGGTACATCTGGTCCTGAATAGCCGGCTGCGGCTCTGTTCTTCTCCTCTCTATTCAATGGTTTTCCCGAGGACGATGTGGTGTCGCTAAGATGCCGTGCGCCTTGGTGATGGACTGATAATCCCGATTTTGAATGACCGGAAACGCACTTCAGACATGTCCAAGAGTTCCTATAGATTGTCAATACTGGTCCTGAGTGCAGGAGAAGCGTCCTTACGGATTTGCACCTGGGGAGAGCGGAGGTCTCCGACACGTATCGTGGTAGGGCCTCTGGCATGCAGAGCACAGTATTAGGGGATCGTAGCCTTTGGTAATACTTCTCTGACAAGCGCGACAAGTTCTCTTGTGCGAACCAGATCCATTAGACAGGTCTGAACGTGTAACGCCACTTGATACAGACATCTCATCTTCGTCCGACGTAGGTCGGCCCATAGCATCACTGGCGACTTTCGGCCGAGGAACGCCAGGCCTGTCTTGGAGCGGCTTTCGAATGTTCTCCGTCCTAGAAGCGATCTCCGTAGAACTGCTCTCGCTATAGAATAGAAACTAATTAGCCAGTTCTTCTATTATAATGTTAGAATTAGACGCACCTGCTTTTGCTCGCACGTTGACGCTTTAGGGGCGGTGGAGATATATGCGGAGGAGAACGCACTTTCCGGCTGCTGTTGCCTGTCACATGATCTCTGCCGGTTCGGTCTATACTAAGCATGAGTCGAGGGTGGGGCCCATTGTTTCCTCCGGGATATGGTACCGTCCCTAATGAATCGGGCATAGTTCCTCGACGCGGGATAGCCCCCAGGGTACGGTCGTGCAATGGCCTTTCTGGTTTGGAGAGTTAGCGAACTGTTGTGCACGTTGTCGTCCGCTGAGCCGTGGGGAATGCGGATATCAGATATTTCCAGTTTATGGAGAAACCAGCATTTCGCCACATTCGAGGTTTCCATTGTGGCCAAGATGCCCTTTCCAACGCAGAAAGCAATGTCCTTGGTAGGCAGGACATTACTCTACATACATCAGGACAACCTTGAAGGACCGCAATGGGGACCGTCTAAAACGCTCATGCGATATGACCTTTTACCAAAGCTCATCATGGACGCTTATTGCAATGGGTAAAGGACGGAGAAGGGATGTTTCGTACCTAGCTATGACTTTGGCAGTGCGAGGACGCTGTACGTGCGATACTCGCGACAAGCTCAATTGGCATTCTTTCTAGGAGACGGAGAAGGCGTTGCCCAGTCGAGGCAAGAATTAAAAGGAGCGCGTCAAAGAGCTTGGTGGCGCTCCTGCGGCCATGCAAACGAGTGTTGTTAGACGAAACAGCGAAATAAACAATGGGGGTGAGAGCAAACCCAAATTTTATCCGTCTATCGTTCCCATGGTGAAGGTGGAGGATGAACCGCGATGACGGAGGTGCATGGCAGACCGGGGTCCGCGTTATCACGTGTGACGCTTGTCCTCGATCGGGTATGGTGGGGCCCGCCTGGCTACATCGCAGGAAGGCGCCCGCAGTGGGGGTTCGATTAACTGTGCGCCAGTTCTCTACCTGCTTTCGACATTCTTCTTTTGTTTGGAAGCCATGGATTTCCTCAAGTCCGCAGTGGCTTCCGCCATTTCAAAAGGGCCCGCCTTTGGCTACAGTTTCGGCGATCGTGTCGACATCGACGACTCCATCTGGACATTGTACAACGGCACAAAGCGAGTATGGCCCGGGCTGTCTTGAGCACCTGAACACTAGCTAACCTGCGCTTGCTAGGAAGACGGCTCGAAATGTAGCATATTCTCCTTCGACGTAACCGCGAACAAGTCCCGAACGCCCCTCGCTCGGAATGCGCTCCGCAAGCTGCGCACCTTACGACATCCTGGCGTTGTGAAGGTCTTAGACACGGTAGAAGTATGAATTGGGCATGCTGCCAACGGGAGCAAGAGCTAAGCTGGTGCAGACGGACTCATACATTTACATCGCGACCGAGAGACTAAACCCGCTGAGCTGGCACGTAAAGAGGAAGAGTCTCTCAGAGGAGACAATAAAATGGGGCTTGCACAACGTTGCGAAGACGCTCAAGTTCATCAATGCGGATGCCACCTCAGTACATGGCTGTATACGACCCGCATCCATATTCTTCAGCGAGAGCGGAGAATGGAAGCTCGGCGGCTTCGAGGCCCTTAGCTCCATGAAGGAGGATGATTCCATATTACCGACATACGGTGGCCTTATCCCGGATGCGACGAGATATATGCCGCCCGAAATATCAAAAGGCGGCTGGGAAGTCATAAAACAGAATCCCACCCATGCCGTGGACGCATACAATTTCGGGACTCTGATGTTCGAAGTCTTCAATGGCAGCTACCACGGAAGCGACCAGCTAGGGCAGATGAAGAGCATCCCGCCCAGCATGCACCAAGCATACAAGCGCCTTCTCAACCCGAATCCTAAAGCTCGAATGAGCGTGAGCCAGTTCCTCGATCAGGGAAAGCGAATAGGAGGCTTCTTCCAGACGCCCCTAATTCAAGTAACGGAAGATATCGAAAACCTTGGACTCAAAGCTGAGGATGAGAGGAACGAAGTGCTTGGGTTGGTACATTATCCCTCAATCGGCCTTTGTGATTTGACTGTTTGCCAGGAAACTAGACGAAGTAGCAGATGACTTCCCTGCGGACTTCTTTAAGATGAAGGTTTTGCCCGAACTACTCAAGTCTGTCGAATTTGGAGGCGGTGGCGCCAAGGTCTTCGGTACTGTTATGCAGATAGGAGCCAAACTATCTGAAGAGGAGTACGAGACACAAATCACGCCTGTCGTTGTGCGGTTGTTCGCCAATCCGGATCGAGCGATTCGAGTATGCCTCCTGAATAATTTGCCTCTAATGATAGATCATCTACCGCAGAAGATCGTCAATGACAAGATCTTTCCGCAAATGGTATGCATATGTACTCCCATTTCATCTGCGACCCTAACAACAGCACAGGTCACCGGCTTCACGGACATTGCGCCCGTCGTGAGAGAAGAGACAGTAAAAGCTGTTCTAACAATAGTCCCAAAGCTCTCGGACCGAACCGTGAATGGCGAGCTGCTACGACATCTCGCAAAGACCGCTAACGACGAGCAACCCGGCATTCGGACAAACACCACCATATGTTTAGGGAAGATTGCACGAAATTTAGGGGCAAATGTGCGTTCTGCAACTCATTTTCCGTCTTCGTTGGCTAACTCTCCCTAGAATCGAGCAAAGGTTCTTTCGGCTGCTTTTGCACGGTCACTACGAGATCCCTTCGTTCATGCGCGTAACGCCGCCCTGTTGGCTCTGGCGGCAACAAGCGACCTCTTCAGCGAGGATGACTGTGCCGCTAAGCTCCTCCCAGTCATGTGTCCTTCGCTTGTCGACAAGGAGAAGTATGCCTTTCTTAAACCCATAAGTCCGTACTATACTGACAACCCGATCTAGACTCATTCGCGACCAAGCCCTGAAAACCGTCGATATCTATATGTCCAGGATCCGCAAATACACCTCCACTATGCCAGACACCGCTCTCCCCTCCCCTGCCCTCTCCTCCGGCGCTGCCGGGCCCCGTATGGGTACTCCCGCCAACGATACCTCTTGGACAGGCTGGGCCATCTCCTCCTTCACTAACAAGCTCGCCTCTGCGAGTGGCCAAATACAAGCTGGAGCTAACGGCTCCACTCAACAACGACCATCCTCGGTTCCGCCACCCGCTACAACCAAAGCTGATAAGCCTTCAACCGGTACTTCGACACCCAAACACGGTATGACGCTGACTAAGTCTGCTGCCACAATTCCAACAATCGCGTCTCCTGATCCTGCAGCAGCCTTCAACGACGAGGCAGAAGACTTCTCCGGAGACTGGGGTGGCTTCGAAGATGACGGCTTCGGCACAGGGACTAAGCCCAAAGAGGAGGAAGAAGACCCATGGGGCACTCCTACCATTGCGCCCTCCACCACTACAACCTCCTTCGATGACAAAGGCGAACCTGACTTCGCTGGCTGGCTGGCCGCGCAATCGCAGACTAAGAAAGCGACCAAGAATCCGCTGCCTAAAGGACTCGCAAAGTCTGGCGGTGCAGCAAAGACGACGAGACCTGTTGTGGGCGGACGGACAGGGAGCGCACCGAGTATGACGAGGAAGGTAGTTGTGCCGCCGAAGGAGATTAAGAAGGAAGAGGTGAAGAGTAAGGAGGATGAAGAGGAGGGTTGGGGCGATGCGTGGTAAATAGTGTGGTAGGGTACGAGTCAATATCACAAGTAGGAGTGTTTTGGTATATACCCTTTGTAGCTCTGTCATCTGTGTATAGGAGTAGCATTGCAAAGGTGTTGGAGGCTAGACGGGAACTTTACACGATACCGCAAGAACTCAAAGCTTGGTATCATTGTCATATTATTCATCTAGAGCTCGAAGCCCCATCAGTACTTGGAAATATTGAGTATACACTTCATCATGCCTCCAAACCCAACATCAAGACCAAGGAGCGATCATCGCGCAACAGCCATCTCCGGGCCTCTAGAAACGCACTTCTTCGCCTCTTGGGTCTCTAACCGCGACATGCCCATCGACATGAGGTACTCATTGAAGGCGCCCAGTACCCTCTCCAGCCCCATCACCAAACATTCCCGCACCTCATCCACTTCCGGAATCTTTTTCCGTTCCGCTTCCGGCCTAGCGAGAGTCTCAAAGTCCGACCAGTGAACCTGAAGGCTTGCCACATACTCGTCGATCTTTTTGATCGCAGTGGTAAACACGCGGACAATCTCAGGTACCTCCTCCTGGAAGCGGCCGTATTCATCTTCTTTGATGCTATAGACGGTGAGATTTGTGAGCGTAGTCACGGCGTTGCAGAGGAGTGAGATTTGCGAATAAGGTGCGCCGGTGATGATAAGAGATGCGGTACGACGAAGGCTGGCGCGAAAGGGCCAGCCTAGGGGTGAAGCGACGAGCTTCGAGAAATAGGAGGAGTAGATAGTTTCCGCTTCCTTTGCGCCTTGAGAGAACTTCTCTTGACCCTTCTTGAGGTATTCGCGCGCGTATGCAGACTGGGCGTTCTGGGGGGAACTATGCGTCTTTGCGATGTCGGCGGTCAAAGATCCGAACTTTTCCATGCGGGTTGTCGGGGCATAGCCAGGGCCTTTGATCTGGCCATCCTTCAGAGGCTGAGCGATCTGCGGTACGAGCGAGATGGGCTCGGGCTGCTTTTTTTGGCCGGCATCCGCCGGGCTGTATTTCGGGTCCAGAGCTATGTTGATGCGAGAGGTGAGGAGACGAATCTCGGCAAGGCAGATATCGGATACCTGCTTGAAGGTAGCCGCCTTCTTGCGATTCAGTTCGCCGTAGATGGTCTTGCGACGCTCGAGAAAGCGGTCCGTTATGAGAGCCAGTTCCCAGAAGGCGACAGCTTTGACCTCGTTCTTCTTGGACTTTAGGCCGTTCAAGAGACTGCCATTGGGATCCTTGGAGTCGCTTGTGATGGGTTTGTCCTTCTTCAACGGCTCCTGAGATATGTATAGGTTGAAGGCCAAATTGACGAATTGCCATAGTAGTGCGAGCAGACTCCCCTCCGCCATGAACATCATGACCAATGGGATGAAGGGGGGCAGTCCAGTGGGCTTCGAGGTCTTCGAAAGGCTTACCAGCCACCTCGCCCACCTAAAATAGTACTCCCAGAATATGTATCGGAAGCCCAGGAAGTAGAAGGTGGTCCCGGCGATTAAGGTTAGTGTGGCTAACGCAAGAGCGCGTATACCCATTGGCTTCAGCTGCTGCGTAAGTGCTTGTCTAGGCTTCATCTGCACTTCGGTAGCCGTCGCACCTTCCCGTTCCTTCTTTGGTTTCATGGCCGGAATCTCGATCTTGTCGTAGTCCTTCCAAAGATGCACAATGCCTTGGGCCACAGCCAAAACAATGAACAGGAACCGTAGGAAAAAGGGCCGCTCATTGAGCTTGATTCGCTCATGATATTTTCCCTGCTCCGTGAAGCCCAGCCTATCGTTCCCCGACCGACCCCAAATATACACCTCGGTGTAGAACCATGCAGAGAGGCTGTAGCAAGCGATTGTCATGAAGGTGTTCTGTCGAAGCGTGTACTTGCTGAAGGTTTCCCATGGTGTTTGCGTGTTCCGGCGACCGACGTGGTATTGCGCGACACGAAGGATGTAAACTATGAGGGCTGGGATAAATAGAAGCGTCGTCCGAATGCCTGCGGGGCCGATTGGAAACCAGGACCAGATTACTGGACACTGCATTAGCAGGCATGTTGTGAGGTAGGGACGGCTCGACTTGCCGTTATCCAGATCGCCCATCCATACCGCAATGAAGAAGCAGAGGATCAGCGTATAGAAGCTGGCATCCGCGAACCGCTTGTGCAGTGAGGGGGTGAGGAAGTCCTTGTAAGGCCGCGCTTGAGCTCCAGGCACCATTATGGCAGAGTGTAGGCGTTTGGTGGTACAGCTGCGGGGGAGTCGAGGTAACTATATCATTGCAAGGGCGAACAAGAGCGCTTAAGGGACTGCAGCGGTGAAAAGAGTGTAAGAAGTGAGAGGTGCGTACTCCAGAGCTTTGAAAGTGGACTTCGACTTTGTTTGCGCCAAACACAAACACCTGCATGTCGGCGTTGTGAGATTTCCCGTTGGCCGATGGATAGGTGGCTTATGTAAGTGCGGCGGCGCACGTGCAGCCAGTCGTCATCGCCACAGGAACGACGGCTTGCCGACACCAGCCTCCAGGTAACGACATTCACAACCACATTCGCGCTCCCTCTCCAGGCTCCATTCAAAAGTACCCATAACCACATCGCCCGAGCCACCAGTCTTTTCGGCACATAGACGCCTGCTGCCGTCCGTCCGACGTTATCTCCTCGCACCATGTCGTTCCAGCACTCTTCGTCCCTGGAATCGCAACCTACAACATGGCGACGTGAAGACGATCCCGAATACGCCGATGACCCTGAATTCCGCACTTTCGCAGCGAAGCTTGGCGATGACCTTTTCGCCCTGACCAGCGACGTCGCCCGCCTGTCGCAGGAGATCGCGAAGCTTGGGACATCGCGTGAGACGGCTAGGGTTCGAGAGCGTGTGAAGACGGCGGTGGAAGACATATCGGACAAATTCAAAGATATTGGAGAGAGGCTGAAGAGGCTCGCTACATGGGAGGATGTGGGAGTATGTGAAGCCTCGAAGCTGGATGCTGAACCATGCTAACAAGGTACAGCCGTCGCAAAGGTTCACGCAATCGAAACTCAACCGCGAGTTCAAAGCTTCCCTTACCGAGTTCCAACAACTACAACGCCAGGCTATCGAGAAAGAAAAGGCTTCCGCTTCCGCTGCGCGAGCAGCCCTCCAAGAGCATGCATCACCGACCGAAGAGCGGGGCCAATTTGGTCAACAACAGGACCAGGAGCAGCTGCGGCTAGCGTCTCAGGACGACGTCAACTTCCAAGAGCAGCTAATCATCGAGCGCGAGTCTGAGATCCGCAACATCGAGCAATCCGTAGGCGAACTGAACGAGCTGTTCCGCGACGTCGCGCACATGGTCCACGAGCAAGGAGCCCAGCTCGACATAATCGAAGAGAACGTGGAGGTCACCCATGATGCCTCACGAGGCGCGCACGTCAACCTGAAGCAGGCGAGCAACTATCAGAAGAGCGCGAGGAGCAAAGCTTGCATTCTCCTACTCATCCTGGCCATTGTTTTGGTTATCATCATTTTGGCGGTTGTCCTGGACTAATCCCTCTCCTTTGTTTTAGCAGCTTCAGCTGTACACCTTTTGTATTTTGGCGTGAGCATTGTAACTTCTAGGGAGCTTTTGATACCATGGCGTAGCATTTCGGCGTTGATGGCGCTAGAACATGCTCAGGCTTTCGCTATATGTTTCTCAGTCGGAGATGAATTCAACTTTTTAAGAGGTCCATAGAACGTTCTCGAAGACTGTATCTTTTTCCATTTCGACGATGACGACCGCAGGAAGAAGGCCGTCACACCTTTGCGAACTGATATTGAAAGATCTTCAGATGGGGTTGAACCCTGAGGAGTAAAGTATTCTAAAAAAATAAAGGGACACAAGGTCACGGCCGGGACAACGTCGGCATATAACGTATAAGTGCCGTATGCAACTCCTACAGTATGTCTAATGGCAATCGTATGTAAGTCGCCGCGGAGAACGATCGAGCCTTCATCACTCACGGGCTTCCAAGGACCCAGGACACACGTCGAGCATGTTATTATCAATGCCCATGCCGGCATCGCCCACACCCGGCGCGTCTTTGTTCCGTTCTGAGGCGCACTGTTCCAGTCTCGAAGCAGTATGGCAATACTGTCAACACTAGAACGTCGTTAAGATTTGGAGTCAAGCACCAGAGCCATGGATAAATGGCCAGCATCAAGCCCTATGCTACTACAAGCCTTGAGACTTGCGCTGCTGACAATGGTTGCTGCACGTCCTCCGGTTTCCCTTGCCGCCTTCGTCGAACGGAGACCTGGTCTGCCAAGCAATGCTGTTCGGAATTGAAATTCTGTTAAGTTCTCTGAAGCATGTCTAGATGCCAAGGTGGTGGTTACGTCGGGTTCACGCAGAATGCGGTGAGGATGTTACGAGCAACGCTCCTTCTCTCCCACGCCCACCGCCCACTTATCTCTTCCGCACATTTCATTTCTCTCCTTTCACTCACCATTGACAGCCTCCAGCTGCGCAATAGTAATACAAGAGTTTCACCTTCACCAATCCTTCCGGTCCACCTTCGGACACGCGCTGGTTAATCATGTCGTCCGCAAGCACGTATCCATCCTCCTCTCCTGTTGTCCGGCTCCCTAAAAGTGACCCACTATGGGCTCTCCTCTTTGGTACAGCTACAGAGACGGCGCCTACTCCTACCCGCAAGTCACCTTCCGCTCTGGAACACAAGGCGAATGGAGAGAAAGCACGGCCTTCTCGTCACAGGTGATCCCATCTACATAGTTGACTAACGTTAACTTACAAGAGAGTCCAGCATAGCGGCCCGTCAGGGAGTGGCAGCCACTGTCCTTGTCAAAGTTGGACCAGCTCAAACGAAATATACCGTCCAGAAGGCCTTCCTGAGTCATTACTCGGAGTATTTTCGCAACGCACTCAACGGATCTTGGAAAGAGGCGGAAGAGGGCACAATCGTACTGAACGAAGTCGAGACTGGGGTGTTCAACCTGTTCGTTGATTGGATCTATACGCAGAAACTGCTAGAGTATCCAACTGATTGGCTCGTCGCTGCCGACTGCTCATGCGAACCCGAGAAGGTCGTCATGCATACGAACTTGCTCAAAATCAAGCTCTACGTCTTCGCGGATCGATTCCTGGCCCCTTGTCTCCGGAAGCTGCTCAACCGAGCCATTGTGAGCAACGTTCGAGACGGCAGCTGTTCACCCTCTATTTGGACCATCATATACGCGTTCGAGAATTTACAGGCTACTGATCCGGTCCTCAACTACCTAGTCGACGCGCGTTGCACCAGCGATGGCACGCTCTATGATTCGACGGAAGAGAAGGAAATGTATGGCGAGCTACCACATGAATTTCTGGTCAGATATATGGAGAGGTCTACGGAGATGCGTGTCCGCGGGATCAAGCTCAAGGACTTGCATATTTGCGATTACCACGGCCATGAGTCGGGGGAGAAATAGGAAGGCTGCAAAAAGGAGCAAAGTTGAATCAGAACCCTGACTCGGTAAGCGACACTGAAGTCCTCCCGGCTGAGTTTTCGACCGACCAAATTTATGAAGAGTCGTATAGAGGATCTGCAACGCACTGTGGGTATCTTCTCTAGCATTTAGCGTCTTTGATCTGTCATTATGAGATGGGCTCCCCTTTCTCGTCAATCAAGCTCTCCTCAGTCCGTACGGGTCCTTCTCCGACGCCTGTCAGGATGACTCTGCTCACGCCTTCCTTCAGCATACCAACGGCAACACCCGCAACAGTGTTAGCCTTCTCTAGGGCCACCGCATTGACTTGCACAGCATCCCCTCTTTTCCCGCTCCATCCGTCCTTATCCTCCAAAGCAGCTTTAAACAAGCCCGCCACCTCCTTCTCGTTCTCCTCAAGGTAGTACACCACGGCATTCGGTCCCGCGTCGAACGTATATGCCGCAATGATCTTCCCCGCAGCCGTGTTGATGCTTTCCACGGTCTTGATAGCAGCTCGCGATACATCGTTGAGGTAGAAGATCGGCGGATACGTATCTAGACAGGTAGCATGGAACGAGTTGCTGTCCATCATCGTGACTTTGCCAAACGTCTCGAAGTCCTTCTCCTGGATAGCCTTCTGCATCTCCTTCATCCGCCTCGGCACCGTCTCGCTAGCTCTTGCCGGAAATAGCGACGACGTCGCAACCGTAGTCTGCATGCCCGTCGTAGAACTCACACCCTTCTTCGCTGCGCTCACAACGAGGATAATAGCCCGCATCCCCGGCCAGTGCTCCGCAGGCGCGACCTGGAATGCCACGCTGTCGCTCCCATCTTCTTTCGAGCCTTGTTCCCAGCCAACGTAACCGCCAAATAAACTCCTGCACGCTGACCCAGAACCCTGTCTCGCGATCCTCGAAAGATCCGTCGGAGAGGCAGGCAGCTCGTACAAATTCGCAATAGCCCTCACCAGCGCCGCAAACCCCGCCGCACTGCTCGCCAGCCCCGCCGCAGTCGGGAAATTGTTCTCGCTCACAATCTTCAGTGGCATGCTGCTCAGCTTTGGCAAGCTGCCATCCTCATCCTCCATCTTCTTCCTCAGCGCTCGCAACTCTCTGAAGCAGGCCTGCGTCCGCGCGCCAGAGACGTCTTGCGAGCTGCCATTGAGCAGCAGGGAGTCTTGCGGTGGGTAGGAAGCGGAGCAGGAGGCGGTGGTGTGGGTGCGCAGGTCGGATTGGGAGAGCGTGACGCTGAGAGAGGAGTTTGTGGGGAGGTTGAGCTTGGGGTCGCGTTTGCCCCAGTATTTTATTACGGCGATGTTGACGGGGGCGGTGGTGCTGGCGCGGTGGATTTCGGACATTGTAACGTGTTTGCCGGTGAGGATGTAGGGGAGAGAGGGGAGGAAGAAGGTTGGTGGGCGGGGTGGTGCAATATTTGTTGTTTATGCAGGGTCTGCGTGGGGTGGTTGGAGAGGGGCAAGGGGGTTGTCGAGCGCTGAAGAGAAAGACGAGAAGGAATTCAAGGATGCTTGAGACAAGGAGAGGACACTGCTTGTCCGATTCCTCTTCTCTGGTCTACGACTCAATTGACGGACCAGCTGCGAAGAAATACCCCTCCAAAGCGGTGAACCCAAGCATAGTCGTCCCGCCCCACCAATCACATCCCGCCAGTCTCCGGACGTCCAAGCTCAACTTTTCTCGGAATCAACCCCATCATCGCATCCTATTTCAACTACATCCGCACCGCAACTCTCCCCCGGAAGATGTCCTCACAGCAAGACGATCCCGCAGCCGCCTGCCCCGTCGACCACAAAACTCGCGAAGCATGGCTCAAACAAGCCCGCACGTCACAATCCCAACCTCCCCTCCAAACCTCCGGCTGCGACTCCTCACAAATGAACCAATCCGCCCCTTCTCCACCTCCCACATCCCTCGGCATACTAGGCTCAATAGGCCTGGGCACGCAGAGAGAAGTGTCCACAATACCGCGCGCAACACCTTCCGAAGCAGCCTCAAGAGATGCAGCACCAGCAAGCAAGCCAGCGAACAGTGAAAGAGACACCGGAGCGGACAAAAAGACAGGAAACTGGATATACCCGTCGGAGCAAATGTTCTTCGAGGCCATGAAGCGCAAGAGCTATGATCCGCAGGCAGCGGATATGAAGACCATAGTACCGATCCACAACGCGGTGAACGAGCGCGCGTGGATGGAGATCAAGCGGTGGGAGAAGGGGAGGGGGAGCGAAGTGTACGTCCCCATCTATGCTACTTTCATCATGCATTATACATAGCGATACCTTGAAACTGCACACGTTGAACTCGCTGCGAAATGCTAATAGATACTCGGAATACAGTTGCGGCGGCCCCCGCCTCGTCTCCTTCTCTGGCCTCTCGACATCGCTCACGCCGCGCGCACGCTTCAACACGCTGCTCGGCTACAAGCCGCCCTTCGATCGCCACGACTGGGTCGTCGACCGCTGCGGGACCAAAGTCGAATATGTGATTGATTTCTACGCGGGCAAAGATGAGGGGAAACCTGGGAAGGAACTCAACTTTTACTTGGACGTACGGCCCAAGCTGAATAGTTGGGAGGGCGTAAAGATGAGAGCGTTTAGGTTTGTGGGGCTGTGAAATAATAGTTGAAGGAGGGGTGAGTGTATGATATGTATTTGGATATACTGTGTATATGGGGTCTTGTGTATGATATGGGGTTGAATGACGGCAATTTGGAGGCATGATGGTAGGATAACATAGAAGGAGGATGATATGTGATACCATGTCTAAGTATAAGACAGCAGAAGCCGAACTTCGCTCCAGGAAAAGCGCCGCCACCCAAGGAGCACAATTGATGCTTTCCAACGCCTCATACGCCATATCGTATGACGCGTGATATCTTCCCACTCATCCCATGAGCTTTCAAACACCAACATCCCACTCAAAATAATTACCAAAGAAAGTAACAGGGAGACCGCAGGCGAACATGTTCACGAAAACCCTTTAACAGCACTAGTACCAAGTAATCCCCAGCTCCTTCAACCTCTTACAATTCCGCATCGGCAGCTCCCTCGCCTGCCTCTTCATATCTTCATCATCGCGGAACCACCCCAATGCGTCCTGTTCCATCTTCTGCTGCTGGAACCTTTCGTTCTCGCATCGCACGTTGATGGTGTGTATGTACTTGCTCTCGGCCGTCTGGTCGAGCTTGACCCACGCTTTGTTGTTGTAGCCTTCGACTTCGCGCGGGTCGACATAGTAGGGCACCTTTAGGCGGACGGATACGCGTTCTTGCGTGTTTGGCGGTCGCGGCGAGTCGAAGACGACGGCGGGGCCTTGGGGTACTGAACTGGAGCTGAATACCGAGGAGAGAAGTGGGAGGATGAACAGGAAGAGGAGCGGGAGGAGTGAAGACAGCGTGCTCGATAGACTGGGCGCGGGTTCCGAGCCAGGAGGTTGCGCCGTGCCGGGTCGTCTCCTCGGCCTCCCACCCCCAAACTGATGCACGCGAATGCCCGGCCCACCGCCCAGATTAAACACAAACCCGGGCCCCGTATCGAAGATACCACCACCTGTATCACGTATTAACATTGCGATCTCTTGCCAGGAACTCCTGCAGTCGGCGATAGCGAGCAGACATACCGAAAGGTCCGCCGAACGGCCCTCCTCCGCCAAAGAACTGCCTGAACATCTCCTCGGGCGATATCTCTTCCTCGAACATGGGGCCGGGGCGACCGCCTGACGCGCGCGCAAAGTTGCTGAAGGGGGATGCGCCGCCGCCAGCAGACGAGGCGCCCGGGAAGCGCGAGTCTGGGTCGCCGCCGAAGCGGTCGAATTTGGCTTTCTTGTCGGGGTCGGAGAGCACTTGGAAGGCTCTTGATACCACTGTACGTGGGTTAGCACCCTATCCATATCTCAGTCCTTCCCCACAATCCACATCTTCCAGCAGGTAAACCGTATATACGTACGCTTAAACGCCTCATCCGCACCATCGTACCCATTTTTATCCGGATGTGTCAACAGGCTCAACTTCCTATATGCCTTCTTGATGTCGCCATCACTACACGTCGTCTTGACCTCTTCGAGCCCCAAGATCTCGTAAAACGCGGTAGGGGCACATCGCTTTATCCGTATCACGGCGGCTTTCTGCTCGATTGTGAATGCGCGGCCCGAGCTGCCGTCGTGGTGCTGCCGGTGCTTCGCGTCGCCGTTCGGTCGGGCGTCCGCACCGCTGGCTTTGGCGGACATGGCTGCGGGAGAGAGAGGCCGGGTGTGGCCCGCGGATCGAGGCGGGCGGGTAGGAGAGGGGTGTGCGGCGAGAGATGGTCTGGGAGGGATTGTCGGATGTTTACGCCGCGGAGGTGGAATGGAGGATGGAGGGGTAGGGATGAGGATCTGGAGTTTGGATCCTAAAGTCGAGGCCACAGCAACGGAAAGAAGTGGTGCGCACGGACGTCATCAACCTTGGAACTTCACTGAACTTCATACAACAAACTCCAACCTTACTAAAAACTCTCCATCTCTTTCTCAAAACCAAGCTGAATTCCATCAGTTCCTATATCACAGTAATGGCCGACACAAAAGCCAAGGAGGGGCTCCTTCAATCCCTTCGCAACTGGGGAGGTACGGCCTGCATCCCAATCCACTCACGTGCAACCAATATTCACCTTCCGTTTAGAACACTCTGTCCCGCCGACACTCCTCGCCACCCTGATAACAGCGCAGCACATGCGCCCCTTCCAGCCACTGCCAATGATGTTCCCGCCCGTGCTGCTATTCTCAAGCTATTTAAACCTCAGCGGGTATAAGACCGACGCCGCGGGAACGACGGCTGCGTGGAGTGGGTTGTATGCGCTTCTAGCTATGCGGCGGAAGCAGGTATGTGTTCAAGTACGCCAGTTTTTGATGGGGCATCCTAGGTTTGCTAGTGAAGAATACTGACTAACGCCTCATAGCAATTCACGCAAAAGTTCACAATACGAGGGTTTGTTCGTGGAGCCTCATTAGCGCTCTGCGCAGTCAACGTGGCGGGATGCGGATTGGCGTATGTCTTTGGACGGAGAGAAAAGGAGGATCGGAAAGAGTGATCGGAACGCATGCGCTTTTGTAGCATATTGTACATCACATAAGTAGAACCATCAGGGGACAGAGGGCGCATGGAGCTTCAATCGTGAAAGCGGGTATGAATTTGATTTAACATACCAATGCATCGCTAACGATGCAAACTGGTTACCTTAGGCGGGACCACTGTACATAGACTCTAAGTCAAAATGCCCAAGCACATGTTTTGATCCCGATCCCTCAGGTAAAAGACGCCTTAAACGCCTTGGATGCGTGGAGGCAACACCTATTTAGGAGCAGGCCCATGCCATACTCCCGGCCTCGTCTACGATGTGTCCATCGGCTCGCCCGCACCCACAACCACCGTATTCGCGGCATTTCGCTCGGCCATCATTTTGGTTAACCGGTCGGTCTTCCATTTCAGAATCTCTTCCCTAAGTGCGTCATTAGGTGCAACCTGCTCAATAGAGAGTGGTGCACGGTTAAATGGATCGTGAGGGTCGCTCAGAAGATGACTCCGAATGGTACTGCGGTCCAGCGTCTGCTTGCTCGCGGGGAGAGTGACCGGGTCCTCCATGAGAGTCGCTAACAGAGGATCGAGGTACTCATCAGGGACGTCGCCAAGAAGCTCCTCTTCTAATTCAAGTTCCTGCTTGGCAGTCTTGATGCGTTCCGCGAGCTGGTCCCATTCCTGGAGCTGCTCAGGAGCTTTGAGCGCGAATCGCTGCATAATGTTCGCTGCGGTGGAGAAGTGCTCGGGCCGATAAGAACGTCCATCCGTAGCTACGGAATCGATGAAAGACTTCTTGTCTTTCAGATTCAGATAGACATCGGCAATCTCGGAGAGCATTTGCCGGGGGTTCCATCCATATTCATCCGCATTTTCCACCTTCAGGTTGGTCTTCTTGGGACCGACAAGCGCATCGAGATTGTAGTCCAGCATGTGGGCCAGGCGTACGACGACTTCTGGCCTCGTAAAAGAGTCGCCGAGCGCTTCGGTGAAGAGCTTCAACATGGCCACGGTCTCGTTCGTCAGTTGCATATAGCTCTTGGCTTTGTTCTGTGCAGCCGACAGCTTCTCTTCCTGCTCCTGCCGAGCGTTCGTATCCAGGTCCTCTGGAGGGTTCTTGAGAAGCTTCGAAATTTCATGGATTTGCGTGAAGGCCGTGAATGATTCGTCTAGAACGAATGTGACATCGTTGAGGAGCAGGTTGACAAACTGCACGAAGAAATCCAGGTTCACCCGCGCCTCCGTGGCAAGGTTATCCTGGTATACCGGATTCGCCCAGATGCACTTGACGACCTGAAAGATCTCGTAGCGAATGTTGAACTTGTCGTAGAACTGCGAGCTAGCACCAGTGCTCTCGCATTCGATGTAAAACTTCATCAACGCGTGTAGGAGGTGCTTAGTGGCGAATTTGTGTGCAAACAAGACGTCACCAAGCACGCCTTTGGATCGCCCGGGAATCTCCCATACGCCGTAGGAGAGAATGGTAACCAAGCCCGCCTTCAAGTAGGGATTCTTGATGTATTCCGAGCTCCGCAGGAACACTATGCAGACCATCATCAGTTCCTCGCTCTGCGTGGAGGTGATGATATGCGGTATCCATCGCGTGATGAACTTGAAGTTGTCGACGATGTCCTCGAGGAAATACTCTGGAAGACACCTAAACGCCATAGACTGCTCGTGCGGCAGAGGCAGCTGAAGTGGCTTCTTGGGAAAGTCGGTCCCCGATACTAGTCGCAGCATCCACACGATAACATACCGCATGAGCTGCATCGACCGGGCCTGAGCGGTCTCATCCAGGAGAACGCCCTGAATGGCGAAAATAGTGCAATGTCCTCTTTCAACCTGGCCTTTCATCTTCTTGACATGAGCGTCAAAGACGGCAAGTTGCATGGGATTCTGCTTGTACGTCAGTCTTGTCCTTGAGGAGGTCGTCCCGGGCCACTTACCGAAGCGTACTTATGCCGCTCAGTCTCCAACTTTGCCAGCTCCTTCTCTAGCCATTTCACATCGCGCTGTAGCGAGGAGAGCTTGGTGTTTGCGGCTTCAGTACCATAGTGATGCGCCGCAACGGTCAAGAAGAAGATTTCGGTGATGAAGTTGGTGGTGCCTTCGGCTTTCTCGTTGTAGAATTCGTCGGAGACATGCTGGTCTGCATTTATCTTAGTCTCATCTTTGATGGTAACTCGGGGTGATCGACGCAAGTAGTTGATGTCAATGCGATCAACCTTAGAAAACGTTGCATCCATGAAAGGCTCGCATAGCTTGTCGAGAATCACGGTAATGTTCACCATGAAGGCATCTGAGGATACCGTCTTAGGGTTGACCTGCATAGCCCGTCGCTTGTGGTTTGCGTTTACCGTCAAGGCGAACCAATCCAGAATCTTCTCTCGCGCATCCTTCACTTTGATGAAGCAATTTGCGATGTCAAAGAGCTCATCCTGGTGTGTCTGAAGAGCTAGGCGCAGAGAACGCTGCGAGTTAATAATGTAGCCTTTGTCTCGGGTAGTAGGGCTGGAGAAGTAATTAAGAGCGACCTCGCCCTGCATGGGTGACAGCCTGAAAAAAGGCCCCAGTAGTGTCGCTGTCTCGATGTTCCGCGCCTCTATCTCCGATGGTAGGAATAGGGGAGACTGAGCCATGGCAATCAAAAGAGGCTGGTAGCGAACGAAGTTCCGCATTGCCAGCATGTACGGTCGGTAGTCGTCATTCATGGACAGCTTTGCCAGCCGCTGACTAAGCTCTTCCATGGCGCCAACGAGAACCTCTTTGACACTCTCGTCTTCACCGAAGCGAGAGACAGCCTCGTTGAGGAAGTCATGGCAAATACCGCGGTCGTTGTCAGGGTCCGCAAGCAGGTGGTCTACCAAGAGATTCGCTGATGAGGCGTCTTCATTGAACATGTCCGGTATGGTGGCAGCAAAGATGCAGTAGCTGAAGCACAGCCGTCGAGCTTCCTTCACTACCTCATACTTGGGGTCGTTCTTGTTGTGCATCCCCCGATATAGCCTGGAAACCCGCTTCCAGCATCCCAGGAGATACTCTAGCGGCTTTCCTTCTGTCTTGCTCTGCGCCGACTCCAGAATCGCCCCATCCAAGGTATCTGTCGTTAACCGAATCGGGCTGCCCGCGTCATCGAGGTCACTCCGCACGCCGGAGACGAAATATAACCGCTTCCCGTGTATATCCCGTGTATGCTCTGGGTCTAGGGTAATGCGAAAGATGCCACTGAGAGTCCGGTCTGTCCAAGCCTCAAGACTGCTTTCCTGGCTCTGAGCTGCTGCCTGGGCCGAGCTGCTGCCATTTGAAGCTTCGGCTGGTTTGGCCTTGATGTGTATTCGGGGCGCAGGGTTGCTCTCTTCCTTCATGCCTAATTGTGTGAAGGGGTTCGGTGACTGTGTGGTGGGTTGGGGCGCGGACGAGGGCGAGGGCGGCTTCTCTGTAGGCTGAGGCGTCGAGCTGCCTGACGGTGCAGTCGCGGGAGGAGTTGAAGATGGTCGCGAGGCTCCGTTCCCACTTGATGGGCCTCCGAGCTTTGCAAGTCGCTTCGCACGGATCTGTTCTCGCGTCAGCATTTGTCTTAGAAACTCTCGAGGGCGCTGGACCTTGTCGGCATCGGACATGGCGTCATGCATGGGCGTGTCGTTCTCCGGCGGTTGGTCGGCCATTTTGAAATGAGCGCAGGTTGCTGTGGGGTGCGAAGCTGGAGTTTGCAGAGAAAAGCCTATGTAGAGGTAGGTAAAATAGAAATTAGAGTGCTGAGGTGAGTCTCCCCGGCGGGCATCTACCTGGGGCTGTTGATGAGCAGTCAGTCGCGGTCCGGTAGGCGGAGATAACTTGCCCCGCCACAGCGGCTGGCCTTTCACCACACCAAAGCACGTGCCTCGACCTCTATGGAAGCTCGCAGAAGTACTATTGTAAAGCATCACCGCCACTTCTCCGCGTTGCTCGTTTTCTCTTAAGCTACATTATAGCTCACTCCATCCGATGTCTTGGAACGCATCAACTCGCAATGCTCTATACCATCGCAATAAGTCGCAGTCTTCGACTGTGCCTAGGTCGCATTCAGCAAATAGCAGAGATCTTAGAAAGCAGCGGTTCGCCGTCGGGAACGTAATACTAGGCAGAGATCTTGATCAAGCTGTTATGCAGAACTAGTTGTGCGTGCTAACTCTCCAAACGCTTGTATTCCTATTTGCTTGCTGCACCTGGCAGACTTGGATTGGCTGCGCAACCTCTACTCACCGGTTCGCATCTTACTTCCTTCTGTGTCACAGAACATGGTCTAGGACTTTGGATCTGGTGTGGGTTTGCATGAAACGGGCATGCGGAGGCAGAGGCATCATCAGTTCCCGGAGGACCAAAATGAGGCTTCTTATCGGTGTACGCTCGGAGTGCCATCCTGATATGCATGATGCTCAGTTTACGCGCTCTCCACTATCAAAGCAGGCTCGTCACACAGTACTGAATCGCGGAGCCCAGGGAAAGCTCAAGTCAGCCATCGCATATTCCAGTAGTGCCAGAAGTTTCATGTCTCTGGTGCCTATCCCACGCCGCTGGGACGAAGACGGTGAATGCGCCAAGGCCGGACCCGCTGTGGCTGCAACCGCGCGACCCTTATGCGGAGAGCAGAGGCACAGGACTGAGACGGGCGGCCGCCTCGCTGCACTCTGGACTCTGGTACCAGCACACTCCGCATTCCAGATGGCCGAACGGGGCGGAGCGGTGCCGTCGGAGCAGCCAACGGGCCATGACAGCTGAGCTTGCCTGTTCTGCCTGGAGCGAGTGGAGCGGGTGCTGGGATGGGCAGCAGTCGTGGCGGCTGTTGGCAGCTCAAGCAAGCTCTCACTCCACGGCAACCACAGGCGGGCGAATGGCATGGCCGGCCGTGTGCTGAAACCACGCCTGCTGTCGCGCCCGTGGCAGCTCGCGGGCGATGACGAACGCCACTCGATAGGGCCATGGCACTGGCGGCGCCGCAGCGTGCTCGCAGCGAAGGGGAGCGCGCTGTCTTTGAAGTTTGAGGGGCTGCACCGGGCAATTGTGAAGGATAGTGCGGCGAGGAATAAAGAGGCACGTCACGGGGGGAAACGGAGTAGCGGTCGGGCTTTATCTCGTCGTCCAGCGGCGCATTGCCAGCTATCTGCGCGTGTCCTCCTGCTTGACGCCGCTAAAACCCGGCCAGGCCTGCGATGCGTTGCCTCCTCCCCGTCCCTTCGCCATAGCAACAGCGCCCTCCGCCGATTGCTTCACTCTGCGTCTTCTGTCTTCTGCCTCTGCTGCTGGGAGCATCCACCGAGACCCAGTAAATTGCACACCAGCCGCGCCGTCAGACCGCACGACGCCTGCAAACAGCGCACAGCCACAGACGCGCTTGGCGCCCCGTGCAGTGTTCGTGCTTGCCTAGCTGCGTGCTGCCTCCGTCCTCACGACCACTACTTCAACACCCTCCTCCGCCCATCTCACCCACTGTCCCTCCGCTGCCAGCCCAGCTCCTCGACCCGCTCCCGACACCCTCGACACCCTCCCGTGACGCACCACCATGGCGGAGATTCGTCGAAAGCTCGTCATTGTCGGCGACGGCGCCTGCGGAAAGACCTGTCTGCTCATGTAAGTGCTCTCCCGGCCTCCATCGCTCCATCCCTTGCCGCCGTCACGCAGCCCAGCAGCTAACGAGCCCGTCTGCAGTGTTTTCTCCAAGGGCACCTTCCCCGAGGTCCGTCCCGCCCGCCGCGCCTCCTCCATCCCTGGGTTGCGTCAGCCTGGCTGAACCGCATCTCCATCGCTCCTTCCACGCCCATCGGCCCTCTGTTACACATGCACTGACCCTGTGTGCCCTGCAGGTGTACGTCCCCACTGTCTTCGAGAACTACGTCGCCGACGTCGAGGTCGATGGGAAACACGTCGAGCTCGCCCTCTGGGATACGGCAGGCCAGGAAGATTACGACCGTCTGCGCCCGCTCTCCTACCCCGACTCGCACGTTATCCTGATCTGTTTCGCCATCGACTCGCCCGATTCGCTCGACAACGTTCAGGAGAAGGTATGTTGCATGTGACAATGCCTGCATGCAAGCTGTCGCTAACGTGGCACAGTGGATTTCCGAGGTCCTGCACTTCTGCCAGGGCCTGCCCATTATCCTCGTTGGCTGCAAGAAGGATCTGCGCTATGACCAGAAGACCATTGAGGAGCTGCACAAGACCTCGCAGAAGCCTGTGACTCCCGAGCAGGTCAGTCACACCGATAGGCCCATCACTATTAGCCATCACCACCACTAACTGCTCGCACAGGCCGAGGACGTCCGCAAGAAGATTGGCGCCCAAAAGTATCTCGAGTGCTCTGCGAAGACGAACGAGGGCGTGCGGGAGGTATTCGAACACGCTACCCGGGCCGCCCTGACCACCCGGAAGGACAAGAAGAAGAGGAGTTGTGTGATCATGTAAGGTCTCACTTTGCAGCTAAGTCGGTGGCCGCCGCAGCCTCGCCCTTCGGCGCCTGCGCAACGACAAGCTCTGTGGCGGTCCGTGTATTCATGGTGGTTTATTCGACGGCACATGTGAATGGAGGGGGTTCGTGGGAGAAGGCGAATCGACCTACCCTTGGCTAGTTACAGCCTTTTCCACGGCACCTACGAGGCGTTATTGCGCTGGATCTTTTGAGCACATCACCTTGGGGTAGTTCATGATGGGGTTTCTTCAGGCGGGCAGAAATTGAGCAGCTATCGGATTCAGCAATGGTAGGACTTCCTTACAGCGTGCTTGCATGCTACCGATGGTCTCGGTATCACAGCACGCGTTTACCAGTTCTCTCGGATCCACTCGTCATTCCCCTTGGCTTATCGTTTGTCTGGGAAATGTCCTGTTTTGAACCCCCCTCTTTGTTTGCTAGTCGGTTTTTTCTTCTCTCATGATGGCTGAATGTTTGTAGTTCTGCGCATCTGGCTCGGTGTAATAACTCTTTGTCCTCCTAACTACCTATCCCACTCTCGCTGGCGTGGCGTCGAATGGATACAACACACGCAGGCCACTGCTCGCCTTTTCCGTCGCTATGTTTGTTGTGCCCTGCTTTTGCATGTTGAGGATTTCGCCTCCGGACCCTTGCCTCTGCTCGTCATCTTTACATGCACCTACAGGAGCGTTGCTATACCATGCCCCGAATATGCCGATCTCTCTTCCCGAACGGTCTGCCAATCATAAACCCCCGCTGGTAGGTAGGTAGCTATGTTGCCCTGATCTAATGCAGTGTCCGCTCCTCTGAGGTTTTATGCTGTATATGCTCTTGAGTGGTTGTACTGTGTGCACGGAGTAAATCAGGGGAGCCGAATCGCACGGGCTTACTTGCTCCATGCGTATTCTCAGCCGAGTACCCGCTTCGTATCGTATCGTATCGTACCGGTTCCGGTACTTCTAGTCTCCTTCCGCTCTAAGGTAGCAAGTCGCTTTTCGGGTGTGCGGTTCCGATGTCCCGTGGCGGAGAGCCCCGCTGGTGCCGCGTGTTTGTTGTGTCAAACTAGTAGGACCGCGGAAGCTAGGGGAGAGCTGCTAGCTAGCTAGCTATGTATTCGACGACGGCGGTTGTGGGATAAAGGAAGAGAAATAATGCGTAAAGCCATGTTGGGCTTGGAAAGACAATAAATCTAGGGCTTTGATCTTCTCATGCTTGTGATTGACGATGATGGATGCTGGATGCTATCTATATAACAAGGCTCCTTCGCTCATCCAGGGCATTACTCCCAATACTATCCAAAATGCCCATATCCAACTCTAACGCCGCAATAGCTATACCATGGTATGCTGATAGCTTTTTCCTATGCGAGCTCCCTTCCATTCCAGCCAAATGCACCAAGATACGCCGTACATGTAATCCTACATATCCACAAACATTCAACTGCTCTGTTCGACCAGCTATCCAAACAACGCAAGCAGTCCTAGTGCTATCGAGAGAGCAAATGAGCACGCCGAAGGAGTAGAAGCTCGTCCAACTCCGCCCTCAGCAGACGCCGATGCAGAAGGCTCGCCCGCGGCAGCCGCCGACGGATTCGCAGTCCCAGACGTGGGAGAGGGTTGGAAGCCCTGGCCTGCCGTTGCAGAAGCTCCTCCTGTAGGGGCCGCGGTATCAGTTCCCGTTGCCATCACAGTCGTTGAAGTAGGTGAGCTCGACTCACCTCCTGAAGCCGTTGCAGTCGGCGATAACGTAGAAGCGCTCTCTTCCGGCTCGCTGTCACCTCCACTCTGGACACCAAACCCGACCTTCGCGTTGTCGAAATCAAACACCGTGTACACGTTCTTGAGAAACACATCTCCAACCAGCCACTGCGTCTCGCCAAACGTCTGTCGCCCAATGACGTTGCTTTTGCAACCCCCGGTGTCCAACGTCCCGCCTACCCAGTCCTTGGTCGAGACATCGTATGTGACACTGCCGAACTTGATTTGTAGGGCTTTGTCAGTGTCGCAGGGCACGGTGAATGTTTCGCCAGATTGCGTCGAGCCGTCGATGAGTTTGTGGAGCGCGACGGCGTCGGGCTCGGGCATCAGGATGAAGGAAGTGCCCGTGTCGATTATCGCGCTGCGAGAAGCGAGGGAGAGAAGCGTGGAGTCGGCGCCCGCATCGGCGATAGGGATTTCCCAGAAACCGTCGTCGTTGTCTACAGCGGAGAGGTAGTTTATGTCGCCGTCGAAGCGGTCTTTGTTGACGGAGCCGAAGTTGAGCTCACCATCATTCGTCCCGTCAGCGGTGCGAGATAAGTGTACGCCGTATAGTTTTGCGTCTATGAGGTTCGAGGAGGAAAGCACGTTGATGAGCTGCGGCGCTTCGATGGTGCCGGAAACGGTGTCTCCGCGGCCTATGCCTAGGATGCCGTCCATGGGGTAAGAGCTGAATTCGGAGGAGACATTGGTCGCGAGGCCGAAGGTGAGCGTGGGCGAGAGGGAGCCCCCGATGTGGACGGTGTCACTGGCAATGGTGCCGGAGACAGAGCCGGTGCCGTATGTGATTGAGAATGTGGTATCTTCTATCTGTATACTCAGTCAGTCCCTTCTCCCAGCCTTTCGTAAACTTGTACACACACGTACCTTCAGCGTACTCGAGTCCCCCTCTCCGAACGTATTGTGCCTCCCGCACGCATCCGTCCCGCAGTCCTCGCTCATGACCCACGTATTACTCGCCGCCGAATCGAGCAGCAAATGATACTCCTCTTGACTACTCCCAATTGTCACGGCCACCATGTACGACAGATCCGTCCCATCTTGGTCGATGGCCACGCTGTTCTTTTGCTCCGGATCTGCGTTATTGACAATGTTGTACGTGTTCTCGCGGGGACGTATGGGTACGGGTACGCGACGCAGAGGGAGTGTTATCGATCTCGGTTTCTCGATTCCATGTTGGCGTTGGTTGGAGGAGGGGAGGGTGTTCGTTCGGGCTGCTCTTTTCGAGTTGCTGGAGCTATCGTCGCCGTACCTAGGTTCGTAGGGGTAGAATGCGCTGGCTAAGGGCAGTATTGCACATGCAGCGCTCCAAGCCGGGAGCGAAATATGCATTATATTAGGTTTAAAAGATGGGAAAGTCGCGAAGCGAAGCGTATCCAAAAAGACGACGAGAGAACCAGAACGAGAGAAAAGGTAGCCAGGTACAAATCAATTAAGAAGACCCAGCTTCGCAAAACAGCTTCGAGGGCAAACGAATTGCTCAAGAAACGAAGGCAGGAGGAGCGCGAGCCGCAACCATGGATCGACGGTAGGGGTAAGAAGCAAGACGTCAGGGCGCGAGTCCGAGGTCCGTCGAGCTAGCTAAACTGTGCTGCCCTCATTAATTGAACTCTTTGCGCAGCAGAAGTCTGTCAGAAAAGACTGGAAGATGGTAAGGAGAGGTAAAGGAGACGAGAACGAGCCATGCCTGCTGCCGAACTGCTTGCGTTCTCGTGGTGCATTTCTAGATGAGCATCTGCGACAGTGGCTGGATGTTGAGTTAGCGGGGGTGGGCCAGAAAGCGGCCCCTGAGAGTACCAAGACTTGGGGAGGAACTGTTTGAAACAGCCATTCCTTTGCCGACACCAATTGATATGCATTTCTCCTTCGCTTTTGGTTGCCCGGTTGCAGTAATTAGGCCACGTTCAGCTGGCGTTATCAAAGACATTAATTCACTCCGAAATCTCGTCTACAATTCTGCTAAAGATGCTACTATGTCATCTGTTCAGGCTCAACAGCCCTTCAACGTATCTCCTCGCATCGATTCCTATCCCTTCCGCCAGCCCCTTTGGTCCCCAACCGGCTGCCGCTCCACCCATCTTCTCACCCGTGGGCCGCCACATCCCGCTCGCAAATCTGCTGGCAGAAGATGATGTTGACACTCCCGCATCACGAGCTCGCCGGACAAGGAAAGCTTCGCGAAGCTGATCCGTGTCGAACTCGACGGATTCGACGTCAGGGTCCTTTGGCAGCTCAGCTTGGGAAGGTGGCAGCCTCATCCAGACCACCCACCAACCGCGACTCGTTTTGCAGGTTCGCTCGATTTCGGAGAGGGTCCGGCGGGTGCTGGCCACAGTTGCTAGGATCTGAGAGTGTACATTGAGGGCTGCTACTCTGCTCCAGCCGGATGGGGATGATGTGCTGCTGCGATCTTCTGCTATTAGCGTCCCAGGGTCAGGGATGTTGGGGATGCTTGAATGGATGGTGAGTGTTCGAGGATCGTAGACCAGATCGTAGATCGGCTGTGTATTTAGCTCCGAGCCCATGCCTGATGAGGTCGTGGTGTATGGGCTGGAGGCGGCAGATATACGCGCGGCCACTCTGTCCGGAGAGGTGCTGCTGCTCAGCGGACGATGCAGAGGGGCGAAGTAAGCATGCAAGTTACGGTAGAACGTGGCGAGGTTAAGGGACTCGGTTCGGTGGTGGAACAAAAAGGTATAGATGAAAGGACGGTGCTGTGAGTATCATCAGCAAAATTTATGCGCTGTGTGGTGTATGTAACTTACCACATAAACAACAGGTCGTAACCTATACAGCTTGGATGTTGCAAAAGATTTGCGGCTCGAATCAGCCTCGAATACGGGGGGGTTGTCGTCTTCAATGCTAGGAGTCCTTGGGACACCCTCCCCAGTCAACTCGACGTGCACCGTGCGAAGAAGAGTGCGATTGTTCCAAGCGCCCTCATCACTATCGTCATCTATGTCTTCCTCTTGCATGTTGCCCTTCAGGCCGATTATAAAATACCCTGTGTTCTCTTGTTGGAGTTGCGTCTTCAGCTTCTCTGCCGCATGATCGATGTCTGGTTCTGGCTCAACATAGCGCATCGGCACCTCAGGCGAGAATTCAACTTGACTGGCAGGTTCTTGCGCAGGAGTCTGTTCATCAGGCGGTGCTCTCTTAGCGCCCCAAGCCGAGCCATAACCCAGAGTGAGGTACTTCATCCAAGTCTCAGTGTCACCCAAAGACGCCAGGAGCGGTTCAGATTTGCTTGCTTCAGTATTGCTGGTTGAATCAACAGCAGCGGAGGCATGGTCTAGCGAGGTCTCAGCAGCCTTCACAATGGGAGGCGGTATCCCAGGGGGTAACCCGAAGTCTGGATTCGGAGCTTGAGTATTCGTGTTTGCCTGGCTTTGAGCTCTCTTCGCTTCTGGAGACAGGTGATCGGATGGAGGCTTCAGGTTCCTACGCCGTCGCTTTCTCCTATCGGCAGTAGGGTTCTCTCGTACTCCGTACGCATAGTCCCCGTAGCAGTAGACGGATTCGATCCACTGTGACAAGTCCCGCAGTGATCGACGGCTGAGCGCGCCGACGCCTGAGAAGACGACGCCATCAGAAGCATTGGGGCTTCTTCCACTACCAATCCAGGGCTCCATGTCCGCAATATCATCCAACTCCTTTGGGCTTACAGGCTTCTTCGGATCCTGCATAGGTGACGGCTCGCCAAATCGGCACACCATGAAGTCAACCAATCCGTCCGTCTTCTGCACAAAGTCCTCGAGAACAAGGCGCTCCCCACTGCCCCACTCTTCTTCACCCACGCCCATGCCCAGCTCGCCGCCAGCCGCAAGCTTCATGCCATTGTAGATGTCGACTGCAGGGCTCCCGTGGAGGAGGACGTCCCAGTTACTTGCGAATCGCAACCAGTATTTGTCTAGTATATTGCAGAACTTGATACGCTCGAGCTTCTGGAACAGGCCGCCGAGAGTCGAGCCGTGGTGGAGAAGAAAGATGTTGTGGGCGCGGACGAGCTGCCGGTGCAGAAGAGCAGGAGGGCTGACCTCTCGGGACGAGTATTCTACGGCTGGCTCCGGGGTGGCATTTGCGCTGTCGGTCGTAGAGGGGGAGTGATGGGCGGGGAGTTGGGTAAGGTCAATGGACTTGGATTGTTAGCCGGCACAGAGGCACCTGGCGGCGACACACACAGCAAGTATCCACCATCCCTTTTCCAGCTCGTGAAGAACTATTCGCGACTTGTGCGTCTCTACTGAATCGACCGCGGCGCCATGGGAGAAGCTCCTGTCGCAAGTCAGCTCCATTGCTTGGGGACAGTTGGAGCGTAACCGAGCGGTACCGGGCGAATCCAACCATGCCCTGGGCTAGGCCGACCTGACGCAGCTTCTCGTTCTCCTGCTCGCGCAGCTCCCGCTCTGCCTGTGCATTTCTGCCCTCGAGCTTCGAGCGTGCCTTGGCGGCTTTGGAGTAGTAGAAGACGATCTGGTGGTGGAAAGTCTCGTCCGTCCTGCCCAGCGAAGGGTTGTATATGGCGAGGAAGGAGAGCTGTGCGGGCACAACTTTCGGAACGGCAGTCGACGACATTCCCAGATTCGTTGTAGGATAGTGTGTTGCTCTCCGGGTGATTTGGCGATGTGCGATTGCGTCACTGGCGCAAAGCTCTCGGAGGTGGGCAGAGGTCCGCACATGAAGACTTTCGCTCCCGCGCGCAGAGTGATGGTTTCAAGGAAAACGATGGGCACAGCCGTACTACTACTATTTGCACGGCATGCTAGATCGAGGGCTATCGTGTCACTGGCCAGCAGGTGTGCCGCCTGCAGGGCACCCGCTGCGTCGCGCCAAGCCCAGCCCTCGGGATCGCACCTCTCGCTGCAGCACACCTCCGGCATCCTGACCCCCATGCTCCACCATGCTCTGGAGGCTGCCAGCCCCTGTCCGCTCCTTTTTAGTTTCGAATAGCCGCAGATACAGCTCCAACGTAACAAAAAACGCAGAGTCGCTGCGGATATTGTTCTGCGGGTCCGACGAGTTCAGCATCGCGTCGCTGCGCGCCTTGTCGAAGGCAAGCCAGGAAGTGCCTGAGCTCGTAGAGTCGATTGATGTTGTCCACCGGCCAGCAAAGCCTACGGGGCGGGGCTTGAAAACCCTACGAGAAGGTAGTTTCATGCTTTCGGTTTTGCTGGACACGTCAATTGACCATGCTTAGTGCCCATCAAGAGGGTAGCTACGGAAGAGCTCAACCTCCCCACCCACGCAATCGACACCTTTACTGGCTGGACGCCCCCTACTCCCATCGACCTCGTCATCGCCGTCTCATTTGGCCTCTTCGTCCCGCCTCGCATACTCAACCTTGCCAAATATGGCGGCCTCAACGTCCACCCTTCGCTCCTTCCTGACCTACATGGCCCAGCGCCTCTCCACCATACCCTGTTGAAAGGACGCCCCTTCACAGGAGTCACTATACAAACACTGCATGCCGCGCACTTCGACCGGGGCATGACAATCGCTCAGACGCCGCCGCCAGGCATAGAAGTCGGCCGACAGACAACCCTGCTACATTTGACAGAGCAATTGGGCGAAGTGGGAGCCAACATGCTGGTTGGTGTACTGAAGTCTGGAGCTTTCATACCCCCACTGAAAGACGTTGGATGGTATGCCGCCTCGGGAGGGCCCATAGACCACGCAGAGAAGATCACCAAGCAACATGGCTACGTCGACTTCTCGAAGTTAACGCTTCAGGATATCCTCAATGCTCGCCGCGCCCTAGGGTCTCTCTGGTGCAAGTTACCAAATGGCGACAGGGTCATTCTCGACGAAATCGAGGACTCTGGATTGCCTGTGCTACCGGACGGCGAAAACGGAATTTGGGCCCCAGACGGCATGGACATTCCCCTAGCCCGAGCCGCATGTGGCGGAGTTTTACGTATTAACAGAAGCACGTATGAGGGTGGGAAGACTGGGCGAGGCAACACGCGGCTGATGCGAGTTCTGGAAGCAGACAAATCAAGCGGTTGACCCGGAGCTTATGCAAGTTTTGTCGAGCAAATTATTCTACCGGGCTCTGTTAAAGTGTATGAGCTGTAGGACGCGCCTGGCGTGACATGGCGGTGCGTTGAGAGCATCTTATCTTGTGCAGAGACCTCGAAAACACGACCCATGCGAGCCGCAATGTCGCGCTATCATAGCTGGCCGGACTCCACTTGATCCTCTCCTCATTCGACGTCTCGAACGGCCTCGTCATAATCCCTCTGATCCCGGATTGCAGATTCTACCCCTCGTGTCCACAAGTCTCCCAGCCTCCGCATTATACGCAACAAGCAGCCGCGAGGAAGAGAGTCCTCATTGAGCTGCGGTTCTCCTTTTTCACGGCGGTAGTACCAGTTCTCGCAATAAGCGTCAACCAGAAGGCGGAGGAATGGACTGTTCGTGGGGAGATGCTTCCACGCATAGGTGAGGTCGGGGCAACACGGCGCATACTGGGAAAAGACTCCGATGCCGAGGTGTATCAGATACTGCTGCATCTCCGGCACGATGAAGCGGTCGGCGAAGACGTACCACCAGGTCAGCCTAGTAGTCGCGATCCACATTTCGCCCTCAAATCTCGGATCGGGATATGGGTGAGGGTATTTGGTCGCCCAGTCCGCGAGAGGAGCAAGATCCTGGTCGGCAAAGGCATCGAATGTTCCGGGCTCCACGTCTTCCAAGATGACGACTCCGTCCACTGCCGACTTGAACGCGTTCGAACTCAGAGCGCCGCGGAAGAAGCCGGAGTAGCGAACCAGAAGCGGTTTATGTATGTGGTACTCCTTCGCGCTCGGGCCGACCTTCACGGTGATTGTCGGCTGGCCGAGCAGGTCCCTACACGGATTATGAGCGACGAGCAGCACATTCGGCATGTTGGAAGCAAACCTGATGAGAGGATGGGGGTTGGAGTCGTCCGTAGCCATTGGCGAGATTCTGGCACTAGCGTGAAGACTTGATGTCCGTCGTGCGAAGGCGGTTGTCGCTGGAACACGGGTGGAGAACAGGCGGGTGCTGAGCGGATGTCGTGAAGATCTTCGCATGCACTTTCACTACTGCGGCAGCTTGCAAATTTGTCCTCGTTCCTTCACCATGGACTCTAGCCTTCCTATGATGGACCTCAGGTCTTGCTTTCCCTGGACCTTTAGCGCACACTCGTAAATTGTGTAGATCATTTTTCTATTTTCCGCGCTATGACTTGCATTCACTAATCCTCGAGAGCAAGAGCATGGGAAGTCATTTTCATCAACTGTTATTCACTGGACGACTAGCTAGGTCAGTCTCTTTCCTGAAGGTGCTTGATATCTCGTTCCCGTGTCTTTTCCACGGTAGAAGATCACCAGCCCATGTTCCCATGTCGCTACCAATGCGAAACCGAAGTCCTCGTTTCCAAATCCTTGGTGTTCCTCTCCCCGAACGCGCGTCCTATCCCGTTGTCTTCTGCTTCTTTCGTGACGGCTGCCCCTCCCGATCTGAGGCGTTGTAGAACTCCGAAGCGATTCGCTTGTAGTACTTGCGATCTAGGGTCTTATCATTAGCAGCCATTTCAGCGAACTTTTTCATCATCTTCATAAGGAACTTGTGGGGGAGTTCTTGAAATTGGCTTTCGTCAGCGGCATCGTAACTGTCTGGACCCCAGTAGGCGCAGTGAGCGTCCACCAGTAGGTTCAAGAAGGGGCTGTCCTCGGGCAGGTTCTTTGAGGCATAGACCATATTGCGCCACGTAGTGTGCTTCGTGAGTAGATGGCAGTAATCGTAGTAGTCCGCAGCAAGCTCCAGCGTGAGGGCCTTCAGACCAGGGACTAGGAATCGATCGGCGAAAACGTGAGCCTCTGTCAGCAGCAGGCCCGGGGACATGGTTTTCTCCTCTCCAACGCAATAGAGAGCGGGCCAATTCATCGGGTGGTCCCACGTTTGACGGTACAGCCAGTCGACGAAGATGGTGAACGTCCTATGCTCCACGTCCTCGAGCGTGACTTCACCACTGGCGCCTTCCTGGAAGTTCTCGGACCCGAAAGCACCGCGGAAGAAGCCCGAGTAGTGCATCACAAGCCCCTTGTGGACGTGGAAGGCCTTCTGGTTGTCCTCGGGTCCTACTTTGACGACGACGGATTCGGTGTAGAGGTCCCTTCGTTCATTAGGCTTGCTACGGGTGAGCGATGCGGCGAGCAACTTACCGAGGGTCTGGACGTGCCTTCGCCATTGTGAGGCGAGGGTCGTCGGGACTGCGGATATTCAAGCGCGAGTTCCTCTGGTTTCTGGTGCGCATGGAGGTGGTTTGTCGCGACACTGTGCCAGCGTTAGAAAAGAGCGGCAAAAAGCAACAAAAGATGCAAAAAAGAGTTCACAGAGCTAGCTCATTGGCTAGTTGCTAATCTCTCCCACAGCGAACCCTAGATTCAAACGCCGGTGGTATTCGAACTCTGGTCGCGGAGTGAGGTTTGCACTAGATCTAGACTAGCCACGCGTACCACTCTACCAGGTTGAATTGAGAGGACGCTGAATTATTGAGTGAATATAGTAAAACAGGTATTGATTCACTCTCGCGTGGATTTTACTTCACCTCCGCTTCACGCTGCTGGAGGTCCTTCACTCGGCACGACGCACACGGCTATCTTCGGGAGTGTGTATTTTGGACGACGTCCTTTAAATTGCACTTTCCTAATTTGTTCTCTGTTCCATTCTCTACCCTGCCAACGAATGATCCTGTGCACCAGTGAAGGATAGCTGGTCTTTCCCTTTTCATATTGAGGAAGCCTATTAGGCTCTCCTAGCTTGCTCTCAAGCATCCTGCGAAGTCCGCGCAAATTTCAATTGTCACGATGCCAATTTAATCTTGAGTACCTTCCGCGGCGGCTCTCCACCAGCGTCAACCGACCTGCGTTGCTCTTCAGACCGCTCCTCATAGCCATCAGGGTCCAGCCGCGTGCCGCTCGCCAGCTCGCCGGCCCTCTCCATCATCATGAGGACGAAGCTGCGCGGCAACCTGTCAAAGTCATATTCCCCGCCAGCTCCATGTTCGTGCAGGTTCCAGTTCTTGCAGCACGCATCCGCGAGTAGCCGGACGAAGATATCATCCTGCAGTAGCTTTTCGAGTGCGTGGACGATCGTGATCGTGGAAGATTGTGGGAGATTATCCGTATTGAAGTAGGTAACCGCGCGTCTCTTGACGAGGGACTGTAGCTGCGGGACCCCAAAGCGACCAGCGAAGTAGTACAGTTCCGTCAACAGCCAGCAGACTGCGTGCCAGTTTCCAGGAGTGCAATAAGCCGTCTGCCACTTACCAAGCCGGGGCAGATCTTGCTTATACAGCCAGTCCGCAAACATAGCGAAGGCCGCCAGGGTGACGTGCGGCAGGGTATCCGTGTCGTGCTTGCCCACTTTTGGGTCGGGTGCCTCGAAAGCTTTGCGGAAGAAGTTGGAGTGGCGCATTGTAAGCTCTTTATGGATGTGGAAGACTTTCTCCTGGTCCTGCAGTCCTACTTTTACGCGGATTGTGGGCCCCGTGTAGAGGTCGAGGTGCGAGCTGGAGCGTATGCCGATGGCGCCCTGGGGGCTTGGGGGTGTGGAAGCTGCCATTGCGGCGATCGCGAACGGTGGAGCTGGTGTGGGTGCAGTGGGCCGTAACGAGAGTGGCAGGAACCGCGTCGTTGTTGTGGAAGTTGGATGACGATTTTGGTGGAGATGGTGCATAAAGCAAGCAAGGTTGATTAAGAGCAACATATAAAGCAAAAGGTTAGTCTTACCTATCGACTCTCACTTGAATGTCTGGAGAGACACGTTCTCTCACTTGAAGCGTACGCTCATACGGTAAGCTTCATTTGATACCTGAACTGCTCTAGAGCTAACAAGTGAGAAGCCCCGTTCACGCTAAATCTCTATTCTATGCATATGTACTCCGCAGTTGACAAAATCTCCCGACTCACTTCCGATAGCGACTTGCATAGTACACCGTACACTCATGCATGATCTGTCCTGGAGCCTGCCCTATCCATCACGTCCCCCTTACTACGAAGACAGCGAGTTCGACATTATCTGGGAGTAAATTTATCTATGTTGCACTATTTTGCAAACGCTCAAGGTATTCGACGTATTTAGTCTCGCCTCGGCTTCTGCGTTTTGTGGGGCTAGTCGTCTTCAGCGTCATCCTGGAACTTGACTCAAGCCGAGTCTCGAGGTGCTGGAGGTTCGGCAACGTACTTAGAAGCGACCAGAGGTACGTCGCGCAGAGGACTATCCGGTCGAGCATATCGGTACACGAGTCGACGAAAGAAGTCCTTGGGTAGCTCACCCACTGACTTCCATTCCTTATAATCGCGACTAGGTTTCCAGTTCTTGCAATAGGCATCAGCGAGCAGCTGGAGGAAAGGGCTATGTGGGGAAAGGTTGCCGTAAGCGTAGGTAATCGTCTCATGGTTCGGTACTCCAGTGAAAGTGTTGAAGAATGTTACGGTGAGTTTCGTGAGGTCGGGTTTCAACTTCGGGACGATGAATCGATCAGCCAGGACAAAGAGACAGGCTAACAGATTGCAACGGGTCATCATGGAGGGGCACAACTTCGTTACCTCGGTCACGCCCCAGCCCGCAGAAACGGGCATGGTTTGCCGGTACAACCAGTCGACGAACACCCCGAAGACTGAGGCATCGACGTCCTCGAGGCAAACGATGCCTTCTTGACCTTCTTTGAAGCGCCCCGGTTGAAGTGCTTTGCGGAAGTATTCGGAGTGGTGGGTTAGGAGCGTCTTGTGCACGTAGAACTGCTTCTCTTCCGGCCCGACTTTGACTGTCACGGTTGGTTCGGTGCAGAGTTGCCTGATGATGTTAGATCTGGAGGAGACGATGAGGGAAATGCTTGACTTACCGAATGTTCAATCCGCTGGCGGTCATTCTGCAATAGAGTACATATGTAGAGTGGGCTGGGGCAGGAGCGATTGGTTGCCAGTTGGTCGTGGTCGTCTCTGGATATGCGGTTGTGATGGTATCGAAATGTAGCTAGCTCATACGACGCGTCCTAAGATAATGCTGCGCGCTTGGAGCTAATGTTTGTTGACGTCGTTGGTGCCTTCGCTTTCACTCGTTGCAGCCGCCCACCTTTCTAAACCTCTTGCTCTTTTCCCCCGGGGCCCGCGCGTCACAGTTGTTCCTTCCCCGCCCGCGAGTCCACGCTGTGCCGCTGCAATCAACACCATGAGCTCGGGAGTCGTAGAGTTGGCGCCTCGCCCTAGGTATGCAGCTTTGTCTGCATGTTGTTCTCATCGCTGATGTTTACTGATGTATTATAGCGCGGCTGCTCAAACTGGCATCATCGTCGTCCGGGCCGGTCTTGACGAGAAGAAGTACGTGCTTCATACGTCGCTTTTGATCTACTACTCCGGTTTCTTCCACGGCGCCCTGTCCGGCAAGTTCAAAGAAACAGCCGAAGGCTGCGTCGCCCTTCCGCATGTCGCTTCCGAGCCGTTCGACGTCTTCGTGGACTGGATATACTCCGAAAAGCTGCCGAGGAAGGATATGTGGAAACCCAACGACGCCGCCTACATATCAACAATGTATCACGCATACGCTCTTGCGGACATGCTGCTTGTGCTGGACATGAAGGAGGCTATCCTGGACGTCATTTTCGAAGGACTGGAAACGCGCTACCCAAGATATGACCGTGTTATCTACGCATTCGAGAATCTCGTCGATGAGGACCCCTTGTTGCAGCTTCTGGTTGATGCCCAGTGCATCAATAACGGAGTCGAGCGAAGACAGAAGGAGGGGAACAACGAGCTTCTAGAGCGACTTCCCCACAAGTTTCTCGTTCGGGTAATGCGAAAGCTGAATGAGCTGAGCTGGATGGACGATAAGCCGAAGAAGCTGGAACGCTGTTGGTATGTGTCCAAGCAGCCGGAAGCTTGAGAGGGGAAGACAGAGGCAAGCGGGCGTTGGGACCTTTCGTACCACCTTCTGGTATCTACTATGGGATGAGCGACTGCTGACCAACTGGACCCGCAGTGAGAATGTGTCCGAGTGAGTCGGGACGATGGCTTTGAGCGAGGACAATGCTTCGAGAGCGACGACGGGAGGAAACTGTACGGAATGGAGAACTGGAATGTTGGCCGATACCGTGTAGTGCGGAGGGCAATGTCAGAGGAGGAGATATGTAACAACGAATCAGTTCTCTCTAAACGGTGTTGGCAGATCAGAAAAACCTCACACAGGGAAATCCAAGTCAATACATTAAACTGCCCTAGGGATCGTGACGCTCCTTGGGGGTGCTCACACACTGGTGCAATCGGGAAGACCGCGTCTATCCACGTATTCATGGCCATGACGGCTCCTTATACCTTACCCAGATGAGCTGATACGCGGTCAGCTACATGGACTTCCCGTGAATGTATGTAACCTCTGCTGATTCCCGAGCCTCTCACGAATCCCCAGAAAGGGGTTTCCAGACCGGGCGCCCAGCCATGGGCCTACTCTTCTCTACGCACAGCGCGAAAACAGGCTCGTCATGAAAGAATTCGAGGCTGCCGTAGTAGTGTTTTGAAAGCTGGCGATCTGTCTGAAGAAGAGAACGAGCAGGACGGAAAATTCGGGCTTTTGAAGTGACGACTAAGCTTGGACCATGCGCTAGGGACCTTTGAGCCTAGCGCGAGCTGCCTCACCGAGCAATCTGGCTCGACCGCACCGAATCCACCCAGCGGCGGTTTGGGAACGTTGCAACTTCACGCTTTCGCTGCAGCCTGCTTCGCTCGGAGGCTGTGGTACTGGTATTAATTCTACATAGCTGCCTTCTCCATCCTCGCCCCGAAACGCCGTCTCCGCACCTCGTCGTCTGCGCCGCGAAATCGATTTGTGGGTGCCCGCTCGGTGTCCCGCCTTTAAGCCTCCTACGCAGCCGCTACCCACGCTTGATCGCACAACACCATGGCCGACTACGAGGCGCTAAAGGACCAGTGGAGTGAGATTGAGGACAAGGATGGGATCCGCCTTAGTTGGAACACCTTCCCCAGCTCGCGAATGGTAGGGCTTCTTGCGAACGCTTGTTGATACTGGTGGAATGCTAACCGTCTTGAAAAGGAAGCATCGCGGCTTGTTGGTAAGAGCTCCACGTTGGACCCTTCGCAACTCTCTAACCTATTTAGTCCCCATCGGTGCCTTGTATACCCCGTTGAAGGAGAAGGAAGACAGCCCGTTGCTACAGTATGAGCCGGTTTCTTGCAAGGCGCCCTGCCGGGCCGTCCTCAACCCATTCTGGTATGCCACGGCCGATGTTCACAGCTACCCTCGTAACTGACACGTTTCTAGCCAGGTCGATATGCGCGCTCGACTCTGGATATGTCCGTTCTGTCTCCAGCGAAACGCTCTCCCGCCGCACTACAAGGACATATCAGCAGACCAGATCCCTCCGGAACTCCACCCCAGCAATACCACGATCGAGTACCGGCTCGCGCGACCCGCTCCGTCACCGCCTATCTTCTTGTTCGTTGTGGATACCTGCCAGGAGGAGGACAGCTTGAAGGCGCTCAAGGACTCCATTATCATGAGCCTGAGCCTGCTGCCACAATACGCTTTGGTTGGCCTGATCACATACGGAACTATGGTAAGTTAACAGAGTTAGTCCCCCGGGATGGCATTAACTCCTCCTAGGCCCAAGTTCATGAGCTCGGCTACACCGAATGCGCCAAATCTTACGTCTTCCGGGGGAATAAGGAGTACACTTCGAAGCAAGTTCAGGAAATGCTTGGCCTTGGCCAGATTGCTCCGCGGCCGAATATGCAGCAGCAGCCCGGACGACCTCCGATGCCAATCGGCGGGCCTGGCGCACGTTTCCTCCTCCCGGTTTCGCAGTGCGAATTCCAGCTTACGAATGCGCTTGAACAATTGCAAAAGGACCCATGGCCGGTCGCGAACGACAAACGTGCGCTGAGGTGTACTGGTGTTGCACTCAGCGTGGCAGTTGGCCTTCTGGAGACGTCTTTCGTGAACATGGGGGGCAGGATTATGCTCTTCAGTGGTGGTCCTGCGACCGAGGGTCCTGGTATGGTCGTTGGGCCCGAGCTGAGGGAGCCCATCCGGTCGCATCACGACATTGACCGGGACAACATCAAGTACTATAAGAAGGCCTTGAAGGTGCGTACTTATCGGGAAGCGAACTACTCATGTGCTGATAAGGGCAGTTCTACGACAACCTTGCCAAGCGCGTCGCACACAACGGCCACATTGTCGATATCTTTGCCGGCTGCTTGGATCAAGTTGGTCTGCTCGAAATGAAGGGACTTTCAAACTCCACCGGCGGCCACATGATTCTAACGGACAGCTTTACATCCTCCATGTACAAGCAGTCCTTCGCCCGCGTTTTTAACAAGGATGCGGATGACAACTTGCTCATGGGCTTCAATGCTTCTCTTGAGGTCCTCACTACCAAGGAGTTGAAGGTGACGGGTTTGATCGGGCATGCCATCTCCATGAACAAAAAGTCCGCATCGGTTGGCGAAACCGAATGCGGTATCGGTAACACTTGCTCATGGAAGATGTGCGGTATCGATCCTGAAGCCAGCTATGGTATCTACTTCGAAATTGCGAGTCAAGGAGGCCCGACCCAAATGAATCCTGGCCCACAGAAGGGCATGATGCAGTTCCTGACATACTACCAGCACTCTGCCGGTCAATATCATTTGAGGGGTAGGTCCCCTCCAGTAAAAGGGAGGGTAAGGAAACTGACAACGCTTAGTTACAACAGTCGCCCGAAATTTGAGCGGCCCCGGAGACCATGCGATCGGTCATTCATTTGACCAAGAAGCCGCAGCTGTCCTTATGTCGAGAATCGCGGTCTTCAAGGCTGAGGTTGACGACGGACCGGACGTCTTGCGATGGGTCGATCGCATGCTCATTCGGTTATGCTCGCGATTCGCGGAGTATAGGAAAGACGATCCCTCATCATTCCGGCTGGAGAAGAACTTCACGCTCTACCCGCAATTCATGTTCCACCTCCGACGTTCGCAGTTCCTGCAGGTCTTCAACAACTCTCCTGATGAGACCGCGTTCTATCGACATGTGCTGAACCACGAGGATGTCAGCAACTCTCTTATCATGATTCAACCCACTCTGGACAGCTACGGGTTTGACCATGAGGGTGGACAACCTGTGCTGCTTGACTCTACTTCCATCCAGCCCGAGACCGTCCTTCTTCTTGACACCTTCTTCCACATCCTCATCTTCCACGGCGAGACGATGGCCGAATGGCGCAAGGCCGGTTATCAGGACCAGGAAGGATACGAGAACTTTGCGGCGCTGCTCGAGGCGCCAAAGGAGGATGCCAAGGACCTCATTCAGGACCGGTTCCCACTGCCTCGTTTCATCGTTTGTGACGCTGGTGGTTCTCAAGCTCGTTTCCTACTCTCCAAACTTAACCCTTCGACAACACATACTACGGGCTCGTATGGGGGCGTTTCGCAAACCGCGCAGACTATCTTCACGGATGATGTCAGCTTGCAGACCTTCATGGACCATTTGATGAAGCTTGCGGTGTCTGGAACCGGTTAAGAGTGTTAGGAAATTAGATTACGAGGAAAGGGAGGACGTTTGAACCCTTGTTTCCAGCAAGGGCGCTAAGGACACCGGCTCGCGTCACGATCAACACCTGTCTATGCGAACATGGGTAAAGTGAGGTTCGAAGACTTTACGAATTGATGCGGTAGCACGACCATTGTGAGATTAGATAAGACACCCTTTCATTATTCGATATCTGGGCCAATGTGTCAGGCTTCACAGCTTACTCCCGTCTGCCTGTCTAGCACCGCTTCCAGCGATATGTTCCTCTGCCAACATCTTTCCCGTCCCTGGGATCTCGAATGGTTCACAGGGTAGTGTGACTGCCACGAACCGCGCGGGCTCCGTCTGCGAACCGTTATACCACTTGTGCATCGTTCCTCGCTGGATAATATGGTCCTGTGTCACTGTCAGCGGCACTCCCACTACTCATATCCCCATACCCCTCCACATTCCCCAGTTCAACCACCTCCATATAAGCGATAGTTCTACTCACTCCAGGTCTCAAATCTAGCATCTCCCCGCCATCCAATTCCATCCTCACATATCCAATCACACAGATACTGAAATCTATGCTGACGGTTCTGTGCATCTGGCTCTGACCTCCGGGTGCCATGTCGACTACGACGAGATTGGCCCCGCGCTGGGTGGGGACGATGATGTCGGTGCCGAGGTGCGAGGTTGCGCCTGTGGAAGAGAGGTACGCGGAGACGTCGGCGTCGTTGGCGAGCGTTGCGGGGATGGTTGCGGTTGCGACTGTAGTAGTTAGGTATCGGCAAACTGTACGCGGGGTAGATGGCGTTGGGGAGACCGTGACGAGAGAGTGCCACATGGACTTGGGAATGGGAATGGGAATGGGAAAGGGAGAAATACATGATCGTGCCATTCCGCCCACACCACCTCGTCCATGGTATAGCTGCGGCGGTGAGGAATGAACGACTGATTTCCCATCCTTGTCGTGCGTGCAGATGTAGCGTTTATTGGGTGGCAGGTCTGTCACGGTTTCGGTCCAGTCGCCTATTGTTTTCGGGTCCGCCATTATCGGGCGGGAAGGTATATGGTTTCGGGACTCCCGTATAGAAGATTCAATGCAATGGGTATATCAGTAATAGGAGATTTGAATGATACGATGGAAGGGGATGAGAACTTGGGGAGAGTTGAATGAAATAGAAAGAAAGACAGGCACTTAGCCCTTCTATGGATAGGTTGGAGTAGGTAAGGCTGCCATCATCCTGCAGGTTATTTCAATGCGGAGACTGGAAATGTACATCCGCATATTGTGCAAGAAGCAGCTTTGGCGAATTCGTGGAGGATTCGCGGGGTAGCTGTAGTTAGTTTGAGAAAGCTACCTGCATGACGTCTGAAACATCGAGTCAGCGACCTGAGCTCCTCATAGTCGGCCCCTAACTGAGCACTAGGAGGAATCTCAAGAGGGAAATGACCTCGGGAAACAAGAAATATGAAATCGAGGAGAAGCACTAAGATGCTGTCAATTTGCATTTATAGATAGCGTAGATCATGTCATCATGAAGGTATCTCTGCTTGACCGCTGCTAACGCTAAATAACTGCGTTCTGCTCCGTACGAAGGAGATCGAAAAACGCAATATCCGCTAAGATGTATACGCCCTATCCGTCGTAAAACTTTTACGCCACCCTCATCCCCCTGTTAGATATACTCGAGAAGACACTAAAGTGTAAGGCTCCTCAGGCCTTAGCCTTCTTCGCCTTCTTGGGCTTGGTTACGTCCTGATCAGCGGATTTGGCTTTCCGTTTCTTCTCCTTGACGGTATCCTCGTCGGCCTTCAGAGTCTCTTTCTTCGCCTTCTTGGGTTTAGAGGTTGAGGGCTCAACAGGGATGTCTTTGGCCTCCTCATTCGCTTCCACAACAGCGTCGAAGTTTTGCTTCTTGACTTTCTTGCCTTTCTTCTCCGCCTGGACGGGCTCGGATTGCTCGGTAACCTCATTCGCCACTGGCTTAGTCTGGCGCTTGCCTTTGGCACCCTCCTTAGGCTTCTTGACCTTCACGGTGTCGGTGACGGAAAGTTGATCCGGGGTTGACTCAATGACCTGAACAACCTCTGTAGCTTCCTCAGCTGCTACTGCCTCGGTGAGCAACTGCTGAGCTGCTCCGCCTTCTATAGCTGGAGCTTTTCGGGGCACGTCCTCGACAGCCTTGAGTGCTGGTGCTGTATATTCATAATCAAACTCATCTTTGAGCTCCTTGGCTTTCTCGGCCCTCCGCTCCGACTCTTTCTCGATTCGCTTCTCCCATTGAGCACGTTCTGCGCCACGCTCCATGGCAAGACCGGCCTTCTTGTTTCGCGGGTCAACCTTGAAGCGTTGGTTGGCGCCTTTGAAGAGTTCCGGATGGACCTGCTCTGCATGCACTCGTCTGCACTGAAGAATGTGGCCGAACATGAGATACTTGTCCATCGTCTTAGCAACAATGTCGGCAACCTCCGCGGAGGCGAACTCGATAAAGGCGTAGTGCTTTGAGGCACCGGTCTTCTTGTTCCGGGAGAGTCGGAGGCGAGTGACATGGCCAAATTGCGAGAAGTACTGCTTCATCTGTGGCTCGAAGAAACCGTGGGGAATACGGCTGAGGTAAAGTTAGTCTGCGTAAACGCCAGAGTTCAATCTCTTACGCACCCAAGGAAGATAACGCCAGGTTCATCCTTCTTTGCCGCAATCTCCAGCTGTTTGCGCGCCTTCTTGGAGAGCTGAGGGGTATTCGCGACATCCTCGCCAATATCTTCATCCTCCTTCCCCAGGTCTTCTTCATCGCCTTCGCTTTCGAAGCCGGCGAGCAGGGCAGCGGTCTGGTCATCCACGTCTTCGTCATCTTCCGCACCATTCGCCTCCGCAATAGCTTCGGCGACCTCTCCCTTTGGCTCTTCTTTCGCCTTAGATTTCTTCGCTTTCTTAGACTTCTTGTCCTTGGCTGGGGCAGGCTGTTCAACCTCTGTGACAGTTGTGATGACTTCTACGAGGGGTACAGCCTCGGCCTTATCCGACTGCCTGCCCTTCTTCGACTTCTGGGACTTCTTCTTTGGCGCCTCAGGTGCGGGTGCCGCTTCTGCATCCGGTACCTGGCCTTTCTTTCCCTTCTTTCCCGGCTTTTCTTTTGCTTTGGATGTATCCAGCTTCGCATTGACCGCAGCATCCTTGTCGCCATTGACTGCTGCTGCAGCCTTGCTCTTCTTGGGCTTCTTCTCCTTCACCGGCGCTTCGCTGCCGGAGATGAAAACCTCGTCCTGCCTGCGGGCTGGCTTGACATTGGCCGAAAGGGAATCAATGGGCTCGACGGCGGCTTTGAGGGCTTTGGTAGACTTCTTCGGCGCGGCTGCGGTCGCGTCCGATTTCTTCTGCTTCTTCGGCTTGGGCGCAGCATCTGCAGCGCCTGCAAGCGTCCGTTAGCCAAGTGGCAATTGTGCGAGACGCAGACTTACTTTTGCGCTTCTTGCTCTTGAGATCCGCAGCTGCCATTGTGACTGAAAATTATTGATGTTGTATGAAAATGAAGCCGCAGGAAAAAGTTCGAGTGAGGGAGCTCGAGCCACCAGCTTTTTGGCGCTAACGGGCGGCCGCCAAGGCTACCTTGGGTGGAGTGAAGCGGCAACTCCATTCGAGGATGACGGAAATGGACTTACACTTGCTTTATCCACTTCCTACTTCGCCCTAGAAGAGGATCCCACTTCCATTCTCTTGCAAGCGCAACGAGCACGGACACGGGACAGCAACAATAACACTCACCTCACCCTCTCTCCCACAAAAGATGGCACCCGGCGTGAGCCTGGATGACCGGAGTGCCTGGGACGACAGTGCCCTAATCAACTCCTGGGAAGAAGCCGTCGCCGAATACGATGTAAGCCTTAAACTCTCCGAGTCCTCGTAATTTCACTCGGAAGCTGATGCGGCACAGAAATACCACAGCATTCAACGGTCAGGCAAGCGGCTAGAAGATGTTCTGAGTCAAGAAGAATTGAAGCAGTTGCGAGAGTAAGCATTCCTCCGTTGCGTCTGGAACGAGGCCTAACCTTCCCAGGGAGCATGGGAATCTGATTGAAGAAGTAGAAACCAGATCCAATGCTGCCGATCCAAACAGGCCGGCGGGTCAGGAGAACGACGAATGGCCTCAGGAAGAGACCAATGGCGACGGGGGCATTGGTGAGACCCAGTCTCATGCAGAGGTATGATTTGACATTCTTGACAGCAGCTGGTTGCTGTGCCGAACCCCCCCTGACTTGTGATAGGAACGAACCGCTTCCGGGGACCAAGAACACGCAAGAACATCAGAAACGACCCGGCCGCATGACGGTCCTCTTGCCGCGTCGATGCCACAGGCTGTGCTCGGAACAGGTAAGTGTCCGGCTTGTCACTCACCCGCTCACACGCCTAGAAGCCGACAAGAAACATTTCTAACTTCTTGACAGTCCAGGACGAGAACCTGAGGAACCTGATGATGTCCTGGTACTATGCGGGCTACTACACGGGCTTGGTCGCTGGGCAGCAACAAGCTGCTTCAAACAACGCCACATCAAACGAACAGAAGTGATGTAAGGAGGCTGGTGGAGGCTGTGAGGTCGAGGAAGTCGGCACGTTTGACAGACGCTAGCCGTTCCGCACGAGGGCCTCGTCGTACAAGAATGGCGAAGAGCGACAGAATAGGCCAATCAGGGGCGGGAGGACTTCGCTTGGGTGCGTCTTCCTGGCGCACGGCGAACAGCTCGTGCCTCACGACTCCGGAACTTCAGGCTGCGAAATTCTCTGTACCTCAGTTTTTCATGCATCGGAGCCTCCTCTTGCCTTTCCGTTCAGGCATCCCCTGCGGAAGCGCCCAGTTAAAGAAGCTTGGTAAAGCTTGGTCTTCCTATTTTGGCCCGCCCGGGGCCGAAGCGAGACAAATCTGCGACACCAACGACACAACCTCGAACTCACCTCTCACACTTCAGGCGTCAAACTATAACGCCACGCCCGCCATGCCTGCTTGCCTCAGTAAAATCGACTCATTTTTGCAGGTGGCTTCCTGAATTCTCGGGTACCTGCCAAGCCGAGGGGCTGCGATGTTTCGTCCTGTGTCCAGCTGCCCTGCTGGCCCCGACTCCCAATTTCATGCGTGGATTTAAGCATCAACATGTCCCGGACCGTCCTCTTTTTCTGCCCTCCATTCTCCCCTTAACTGTGTCGGACCCGTGCCAAACCATTCCATTCCCTTCCTTTCTGGTTTTTGCTTCATCTCTTTCTATCTGAGCCGGCCCTCATAGTGAGCCTTTCGATCATTTGTTCTCACCACCCAGTTTATTATATTAGCTTGCAGTGCAGGCGCAACGTTCTTTCGACCTTTTACGACACCACAACTTAGTCATAATGAAGTACTTCTCTGCGCTACCGCTGGCTGCGAGCCTCGCCGCTGCCCAGATGTCCGTCATGAGCCTCGCACCAGAAGCGCCAAGCGGACAGATGACACACACTGTAAGTCTCCCCGTTCGTATCCTCGTCAGGAGCCACCATCTGACGATTGGCAGGTCGTGGTCGGTGGATTGAAACCCGTCGCAACCGGAATGGCAGCAGTATTAGGATACTCGCCCGAGTCAATCACCGCAAACGTGGGCGACATGGTCATGTTCGTCTTCATGCAGAAGAACCACACCGCCACGCAATCGACATTCGACAACCCTTGCAAGAAGATGGATGGAGGAATGGACTCGGGCTTCATGCCCAACCCCGAGGGCAAGGCCGGAGTTACGTGGAACATGACCGTTGAGACCACGGACCCGCTCTGTAAGTTAATCAGCCATCTCCATCACGGGTTTGTACCTAATGCGACGCAGGGTTCTACTGCAAACAGCAAAACGGCGTCCACTGCGGCAAGGGAATGGTCATGTCCATAAACGCGCCCACGACCGGAGATAAGACCATGGCCAACTTCAAGCAGCTCGCCATTCAGAAGAACGGAACCGAGCAAGCGCCGCTCACCACCGCCGGCATCCAGAATGTCCAGCCCGGTGCCCAGGCCGCGCCCAGCACCGTCACCGTTCAGGCCGGAGGCGCCGCTGCTACGGGCACTGGCGCTGCTGCCGTGGGAACAGCAACCGTGGCCGCTGGAACCGGAATCGATGGCGCAGGCAACACGTGCGCATGCTCGTGCCTCTGTGGCGTGAACTCGTTCCCCGCCGCCGCCGCCGTCAACAACTTCGGTGGATTCGCTGGAATGATCAACTAAGGAACACGGGGTGGGATTGTTGCGCAAGGGGAATTGGGGCGGAAGATAGTAATAGCTTCCGAGCGGTCGACGGTTTCGGGGGTGGGGATTCAGTTCTTATGACGGGTTTGATGGCTCCTGGGTGGCATATCAACCCTTATACCATTTTGCTGTTTTCTAGGGGACACAGGGCGTTCGCATTATACCGTAATCCATCCATCTCCGCCGACATGATGCGGCGTGAGTGTGTGGTGGCATGTAAAACTTAAGCATTAGAATGTTTGAATGAAGACTCTCCGAGAGATCAAACTTCAGCTATGACTCCTCACTTGAAGATGAATCGTGCAATCTAGAAGGCGCAGTGGGCAGCATACATCACGGCAATCAAGTTAACATCGGTGTATTGGGAGAAAGTAAGCAAAGCCCCAAACTACTCCTCAGCTCTATCAGCCCCACCATGCGGAAGTCCTGTATCGCAAAGTCGGCGCCTCAATAAACCACGCTCGCCACCATCGTGCACTCGGAATCGGGAAATCGCTCGAGCGCGAGCCTTTATTTCTTCTTGCCAGCTTCGGCCTTCTTCGCATCGGCTTTTCTCGTACAACCACGTGTCAGCGCATACATCAACATCCAGCCGTACATTTATGCATTTATCCCAGTCAAGGGAAGATCTGCATCCGCTCCAGGGACGTAGAAAATGGAATCCTGAGGACTTACCAGCAGCCTGTTTGGCGCGCATAATGGCCGCAGTGTCCTCCTTGGCTTTGGCGAATTCGGTGCCGGACAACTGCACGGGGGGTTAGAAGTTTGCCAGCCACCGACTGCGCGGCTCGGGTGGTGGATTGCCGATACGTACGCTGTTCTTATTTTTCTGGAAAGCGCTCAGTCAGCGAATCACTCAGTGATATCAATGATGAAGAAGTCGGGTACGGGGGCGTGGCGGTAGGGATCAGCGACAGCGGTGAAAAGCGGACGCGACGTACCTTGCCAGCTTGCTCCTTGAGGTTCTTTTCGCGGGCTTTTTCGCGCTGGTTGCCGCGAGCCATGGTTTCTTGGTGTGCGCAGTAGGTACCGACGGCGAGCCTGAAGGGTTCTTGTACGAGTTTGGGGAAGAAAAGCGCTTGCGGAATCGTTGGCGTGAGGTTGAAGTTGAGGTTCTGGATGTAAGCGCGGTGGTCACGATAAAAATAGGGCCGCCCGTTTGGCTGGAAGGCTAGAAGCGGCGCTAGAGGGTTCCATGTGGCACGCGCCACGTGAACGCAGAACTTCACGGAGGCGATGCGCGGAGGCTTGGTGAGTCTTCAAAGATCGTCTTGTGTTCTTTCATGATTGTTTTCATAAGGATAAGACGGTAGGTATGGTACAAAGCGATCATGTGAAGGTAAAAGCCCTACTCATCTTCAAGGCTACGCCCTTACGTACTTCGAATACACTCACAGTCACAACCGGCGGACTCGCATAGCCCTTCTAACCGACTCTTCAATCGCCCTCACAGCGCAACTATGCCGACATAAGAGATTCTACGTGGTTCCTGATCAACGCAACCTACCTAGGTATCCAAGCGCGGCAATCATATCCATACAGAAACATCTCGCAAGTTTGTCTGCAAAGTGAGCGCGATGACCGTCTGCTGCTTCTAAACCAATGTAATCTCAATCCATCGCTTGTCGAATTCTCGGTGAAAAGGTCCCAGCATGTGCTGAAATTTCCACGCCGTAGTCGAGACCGGCAACCTGCTCTGCTTACATAGAATACTTCGGCTAACAGTCGTGCCGCTCTAACTCCCCTGCTCTGCGGAGCTAACAACACCCTCCACCTCATCGCCGACCGTCCCTGTATAGAGTCGTGAAACTCTCGCGGTGGAGAGCAAATGGACTGCGGCACGTACATGGTCGAATTTCAAAAGGGGACCTAGGAGGGGCTCGAATTCAAAGTCGATGCGAGCTTGATCCGAAATCCAGCCAGCACCAATGCAGCTGTTTTGGGACTGGGCGTAGGTCCACCCCCAGCAAACGCCACCTACAAGCCTGCGAAACACCGCTCTGAAAACCACTCCGAGACCGAAGAGAAGGATGTCTACCGTGGTGTTTGTGATACCGGATCTGGATGTATACTTAAAGCCGGTTGAAGAGGCCGCGTACTGAATGGATGGGATAGAACAAGGACTGTTCAAGACGAGCGTGGGGGCATCCAAAGGATCATCTTGAAGAAACAGCGAAGACACGGCAGGAATGAGGCTGGCGAGGTGGGTTGAGGGCCCAAGACAAGAGGGTCTGGCGTATCTGAAGCCCAACTAAGGCATCGCTTACTTTAATATTTCCAATTGCCGGCTTCGACTGACGATAGTATTGGGTGGATAGATATTGCGCTACTTCCAGTACCCGAGACAGCACGGAATGCGGGGTTGTACCTGCATACTTGTCCACTGTCAGCACGTCTTCCTCCCACGTCAGGGCCTCTACGGTTTCTCATTCGCAGATCGCCTGCAAGGCTGAGGAGTATACCGTACCACAAAGCACATGATGCAGAAGTCCTGCATCGGTGGCTATCTCCGCACTGAGATGTGCTGTCCCGCTCTGATTGGAACGAGGGGGTGGAAGTAGCATTCCCGAATATGGCATTTCTGATAAGAATCTTGGAAGATGAGGGATTTCAAACGCTGGGGAAAGTGGTCTGGATGTTCCAACGCTGAAGGTAAGAGCCATCCTCATTGCTGTGAGAGTTAGTCATACGTGAAGCGAATCAATGGCTTCTCTGTACTCGAGTCTCTGACGTGGACGAAGCAGTATCAGAATCTGCGGTGGCCTTCTCCGGGGCCGCAAGTCCGTTGCGGAATGATACGGCTGCACAATCCGTACGTGCCCTATTGCAGTTCACCAAAGCGCATGCGATTAGCACGCTGTTGGAGGCCTTGTGCTAGAGAGGGCCAGAGACTCGGAGGGAGAGGTGGAAATGATGTCGAGGCTTGGAGGATCCCGCGCTTAGTAAGGCCCGTTAGCGCCATGGCGGTGACACCACCACAAGCTCTGTGCTCCCGTTCTTTCCACCACCTCCGCCAGCTCTCGAGCGCTCCATCTTCGCGTCGCCGTGACGGGTCAGACGGTTGCACCCGCGACAATTAGCAGCAACGATTGAAGGATCGGCGAATTCTTGCCGCCCGCTTGATCTGGAGCCGTCGCCTGTTTTGGAATCTGAAACACTCCCGCGAGCGGTGTGGGCCAATCAGTACGCGACAGCCACGCGACGACCAAACCCGCCTCACAATGGCAGATGCCCAACTTCATGGGTCGTCGATATTGGCCTACGAATACTGCCTGGCGAGAGGGCCGGTCCACTCATCGAAGCCCGCCCAGCTCAGCTCGCTATCGATATCGCTAGACCCCGAGGGGGAAATCCCGCGTTTCACTCCATTCGGTACTACAGTCTGCAGCAGCAGATGTGGTGCAATTTGGGCCACTCAATTTCGCCGTGGTGAAGGATGCCAGCGCGACGGGCCCTTATTTCAAGCTATTGTGACCTTCCCGACAATGGTACCCGGCTAGGCCTGGGCATGGCGAGAGATTTCCTCTTCCTCGACTCATCTCCCGTCCTCTTTTCCTATTCTCCATCGTTCTTCCTATTGTCCATCTTTTCGTCTATTGATACTATTGTCGAGCGAGGAGACTTGCTGCCCCGCGGCGTGGGGTTCTCCCTTCTTCAACCCTCCATCCTTTTCTTCCTACCTCTGCTCTTGATACTCAACGCTCGACGCGCTCTTGACTGCCGGCCAGCTCACCTACCAAATTCTACCAGCTCCTTCAGCAATCCTACTTCCACTCAACATCTCAGAAATGGCCCTCCTTTCGGTCCACCAACTGGCCGGTCCAGGCTACATAATCCTCAATGTCATGCGCGCTCTGAACATCATCACCCTCTCGTCCGTCGTCGCAAGCAGCATCGTCATGCTGGTGAAGACGTTCATCGTGTCCAAGGTACATGTGGCGAGCGTTCCAAACGAGGGCAGAAGCTTACATCCCTCAGTTCTTCTTCTTTGATGCAACAAGCCACGTCGTTACCGGCCTCGTTGGCAGTAGGTACTCCCTAAGCGAGGAAACATTTCTCGAAACATCTAACAAATCACAGTGTTCCTCGTCGTTTCTGAATGCTCGCTCTTCCGCGGCTACTTTGCGCGAAACTGGCCCCTGCTCAGCCCCAGTCATGGCTTCGTCGCTTTGGGATGCGCCATGATGGTGCTTGGTCTAAACATGCTCGGCAACATGAACAAGGAGGCTACCAGCCAGGAGTCGCTGGGCATGCCATTTTGGCGATTGCTTGTTGCTTCAGGCATTCTGGCTATCGTCATTGGCTTCTTCAACGTTGTTGCTGTAAGCCGTCCATCACAAATATTCAGCTCAATATCCTAACCATTGCTCAGAGCTTCGTCTTTCGCGACAGGAAGCGTCACATCACCGCGCGCAACGTTCGCTCTAAAGGTGCCATCAGCCTCGCCGAAAGATACGATATTGAATGCGACCCCAAGCACAAAGCCTTCACCATCAACACCCACTACACCGGCTCCACGTCCCGAACCGGCAGCCCAATGCGAATGGGTACGCCGCCTGTCGACATGGGCTCCCCACAACACACTGTCTCCCCAACCAAAGGGAACCGCTTCTCGCAATTTGACTTCAGCCCTCTGCGAGCGCTCCGCAACGCGCGGCAGTCCGTCCTGCCGTCCTATCACAGCACTTCACCGACAAAGAAGAGATCATCGTCGATCTACTCACGGTCAACATCCGGCCACACGAAGCGCAGCTTTTGGCTAAAGCGACGAGACAGCGACGTCCCGCATGTGCCGGAGATCTCGGCGCCGTTGAACGTGAACCCGCAGTTTGCGCATCTCGTGAAGCCGAATCTGGCACATCACCCGAGCCAACGAAGACCCGAAGCGGACATCACGGACAAGATCTAGGCGGGCGTCACGGATGAGAGAGAAAGATGAGGAGACATGTATACCACGTACCATGATGATACCACTTTCCTTTTGTTTAACTTATTCATTCTTCCGGCATAAGCTGCAGCGTCCCGCGACCTCAGAATGTCAATCCAGTCCCTGGGAATAAGGCGATCAGATATAGGGTTATATTTGGCGCCACGGAAAATCTGGGAATACTCTCGTGTTGGTGGTTTGTGTGCTTACCAGACGAGACTGATTGATCTTTTGTTACGGGTTCCGATACCATCGCAATGAACATATCAATACCTTCTTCTTTGGCTTGATCTTGCTATGATATACCTAGGTAACTTTATACGTGAACAGGGCTTCGATGTTTGTAAGATACCAATTCTAGCCGTGCCCGTCACGTGCACCTGCCAAACGGACGCCAAGCATCAATTGATCGTCCCACCTCAACGTTCAACTTTGCGCACGGCAAACAATTGCGCTTCGCAACCTCCTTGCAACAATGCCTCCTCCACGACTGTTATCCCCTCTTCTGCGCCCTCGCACTCAGCCCTCTTTCCAATGCCTCCGAAAAGGATACCCACTCCGCCCTGCTTCTACCTCGACCGTACAACCCTCCGCACCAACCGTGCCCTGGAAAACTCCGCATAGCATAACATCATGGCCCCCAGAGCCACTTATTCCTCCTCCGAAAGAAGGCGAGATCCTGCTAGAGAGACGGCCGAACCGGGATCTACCACCGTACGTCGATGCACACCCCCGTAGACGCCGTCAATAGCTTGTCACGTTGCTAACAATTGCCCACAAGCATGCCACCTCTAATCCCTAAACAAGTCCGCAACACGCTCCCCATCTTCATCGTCTCCATGGCCGCCGCCATCTTCGCCTTCTTCAACTACCAGAAGCAAGAATCCTCCGTCGTGACATCCACGCTCTACGCTCTACGCACGAACCCCGCCGTGCGCGCCGAGCTCGGCGACGAGATATACTTCGCTTCCAAATACCCGTGGATTAAGGGCGAGATAAATCAAGTGCACGGGAGGATTGATATCAAGTTTTGGGTCAAGGGGACGAAGAGGCAAGGGGAGGTCAGACTAAGGTGTAAGAGGAGAGGCAGGGGAGGGTATTTTGTGACCCAGGAGTGGAGTTTGACGTTGGAGAATGGGACGTTGATGCAGCTATATGATCCGGAGGGGAATGCGGTGGATCCGTTTCAGGATCCGTTGGGGGAGTGAGAGCAGGAGCGGAATGAGTCAGCTTGGAAGAAGCGTGTATGATATGGTGACTGGTTTGGAAAGGAGCTGGATTCAGTAAGGAATCGAAGCATCCTGTGAACAGAGGAGCAGATCCCTCATGTTAGATGGACGGCCCGCGCTCTGGGTGACTTGTATAACATGTATCTACACTTGTACACTGAGGTCGAGCAGAGCTTATCTAAGTGAAAATGCTGTGATGGGGTACTGATTATGGGTTCGGGGAGCATTCGGCAAGGAACAGCAATCCAAGCCTCGGGCAAGTCCTCTAGGTTATTCGGTAGGTCCTCATGTCTCCTCTCACATCTCGCATGTCGATCCCCGCTCCGATCGCGCCTCCAACGTACGCATGTTGCACAACCTCGTCTCTTCCTCGATAGCTTCTTGCGTGAACCCTTGGATGATATCTGCGGTCGCCGAAAGGGTGAGAGATAGCTCCTAGGGCCCCTGTCCGTGGCTCTCTCTGGTTGAACTCTCATTCCTTCTCTACTTTCGGTCACACCCGAAGTTTACGCTCGTCAATTTGTCTTTGTCAATCTCCCCCGCCTCCTCGCTATGAAGTACGCGCCGGAGTTCGCAGCCGTATCCAAAAACCCTATTATCAAGATCGCTCCTGGGAAGAGAAAGAAGGAGTTCGAGTTGGAGTGATGGGCAGGTAGCATAATTAACACCTCAATTGGCTAAGGAGACATAGTTTATTGCCGAAGCGGGCGTGAAATGTAGGATTCAGGGCGGTGGCGGAAAAGCGTAAGGCGTTTAATAGGTAAAAAAAGAGTCATATCAAATGCTTTAGCCATATTAGCATTGCCAACTACAGATCAGCTGTGCAGAACTTCTAAGAATCATAATTCGCCGCTCTTGATTTCGATCCCACAGAGCCTTAGCTCATCTTAACCAGGCCTCAACACCACATCCCCTATACAAACAACCACGTTCTTAAAAAACCTCCTCCACTCCAATGGATCCCCACTAGCCTTCACAAACCTCACCTCGCTCATGGCCTGGCCATCAAACCACGCCCTCTCGACCAGAATATGTCCATTCAGTCCTTGCCTCCGCCCATCCGCCATTTTGACTCTCACGCTTGCCTCCCCGCTCCTCTCCCACTCTGCTGTCTGCTCTTCTGTGAACGGCGGCGCTGGAACACCTAAGCGGTGCAGAGCTTCGGCCAGCAAAGGGACAAGCAGCCCAATAGAGAGCGGCGAGATGAAGCGCGCGAGCGAGTAGCTTGGCACAATGTCTTTGAATTTCCGGGCTTGCTGGGTGAGCGAGAGCGGCACAGAAGGCGTGGGTGTGAATTGTGTCATGCTGGGGTCTTGGGAGAGGATATCCTGCGTGCTGGATGGCAGTTGGGAGAGGAAAGGAGTAGAGGTTATCTTCTGCGTTTGGTATACTGGACGCTGATTATCGCCTGCGGGTTGGGAGGCAGAGATGCCGTCATGGCTAGCGAGCCTAGGTGGTCGTTCCCAGTCGAAGGGTGTTTCGGCAACTGGGGTTTCTGGTTGTGTAGAGGAGAGTAGGTTGATGTTCGCGGGGTTTGCTCTGGAGCGGTGAGGTGCAGACTCAATGTCCATGGCGTCTAGGTCTTGGGAGGCGCCGCGCTGTGATAGTCTCGGACCGCTGTCGAAGTTTATCCTCAGCGAAGAAAGCATCTGGGTGGCTAGACCGACAGGGTTCGCGTTTCGCCCGGAGGGTGAGAGGAACTGGTTCTTCTTCGTGAACCACGGATGTGTTCTTATTCCGTCGAGGGTGAAGCGTGAGGCTGGATCGAGTTTGAGCATGCCGCGAAGCAAGGATACTATTTCCGGTGGCAGCTTCTGCCAGAGTTCGTCGGTGGTACGCCCGTCCGTTTCGACATACTCCTTGAACTCCTCGCTGCGCATCGTAGGTTCATCCCAAGGCGTATTACCGACCAAGAGCACGAAGAGGACCACACCGCAGCTCCAGACATCGCAAATATTGGCCGCGTAGCCCACGTCCAGGATATCCGCTCTCTTGCTCCTCCGTCCACTGACAATCTCCGGAGCAATGTAGGGTGGGGATCCGCAAACCGTGTTGCATAATCTCAACTGCCCATCCTTCTTGAACAGTGCCGCGAGGCCGAAATCCGCAAGCTTCAAGTCTCCCTCTCCGCTTAAGAGCACATTCTCCGGTTTGATGTCCCGATGCGCAATGCCCTTCGAATGCATGAAGCCGACCGCACTGATCAGCTGCGTGAAGTAGAAGTGCGCAATGTCTTCTCCGACGCCCTCGTCGGCCTCGATCTTATCGAACAAGTCACCGCCGTCGGCGAGCTCCATAGCGATCCATGTCCACAGCGCGTCTTCGCCGGATCCCAGGCAGTGTATTATGTGCTGGTGTTTCCCGAGGTGTTGATGCAGTGCGATCTCCATCTTGATCTGCTTCGGCGAGAGGCGCCCTTGCTTGAACGCATGTTCCTTGTTGATGAACTTGATGGCGATGACGGGTTTTGGGGCGTTTTGGGGACATGCTTTGCGGATTCTGGTGGGTATGTTAGCATATTGCTTGCCCGGTGGTGGGAAGGCTTAATATACGAAGCATATGCGCCCTGGCCTATCGTCTTGCTGATGAGGCGGAATGGTAGGTTAGTTGGCAGTGGAGCGAGTTGGCTCTAGACACATCATCAGCTTAGCTCGTATACTAACAGTACGCCGGCTTCCAGTACGAGCTCTAATTCTGAACCACCGCATCTCGAGTGGAGCGTTTGCCATCGCACTGTAAGCCAAATCATGCCTCCGAGGAAGTATCACTCACACCAGGCGGCGCGGGCGCCATGTCGGTGATTGCCGCACGGAGGGCCCTTTTCCGTGTTAAACAGCGGAACGATTTGCGAGTCCGTACGACCAGTTGAGTCCACTCAGGGCTGCGAGTTGATATGTTGCGTTGCTGCCTGGCGGCCGGCTCGTCGTCAGAATAACCTCTGTCGCTTCCAAAAACACGCGGGCGAACCACGCGACGCCGTCGGGGACTCGGCAACACTATCGATAACGTGCTCGACGATCGCCTGATCACATGATCGTCCCCGGCCACTCGGCCAACCTTCCCTCTTCACAACCTCCGTCTCCGGCCTTCTGTCCGCCGTCCAATGAAGTTAAAGTTGTACGAGGCGCGTCCATATCGGTCGGCCGAAATCGGCAAGCATTCGCCCTTCTTTGCTGTCTCATCTAGACAGGATGTTCCCACCACGGGTGCAGCTTGTAGAACCGGAAATGCATTCGCTGCCATCGGTCGACGGGAAATCCGAGTGCAAGGAACCGAAAGGATTTCGTTCGAGTGGTTTCGCGGCATTCCATGCCACGAGGTCGCCGATTCAAAAAGCCTAGGTATACTGAAGGGGCATCCTTACTTACACCGGTCATGAGGACCGCTCACCCATACCATGCATCCGGTGGGTATCCACATTGCACTCCACACAAAAGACAGCCAAGCCACCCTCCAGGACCAGGTCCACCGCTGCGACGTAGAAAAACTCGGCATGTCCACGATTCTGGGATGAGAGATCCTTGAGCAACTGGAACGGTGTAAATCCCTCCGAAGTAAGTTTACAGGCACCAATGATGATAGGAACGTAACGTTGCATCCCGGTATCCCAAAGGAGTGGGCGTTGTATACGCGTTCTTCCCACCCTCTACCAACTTCCCCCTTACTGCGTCGAGACGCTCGTTTACTCATCACTTGTAGATCACTCTAGGAAAGTCACTCAGCAGCCATCCCATGTAGTGCCGTACCCGTCTCCGCGCCTTGTCTTGTCCTTAGATCTAACTCCGCAACACCTCCCAAATCCGCCTCCGGCTCCCCGTTAGCTTCCGCTTTCCCACACACCATTTACGTATCTCAAGCTTCGCTCGGCGCATCTATTACAGCGAAGGCAGGATCTTCAAACATCAAGTCTGCGCTGAGACTGCCGGAATCCACCGCGCAAATCACACACGGCGGAGCTGCTCGCCTGTGTTTGGCTGCCACAAAAAAGGTCCCACGCTTTGCAGAGCGTAGTGCGCAGGCCGTCAGGCCGCTTTGCAGATCAAGGGTTCACGCATTGCATTGCATTCGGCGCCGCTTCATTTTGAGAATTGTCCGCCAGTGGGCCACGGCGGCGGAGGTACTTGTTCCTATTGGCTTGCACAAGCCACCGGGAGAACGAGGAAGGTGAAATGCTCCAGGGCACAGTGTAGGTTTGGCTATGTAGGGGAAAAGTAGCGAAGCCGCCCAACGAATGTGGCCCCTCGGTCCATAGGCTAAGTCATGCAAAGGCCATCAAAGGGGACAAAAGTGTAGGACGACGCATCCATCTATTCAACGAGGAGTATCATCCTCTCTCGATTAAACTACAAGTTCGCTACCAATAATGCTATCATACCCCTAATCAACACGCTGGCAAGGTCTTCTGAATCGTCTAACCAGAAGTCGATGTACAAAAACCCTGGGGTCGTGGTACCCTTTCTGCCGCCGCCTCTATAGAAGCACAGGCCAAGACGAACGTGTAGTAGAGCAATGAAAGAATCCAACTCCAGGACCCAACAACCGCTTCGTTTCGATATTTGGAAACCGAAAATCAGGCGTTCAAAGTCGTGCTATCCGGTATCGCCAAGAGAGGGAGAGGCGAGAGAATATGGTGGCGGGTGGTAAAAATCAAAACCCGCAAGAAGCCACCCTGATGCTAATGTGTTTTGTCCATCCGAAACGCCGATGTCTAAAAGGTAGTAATGAGGATATGCAAGGAATGAAGAAGGGGAATAATGCTCAAAACCCGCCCAAGGTACGTGGACAAATGATTGTTATCCAACGGAAAACATGACGGAGTGCGTCGCCGTCTATGATCGAGACGAGTTAGGTGTCTGGGCGGCGTACGCGGCAGCGGCGGCAGCATCGAGGCCCCGTAGCTGAGGACCGTACTTTGGGTGCTTGATGAATTTTGGTACAGAGTCCTATTGCAGGGTGAGCAAGGCACTTCGAGTGGAGGGACTAGAGCATGCTTACGCTTGACATCAATTTGAAAATTGAGTTCTGTGCCTTCTCAAACAGAGACGCGACCTCGACGAGGCTCTGCATCATCGCATTGTCGTCACCAACGGCACGGGTCATGCGTGTAGCAAGCTGTGTGCGGAGAGCATGGTCAATGTTGAGCTCGTTCGGCGAGCCGGGTGCCAAGAATGCGTTATACAAGCCTGATAGTTATGAGCACGAAAGATGAAAGCTTAGGAATACATCAGCTTACCATAAGCCGCAGCAAGCGTCTCGCGAATGGTTTCGATCTTGTTGTCTCCGCTGGCGTTAACCGCAGCCCGATATTGAGTGTTAAACTCCTGCACTTCCAGGTAGAACGAGAGGTTCTCTTCGCACATGGTGTCCTTGAGGAACTCGCGGTACAGCAGGCGCCACGATGGGTTACGGATGATGACGTTGGTGCGGTTACTGTTCGAATCGCGCGCAGCTCCGTCGCGGGCCTTTACTGCTGTCGCGTCCGCGGCTATTGATGCATCGTCGGGAAGAGTCCATCCTGCAACGCGTTCACCATGTTGCGTGATATAATATTGTACCTGCTTAAGAGGCTGGAACTTATCGGACGGCCCGCGCGAATCCACTGGTGCAATGAGACCTAGTTGGAGGAACATAGATCCTATCTCGACGGCCTCCCGACGGTCAACCATCGTGGAGCAGTCCATGAGCCACTCGGCAGCATTTCTGCCGTTGAAAGTGTACTCATACGGACGGCTAGATGTCGGCTTGTGTTTTATGGTCCGAACGCCAATATCGCACTTAGAGAACTCATGGATCGAGTCCGAATCTGACTGAGCCTCGTTTGCAGTAGCGCCGACGAAACGGCGGAAGATGATTTCAACAGTCTGTTCATCGTTGTGCAGTTTATCGGTTTCTGTGTTGCGCTCGAGAATAACGAGCTGGTGAGGGTTACGGGTGGACTCTATCACAGCCTTCACGTGGGTAGACTGGATGCCGTTGCGGGAGCAGAAACGCTCAAGAATATGAATGCCTTTTGGCGTGAGCTGCCAGACGGAGCTTTTGTTCTGGAAGTCCGTCTTGCCCTCGACAGACTCTATGAATTTGGCCTCGAGAAATTTCGTGCATACTGACCGAGCCATCTCTTTCGCCATGGAAAACGTCGTGGTCGTGGTCGTAGTGACGACACGTGAGGAGTCCTTCGGATCCGGCATGCGGTTGGATTGGGAGAACTTCAGGGACCCCAGGTTTGTGATAGCTTCGTCCGAAGTAAAGGTGAAATCGATCATCCTAAACCTCACACGATGGGGAGTGAGCGGTAGGGAAACCATCAGGGTGGAGAACAAGTCTTTGAAATCCTGTAGCTCCAGGGGTTAGCGTATGAACCATATATGATCAAGTAAAGTTGGATATAGCAGAAGCCGACGACGATGGTTTTTGAGTTCACACGGAGGGAGATCAATTCCGTAGATGGTCATCTTGAACAGCTTCATAAAGGGTTCGCCTGCGATCCGCACGTGATAAGGCCTCCCACCCAGGTCGACGCTTTCTCGTGAGGACATCGTAGGAGACGCAAACCATGGTCGCGCGCCCGAGAATGGAACATGCCAGGACCCATGCGTGAGCGGTCCAGAGAATTGCGAGCTCTGAGCAATATCTGGAATGAGGCTGTTTCGCAGAAGCCGGCCCACGTCCAGCCTCATGTTTCCGGCGGTGGTAGACTCCCGGGATGCTAGTAGGAATTGAAACCCCATGGGACAAAGGAAATCTCGGACGACTTACCCTCGTGAACGGCCGCTCATCGTCCGTCATGCGGAGGAGCCGTGAAGATGTCTGATGCATCTTCTTGTCGTGGGGTTTTGCTGCCTTGAAGGAAACGCTGGGCTGCCGGCTCTTGTCCAGCTTGCTGCCTGCCACCTCGCTGTCGGAGATAGTGTTGGGTGTAGAGGCTGCGGAGACTGCAGGCTCGTGGGAGTCGTTTGCGGAGGGCGAGGCGCTGTCAGCGGCGTCGCGGCTCTCCGACCTGAGGCTAGCGTTTACGGAGGGTTCGCGGAGGAGGGGTTCGTCGGATTGGCGGTCAATTCTGCCACGGGAGGACGAGGACGAAGCACGCGGGGCGCCGGTGGTGAGGAAGGGCGAGTCGGGGAGCGGAGCGGAGACGCTGTTGCCTCGTAGATGGCCCGGAGCCTCGCGACTTCCCTTCCGCAGCAGAGGAAAGCGGGACGTCAGGGTGGAGCGGCGCGAGAACGACGTGGTGGGCTTTTGGGCGGGTGCGGCTGCGGCTGCCTTTGTCGAGCCGGCCTGGGCAGCAGCGGCTCCGTCAGACGAGGTGAGCGCTCCTGAAGCGGCGCGCTGGTGAGGCTGCTGCGGTGGCGGGCGCTGGGCCTGCTGTTTCGGTGCGTCAGTGAGGAGCTGGTAGGCGGCGGACGGGTACGAGGCAGAGGCAGAAACAGTCAAGGGGAGGAACGGGGTGGAATAGGGCATCTGGCCGGCGCAGGCAGGAGGGTCGGAGAAGAAGTCGCAGACGAACGAGGGAGCGAGCGAGTGGGTACGGGCTAACAAGGGTGCGCATCGACGGTCAGAGAGGAGGTCTGTGTGGTGGGCGAGCATGCCCAGCAGCGGCCACACAGCGACACAGCGCACGCCTAAGACCTGACGACGCCGGCGCAGGGCTAAAGCAGCTGGGCGATGACAAAGGGCAATAACGATCCGGCCTTTTGCAGGGAGTGTCGCATGGCGGCATGGCTTGCAAGGGAATAAGACGCTTGGCCTCGCGAGCCCACGCGACGCATCCCTGCTCGAGCTTGTGCCGCCCACGCGCGCTCCCGAGGCAGAAGCCCGCCGACAAAGGGGGCCGCCGACGACGGCTTCGAGAATTTTTGCCATCCGCACACAAAGCATGCTGCGGACGGCGGTGCGCGTCTCGCCATGGTCGTCGGGCTGCCTCCGACAGACCCCGGCAACTGGCACTGCTGGCTCATGGCGCCCGTCGACGACCGCGCACCACCTCAACGCCGTCCTGTGCTCTTACTCAGACAGCCGGCCCGCGCGCTGGAGTCTCGCTGTCCCGTAGACGCCGCCGCCGCGGGCACACCGACGCAAGGCAAAGCGACCTGAAAGAGGGGGAAGAGGGGATGCGCGCTCCTTTGTCTGCAGCTGCACGCAATAGAGCTGCAGCCGGCGAGCGATGTGCTCCTGCGGCGCATCTTGTGCGCTGCCTGTATGCAGTCTCATTGCGAGACGTCTGCGCTTGCATGACCCCGACAGGTGTCCTCTATGCAGCCGCGTCCACGACGAGCAGCAGCGCGTGCGACGGGCGCTCTGGGAGGAGCAAGGCGTGGTTACCTGCTCCTTGGACAACAACGTCAACCGGGTTTCGAAAGCTGCACCGCCGTTGACTGAAATCTCCGTTTTGGTGCCACGCCTGGGGCGACAACATGCCACAAGGCCAGCTGGATGCTGCGCTGTGCGACGGTTGGGAAGCGCTTGCTTTTGCGGGCACTGGCCGGCGGCGGCCAACCAGCTCACCATCCGCTGTGGAACACCAAAGCCAGCTGTTCCGAGAGGCGCGGAGAGATTATTGCTGATGATTCCACAGCAACGTGCAATCCACGTTGCACCCTGGCCCTCCGCGCGCCCGCGCATCCGTCAGGGCGAGGCAGAGTTCAGCCAGGAAAAAGCACTCTGGCTCCAATTTGCTCATTCTCTGGGCCCCTTTTCGCACCCTCAGCAGCAAGCGTCGTCAGAAACCTTCAGCTCTGGCTATTATCATTGTTGAGGAACTCAGCAGCGAACGCGAGCGATCTGCAGAGGGAAGGGCAGGCGTGCAGATCAACTGCTGAGAACGACGGCGATGGCGTTGATTGCTGAAGTTTCTTCGGTGGAGTCAAGATTGATGTGCCGTGTTGCACCACGTGTCCCAGCAGCCCCACCGGCCACACGTTGGCGGTTCTCTGCGAGACATCCTCTCGTCCAAGCAAGGCCTTGCTTGTGGCCCGCCATGCCACCCATGCTGATGGACCCTTCGCACGCTGACTTTCCCACCATGTCCGTTTTCGGCCTGGCGCAAGAACACCGCTCATCGCTCGTCACTGACTCTCAGCACAAGCAGGGGTGGTTGGGCGAATGGGCGTGGACGGAGCGTTTCAAAGCGAACCACCATCGCGCCACTCGCGGTGCACACTGGACAGGTTTCGTCTGGACTGCGCGGCGAAGAAATAGCCGCACGTGTCGCTGGAATCTATTCCTGCTCTCCAAGATGCTGCGTGGTTGAGATGCATCTTGTTTGCTGAAATCTCCGACTGCCGCACGTGCAAGTCCTGAGCCGCTGAACAAAAGCAACTCCCCACGTTTCAGATCCGGAGCACACGTCAAAGCGACATTCCCGAGACTTGCCGAAGACGCCGCCCAGCCGTGTCTTTGCCGTTCTGGGATCTCGCTCAGCGAAGAGGAGGGAAATTCCTCATCTCGTCCCGCATTGCGCACATCTTCGCTAGCGGAAACTAGCCATGCCTCACCATTTTCCGCTCCGAACGAATGAATGATGAGATTGTCAAAAACGATTTTTTTGTAAAAGCGAGATACCCGCCAGAACACGACTGCGCGATTGCCCGCCAAGCCTAAAAGGTACTCGTACCGATGATATTCCCTAGCCCAGCGTTGCAAGGACTACCATCGACGTTTTCACGTCTCTGATTCTTTTGGGCGTCTCCAGCACCACCTGCGATCTCAGCCATTGTTTCAGCAGTACTTCTCGTCTCTAGTTGCCGCGAAGAAATGCCGCTTGTGCAATGCAAACATCAGCCCATACTGCTGTTTCCTCCCAGGACCCTGCCTACAGGCAAGGAGGCATCAGGTTATCGTGCGGCCTATCGCGGCCGCAAATAGCGGAGATCTTCCGCCGAGGCGGCATAATTTAGTCACCTCGTGTGCCGAGTCATGGGCGCAAATTCGTCCAGAAAATCGCGTGGGACCAGGATTTCCGACACGTGGCAGCCGAGTCTCTTCGCTTGCTCGTTGCTAGCGGGCCGCTGGCGTGAACGATGGCCAAGTTAAACTTCCTCCCTTTGAACTACTGTGGTAGAACGCACGTCGTCCAGAGATACGGGGGCTGACCCCTCTAAGTCGAAGCCACGGCGCTGACTGCGAGAACTTCGTCTGCCCTCTTCCAGTTCCAGCGCTACTGCACGCGATGCGTTTTCGATAGCACAGCGCACGTTTATCCGCAAGGATGGATTGCTCGATATGACCCCCCCTCTGCATGGCTTTTATGAAAGTCATTCTCACCAGCAGCGCCTTTTCATTTGTAGCATGTTTCAGCAGGGCTGTCCTCGCCATGTGCGTTCGGCCGACCCAGGCTTTCTATATTCCTTCAAATTATCGTGTGGCCTTCTGCTCCACTCTTATTGCCTCCTCTTCATGTTCTTTTTGGATGAGGAGCAGGTGAGAGCGGAGCCCGAGTAGCGCACGTCGCTCGAGTCAGAAATGTCGGTGAGAGAAGAGTTTCTGGCGAATCGACGAAGACGTTGGGATACGATTCGTAGGACCCTTGACGGTTCATGAGTCGTTCAGAGCTAGCTGAAGGATCACGAGCGACGCCTTATTGCGGAGACGAGTCGTGGAGATCGCCATGGCATTTTCGCAACAATTTGGGCCCGAAGCCGTTGGGAAGGGACCACGGGCCGGCTCTCGACTGTTCCGGTTAATGCTCGAGGTTATCATCCAGTCCCCGGTCAAAAACCCGGCGCATCGTACGAGTACAGCATGGCTGACCGATCATGAAGTATCGAGTGACAGAGACATGCAGCGCTGCAGCTACATGTTACCAGGCCTAGATGACCCGTCCGAGAACCCACAACACCGGTATCGTGGATCTTTTCATATAGGAAAGCCCGCATGCACTTCTGTTCCGGGCAGATCGTGAACCAGGACCAGCAAAGACGGTTTGCTGTTCTCCCCGCCTCTTCTCAGGCGGGGACTGAGTGGGATGAGACCCGGAGAGTTCTGACCATCAGCACTACCTTGACCCTGCAACAGCCGGTCGCCGACGACAAATCTGTTGCCGAGTCGGATGTCCCGGAGCTCGATATGAAGCAGAGGAGCAGTGCAGGAGAGGTTGGACTTCGAACAAGCCTCGTTCCGTTGCTCTCCGGGATCAACCTTCGAGGCTGGTTCATATCGATGTGGGAATGCAATCGCATTGGCGACCAACTGCATGCTAGGCCCGTGACCGTAGCCTCCCAAGGCAATACAAGTTGAGAGTGTCAGTTGGGAGTGTTTTTCCAGCATACCAGCATACCAGCAGACCCACGGTACCTTCGAATTTTCCTCATCTAGACAAGGTGGACAACAGATAGCATAGACTGAAAGTTGGTAGATTGCCATCGAAAATATATTGCAACGTGCTCCCAGCGTTAGCGCGAGTTGCGGTTGTCGAGATGTGAGCGTAGTAAAAGAGGAATGGAGAGGGAAGGTTCGGGTCCGACCTCTCCCTAATTGATTCGCGACGCAGACAGAGAGTCGGTGGCCATCAGCAGTGAGCTATTAGAAGAGTGCTTTGAGTGTTGGTCTGGAGCACAGAGTTTGGTCTAAGTTAAAAAATGGGCTTTGGATTTCGGAAGGAGCGACTAGGACTAGCTCAACACATAACTTTACTTCATTCAGCCATTGCTTTATGAAGGTAATATTCGTAGCAGCCTACTCTCTGGGACGTCAAAGAAATCGTCTGACCCATCCTTGTCTCCGTCCCTCATCTATCCCAGCAAGCATATCTCCGATCTCCTTACAGTAGATGCACGCGTTTACCCACGTCCTTGGAACTCCAAAGATTCCTATAAGGAAAACACTCGTTGGGTAACCAACGACAGGGTACGCAACACAAGCAAGGGTAGCAGCGCAAGCATGCTCCAGTGTAAGCAAGCTTAAAGTCGGCGACTGCATATCGCTCACCGATACCCTCAGCTTAGTGCTCATGCGTCGATCCCTCCCCTTTCAGCCTCGCCGTGGAAGCAAGCAGCAACCGCCACAAAATCCTTCCTCAATCCTATAGGCTGTGACGTGGAATACAAATACGAGGCCAACCCCGGCTTAGCAGCCCAGTATGAGAAATGCACGTGGACTATCTTCACCGATCAGAAAGCGCCACATTCTCGGCATTCCCGCGTCATGCATGTGGTGCTGAAGTATGGCTGTGTAAGTAGTCATTTCCATGATCGATGCTAACGAGTTGACTAGGTTAGGTCCAGAAGAGTCGAAGACCCTAGAGTAAGGTTCCGCCGTAGAGTGCGAGGTATATGCAGTTCTTAGGATGGAGTTTAAGGTCTTGAGACCGTTATTACACATTACTCTACCATCTAAGACCGAACGCGTGCCCCTTGCTGTCATGACATTACCACGAAATTCGAGGAGATCCGCTTTCTAGCGTGCTTTCCTGCCAACACGTTAGCAAACAAAATAGGATGTACGCTTCGACATGAACTTACCACCAAAGCCAGCGGTGCTCGGTCGGTATTAGCACCCAATATTCCAACTCCATGTACCCAGTTGCACATTCTATCCCAACTAGCAAATCCGGGGGCCGTTCCACCAAATCACTCAATTCACAGATTCCGCCATCCATTACTCACCATCAAAGAAGAAAACAAGACGCATAAGACCCCTCCTCCCAGACAGTTGTGGAAGTTTGGCAGACCGCGTGTGTAGCAAAATAAAGCATCGAAAAGTATCGAAACAGTTGTTCTAGCAACGAAAGGGCGTGAGCGAGACAGCAGTTTGTCAGCCAAGACCGACATGTATCCATGATTTGACGGTCGAGAGATCTGTAACGTCAGAGATTCCACACCCATGCAAACCACCTCCAGTCCGTACAGCCAATCCACAATCATTGTCGAAAGTAGTAGTCCATTCCATACAGTAATAGTCATCATGATCGATGACCGCGAGGGCCAAATAGTATATCCGATTGGTTGTGCTCAGCTCTGAAAGTGAACCGCGAGCACGTGTCGTTCATTCTGAGAGCTTGAGCGGGGGTTGCCGGTATAGCAATCGGTCGCGGGGCAGGCTCGTGGGCTCGTAGCGTAGGCTGTTCGCCCGATGGCTGGTGTCATTAATCCGTGCGTTCGGTCAGAATAGACCGGAGTGTGAGCGGAAACGTGGGCATATTGGTTGGCCACAGTATTCGCCTGAACGTACGGGCCATATCCGAAACCAGGATGTGGGTGAAATCCATGAATAGGGCGTTGCTGCTCGTTTTCTTGACCTTGGGGATACCAAAGGCCAGGGTGAGCGTATGGAGTAAAGCCTGGAGATGGCTGCGGGTAGTAGCCGTATTGATAGAAATCGGGGTGAGGCGGTACGTGACTGTTATACTCGACAGTGGGCTCGACCGGGACTAGATCTTCTGATTCGGTGAGCATATCCATATACTCCCAAAGCTGTTTCATGGAATGGCGCCAGATCTTGACAGGGGGCCAACACCACGTCTTGCAGTTATCCAACCTCCCCCATTTGGGTGTCCGACAGACCTCCACATATGAAGGCACTCGCATGTCGGGAGAGTCAAGTTCCAAAAGCAAAACAGGCGCGCCGTGGTGACCGGCCTTGGGGTATCGGGAGATCTCCAAACAGTGGCTCCGGTTATGTGCTTTCCTGTTCGAGCTACCTTCTTGGAGGCTGTTGTCGAGGATGGCTTTGATGCGGAGGAACCGAAAGTGAGGATAGTGGTTTTGGAGGACGAGAGCGGGCGCGCCTAGAGTCTGTGAAGTTGAGGGATTTGGGAGCATTACGACGCTTCCTAGTTCGACGTGACTCAAGTCGCGCCTCAATGGCTTGTAGATGAACCGGTTCTGCTGCGCTTCCAGCTCCGCTACCTTCTTGTTCAGCTTGATGAATTCTTCTGGATCGATGCAAACGTCGCACGCCCAGTGGTCGAGGTGCTGCCACTCGATGTAGAAGCGTTGCTCGAGGTTAACCCAGGTCTGGTGTTGCATATGCCGCGAGCCCTTCGCAAGCTTTAGCACTAGGTCACCCTCATCCGCCATCGTATTGCCTAGTCGCAGGCACATGCCGAGGTCCCATATTGCTACGGGAGGGATGCGTGTCATGGCATAGAAGTGAACGTATTTTCCTCTATGGCTCATGCCCATGGATAGGATGGGATGCTTGAAGAATCCGTCTTGTCTCTTCTGCCCATGAATAACGGAGGAAGGAGGGACATGTCGGCCATCGGGCATGTAGTATACCTTGCCAGGAAGTGGAGGCTGGATTATTGGCCGGCGCGGTGACGGGACATCTCGGGGCGGAGACGCTAGAGTCTTCGGGAGGCTAACATACTCTTCCACCTCTGGGTTTAAGGGGAGATTTTTGAGCGGGAGAGGACGCGGGCGAGGGCGCGGATGTGAGATGTTCTGGCACAAAGGTGCAAGCGGCTGCCGATGCGATGTGGCCGACGTTTCCAAGCTCGAAGTAGGCCCAGTGTGCCTTAACGGCTCTTGGACATACGCAGGTCTTGCAGGGACCTCATCTGAAGATTCTGAGAATGACATGTCCGATAGGCGTGAAGGTATTTGGGCGTCTGAATGAGCTGCTTGTTCCGTGGACTCGACTGGCAAGTCGTTCGGCGGTGGCGTGCTCGACATTGTCTCTATGTTTAGATGATGGTGATGATCTCTCTTCGGCAATACTTACTTGTACAAGTCTTTGACAGTGTGGATATGTGGACTCTGAGTGCCCATCAGTGACCCTAGTGCGAACGTTTGGAGCTGTACTTGACATCATCTCTGCGCAGTAGACTCACTCTACCCTCCGGTGACGCAAATAGAGATGTCTTGCACATCTACAGCGACGATTCTAGACAGTTCGCGTATTGCTAATCGATGGAAGTTGGCAGAAACGGAAAACTGCGGCGAAAGAAAACGACCAGTGCCGAAACGATATGCGGAAGCGCGACGACGACGAAAAGGGCGTGTAGGTGTGGCGAGAGCTCGAGCGCGGCAGATATTCCGAATGGCGTCACGCGCCCTAGTTGCCGGTGCAACGCTGCGAGATATAACTCTTGGCATCATGTCTGGTGAAAGGTTATTGTGGCCTTGGTTTGCGGCACGGGCCGAGGGAAGAGGAGAATATCAAACTCTTTGGATGATTGCGACTATAAGGGGCTGCATTAGACGATAGGAGATCCAGTAGTAGTATAAGCATCGGCGCTCTATGAGGTGAAGACGGCTGCTGCTAGCCATGTTGGTCAGTCTCGTGACTCCGCAATTCACTCTCCGCGCGAACTCGCACAGAGTCGGCCACGGAGATCGAACGCAATATCAGCCTTCGACAAATGTGCCAAAGCCTAGAGAACTCTGGTTGAGCACGAGTCTCGTGGCTTACTTCGGTGTAACACATTTCCAGCATCCAATGTGAGCAGTCTCTTCATGCTGTACAGCGCGGGCATCGCGAGCACCACACCGGGGTCCGCTGCGATACCGCTCTTAACAGATTCCTTAGACTCCACGACCCGCGTCGATTAGCCCGTATGTGTCTCTAGAAATGCCCGTGTGCATTGCTTCCATCTGCCCAAAGGCCCGGCTGCAATCGTCTCCTCGAGCCAATTCCCACCCTCTTGTGTATCTGCCCGTTATTCTCGGCCTTCCCATCCCAGCGCAAGTTGCAATCATCCCCCCTGACTAAGAACCCCGATGTAATGAGGATGTGTCCTGAGTGGTGTTCGAGGTCAGAACGAGGTCGACGGTTGAGGTCAAATCGGGGCTTGGCGGTGCTTCGTCTCCAACTGCCCCACCCACGACCTCTCAACACCACTAATGCGAACAAAATTCTCATGAACCTGGAATGACAGGCAGGCCCTGCAGTTTCAAGAAAGTTGCACTGATTCGAGCGCAGAGTTGTGAACGGATGGGCCATCGACATCGGTAAGGGGCTTTATTCGACTCATTTTCGAAAGGTTAATCGAATTGCAATAGAGACTGTACGCAAAGTCCCCTCAATCCCCTCTTGGACATTGAGGTACCTGAATGTTTGTCGCATAGCGTCCGCGTCAACTGTAGGTGGTCGCCTTCCCCCATCCACTATAAGGTTTTGTCGTATTCGCAAATATCTTCGTGGCGTGTTTGATATGCTGGAAAAAGCTCGATCATAGCTCGACTTTCCCTGCACATATCACGCACTCTTCATAAGATGGCGCCGGATAGGTCCTTTTGCAATAAGGTATAGGTGCATCTCACGTTAGCATTCACTTCGGAGATCAAGAAAAGAAGAGTAGGAAGTCTAAAACAAGTCCATTACCATCGCGAAATACCGAGCATTCCAAGCAGCGAAGCGATACCAGAACCATATCAGACCATAAAACCAGCGAACGAGACAAACCGCATACCAAAGTCAGACCCAGAACCAAACGCCAACCCAAAGACCGCACAAAAGCCATCGCCATCATACCACCAATGATAAAGAGTCGCGTCGATGACTGGTAGCCCTCTGCCAGCAGGCCCCTAGTCTCAGACTGACGAAATCGTGATCGAGGTGCGCGTCGCCATGGAAGCCCTCTGCCAGCAGGCTCCAGACTCAGCCGCTCGATTATCAAGACAATAATGCTAGAGTGCTTCAGGCTCGAAAGCCAACGGTGCCTAGCCTTGTAGAAAGGTAAAGACGCCCAGTGCTTCAGGCTAGAAAGCCAGCGGTGCCTGGGGTTGTCTGAAAATCTTGAACCCGTGTGCTTCAGGCCGTAGCCAGCGGTGCCGGGTATTGTCAAAAGAGGTATGCTAGAGTGCTTCAGGCTTGAAAGCCAACGGTGCCTAGCCTTGTTGATGGTTGGAGACGCCCAGTGCTTCAGGCTAGAGAGCCAGCGGTGCCTGGGTCGTCGATAGAGAAGGAACCCGTGTGCTTCAGGCCGAAGCCAGCGGTGCCGGGTGTTGTCAAGAGCAAAGATACCAGAGTGCTTCAGGCTCGAAAGCCAACGGTGCCTGGTCTTGCCGGTCGGAGACTTGGCCCAGAGTGCTTCAGGCTGAACAGCCAACGGTGCCTGGGATTGTCGACGGAGAGGGCGGAGGGTAGAGGGTGCCAAGTGCTTCAGGCTGAAAAGCCAACGGTGCACTGGCGTCGACAGAAGCCGCTCAGTAGGACCAGCAGTTGAGAATCGCCTCGGTGGACGCCTGGTCGAAAGTGATTGGCTGACCATTGGTCGTCGACCAGGCGGCGAGGTGTTGGTACTCGATCTCGAACTCCTGGTCCCACTGGATGTTGACATAAGTCGGCTTCTTGAAGACCTCAGAGCCGGACGACACCGTCAAGAGGCGGGTGCCGTCATGTGTCGCGACCCAGTTACAGAGGTTCTGGGCGAGGAGAAACTTCTCCCGCGACTTCGGCGACTTGCTGGTGGCGAGGATCCCACCCCCTCCGGTCTTGTCCGTGAAAGAAGTTAGGACGCGGAACTTGACGGTCTCGCCCGCGCCCTTGCTGGTGACCACAACGGGGTGGTCGAAGATGGCCTGGTTGACCAGTTGGGCCACCCTCGCGTGAAGCCTGGAGTTCGTTGGGACCCGAAACTCCATCGGCAGGTGGAACACCTGCCCTGGCTTCACGTCGCAAAAGGCGGGAAGTCCTGGGCGGCTGGCCGGCAGTGGAGAAGAACGTCTCCAGGTATTGGCTTTCTGCCAGCCCGGCAACGAGGAGGTGGAGGACGCCGGCGAGGAGGACGGGGAGGAGGACGGGGAGGAGGACGGAGAGAAGGAGGGAGAGGAGGAGGGGGAGGAGGAGAGGGAGGAGGACGGAGAGTGCCCAGGGGACGGGAGTGGGGGCTGGGCTCTGGTGACTGCTGGAGGGGCAGCATCTCGGCTCCAGGCAGGAATGGGCTCCACCGGGGGGCTAGTCCGGCTGCCGCGGGGAGGGGGGGCAAGAACGAATGAGCCCATAGGGCCAGAAGAGAAGGGATGAGCCATCGTATGATGGTGGTCAAGAAGAGATGGGAGTAAAGAGAGGATAAGAAGTAGTAATGATTGTCGAGTAAAGAGGCCGTTAGGCAAGAAGAGAGCTGTCGATGAGAGATGGAAGCGGATGTGGGATGAAAAGTATAGAGAGGCGGGAGAGGGCCGCATTTATGCAGGAGCCGCCAGACTGTGGAAGGCGCTACTAAGATCATTTTTGAAGCGACTCCCAAGTGTTGAGCGGCGGTATCGGACGAAAAATGGCTCCAAAAAGTGGTCACAGTGTTCCATGGCATTCTCTCGGGCTGAAAGGCTTTGAGAAACGGTGGTCATGACCAGAATGTAGTGGGAAGGGACACCCAAGGGACGCTCATGATCCGAAAACGGCAATGCCTTATCCGCTGAAGGAGAATTGATTCTGGACGAGCAACGATCATGGTCAAGTTCTTCCCTTTCTACAGGACACCAGCTGATATTATTGGTTGCCCAGTCTGCTCGCTCATGAACTATTATCTTCATCTCTGGTGTGCTTCTGGCAATATGGATGAATTTTTGGCATCTAATTCTGGTTCTGGATAATAATTTTTGTGTTGGGCGAAACCTTCCTCAGAACTTGTCTCCTTTCGTTGCTGAGTAAGCACCCCTTCAGTACAAAATGCAACCGAGCCGCCCTTCGCATCTTCAGAACATCAGCGCAGCGCTAGGAAGAGTTCAAGCAGAGGAGGTGGCATCTCGTCGATTGATATGTTTTCATGAAGCGCATTCCATTGCATTTCCTCTACGGTATCTGAATCTCCTTCATTGCTTGATATGAACGCTAACATTGAGCAGGTGCGATTCTTCTCCGATCTTGATACCCTTCCAAACGACGATCCCGAGATCGCCACTCGAAACTCTCGTTCTCAGCAAGCGCCCCAACTCGCTATTGCCCGTGGATCGGCCTTCCGTACAAACTACCTCACTCGAACTGCGGCAGCTTGGGCTAGAGATCTAGAGTGAACCTGCCTGTATGCATGGGCCATTTTGAATAGCAACCCGCGGCAGCTTGGGCCAGAGTTTCGGAGAGAGCCGGCCTGCACATATGGACTATTTTGAATAGCGACCGATGGTAGCATGTATCCCAACAGGTCGGTTTTTTTTGCAAGTCAAGGTGCGGTTCGGTGCGCCATGAAGGAGATGGGGCTAGAAGAGCATGGAAGGCCCGGTAAAGATCACCATTATCCAAAAGGGTGCGTCGAGCCGAGCGACGGTGGGCACGGCCACTCCGATAGTCAGCGGCTTTGAGTTTGAGGTACAGTTGGAATTTGGGAGAGCCAGAGCTGGAAAAAGAATTTTTGAGGCTTGGCGGCAGCAAGATCAAAGTCTGGGGGTTTGGGCAGCTTTCTGGGAGAGAAGACCTTTATGGCGTGAATATCGGGGATTAGAGTGCGACGAAGGGCGCCTGATGAGTTGCTGGTGCTCAAGGTCTACTAGAGAGTATTCGATGCGTCTCTTGAGAGGAGAGAGCGCAATTGAGGGCAAGGGCAGCTCAGAAAAGTCCGGCATCCTTGAAAACGAACCGGGCTGCCAGCAAACGCATTACGAACGAGAATCCTAGAAGCCACACTCATTGTTAATCAGGGTTTTTTTTGCGGCGAGAACTATTTCGGAGATACATGGGCGGCGTATTGAGGCTGAGAGGTCGGGAGTCGAGACGGGCGGGCTGGCTGTTAATCCCTTCATGCCCTCTTCTCCGATGCACGCTGTATCGAAGGAGCCCTAGTACGGTGGCATACATCCCCGGTTCTGAGGCATGATATCAAGAGAAGAGCAACTATCGAGAGCCAATATAGTGTGTGTGGTCTAATACTGCAAGTATGATTCAGGACGCCAGCTCAGCTCAGCTCAGCGTTGGGGAAGCAGCAGCACGGAAGCAGCAGCACGGAAGCAGCAGCACAGAAGCTGCCTTCCCGCCGTGTTCTTGGTGCGAAATCAGATACGGTACCCGCGCACGCATACACAACAGCCCTCCAGCTTTCTTGCTTTCTTGCGAGTTCAATCCCGACGAAGCGAGTAAAAGGGGTGTGCTCATCGCGGAAATCGCACACTTACGCATTTGGATTCTGGCTGACCCGTCCTACAGGGAAGCACGCGAGCAGCATCTGTAGGAAATGGGATATAGCGAAAAGATGCTAGATTATAAAATCCGGCGCAGAGTCTCCTAGAAGGGACGTATTGTCAGGCATTCTTTCGCCTTTACCGAGCGAGGTAAGTCCGACTGATAATTGAAGACAGGCGGAAGGGCAAATGTATGCATGCAGCCTAGACTTGGATTAGCCGCATGCGAGTCCTTCGAACGACTCTAAGAGGATTCTCCGTTGGAAGAAGAGCACGAGAGGAAGAACAAAGGGCACTCAGAAGAAGGCCCTCAACTAGCTTTCGGCCATACTGATCTGTACTGGTAATGTGATTCCTAGGTGTACTGCACCCACCCGATCAAAGATCGCCCCGGCCATCCTCCTGTAGCGTCACATACTTGGTGTCACATACTGATTCATCTTCGGCCCCCTTTCATACCTGTCTACGGCAGCGAGACTGTCCCGATGAGCTAGTCCGAGTGAGAAAACTAGACCAATGCAGGGACTTATCGGCGGCCCACCGATTCTAGACTCTCAGTGATTCCGAATTCCATAATGGGGGAGAGGAAATAAGGTAGGTAAGGGGCGCACCTCAGTTTTCTGAGCGGAGACCAAATGGCGGCTCCAAACAGCTACGGATGATTAATCTTAGTTTGGATTGTTCAATGCGCACATAGCACGTAGGAGTAGACCGAGAGACCTCACGAGAATAAGGCACGGCACAGAAAAGAAATGTTAACACAAAATATACGCTTGAGCTTGATTAGGGTCTATATACGGCGTGCCTTAGGCTTAGGCGAAGGCACCATCTGAAGCGGTCGCTTGCACTCCGTGAATCCCCTAGGTGCAGGATACTTCCAATCCAACCAGAAATTCCACAGTATGACCGAGGTTGTACTAGATGCCCAGTACAACAACAGCGCGGCAGGCAAACCCTGGCACAGGGGACCGATCAAGAGCGAAACGCCCAGCAACGTCCTCCGGATAGACTTCGAGACCGTGGACATCTGGTCCGGATGGGCCGACCCCGTATTCTTCGTGAAGTACACATTGCTGAACATGAGGCCGGACACGACGAATGGCAGCACCCCCGTAGGGTCGGCGGCCAGAAGATCCGGAAACCATAGCATGCCCTCATTCGCAAGACTCGGCTCAAACCAAGGATTCGTCGGTCCCACTGCCTCCATCGCAGCTGCTGCCTCCGGCACATCTTTTAGTCCCACCGCACTCAATCCCATGCCCAATAGCCCATCCCTCGCATTACACATCTGTCTTATAATCTCCGCCATAGTTAAGAAAATGGGTATCTGCGCGAACGTCCAATGCACCTGTCCCCGAAGCGTGCAATTCCATCTCTTATCCAGCTCGCCCGTCGCGGCCTTGACTTCTTTCGAAATACGGCGCTTCGCTTCGATGGGGTTCTTGAACTGGCTTTTATTCTGCATCAACTGGTCGCGCTTTTGGTGTCCAATAGCTTGGCGGAGGGGGTGCAGGCCGATGTAGCGTGCGGTCAAGGCGCGTGCCCAGGAGCCGGCGGTTGTGACGAGGAGACCGCGCGTTATGAAGGCCATCAGCGGGATGGTGGCGTACCAGGGGAGCTGAGAGTGGAGGAGAGACGTCATTTCGTGCGGGAGGTAGAGGAGCGCGCCGAGGACGGCATCGTTGCGGGGGGCGGTGGCGTGGAAGGCGCGGGCGCGGGGGTAGATGAAGCTTGTCGATGGTGTAATGGTGTTTCTAGACAGCAATTGGCGGGCTGGCTGCCGCAGCAGCCGTGCGGAAAGCATGCTGTGATGGCATTTTGGGGTGGCGTGCAGCTGCTCCCAATATCACGCAGCGGTCTTCCGCCGGGAGCTTGGACCACCGGTTCCACGCCGTCGGGCCGCGCAAGGCACCATCCCGCCTCCAGCTGTCCCTTCCACAACCCTTACGTCTACTCTCTGCTTCTCCTTATGTGATACCCCCGGCTGCGGCGTTGCTCATCATGAGTTTCTTTACTCTCTTCCTCACCTTGTTCCTTTCGCTTGTCGTTTCATTTGTCTTCCTTCCCAAGACCCTGCCGTTCGCGGGTGAGCTACTAGGGTACTATCTGCGCCGATCGTCGCGTACCAGGCGGGAACTGCTGCTGGCCAGAGTTGCGGCCGAGCAGCAGGCATTTGAGGCCGAGCGGAAGAAAGAGAAGGAGAAGGAGGATGAGGATTGGGAAGAGGTTGAGGCCTCTATGGTGGGGAGTGCGGTGAATGGAGGGAAGGCGGACAAGGATTGGAGTGGCATTGTGGCATTCTTCCACCCGTTCTGGTAGGAATTGCACCTCCCATGAGGGATGATCCGGTTCGCTGACGTGTGATCATAATAGCAATGCAGGAGGCGGCGGCGAACGGGTCCTCTGGGCCGCCATTCGCGCAACCCAAAAGCGCTGGCCAGAAGCCGTATGCGTAGTGTACACAGGCGACCACGACGTCGATAAGTCCGCAATTCTTAAGCGCGTAAAAGACCGCTTCAACATCCACCTCCACCCACCGACCGTCCACTTCCTCTACCTCACGACGCGCCAGTACGTGCTCAGCAGCACATGGCCGCGCTTCACATTGCTAGGCCAGTCTCTAGGCTCCATATACCTCGCATACGACGCCTTCACGCTCCTCGTCCCTGACATCTTCATCGACACCATGGGCTACGCCTTTGCCGTCGCCCTCTGCTCGCTTCTTTTCCCTTCCGTCCCGACCGCAGCGTATGTCCACTACCCTACCATCTCGACCGACATGCTCGACTCCCTCGCAGCCGGCGGCCAGGGTATAAACGCCGGCGCAGGGGAAGGCACGCGGGGCGCCGTGAAAAAGCAATATTGGCACCTTTTCGCCTGGCTCTACAGCAAAGTAGGCAGCACAATCGACGTCGTAATGACGAACTCCTCTTGGACACAAGCACACATCAAGTCCCTTTGGGGCCCCTACCGCAACCGGCGCAACAAGACCACAGACCACGACATCGACGTCGTCTTCCCACCCGTCGCAGTCGAAGAGCTAGAAGAAGCAATCGAGCTCTCCGAAGCCAGCGAAAAGAACCGTGGTCCCTACCTGCTCTACATAGCGCAGTTTCGACCGGAGAAGAATCATCAACTCATCCTTCGTGCCTTCGCTTCCTACCTTTCCACCAATCCCAACCACCCGGCCTTCCCATCCCAAAAACCAAAACTCGTTCTCATAGGCTCAGTGCGAGACTCTGACGACGCAACGCGCGTGTACAACCTACGTCTCCTCGCGCACGAACTCAACATCAAAGAAAGCGTAGAATTCGTCTGCGACGCCTCATGGCCTCAGATGCTGGACTGGATGCGCAAAGCGAGCGTGGGCGTGAACGGCATGTGGAACGAGCATTTCGGGATCGGCGTTGTCGAGTATCAGGCTGCGGGCTTGATTAGCGTGGTCAACGACTCTGGGGGGCCGAAGCTGGACATTGTGGTAGAGGTGGATGGGGAACCAACTGGTAAGCTCATGGACGCTATACTTCGATGATTCTGTGGATAGAGATGTTTAACATGGTTTAGGGTTTCATGCCTCGACGGAAGAGGAGTATGTAAAAGGCTTCAGCAAGGCGCTTTCACTATCACCGGAGGAGACGCTAGCGATGCGGCATAGGGCGCGAAAATCAGCATTACGGTTCACCGATCGAGGGTTTGCAGAGAAGTGGATACAGAACATGGATCAGTTAGTGAGGCTGCAGGTTTCGAGGTCTGCCAGGTGATTGCTTTTGCATCGGGCGTTTCTAGGGCGCTGTTTGAGGTATGGGAAAGCGTGCATTGGGCGGAGTTGGAGAACGTAGTGGTTAGCGTTAAATGCATCCTATATGAGTTCACGTTCGCTTAAAACTTGAATGGAGCATTTTTTCTGCAATGTCGTGATCCACGAGGCATTCCTTTGTGGTGACGATCAATTTCATAGTATGCAGCGTGTCGTTTTCACGGGTGAGACCTTATACAGAAGGATCTATGTTTAGGAGAAAGAGTTAGGTGCATTGTCTAGATGTCGACCTACTTGCTTGATCACGGGTACCCTTTGCCCTATGTACAACCCAACTCAAGGAGAAAGATTATATCCCAGAAACCGGCAACTATCGACAGCATGGTCTCCAAATGGAATACCTTCCCTCAGCCCGGAAGCCCCATTTTGTACATCCATCTCTACTTTCTCGCTAAACATCCCCACTTCAGACTCGTCTCTCCTCCACAGTTTGCTCCCCGACAGAGCAGGGAACAGCTCGTCTACAAAAGACCAGCCATGACACCCAGACCAGCCAGCATCGCCGCAGCGCTGATCTCATAGTGGGCAGCGGCACCGGTGGACTCGGGCGCGCCAGAGCCCGTGGCAGTGGGGACGGAGCCGCCGGTAGCAGTAGCGATGGTTGTGGCGAGCGTGGTACCATTGCTTCCGGCGGAGGGCGAGATAGTGCCGGCGGAGCCAGTCGCGGTCGCAGTTGCGGAGGCAGGAACCTTGGTTGCTGTGCATAATAGTCAGAACATTATCCTCGTAATAACAGTTCAACCGCCCTCCACGCTCCTAACAACCCATCTCTCGATTCGAAAAGAGAGTGGAACGGGGTCGTGGAGCAGAAGGACCGGTTGTAAGGAACGATTTCACAGGGCAAACTCACAAACTTCCACACCGGCCTCACCGCAGATATCCGCAAACGCGCTCAGCGCATCGCTGGTGCTATCACCACAGTACTTTTGAATCTTGGTGGCTGCGTCCCTGGCCTTGCACACGCTGGCGATGTCGGCGGGGTCTTCGTACGTGTTGACGGCGCCGAGGAGGCAGGCCGGCGGAGCCGCGAGAACCATCTGCGCGATGGCGGCGAAGGCGATGACGAAGAGGGTCTTGGAGAACATGTTGTCTGCTGGCTTTTGTTGGATCAAAGTCGAATGGATAAATGGATAAATGGATTGGGCTGTTTAGAAACGCGGTGTTTCGAATGGAGGAAAGTGTTTGCTTCGTCAGGTTTGCGTGGGAGGACAGGGAGGGAGCGTGGGAATTAGTATAAAGCAGTCGTAGCTAGTGGTGCCTAAAGAGCGACAATAGAATAGCAAATGAATGAATGAGTGACGGTAGAAAGAAGACAGCTATTGTCGAGGTGCTGGAGGTGGAGTGAAAGAGAGGTGAGGCCTGCTCAGCGAGAAGCGAGTTAGGGGGCGTGGCCCATGCCGTCGGACCTACTATTTCGGGCGCGCCCCATAAAACACGCTAGCGGAACTAGTCAGGAACGGATTTCGTTTGAAACGGACACGTGATTGACGCCTGGAGCGAATCAGATTCCAGGTCTGTGGAACCAAGTCCGACATGTGAAGCAAAGGGAGAGAATAAGGGCTTTGTTGGTAGGGGATAATAGTATTAGGTATCCACAAGTAGCTTTCCTTGCACCCAGAACTTTTCTCTCGATGCAAAGACAGATTGCGTCTGCTCAAGGACCCTCGTAGATCCCAGCGAGCTTTTGCATCCACGTTATCCAGACCAACCAACGTGGGGGATATGGTACAATGAATTGGAGCAATGATATGCTCCCAAGTCCAAGTAACGAGTGAAAAGAAAATGAAAACCCTTCCCCAGCCATTCATCTGATCTCATCCCAGTATGCGCATGCTGTGTGGGGTGTGGGAATATCCAAAACGCAGAACAAGAAGGATCAAAAACCATTTTGACCCAAGCCAGCCACCGAAACCGTAGATGCAGATGATTGATTTGGCCAGAAATCAACCTTAGTTCCAACCCATCATACTCCGAGGGCTCCGTCGCTGGTTATATACTACATGAAAGACTAAGGGAAAGCCAAGGAGCAAGATGGAAGGCGTGACTACTATGATGATGTGTTCGTCGTGCGGTGTTTTGCGGGGATTCATGAAGGTGGCGTTACAGGGTGTTTTGGGTGAACGGTCCCGTTGGGCCCGAGCATGGAAGGGATGGGCTTGCGGCGGGCTTTCGCCATCGGAATGCGAGGGACGCCTTGAATGACGCGTGGCTCTTTCATCAACGTTGGATCCAGTTTGGCCGGAACTGCACATTGCTTAGTACGAACAGGGCATTGCAAAAGTGCTCAGGGAAACCTACTTCGACTGATGATCGCACGATAGTCTCCCGGGAATCGCGAGTTTGGTGGAGTCGCTGACGCAGTGCGCCAGAGGTGGTCCGTTGTGTCCGACAGGAAATCGACTCTCGATTTGTGGAAGAACGACGATTTTCCGCGGTTTCGTTTCGCTAGGATAACTTCGTCAAACAACTTAATTGCTGGATCATCGGGCCGAGTGGTCTCTCGCTCATGAATGAACTCATTGAATGCTAGCCAAGTGTAAGCACCGTAAAACCAAACAGTGAGGGCGGAACAGACCTTGAGTTTGCTGCAACACAGACATGTACTGTGCATTCTCATGCGGCATGCTCTTCATGAAATCATCCATCTTGAACTGGTAGATCATTCCAGCCCTCTTTTGGTCACCGGTTGGAGGAACCATGTATCGCCGGTATGTATACAGCAGGCTGGCGAAGCATCTTACGAAGGAGGCACGGACTTGATCCGGTCGGAAGGCAGTGGGGCAAACGATGCAGATGGTGCCGACACATCTACCGTGGGCGTACGTACTGCAGCCTGTACCTTGTTAGACGGGGAATCCCGGTAGTAAGAGGACAAACTTACCGGTACAGCGGTATAGTCCTTCATCTGCCCTTTCTTCGCAGACCGAGCAAGTTGCCTTCTCCTCGTACGGCTTCCATTGCATGCAGTGACCTTCTTGCCAGCGTACCGTCTCGGTATTCCGAACCGGCTGCATCGCCATACCAGGCATAATCGTCGACGCAGCTAGCGTGGATTGGGCGTATACCGATGGCGCGTACGATGAGGGGGCGCGGAGTTCATGACTCAGGGATGACGTTGAGGCACTGGGGGCATGGCCCAAGAAAGGCTGGCTGGGTCTTCTCATCATCGGCGGTACGCGATCGAAACCAAACTGAGGAACCTTGTCAATAGTCGCTCGATATAAACAGAATTCGTTGGGTTTGGCACTTACCGATGAGCTTCGCCGAGACGAAGTCTCGAAATGCGCGGACCGCTTCTCGCGCAGGTTAGCTTGCAAGGCATAGCCGGAGTCGCTGCGTGATATCGGTGTACTGGGTAGGGGTGGGAAAGCTGCTGAGACTGGAGATATCCGTGGAGACGGAGGAGAGTTCGAGTTGGTCTTCATTGTGGACGCCGTCGACGGTCTGTCGTTCCCGCGGCTCTGAGCACTCGATTGTAAGAATGCATTGAAGATCAGAGGACGCGAGGTATGTGGCCCCCCAACAGTTCCAAATGATGTCGAATTGAGCCCAACATAAGTTTGTATAGTCGAAGGGTGTGCCCGATGCGTAAATACCCCAGGATTTTCAGAGACAAATGAGTCAAAAGGGAATGATTCCATGGCATATGCCGGAGGACCTGTAGGCACTCCATGTCGAATATGATGTGGCGCGGAGTGCTGTAGTAAGGATGTGAGTTTTCGTCGCTGTTGGCGAGGGAGCAGAGGAGGCGCGCCACCATTGCTGCCGATAGCGTCGTTATCCAAATCGACCAGGACGTATTCATCCTCGGGGTATTCAGTCGGCTCATACTGGCGCTCTATACCAACGATGTACGGGCATGGCGCTTCGATGGTCTGGATCAAACGCGCAGGCAGGACGGGAATGAACACACCGGCCCACTTGAAGGGGTACAGGAGGTTGACTATAGCCATACTTGCCAAATGAAGCATGGCCGTATGCGAAGAAAGGAGGATGATCTTTGACTCCGCCAGGACGTACTCGAAAAGCGTGACGATATTCGGGATCGAGAGGCACCGGAACAAGGGATATATGTCGATGTTACGCGAGCCGGGCAGCTCGTTTACTGCATCTTTCCGTGCGTACAGCCGTAGCTCACGCACTGCAATCTCTACTTGCGTAATGGACGTGATGGGACTCAGTGCCTCTGCGCAGAGGTTGACGACGTATCGCTCGAGGGGCTGCCACATACCGATTCGCGGGGAGCTGGGAGGTACGCGCAGTACTGCACTGTTGGTCATGGGGACAACGACGGCCTTGAGCCATTCCTTCCAGAACGGTGTCAAATTTGCGTCTCTGCCCATCACCCCGTACGCGCGAGGGATCCAAAGGCCGGTCTCTCCATCCGTAAGTCCTTCAATCTTGGAGGCCGCGCCGTGCCTGACGGGGCGTAACAAATCGGTCATCAAGCTTATCTTCTCTTCGACGGCGCTGATCTCCTCCTCTAGATTCTCGCGGTCTTCGGACTCGGACGCAACTGTTGGTAGCTTCGCTAAGAGTCGCGATAGCTTTGCTCTCTCCAGCGCGAGGCGCTCGCCAAGGCTGCTAGCCAGTTCTCGCTCTTCGGGGTTCATATGGAGCCTCCGCCATTCTTCGCACTGCCGTTCGAGACCCTCAGCCGCAGTCGGATTCAAAGGTAGCCAGACAATCATGCAGATCCCGTATAGTTTTGAATTGTCGGCGTTAGTCATAGCAAAGCCATGCCATAAGGTGCTCGGTCGGTCGTCGGCTGAAACGACCCTAACATCGTTGGGAAAAGCAAACATGGGAACATAATCGGGAAAGGGGTTCCGCCGCTTCAGCTCTTCGACCATGTTCTTTGGGGGGTAGCGATCCAGGAGCACCGGTTCGTAACGGCGGAGTAAAGGATGCATATTCGGTTCGGGATTGAAGGGCTGCGGGGCGGGAATAACTGAGTTGTAGCCCGACATTCTTTTTGAAGTACGAACAGAAGCTGGACCCATGTTAGTGATATTCGATCGAAAAAGGAAATATACGATGTGAAACGTGGAGAGAGTCTATCGAAATTAACGCGGCCCGCAGATCGCTCACGCTTACCTTGACGTGCCATCGAGGACTGCCTCTTGAGACTGCTCTGCATGGTCGACAAACGCCGCCGGATGCTGCCCACGCCAGACCTAAGATTCCCGCCTCCATCTTCATGCTGCGTGACTCGCTGGGGTCGTGCCCGCGGCTTAGTGGGGGTAGGGCGGTTCTGCTGCGCGATGCCGGCCGAAAACTGTATCTCTTCCAAAAACGTGTCCCTCTCGGAGGCGAACTTCCGGAGAGCGTTTTCGAAGTCTACCTCGCTGAGTCCAGAGGCGCCGACCTGGATGCCTTTTATGGTTGCGCTGCTTCGGTTGCTGGCAGATTGCTTGGAATCCGAACCAATGATGGTTCCGACTGACTGGCGGTGCTCGAAGCTCAATCGGGCGGACCTCCGCTTGGTGCCTTCGCCATTGGACAGGCCTTCTTGAGACTTTGGACGAATGGAATCCGTCTCTAGGGCTCGATCCTCTTCAATGGTCTCGTCGACGTCCACGGGCGGCGGCGATGCGAGCGGGGAAGATAGGCCGTTCAGGCCGCTTGGTTGGGAGCGCTCGTCGTAGACCTGCGAGGACTCAATTCCAGATATGAAGAAATAGTCGGCGAGAGGAACGGAGGATGCGTCTGCGCTGGAGACTGGGGCCATGTTAAATGCAGGGACATAGGATATCCAAAAAGCCGCCGCGTAAGGAGCGTCAGGTGCGAGGCACGTCGTGTGAGGCGTCGAGGTCGGGCGACGCGATCAAGTCATTGGGATTGGACGCCAGGTCCAACGGTGTTTGTGTGCGGTGTGCACGGCGATATGCACGGGTAGCTTGAGACTGTGCGACGGTGACCAAAATATGCGAGCTTTATCGGCGTTGCACGGGCACCGCCTGCGCGTAAACGAATGAGTGTAGCCGCTGTCGCTGGGTGACAGAGGGGAGACGGGGAGGAGGTCGAGGACGCGCAGCAATTGGGAGGGTGGTGGGAGGAGAGTGAGGGAACCGTGGGTGGTGGTGGAGAAGCCCAGGGCCACAAAATTGGGACCGCTCCTCGCAGCCGGGACACGTCGATAGCGCGCTGGGAAAACCGCCCTTATCGCGTCTGGATGGCTACGGCAGTTTAGCGTGCTAGCGCTCTCTGCAGGTGGACGCACCCTCCACGGCTCGCCGTTCTCGAATGCTCAATGGCTCTCGCAGCACAGCGCCGTGTGGAGGTGGCTCGCTCTGCTGCCAACGGCTGCAAGGCACGGCGATTAATAGTTCGCCCGCGATTCAGGGCGCCGTGCTATCTGCGATTCACTGCGGAACGCTCACCACCGAACTGCTCTCGTCCAGCATGGCTTGCTGGCCCACGCACACGCACATGAATCCGCCACGACCCTTTTCGGCGCGCGGCTGCCAAAAGCCAGACCCCGGACCCCTGGCCGCTTCCCAAAAGAGAAGGCACCCCTGCCGCGCCTGCCTCGGGTGGTCAGGGGCCCTGCTCCAGCCCGCCTCACCTCCAACACCGCGCGCTGCTCGCTGCTGCTGCTCAGGCCAGCTTGCACCCCATAGTGGTGTGCATGCAATATAAATAGATGGCCTCTGAGGCGCCTGTCTACGGCCGGGGTAAATGCCCTGGGAGTCGGACGCAGGGCAGAAATAGGGGCCATTGTACCACCACGACCACCTCAACAAGAGCATTGCGCACAAGCTGTCATCTGTCACCGTTGTCGCGATAATGCTGCTGGCCGAATTCGCAACATCACTGCCTTGCACGCGCCTTGCCCCTGCACTACCGGTGCGGGCTATGCCGTGCGTCGGCGTCTTTATGCTGTCGACACTAACTTCTGTGTTTGGATGTTGGAGACGGCACGATAGTCCAGAGCTACTGCAACACCGAGCGGCGCGAGCTCCCACTTCAACCAAGATCAGCCCCATCAAGACCAGGAGGCTTGCAGGGTCCACCAATCTCTACAGGAACGTGTCTACCGTGTAAGGAGCACATCAGCGGCAAACCGTCGGCATTCAGACCCTAGCTGTGCGACAGACAAGACGTAGACAGCAGAGCGCTGGCCGAGCGGCAAGTCCCGAAGATCCTCCACGACCCGTCGACAACACCAACCATTCCCGTGTTTCACTTGAATTGTGATGTTCTCCGGACGATCTCAGAGCACGCGGCCCCGGAAATCAAAGACCCTCGACCCGTTCGTACACGCGGCACAGGTCATGTTCTGATGAAGTCTCCCGTTCATAGCGGAAGCGGGGCGAAACCGCAGCGACGGTTTCAACAAGCAGCCCGGGATCCCCTGTCTAGCAGAAATGTTTAGCAAGTTCCCCAATGCGTTGCGTACACATGTCGACGCTGGGCGTCCCTCGTCCCGACATTTGGACGACACTTCGATGCGTTTCTGAACAAAGATGATTCCAATGCTGCTCAAGTTGTTTGAAGTCCGAGGGACACCGCAATCCAGGTACGAGGAGCGCTGGCCACTGCCTTGTCCTTGACAGCCAGGATCCACCTTTCTAGCTTCCGGCTCACTGCAGCGCAGCGGCTGCCGCATCAATTGCAGATTAATTTGGCTGATTGACGCAATTTATCTTCCGCGAACCTTAACACCTGCAACTCCAATCAGCCTACAGCGAGCCCGGTGACTTGTCAGCAGCGGCGTGGTGTCGTCTTCATCTCCAATTACGATCCCTCCCAAGCTGTTGGGACGTTTCAGGTCCTTTGGTCCGCACAACACTCTGGAAGAATGCCATGTCCTCTGCATGTCGTCTAGGACAGAACTGACGGGAAGCACAGCGTAGGCGATGCAGGTACGAATGCGTGAGCGGCTTAGCGCAGAATTCCACCGAGAGGGTGCATACGCATAAACGGCCGGAGATTCTGCGAAGTTGGCAGCCTCATCGACGACTTGTCAGCCAACCAGTGCTTAGAGAGCCGCGATCGCCCATTGCGCTTCTCCACTGTATCGCTAATTGGCCCAAGATCCGTCTAGTGTCCCCCGGAGGCAGCTTCCCGGGCTCGTCATTAGCATCCTCAGCGTCGCGCTGCTGTTCGAGTAAGAAAGCGACCTGGATGACATCGCGAGGGTTCAATATCGGCGCATGGAGTAGCTCCGTAGGCGAAGAATGCATGTCCCAGTTTAGCGATGACGATTTGAAAGGTGGTTTCGGATTAACATTTACGGCCTGTTTTCGGTCATTAGCTGCTTGTATACTTCTAGAATGAGTTCGGGGTGCGGCTGGAGGGTAAAGATGTTTGTGGAAGATCGGGGTGGCTTCCATTCCCGCTGGACCCAGAATCGAGTTTTTCCGTGCAAGCGATGGAACGCCGCGGACAGACAAAGAGCGGTAATATAAGCAAGCCACAGTACGCTGCATATCTGCCCGAATTGTTTGAGGTAGATGAAAACGAATACCACCGGCAAACAGGCGTGCTAAAGGAGTGACTTATAGGAAAAGGCGAACATACCTCTAGAGAGACGGCACCCTCCCCCATGTTCTCCAATTGCGCCTCCAGCAGAAACCTAGACGTGCCTCCCTTCGCACTGAGCTCCCCAGCCTTTGTTCTCACGCTTAGCAACTGCTGCGCAACGAATTGGTACAGCTTCCTGAATGTCCTGACTTTGCCGCTCGCTGCCTTGCCTTCTCCCGCGAGCGTGGTTTCTGTGTACGTGACTGTAACAGCCAGTACATGGTTGCCCTCCTCTTTAAGCTCGAAGCGCAAAATCTTCTGCAGCGATTGCCCTGGCCCCGGCGATCCGTTGGCTTCATCTTCGCCCTCCGGCCCGGCAAGGTCAAGGGGCGAGCCTGTTGGCGTGGTGGGCGTCTGCATTTCTCCCTGTATCCTAACCCCGCTGATTGTGCGTGTCTTATCGGAAGGATCGAGCTCATTGTTCGCGCAGAGTGTGCAGGAGAATGTCTCGCCGACATAGGCGCTGCCGAAAGCTTCGGGGAGGTTGAGCACGGGGCTGACTATGGACTTCTCGTCGGTTCTGCCCGAAGGATATGCAAGGGATGCATTGGGCGATATTCCCAGGTCTTGCGAGTTTGGGAGGGGATACTGCGTTGCGAGAGACGGTCGAGAGAGACTGGGGGCTACATTAGCAGAAGAATTGGGCAAGAGATCAAGAACTTACCGCAGTACCTTCAAGCTTACGGTATGCGGCGTCCGAAGCGCGTCTCCCGTCGAAGGGTTCCGCTGGTGAGCCATACCTGACCAGCACTTGCGCGAGGTCAGAAGGTCACGGATGACACCAACCCGTGGACAGTGGGGTCGCAGCCCTGCGAGTTCCGCAACCTGGGTCCGTGCACTCCTCTATAAATTTCCCATTGCTCCAATTCCGTACGACCCCAAAAGCCACCCGTCTATCTCTAACACTATCAGCCGTCTCCTCTACTCCACGCCCCAGATGGACCTACCTGCTGCATCCCACATTCCACTGCAACGCTGCCCTGACCTGGGCATCATAAGCGATACCCCTAAAGGTTGCATTGTGACCCGTGTCTTCGCTCGGCTACTTCTTCTGTTTCTAGAGTATGCTGACGCCTTGGTAGGCCGCGGCGTTTTCGCTACAAGAGATATACCAGCGAAAACGGTTATTGATGTGTGTCCCGTATTAGTCCTGGGAATAGAAGAGAATAAGAAGCATCTTGAGCACACTTCACTTTATCATTATACCTAGTAAGTTATCGCATGACAAAATTCTCATACTATCTCGCTAGAGGATATCGCTGAAGTTGTGTAGCAACTGGCCCATCATAGATCAAGATGGAAAAAAGAAGGTAGCACAAGCAGTCATCTTTGGACTCGGTTCCATGTTCAACCACTCGACCCAGGAACAAAATGTCGTATGGGAACGGGATGCAGACCGCCTGTTCATCACATACCGCGCTTCACGAGACATCTGCGCCGGTGAAGAACTCTGTGAGTGGGCCTAGATGCTAATTCTCAACCAACCTAACAGCAACTAGGCATATCCTACGGAGACCATCTGACATTCAAAGATGTAGACTGTCCAGCTCCTCCACGACCTGATGAGGAGATGGCGCAGCTGAACCAGATACAGCTGGATTAAAAGCTAGACGCAGGTATAGATACAGCGAATCGAATGGAAGGAGGTACACATCAGACAGCCACCAAGGAAACGAAACCACCGAAACTGAGCGGGAACGACCGATACCTGCCCAATTTCCCTCGCAATGCATCCCAGTGCTAAAACTCAATTTGGAAATGACCGCCACAGGAAAACTAACGAACAGATATTCATGCAGCCAGCGGTTCGGTGCCACTCTCGCTAGCCGGCGTCTGGTCTGCTGAGCTGCTATCCTCTACGTCAGTGCGTAGTTCGTATGCAAGCTCGAAGCACTCTTCAAGCAGCTGCGTCACGCTGCCCTGTCCGTCGGGGATCTCGTTGCCAACCATAAACTTGCCGTCTATACGCATGTTGTCGATCGAATTGAGCTAGTAATTGTAAGCACAGGTAAGCTCGTCCGTAATCGGAACACCCACCTTCATGCTGTAAGGGTACAGCTCCCTTGGAGATGATACGCCGCCCAACTTCTTGACTTCCTGAAGGCATTTCCGCAGCGTCGTCAATTGGTTATATATGGGCAAAAGCGCTTCCGACACAGGCTCCGACGAAACGATGAGGTGGTAAATGAGTGAGTAGCTCTTTCGCAACAGGTACAGCAATGTCTAGACATGAGTCAGCAAACGGTCAAATAAGCGTACGCGGAGGAGGTTACCCTCTGTTCGTACAGCTCTGCTGGCCTCCCTAGAGCATCGAAAAAGTTGCCATCCACTCGGGCTTCGTCAATGCGGTCAAGCTGCCGTTGGAAGTTCCAGAGGTCTGTCTCGCGCAATGACCATGCCTGTGTGAGAGACAGCTTTTCCAGCTTGTTGCGGATTGTCAGCAGCTTGTCGTACGTATCCTGGAAAGCGGGCGCGATCCTGCCTTGCCTGCTACAAAGTGAGTGAGGAGTCGGGTAAAGGGTCACGGTCAAACTTACTTCTCCTTGATTAAAGCCACCCAAAGGAAGTTTCGACGCAGGAGAGTTTCGATGAGCTCCTTCGCTTCCGGCGCTGGCTCTGGATGTGCCATTGATATCTGGAGTTTTTCCGCCATCTCGGCAATCTTCTCCTCCCTCGAGCCGGTAGTCTCATATGCGTGAATGCCGTACGGTCGCAGCTCTTCCTGAAGCTCTTTTAGCTGCTCCAAGTAGTCGTCCACCTCTTCATTGGGGAACTGCATTATCAGTGAGTAAAGGCAGGTCGGGGTAGAGGTGATGGCTTACTTTCGACCGTGTATTGCAGCCAGCAAGCGACCTGAGAATAGAGACCAGTTTGTCGTATTTCGGCGTGAGGTCGGGCGTCAGGTGGGACAGGTTAAGCTCAAGCCGTCCAAGGATCTCTTCGCAAACTCCGATTCGTGCATTCAGTAGAGTTAAGAGCTGAGGGCTGTAGGAGTCTTTGCCTCGCTCAAGGTAGCGCCGACAGGATTTCAGTTCGGCGCCGATGGATTCGAGATCTTTTGGGGAGTAGAAATGGGCCTCTTCGAGATGATCGAGCAGACGCTTTCAGAGTGTCAGTCAGTTATATATGTGAGGGATCGCACGTGCTTGCCTTGGTTGTTGATACGAACGAGTACCTATTTCCAGATTAGCTAATGCAACAGAGGAGACTATGAGAGAACGACATACACTGCTGGGGCTTCATGATTCTTGCCTATGGTCATGTAGGCGAGTGAGATGAGCTGAAAACAGTCGTCCAGCACCGTGTCCACTGTTGAGAGAACGCATGTGTAAGCGGCATTCGCCTCGGCGTAACCCCACACGGAGAGATACCTCTGTTCTGCTCAAGGCGTTTCGTCGTCCGTATCTGGTTCAAGACCTCGACCTGCTCGACGACTTGGTCGTACAGTTCGATGACATCCTGGCTCTTGACATAGGTCGATTTGTCCTGCTTGAGCAGCTCGAGCTTTGTTCGAATAGCGAGTAGTTTGTCCAGCATCGGCTGCTCCTGCGGGTCCAGCGGAATGCGCACCGTGGGCGAGTCCGTCATCCTGGCTGCAGACGTCAAGTGCTCCTAGTTAGGCGGGTCTCTGGGGCGGCGGTGTGCTCAGTTTCAGTCTCAAAAGTGGATGCAGCGTCGAGATTAGGGCTGTAGCATCGGACCATTTGGGAAGCGGCATGGAAGGCGAGAGAAGTGACGTTGATTCGCGGGGCAATCACGTGAAGCGCACCTTCCCAGCATCGGCGCCTCGCTTAACTTTTCACCGACGCCAACGGGCCTCCCACAAAGGTGCGCCAAATCTCATCGTGAACTGCAACATCTCGACTCGGCGTAAACTCACCTCACGACCGCTCACGACCATCAGTCGCAATGTCTACCGCCGAACTCGCTACCTCTTACGCGGCCCTCATCCTCGCTGATGACGGTGTCGATATCACTGTACGAAATTCGCGGGTGCAATTGGGCAACAAATGCTAATCCCCCCAGGCCGACAAGCTCCAGTCCATCATCAAGGCCGCCAAGATCGAAGACGTCGAGCCGATATGGACAACGCTGTTTGCTAAGGTGCGAATACAAGTTGGGTGCGAAGCAAAGGCCGATTTCTGATGTGGGACAGGCTCTCGAGGGCAAGGACGTCAAGGATCTGCTTCTGAACGTCGGCTCAGGCGGCGGTGCTGCGGCGCCCGCCGGTGGTGCTGCCGCTGCTGCTGGCGGCGACGCACCCGCCGCGGAAGAGAAGAAAGAGGAGAAGGAAGAGGGTACGTTAGCTCGTATCCCTACCTGTCCAGGACTAACAAAGTGCACCAGAGAAGGAGGAATCAGACGAGGACATGGGCTTCGGTCTCTTCGACTAAACTTCCTCTCTCGCCATTTCTTTCGCCATTTGCCTTTGTCGGGGTTCAAAACGGATCAACGGGCGGATCATGCATATTCCCATTCCCGCGGCAGGTCTTGTTATCGACTGTCAATGACGCTACTTGGCATATCCCAGTCCGCTATGGAGGATGAAGGACGGCGTCATGGGATATGTAACGGTGACAGGTTCTCAATGAAAGACTTCGAAAGTGCATAGCGCGGACCCGGCTGTGATATGGGCCTGCTAACATTGCAGGATCACTGGACCGAGCTGAGCTTCTACGGCAAAAGTATTTTACAAAAAGGGGCCTTCAACCACACATGGACGTACTGCCTTTTGGGAAGATACGTGTTGACTTCGAATGGCATTTGTTTCTTAGGCTGGTATGTACGCCATGCGCGCCGACTCGACGAACTTTACAATGGTGGAGTGTCTGCATAACAAGCCGCCATGAAGTTCTCAGGATATCTCGAACCGCCGACCTCCGCGGCTTCGCACGCCTTTCGAATTTCCTGCTCTTCTTCCTTACTCAGCTTCACATCTAGCGAACCTAAGTTCTCTTTGAGCCTGTCAAGCTTGGTCGTCCCAGGAATAGGGAATATGTCGTTCCCTTGCGCCATCAACCAAGAAAGCACCAGCTGTGTTGGCGTAACATTTTTCTTCTTCGCCATGCCGCTCAATTGATCCACAAGCTTCAGGTTCTTAGGGAAGTTCGCGCTTGAGAATCTTGGCGCGAGCTTTCTGAAGTCACCCTCCTCGAAGTCGTCCGGTGAGCGTAGGGTGCCAGTAAACATCCCTCGTCCCAAAGGTGAGTAGGCAACTACGGCAACGCCTAACTCGCGGCATGTGCGCAGGAGGTCGATCTGCTGCGACTCGATTTCCAAAGCGAAGGGGCTATATTCGACTTGCACGGCACTGATCGGATAGACGGCGTGTGCTCGGCGAAGAGAGTCTGATGAACACTCCGATAGTCCTATATACTTGATCTTTCCCTCCTTCTTGAGCTCAGCCATTGCTTCGACCGTCTTCTCGATAGGCGTCTTCCTGTCCAGGCGGTGGCAGTAGTACAGGTCGATAGTCGGCACGCCGAGGCGCTTCAGACTCTTAGCGCACGCTTCCTTGCAATACTCGGGACTGCTATTGATCTCGCGAGTACCGTCGGGATTGACCCTGTTGGCGAACTTTGTGGCGAGAAAGATGTTATCGCGTTTGCCTCGGCTGGCCTCGAACCACTTGCATAGCAAATCCTCACTATCCCCGTACATGTCGGCAGTATCCCAGAAGCGCTCTCCCATATCGTAGGCCTTATCGAGGAGAGCGAGGCGTTCAGCGTCGGACTTCTTGGTGCCGTAAAAGGAGGAGAGACCCATCAAACCGAGACCGAGGCGGTTGACTTGAGGGCCGTTCTTGCCCAGGGGAGCTGTAGGGAGAGACATGATGTGGTGCTTGAGACTGCAAGTATATGGGACTAAAAAACTGTTAAGAGATGTGTAAATCCAGGAGAGGCAAACTTGACGGTAGTAAGAAGACGGCGAGAAGAATTTATATCATACTTTATCGTCCGAATCTCTCCACATAAACTACTAGAATAGCTTGAGGTCCTCGGCTCTTCGTTTCGAGGCATATGAAGAACTTGGCCAATGGAAGATAGCACGTATCTCCCGTACGCGCACAGAGATGCATGACGTCTCCCGAAGAGGGCCACGCCCGGAGTTTCTGCGCGGCGATAAGAACTGCTCCGGTGGCTTGCAAGGTTTACAAAATCTGCCTGACATATTCGAGTTAACTTTTCGTCCGGATCAGTACGGATCAGTAAAGGCGTAGTACTCTGGTAAGAGGCCTGGTTGTACATAGCTCACGAAGCATGGGACTTGAGACTCATCACGTGCGCCAGCCCTCGCTTTGGACGCCAAGCACCAATGACGAAACGGTCCATCCCGACTCACATTTCCATCATTCTCTGTTGCCTCCAGGCCCATTAATAATGCACACACACGAGGAGAGTGTACACTATCGATAACTGAGCAATGTCAATCTCTACCGACTAACCACTCCCTCGGAGGACACTGACATCTTGCAGCTGCAGCATGGCCGCCGTCGTACAAGACCTCCAACCGCTCAACCTCAAGCCAGTGCACGACGAAGACCCGCTCGCTCTGCCGCTGTACGATGACAAGATTCACCTCCTTCTCTGCGCCACAGGATCCGTCGCAACCATCAAAATTCCGAACATAATAAAAGCGCTGTCAAAATACTCGAACCTCTCAATACGGCTTGTCTTCACTGAGTCTGCTACCAATTTCCTGCGAGGCCAGAGCGCAGAACAGCCCTCGTTAGAGGAAATAGAAGCCTTGCCGAATGTAGATGGGATATACTTTGACGAGGATGAGTGGAGAGAACCATGGGTACGCGGCAACAAGATCCTGCACATTGAGTTGCGGCGCTGGGCAGACATGATGGTTGTCGCGCCTCTGAGCGCAGACGCCCTCGCGAAGATTACACAAGGGTGGTCAGACAATCTGCTCCTCTCCGTAATGCGCGCGTGGGACACAACGGGCGAACTGGATCCGGTCAGAGACATTCCTGGGCTCGACAGGCCGCGGGAAGAAGGCAGCGAGGGCGCAGTGAGGAAGAAGAGGATACTTGTTGCGCCATCTATGAATACGGCTATGTGGAAGCAGCCTATTACGAAGCAACAGGTTAAGGTGCTAGATGAGGATTGGGGCGTAAGAAACGGGGGCTGGTTTGAGGTGTTGCAACCGATGGAGAAGGAGTTGGCCTGTGGAGATGTTGGAGGTGGTGCAATGAAGGATTGGAGGGATATTGTAAAGGTGATTGAGGATAGGTTGGGGCTGAGTGCTGGCGACATGGGATAGTATCGTCAGTCTGCAGCTAATCGGCTAGAAACCCTCGACAACATAGTCATACGGTACACCTCATTGCTATGCGAGACTCTAAACTACATAAATTAGCAATAAGAAGTATCTTCTAGTCCCCATGGTTCTTACTCTTTAGCTGCTCCCGGAAATGGTACCCGAGCGCGTGTTGTGTGACCTTTCCTCTTCTGGCCTAGCGTATCGATTCTCTCCGCCATCTTTCAGATCGCCCTTGCCGTCATTCTACCACGAGATGGAGAACAAGACATCCAGTGCACCAAATGGGTCCGCGTGCGAGCTCTGCCATCGGCGCAAGGTAAGCGAACCCGCACTTTGTCTCCCAACACCCACCGCTCACCATCACAGGTCCGGTGCGATATGCGTAGAAAATTCCCGTGTAGCCATTGTGTGAATGTGACCCAGCCATGCGTGTAAGTAGGTGGACCACCTCTCAAGCAGGGTGAAGTTCGTAGTCTAACGTTGTTGGATATACAGGCCGCATCGACGCAAGAGGAAACATGATCCACCTGTCAGTCCTCAGGCTGCAAAACGTCATGACGTCCGATCCTCTTTGAGATCTCCAATTGTTCAATCACCCCTGCCAGGTTCAACTACTGCGCCGGAATTTACTCAACCGCGAACAACTCTTCTTCAAAGCGAAGATGAGACGAGCCCCGGGAGCTACCTAGGACGAGCCGAATACGTGTCGGGCACCGTCCCCATTGACGAGGACGACGCCAAGCGATACTCCTCCGGACGCAACACCAGCTTAGCAGATGAAGACAAAAGATATTTGATCGATATTCGGGCTTTCGAACTACCTTCCCGGTCCTTGTACGACAGCCTCCTATCAAGCTTCTTCGAGCACTGTTACCCTTGGATGCCCATTGTGGAGCCGCATGAGCTCCAGCCTGCTGGAGGATCCCGTCCCTCGCTTTTGCTCTTGCAATCTATCTTCGTTGCTGCAAGCAGAGTGTCTCTTGCACCGGATGCTTGCGCATCGGGGGAGGCGTTCTATCGGAAGGCTAAAGCATTATATCATCTTGGGTATGAGAAGGATCCCATGACGGTAGTTCGATCCGTATGCTTGATTCTTTGGTTCAATAACAGGTAATATACCCCGTTTATTGCCCTGACAGGCCGGCCTAACAATACCGAAGCGGACCCGAACATATCTCCTTGGATGCTAGTAGTTTCTGGCTCCACATGGGGGTAGCTTTAGCTCATCAACTTGGACTTCACCGAGAACCTAGACATAAACAAGCCGATGCTAAACTGCGGCGGCGACTGTGGTGGACGCTCTTCGTAAGACGCGCATGATCCGATTCTCTACCCATAGCTGACCCGAGCAGATCCGGGACTGCCAAATTGCTACAAGCCATGGTCGCCCCAAAACTATCAATCCAGAGGACTGTAACATCCGATTTCTTACTCTGGAAGACTTCCCGCAAGCTAATCACGACGCACTTCTCTTCCTAGCATACCAGGATATCTGCGCTATTCTGACTGATCTTACCGAGTCCCTCGTGCGAGGTACGTTAGGTTGGACGAAACAGGTATCCATAGAGACACGGTTATTCTCCTGGATCCGCGACCTTCCTCATGCGCTTCGCATATGCGATCAAAGTAGCGGCTCTCTCCTCCCATATAATTTCAAATCCCGCCAACTAAACGTCATGTTCTTTACCGCAATCATGCTGCTTTACAGGCCGGCGTCACCCGGAGTCCCACCCTCAGGTGCTGCAATTCTAGCGTCATCGTTCTCTGCAGGCATCTTTGAGGACTTTCTTGCGAGAGGAGAGCTAGGATTCCTCGCGCCAGTGTTCAACTTTCATCTCATGACAGCCGCATATGCCCAACTAGCATGCTACAAGTATCCTTCACTCTGGCCGATAGCAGACGGAGAACTCGAGATAATCAACAAATGTCTTCTCGAGATGGCGAAACGATATCCTACTGCCGTGGGGGCGCAACGAGTTATCAAAGCTGTATTTCGAGCTGTCAGCGCACAGAATCGGCACGAAGGCCCAATACACATTGCGCTTGAGCCGGAGCCGGAGCCGGAGCCGATGAAGTATTTCAAATTCTTTGGCCCCGACCTATGCAGTAAGTGGGCTTCAGTAATGCCAGCGCAGAGCGATACGATACAAAGTGTCAATGAAATAGGTCAGCCACTTCCATGCCGGAACCCTTCGCACAACGGACCGATGCCGTCGTCGGATGAAGCCTTGGAGACGGCATCTTCGTTTGATCCTAATTCTGGTACAACGCTTATCACGGGTCAAACGAACACCGCCGGGACATCATCCTTCACCGACGCGCTTCTCGCGGATATTGGTACACATGATAGCTACTTCGCTTCGAATGGGGCATTCACCGCTATTGGCAATTGGATGCTGGGAGACTGGACTGCAGATATTGACTGGATGACTGGCGGGTTTGGAGCCTAGGAGGAAACTAAGTGAGATCCTGCTAGTGATGTACGAAGGTAGTGTTTCGAGCAAGTCCGGATGAAGACTCCTTCACTCGATCAAGAAAAGCGAACACGAAAACACCAACCTCTGTTGCCCCAACTACCACTCGTCCGCAAACAAACACCAACCAGAAACACCACTCTTCTAGCAAAATATCCACCAGGCCACTATATTCTGAGCGAACACACTCTTGTGCCCGCGGCAATTTGCGAAAACACGTTGTCAATCCGACAACATTCGACTACAATGGCGCCAACAAAGCAGGCAGCAAACCAAAACGCGCAGCCGGCTTCCAAGAAGACTAAAGACGTAGAATCGATACTTGGAAACATCAAATCAACAGTGAGTTTGACGATTATGAAGCACTATTTAGATGCTGACGTGTTACGCCAGATCGCGAAGACGAAAGCCAAAATCGGCGTCCTCAAAACCCAAGGTCGGACGAAAGTCACCAAGTCAGCAGCAAGCCCAAAAGGCCGCCTAAGCGAACGGAAACGGCTCAAGCAAGTCTTGGAAGATCTCGCAACTCTCGAAACCTCAAATGGAGCCCCGAAACCCTTCGCGGTTGAGCACGACCGAAGCGGCGACGACCCCTTCCCATCCGCTCGCTCGGATCTCCGAATTAACGACTTCGAAATCGGCCGGCCACTTGGACGCGGCAAGTTTGGACAAGTCTACCTCGCCCGCCACCGCGACACAGACTACATCTGTGCGCTAAAAGTCATCTCGAAAGTCCAATGCACTTCCGAAGAGGACGAGAGACTGATACGGCGAGAACTCGAAGTGCACCAGAATCTCGCGCACCCCAACATCCTCCGCTTTCTGTCCTGGTTCCACAATGACACCTCCATATATCTCGTTCTCGAATACGCTCCCGGCGGTAACTTATACCACCGCCTGAAGAAGCAACCGCAAGGCCGCTTCATCGAGCGCGCCGCCGCACTGTACGTCGCCCAAATGGCGGAAGCACTACGATACATGCACAGCAAGAACGTCTCGCACCGAGACATCAAACCGGAGAACATATTACTTGGCCTACATAATGAGATTAAGCTCGCCGACTTCGGATATAGCGTGCATTCTGAGTCGGGTTTTCGGTCGACCGTCTGCGGTACGCTGGACTACTTGTCGCCCGAGGTCGCCATAATGCTGATGAAGCCCGGGGAGAAGGACGAATACTACACCAAAGCGGTCGATCAGTGGAGCTTGGGAGTGCTAACGTATGAGCTGTTGGTTGGCAAGCCGCCGTTTGAGATGAAGACGAGGGAGGCGACAGAGAAGAAAATTGCGAACTTCAAGGGGAAGGTCAGGATACCGGGGCATGTGTCAAAAGGGGCTGAGGGGCTTATTCGGCAGGTATGTATTTCGCTCCTCGAGCTGTATTCCGGGACGGTGCTGATGGACGTGCAGCTCTTGAATCTGGATGCCGAGAAGAGGATGTCGCTCGAGGAGGTGCTTAACCATCCGTGGATCGTGCGACATGTCGAAAAGTCGTCACGGTCTGGGCTGCGATCCTTCGGTCGGATGCTGGAGCAGGCTGTCACCGCGTAAGTGACTCCTCGGGTTCGCCTATTTGGACATCACCGTTTGTCACCATTCATTTCGGGAGGGCACATCCCATTCTTTAGATTCGACCTTTGCATAGGAATGACCCGGGCAACATTCAGGGAACACCAATGTCAAGGGTAGCTTATTTCGGCTTGATCCTTGGGAATTTTGCCCACGGTAGGTAGACACACACACTTGTAGCAAGGTAATTATCACGAAAGCCAGGACCATAGAACTCTTTTAAAAGAAATCATACACTGCATTCGATCCTCACCTTGTGCCAGGGGTATAAAATATAACTAAGCCCAAGGAAACCCTTTTGCCAACCTATAGAAGCCAGTATGCTGCCTGTTCGCTGCGCCAAATCCTATAATAATGCATGTATATCGCGCGTCGTCAACACCCTACTACAACATCAACGCCACAGCCGCAGCAGCAACCACCGCCGCCGTTGCTCCACCGCTCACGCCCACCAAGGGCGCCGCATTCCCAGTACCCACGGGCGTGCCCGACGCACTAGTCCCTGTCCCACTCGGCCCACCAGGCGTCGTCGCCGTCCCATTGCTCTGCGGCAGATCCTCGTCCTGCAGCTCGCCCGGGCCAAACGGCGTATACCCGCCGCTGATACTGCTCGGATGCTTCGTGCTGCCCTCGACGCACTTGGCGTCGTCCTGGAACGCGTCCCAGGCCTGCTTCCACGCCGCGTCCGGATTCGCATACGTATCCGCGGTGTAGAAGATCTTGCAGTCGGAGGCCTCGTAGATGTACTGGAGCGGGGTGGCTGTGGTGTCGCCCTTGCGGATCTGGTCCTGCGTCTGCAGGCGCGAGGACTGGTCGCCGACGCGGGTGCTGAGCTGGGGCGTGTTGGCGAGGCTGGTGAGGACGGAGTCGTCGGACTGGATGCTGGCGAGGCCGATGGTGTCGGTGAGGTTGAGCATGGTGGCGGCGAACAGCGGGAAGTAGAACAAGGGGATGACTTCGCCGCCCTTGCTGCCGGTGACCGTTTGGATGGGGGCTTTGGTCGGGCGGCCGCCGACGGTGACGGCGCGCACGCCGGCGATGTTCTTGAGCTCTTCGTGAAAGGAGGCACAGCTGGAGCCGCAGAGGGCGTCGGTGTACATGAGGACGTTTGAGGCGTTGAACGGGGTGGTGAGGTTGCTGTAGTCGACGAAGTCAAAGCCGGTCGGGCGGATGGACACGGTGTCGGCGTTGGAATAGTTGTAGCGCATTGTCACGGTGAAGTTATCGTCGTTGAAGCCTTCCGGGCCGTTGAATTCGTCCCAGGAGTCGAAGTTGTCGCCCTGTGCGGTGCGGAAATGCCAGTATGCCCAGTATCTGTAGTCGGCGTCGACGGTGGAGTCGGTAGCTGCGGCGTAGGAAGAGTTGAGGTCGGCGTTGTTGTGGATCTCGTTGACGGCGTCGCCGATGAGTTCGTATTGTTGCTGGGCGCGGTACCTCTGGCCGGAGAAGGCCTCCTCTTGCGGGAATAACTGCATGAAAGTATCCAGGAGGAGGTTAGTAGCGCCGCCGCCGTTCTCGCGCAGATCGATGATGAGCTTCTGCTTGTTCTCACTGACGCATTCGGCCAGAAATTGCTGGACTACACCCTGGAATTCGTTGCCGGTGTCATCGCCCTCGGGCGCGAAAGTGATGATCTTGAGGACAGCGACATCATCGTAGCCATCACCGGTCAGGAAGTATCCAGCTACGGCGCCACTCTCGGCCTCGACGACAGCGTCTGGATAGCCGCGACTGGGGATCTGGCGCCTATTGAGTGTGGTGTAGTCGTTATGGGGGATGTGAGGTTGAGGTCCCAGCCTGGCATTCATGTGTTTCTGGTCGAGAGCGGACTTGAGGCTCGCGCTGGAAGGAGTCCCCGAGATGGTGCCCGTGCAATAAGTATCGAAGAAGCTCTGGCCATCTGATACGCCTTCGAAGGAGAGTTGCGGCTCAGCGAAGTTGTCGAATGAACTTGAGGTCCCGTTGGCGAAGGTGAAGTTCGTGGAGGGCCCGTCGTATTGAGTCTGGGTGATGAAAGTGCCGAGGGAAGTCGTGTCGCCCTTGTACATGAGGTTGTTCAGGCGGCCATCGCCGTCGATGTATTGTTCCCAGCTGGCGACCTTATCCAGGTATGTATACGCATCTTCGCCGTTGATTTGGGTGATCTCGGAAATATCGGACATGCTGAGATCTCCGCGAGTTGCTAGGATCATATCTTCGGCTGAGTAGAGCTTGGGCATCGAAGTTCCATCGTCGGAAATAGATACGACCGCGACTTGGCGCCACCAAGTAAACGCTTGCAGGATATCGGGCTGATAGTTGAAGTGGAAGTTTCCGGTCCGCACAGTGATGTTTTGAATAGCGAGCTGGACAGCATACTCGCTGGAAAATGAATCCAGGTTGTTAAGGATATTATCCAGTTCGGCTTCGATATCCAGAGGCCCGTTTTCCCACTCTTCAGGGGTATTCTTCAGCCAACCGGCCTCGGATTGCCACTGCCATACAACCTTCAGCTCATCGATGAGTTTCGTGTTTCCGTCGACGTCTACAGGGACTGAATCCAGGCACTCAAACGCGGTTTGCGCAGGCAGCGCCGTTTCCAAAGAGGCGATGAGGGAAGAGATGACTGCGCAGGGTTCGTCGCTGCTCCCGGTCCCAGATGGAGCGGTCGTTTGCGTAGGAGTGGGCTCGTCTGTCTGCGCGGCGGCTAGAACCGCCACCGAGGCAAAGAAAAGACTTCGGACCAGCATGTTTTGCTGCTGACCACTGGAAAGAAAGTGGAAGTGCAAAAAGACAAACGATCGTATAACGAAATGAAATATGAAACCAAGGCTGGATTACGCGGCTCAGGTGCACAATGTAGAACAAACTCGGGTCACAACGACCACGAACACGGCTGAGAACGCGGTCACAGCCGGGACATCAAGCACTTTAATACAAGAAGCCAAGAAGAAGAAAATGGCGTATCCATGGGTATACCTACCTAGAAGTCGTCCCATCTGCGCGGAGCCATCCTGCGCGGCCGGACGTGTAGGACATTGGTCAAAAGTAAGCACTGCCTAACAACGCGCCGCGATGGAAGAGGCTGAAGCGAACCTTCGGGAAGCAGAGGCCAATGAGACGGCGGAATGGTCATATTGAAGGGAAGCTTATTTGTTTCGAAGACCAGCTCAAGGGGCTCAGCCCCAGCGCGAAAGTGAGGAGGATCGCTAAGGCAAGCCACGTTCGTGCGAAAAGCGAGCGCACGTGCGGTCGCGTGTGGGGGCTGGATGGTGATGTGGCTTCCTGCAGAGTGCGACGCCACGGGTCGAGAAAGGAAGGCCTAGACTGGGGCTGGTCGATCATCTGAAGAGTGGCATATTACACAGTTGCGGAGTCGAGCTTCAGGCGCTGCGGAGTTTGCGTTCCTCTCGCATAACAATCCCTTCAGCCTTCGCTCCTACGTTTCGCGTACATGCGCACACGATGTGCTGGCGGGCGTACGCTTGGACGCATGCAGTCCTTCGAAACGTGACGCTTGCTTGGCAGGAGTCGAAGGGCTTGTTGCTTGCTGCCTGATGGACTGCGGGACGAGATGGACTGCGGGACGGGGAGGCTGATTGCGTCGCGTGAAAGGCTAGATGTTGCAACAGCCCGTGTCCTTCACCTACCCCGCCCGGCGCTAGCTCAGTGCGGCAGGAGGGCTATTTTGGGCGCAGACCGCAGAACGACCACAGGTCTGGCCGCAGTCGCTGAACGTGGTCCACCGGTCAAGCATCCCCGAGTTCTGGGGAATTGAGGGGAGGTCCGACTAATTGGTGCATCTGTGAAAGGAAAGCTCATTGGTCTAGGCTCGTCCTGATGTCATGGATTCAGGAAGCTTAGTTTCAAAGCTACATACTGTAAGAGTGTGGCGCTCGCAGGGCAGCGAGGTACGCTGCGCTTGGAAGAAGCCTCGAGAGGCTGTTCAAAGCATAGGTGCCCAGCTGTTGTTCCATCGCAATTTGCGGGCTTACGGTTACAATCTGAGGCCTCGTTGTCCACGCGAGCGGCCTACTCTTCCATCCTATCCTCGTTTCCATCCTCATCCTCATCACTCTCCTCTTCCTCCTCCGCTTCCTCCTTCGCTTCCTCCTTCGCTTCCTCCTCCGCTTTCTCCTTCGCTTCCTCCTCCGCTT